TTGGCTTGACCATTTCTTTTTTCATTTTATCGTGTCGTTTGTTGTTTGTTGACATCGGGCTTTCTCTTTCTGTCCTTGTTTTCGTTATTCTTTCTTCATTTCCCATGCTACCATCCACCAAGTCCGCCTTGACATAAGCTCAATGCAGCAATGCCCATGTCCTACGTGAATTAACTATCCTTCTCCTTGCCCCCTTCCTCCTTTTTCACCCCTTTGCCCCTATACTTGTGCCAACTCATTTCATTTTTGTTGCCAATCTCTTTTTCTTCTTGAAACTCCTTAACATAACAGATGGATGGAGGAACCAATCAACGCCTTCTTGCCTTGCCCTGTGCGTCCTTTTTTGCTAATATGCTAACTCCCTTCCCTTCTCTTTGCACCCCCTTTGCTTCTCTAGACGACCTAGATTTTGCCTAGGTTGACGAGTGAGCGTGTTTCGTGGGGGGTTCTCTCTCTCACTCGCTCTTGAATAAATCCAGGTATGCATTGGACCATGTTCGTTCGGATTGTTAGTAGGAGGTAGTAAAGAGAGGACACGTTTAATGTGGAAGACGTGCAGCGAGAGGATGGAGGAGAGTAGAGAGAAAGGGCGATGAAGAGGTTCCAGGCATAAAAGTAAAAGGATGATGATATGGAGCTAGAATGTGCAGAGGAAGGGTGTAAAAAGAAAAGGCATGTCAGAAGAGAGAAGAATGTGAAGGCAACCAAAAAAGGTGGGTTTGCAAAACGAACGAAGGATGAAGGATGAAGGATGGAGGAGGAGAAACGAAGATGAGGTAAAATATCGAGGCATGAAGGCCTTCCCCCCTTGTTGGGAAAGACGAAGGAGAATGGTCGTCTATAGCCTGCGATGGGGAGAACAGGTTTCTCCGTGTCTGCTGTGTATGGCCACAACACAGTTCAAGTGACGACCAACCCATGGCACCTTTCTTATCTGATTGCAAGAAAATTAGTGGCAATCACGCAGGGGAAGAAATGTTGATCGTTAATGTTCCATATCCGAGTGACAGTTTCGCAGACGACGCGCTTCAAAGCGAGAAGGAAGAAGAAGACGAAGAAAAAGAAAAGCCCATGGGCATGGGTGCGCGGGTATTTTTAGGAAATGGCACTACCAAGTAGCTCTTTGATATGATGGGTGTGGTACCTTTTTCTTTGATCTTTCTTCTCAGAGAAAAAAAAAAGGATGGAGGTTAGCGTGGGTATACAATGGGATTGTTGAGAAAATGAGATGTAGGACAAAAGGGGGGATTGGTCAAGGCTACTCTCTGACCTTTGGACTAACAACTTGGGCGTACGATAGATCATGTCTTATGAAGGAAAAACAGAAGAGGTTCCCTCAGGAAAGAGGGTATACAAGGATGTGTGAGAATAAGGGTGGATACATCGGCTGAACAAAAGAGTGTTTGGTAAAGGCAAGACCCTCCCCCCTCCTCCCTTTGGACTTGCAAAATGAGCGTGCGATCGATCAGGTCCTTCAAGACAACATACAAACCCCTTGGTGGATGTTTGCTAGTTAGTTCATGTGCTTCGTCATGTTCAAGCAACAGTGGATAGCTGTTACCATTATATACAAGCCAAGCATAATACAGACACCAAAAAGTAAGCAACCCTTTATGGCCATGTACACTCGAAAAAGCCAAACAGTTGGCGATATTGGGACATTGGGCGTTTGGCTATTTTTTCACCATTGCCCTTTTTATTTTTACTCTCATTGCGTTTAAAAATACATGTGGTGACAACAATTGGAGAGAGGGGGTTCAATAGGATGGGACCATCACGAAAAAAGGACGGTTGTTGCAAACATGGACAGGTGGTATTGTTTTTTTTTTTTTTTTTTTTTTACGCCTTGTCCTTCCCGATCAAAAGTACTCGTGGCGGCGATGAAAGTGGCGGCGCAAAGTCTTGTTTGCTTTGTCCTTGCATCCTTGACCACCTGAATGTCTTGCCCTTGCATTTTGCATTTTCAGAAGAACGAGGGTAAGGGAATGTCATTGAAACCATGCCCTTTTTATGCCTTCTTGCATGGCTTGCGATGATTTTAGGAACAAGAGACATAAACTAAAAATTAATGCTTCCATCATCGTGCACCAGTGTGCCAGACCAGAACAAAATGGTTGCGGATGGGTCAAAACAGTAAGCCGTGGCATGGGTGTGGTGTGGTATGGCATTGGTCCATTGGAGAGTAAGAGAAGAAGGTGATCGAGCAAACCAAGCAATCCCTTGGATTGAAGAAGACGAAGTAGTAGGTGCAACGCAAACGCGCTCTCATTTTTCTTGATCCAAAGAAGGGATAGGACCAAGAGGAGGAAGAGCGAGAGAAGGAAGGGAGGAAAGGGTAGAGGGCAGGGTTGGGCTGTAGGAGTATATTTTTTTTATTTTGGTTATTCGCCTTCAACTCCATCAAAAATACTAGCAAAAAACGATAACCTAAACGAAAACGAGAGACGATTCTGTGAAGAAGAACTATTGATCGCGAGCTCGTCATTGATTGAGCAAAGTAAAGGGTTGGACAAGCTGGCAAAGGGGGCGGGTATCCGTTGGGGCCAATGTATAGACCGGATGGATTGTTGTGGAGGTGACTGTTTACCAAGTCAGACAATGGTATGAATGTCATGTATGACCCGAAGGAGGAAAAGCAGAAGGAAAGGGGAGAGCGAGAGAGAGAGAGAGGGAGAGAGAGAGAGAGAGAGGGAGGGTAGGATGCCCGTGCCCGTGTGCTTTTTTTGTGTTTTGCTTCTGTGAGTGTGAGGTTGTCGACAGAAATAGAACTTGAATGGCAATGACATGAAATGCTCACCTTTTTGATCGTTGAGCTCCCTTCGTTCGTTCTTCGTTGTTCTTCGTCGTTGTTCTTCTTCCTTTGAGGGTGAGTGGTGAAAGAAGGATGACCATGACCATTGGCCATTAGGAATAGCATCCATCAGACAGCCGTTTCGTGATATTTTCAGCAACTGATGTTCGTGTGTGTGTTTGTGTGTGTGCCCCTTTGTCTCTCAATCATGTCTGATAAAACTCTTTTTTTTTCTTCATAATTGATCAATTCTTCCATTTTTGATTTCCGTTCATTGCTCCCTCAAGTTCTTTATTGCTTAGCATTCATTTTCTTTTCTTTGCCTCTTCTTCTCTACACTTCTCTTCTCTCACCACTTCCCTTCTCCCCTTCCCTACCCATAGTTCACCCTCTCTTTTCTCTCTCTCTCTCTCTCTCCACTCCCTTCCTGTCTTTTACTCCATCGACACGCTTTCCTCTTGCTCCTCCTCCTCCTCCACTACCGCCACTCACACGCCATACCCTCACCACAGAAACGAACCCCTCTCTTCTTCTTCCTCTCTCCCTTTTTCTCTCCCTCTTTAACGACTTGTCTTTCTCTTTTAACCTCTCAACTTCAACAAGTGATCTGATTTTCGAAACCTCTGCATTCCTCTTTCTTTTTCTTCCTTGCATTCCTATACATTCGTCACCACTTTTCAACTACGTTCTTTTCGATCAGGTAAACAACAATCAACAAACACGAATGCATCGCACTTGCTTCCTCTTTCTTTGGTCGTCCCAATGGCAAATGGTGGTTCATTCCACTCATTATTATGTACTCCACCGGACACTCGCCGTCATTCATAACTCAAAACGAACAAAAGAGAGAGCTGTTGTTAACAAAAAGGAGAAACAAAAAGGAGAAACAAAAAACAGAACATATAATGGAAGTCAACAGCAATAGTACTCGCAACAGCAACAAAAGCAACAACAACAACAACAGCAGCAACTTGCACTAGAGCAGCTGTAGATAGGAATAAGTAGAGGAACTGCGAACCTTTTTCTCTTGTTTGCCCGTCTTGATTGAGTCTCTCCTTCCTCTTTCCCTTACTCCTCTCGGCTCCTTCCTCCCTTCCCTTTGCTCCTATATTATCATTCTACTTGCCCCATGGTCCAATGCTACGTACGAAGGCAGTCATTTATCCCAATAGTCCATTACGAGACATTATGGATATAGTACCCATGTCACATCCCCCTTTATATGAATCCCTTTCATTTTCACTTTTGCAATATGCAAGTGAGGATTCATGAGCACCATGGAACAGGAGACATGCTTGTGTCTTCTTTTGTATTGTACGTTGTAATTGTTGTGTATTTTTGAATTCATCCACTCCTTTCTTGTTCCTTTCTTGCAAAGCAAAGCCAGCCAACCAACCATTCGGCCACATATAGGCGCGTCGCCCATCGATTTGCTGTTTGCCTTGTTTCTTTACTTTGTTCCTTGTGGATGTTGTGCAAACAGAAGAACCGTTGGCAGTTGAGCCGGAGAGTATGTGTCAAAAAGGGGTGAATGAAAGGAAAAAGAGGGGAAGAGGTTTGTCAGTACTCACACATCTTGCTGCACCAATCCGCATCCTGGTTCCCTTCCTTGTCCCTTTTCATGTGCACCCGTTTCCCTTTTTACCCCTGTTTCCCTATGATTACGATTATGAAGACCCATATCCACACACTCATTCCATGGCGACCATTTGAAGCCAGGATGAGTCTGAATGGGTGCATCATATTGCAACTTGCACACCGAAGGAAAGGAACAAGTGTGGCGTGTGTATTACTAGCATTGTGATGCGTGTGTGTTTGTTTGTGACATGCCTTAGTTCAGTTGACTGACAAGCTATGGGTTGTTGTGTTGTTTGTGTGAGTCTCGACAACCGAACAGCCTGCAACAATCATTTTGTTTGTTATGTTATGTTGTGTTATGTTATTTGTATTTTCCTTTCTCCCTCTCTCACACCATTTCGTTCCTTTTCCCTTTCACTCAGCTCGCTCTTTTTCTTTTCCCCTTTCCTTCTTCCCCGCTTCCTCTTCACCCCAACAGCCCCTCCACCTTGGAAACATACTCTCCCTCCTTCTCCCTCTCTTTTCTAACAACGTTCCTCGACTCTCTTTCTCCTTACCTACCCTATTTACCAGTCGACCACACCCCCACAGCCACTCCTCCCAGACACACCCTTAGACACCACCCCCGTCCATGGCGTCCCTGTCGATAAACACCCGCAACCACGTTCGCTCCACCTCGGGCGAGATGCTCAACATGCCCCCACAACACTACCAGATCCCTCGTGGCGCCAACAGCATGTCCAACCTGCGCGACAATGCCTTCCACCCTCCACCCAACCGTCCCATGAATGGCGGACATGACCCCCACCACCGAGGCCCACGACCCAGTAAGCACACGAACAAAAAAACAAACAGATAGGACTCGCTCTTCTATCCTTATCGAATGGATACACAATCGCTGTCCAGGATGACCTTTGCTTTCCAAGCAGCCGGAGAAACTAACCAGTTGCTCTCTCTTTCTCTTTTTGTTACCTACTGTATATAATAATTATGCAAGTGATGGAGAGATATGGCCCGCCACCACCACCGCCAGCAGGGGGCCAGGTCCCTCCCGGCCCGGCCTATGATGATATGTATCGCAGGGCACGACCCAAGACTTTTCAGAACAACACTGTATCTCCGCCAGGTATGATTTAATAGATATTTCTGAATTTAATAGGGCGGACGATGATGATGATTGATGATAATGAGTCCGTCCGTCCGCCCTTTAATGTCGATGGAAGGAAGGACGAAGGAAAGAACGACTAAAAGGAAACGAGTACGAAGAGCACCAGCAGGAAAAAAAAGAAAGAAATTGGCAGCTTTTTTTGCTCCCGATAATCCCGCGCCCACCGTCTGGACTGAATGGACGAAGCGGATTCGTCTCTTTCCTTTCCCCAATGCTTGTCTGCGAGCGTGAATGATATGTGAATGTGAATATGAGTGGTTTCGGGAAGGAATGGGAAGGGAGAAAAAAGCTGTTGGGGGGGGGAGGAAAGTGCAAATAACAGACATGCATCCTCACAACCTCACAACGTATTCCTGCCCTCTGCCACTATTCAGCGACCTTCAGCTAGCAAGGGCTGGAGGATTCGTTAATCGCCAGGAGAAAGATATATCACAAATGTCGTTGGACCCATTTTTTTTCTTCCTTCTTTTTTGCTAACACATACTCTCTGTTTGATACCTTATCTTCTAGCCGCAAACGCTAACGACAACATGCCATGGCGCCCTCAGGTCAATCTCCCCAACATCGAACGACCTAAAATCAACGTCGAGGAACTGGCCGGGAAACAGATGCTACCCCTCGAGCCCAGGTCCATCCTCGAGCAGGCTGTCGACGAATCGACCATGACACCAATGAACCGGTTTGCAAGCATTATGGAGGTCCTGAGGTTTCGCGGACTCTACATGGCCAGTTCAAAGGCGTTCTCCGTCGTCGATATCAAGGGCAGGGAGACAGCCTCGTGGACATGGGAAAAACTGCACGGACGGGCGGAGAAGATCAGCCAGACCATCCTCGAAAAGACGCAATTGCGCCGCGGGTCCCGTGTGGCGTTGGTCTATCGCAAATCGGAGATAATGGACTTTTTGGCAGCCTTTTACGGATGCATGATGGCAGGGATGACCGCCGTACCTATCAACGTCATCGAGGAGTTTGCAGAGATGACCTACATCCTCAACTACACCAAGGCTGAACTCGCACTGACGACAGAGTACAACCACAAGGCATTGAGCAAGGACCTGGCTATGCACAAGGGCGTCGACTGGCCCTTGGGAGTCGCATGGTGGAAGACAGACACTCTCGGCAGCTGGCACCCAAAGAAAAAGGAGGGCTGGCCCGATATCGAGCTTCCAGATCTCGCCTACATCGAGTACAGCAAGTCTCCCAACGGCGAACTGAAGGGCGTTGCAGTTAGCCATCGGACGATGCTCTCACAGTGTCACGCCATCAAACAATCCCTCGGAGCCAACCCCAACAGGACCTGTGGCGCCGCCCCTTCATCGCCCACCAGCGCCTTCGCACCTCGTTCCGCCACCGAGCCCAAAACACCTTCAACCCCTACACAGCCAGCATCCCCTCCCTCTCGACGATCAAGCACGACCCTTCCTGATGGCAAAAAGACCGACGTGATCCTGACCTGGCTCGAACCTCGACAACAGGTTGGACTTGTCTTGGGTGGATTGTTGGGCGTGTACCGCGGAAGCCACACCATTTTTATTCACAGTGGCGTCACAGACACACCAGGACTCTGGGCACATTGCGCTCAGCGATATCGTGCAACGACCGCCCTGGGCGATTACGAGGGTGTTCGAGAGTTGTTGAGATTCAGGCCAACCGAGGGCGCCAAGCGAGATGCACCGCCGCTATCGTGTTTAGAGACGTTCTTGATCGACGCCGTGATGATCAAACCCATGTTGGATCTTCAGTTTGCGAACGAGTTCTTGGGAGACTTGGGAGTTCCCTCCCCCCAGCAGGTGGTTGTCCCTATGTCCAGTCTACCAGAGCACGGAGGAATGATTCTCAGCATGCGTGACTACTTGGTATTCCCCAGAGGAGCGGATGTGATTGACTTTGGATTCGAGTACGAGTTACCACGCGGCCCACTTCCCGAACCAGGAACCAAGCGGCGGCCACAAGGATACTCACCCGCCTCCAACACCATCTGTCACTATTTACTGGACCGCGGAGCGCTCAAGGCCAATATGATCCAGGTATTGGCGACGGGGGAGGAGGCTATTTCAAGAGCATCAGAACGTGGCGTTGTGCTTGTTGGTGCTTTTGGATATGCAATGCCACGAGGTAATTTCAAAAAATCAAATTGATATTGGGGATCAGGCACATTGCTTTTGGGTCAATTTTGATTTGTTTTTCTTGATTGTTTTGTTGGGATCGATTTGATGACCTAATCATTGTTGACCCTTCTCCGTTTGTCTTGCCGTTTTCTACATTCATTAGCCACACTCACCATTGTTGATCCAGAGACAACGGCATTATGTCAGCCTAATCGCGTCGGCGAGATATGGATTGATTCACCTTCAATTGCTTTTGGATTCTGGGAGCTTCCCAAGCACTCGCAGTCAATTTTCCATGCGCTTCCCCTGATCGTGCCTGTGGATACGATGATACCTGAGGTGTATGACCCCGTCCCCGCGGGATTTTTGCGCACTGGTCTCCTGGGAGGACTCATCGAGGGACGAGTTGTTATTTTTGGATTATACGAGGATAGGATTCAGCAGGAAATCGTAGATCTAGTCCACCCAGAGATTGTCGAATTTGACTCCCATTACACGGCAGATCTCTCCAACACCATCCTTGACCGAATCGTGGGTTTTACTTCCTGGTAAGAGACTTGCCAAGAACACGCGACGTTTATTTGTTTCTGGATCTTTCTGAAAAGAAGAGACAGATTGTACTCACCCTTATTTCAATTCATATATTCGATAGCATTTCATTTGAGTGCTTTGTGAACAATGAGCACTTGCCAGTGATTTGTGCGGAGACACCCAGGAGTCAGCGTGTTGATCTGATCAAGCTGGCCGACTTTGCCAAGCAGGCGATGATGGACTATCACGGGTTGCGACTGTACTGTATTGCGATTGCGCCGACGGGAAGCTTACCACGAGCGTTTAAGAACGGCAAGCGGGTTTTGCATCCGGTGCTGTGCCGGAAGATGTTTGAGCTTGGACGACTTCGACTGATGCATATCCACACATCCGTGGATGACACCATCTTTAATATCTCCTTTGGAGATGATACCTCCGGTGGCATTTGGGGTGTCGGTAAGTTGTTGTAATATGGACTCTACTGTTGTTTTCGTATCACCCAACTGCTGTGATCAGTGTATCAGTGATATATGTTCCTGATGGAATCTGAAACTAACACACGCTTTTCATACTAATCATTTGAACGCTCCCAACAGAGGCATTGGCTGTTCGTGAGGCTGCTCTGCCATCACATGCGCGCATGGTTCAGTTTTCGTGCTGCGACTATCCAAAGGAGGTTCTGGATGAGAAGACAAAGATCAACCTTTCCCACTTTACGAGTCTCGCCGAGATTCTCGTTTGGCGCTCAGTCATGAACCAGGATGAGACTGCCTTCGTCGGTGTCGACAACCGAGGCAAGGACACCAAGGGCCTCACATTCCGCAAGTTTGGTGCCAAGGTCGTTTCTATCGCCAACTACATCGAGAAGCGTGGAGGCTTCCATACAGGGGATAAGGTCGTCCTCTTGTTCCCCAACGGAATCGAGTTTGCAGCAACCGTCTATGCCTGCTGGCTTCTTGGTCTCGTCCCTATTCCTGTCCAGATGCCCGAGGCTGCACGCTTGCACGAGGATATCACATTGCTGATGGGTCTCTTGGCTGAGTTGAAGGTCACACACTTGATTGGAAACACCGCTACGGAGGACCTGATGAAGCAAAAGACGACCTTGATTCATGTCAAGGCGTGCATTGGGCCCCGTCAGGATGCTGTCTTGCCAACGGTCTTTAGCGTGTCTAAGGCGCCTAAGATGAGCAAGAACTTGGGCAAGGAATCGGGATACATTGCGCCACCACCTGCTGCTTTGGCAAAGACCGCACCTGCCATGGTCTTTGTACATTACTCGACCGACATGCGACGGACGTTGGTCAAGGTCAGCCATTCAGCGTTGATGGCGCAGTGTCGAGCACAGAAGGTCCAGTGCCGTTTGAAGACAGGTCGACCCATTTTGTCGTGCTGGAGGACATTTTCAGGCATTGGACTCTTGTACTCTTGCGGGCTGGGAGTTTACGCTGGCGCACCGACCGTCATGCTCCAGTACACCGACTTCTCAATCAGCCCTCAGATTTACTTTGAGGCTCTTGAGAGACACGGAGGTAACCCTTGCGTTCTTTTCTTTGATGGATGGCACGGTGTGAATCTTGACACGATGACTGACTTAATATCCCTGTATTTTACACCAACAATAGTGAGGGATGCGCTTCTCAACTATGCTATGCTGGAGCAGGCGACCAATACATCGGAACCGATTACGCCAGCTTCGTTCAACTTTACGGGAGTCAAAAACTTTTTGCTAAACACTGAGGGTCGACCACGTACAGAGGTGAACCAAGCGATCGAACGAAAGTTTGCTCAGTCCCGCTTGGAATCCACCGTCATCAACGCCATGTTTGGACACATGATCAACCCCATGGTGACGACTCGTTCGTACATGAACATTGAGCCTGTGAGGTTGCATCTCTCCTTGAAGGCGCTGCGTCGTGGAACTGTCCAAATCACGACCGAGCAGGAGGACCCTACTGGTGTCTGGGTTGAAGACAGTGGCATTGTAAGTGTCCCTGACTGTTGCTATTTCGTCTTGACACGACAAAGTCGACATTTTTTTTCCAGCATGTTTAGTAACTCATTGGTTGCCATTTTTGCTTGTAATAGCCTATTTGCGGAACCACGGTGGCCATTGTGAACCCAGAGACGAGAGAAATCTGCTTGTCCCGAGAGATTGGTGAGATCTGGGTGTCGTCCGAGGCGAACGTCCAGTCTTATCAGGGTGCAGCCCGCGAGCATGGACGCAGTTTCTCGAATGCATCGCCTCTGACAGTCGAGGCATCCAAGATTCTACCCAACGCAGCTACGGACAAGGTTACAAGCGAGCCTGGATCGCCATCTGACATGAACAGTCGTTACAACGTGTCAATCGCAGGAGGAGACGCTAGGATCAGCTATGTCCGCACAGGAGAGATTGGATTTTTGTGGAACTATTCCAAGGACACCTTCAACGGCGGTAAACCGACCAGTTTGCTGTTTGTCTTGGGTTCGATTGGAGAGACGTTTGAGGTCAACGGATTGATGCATTTCCCCAAGGATGTCGAGGGGACCATTGAGCGTTGCCACCCTAATGTCGCTCCTAATGGAAGGTAAATTTGAGATCCTGTATTGCGTTGCGATGTTAGTACCATATTGTTCAGTTTATGTTTTGATGACACGGGAGACTAACATGATGACCATTTGGTGTTCTTATTACATAGTATTGTGTTCCAGGCGGATCAGGCTGTTGTTTGTGTTGTTCAAGTGCGCCAGCCGGATGTGACGGTTGTCAACCTGACCATGTCGGTGATGCATCAGGTCTTGGAGAAGCACCAGTTCATGCCGGATGTCATTGCGATTGTTGGAGAGGGTGTCTTGACCAAGAACCGATTAGGCGAGAAGCAGCGCGGCAAAATGCTCAGTCTCTTTATGAGCGCCAAAATGTAAGTTTTGTTGTCATAAAGGTCTCGAGAGGACCATGTTTAGTTAATGCTTGCACTTGAGTGTTCATTATGTTAAATATAACTGACATTTTTCTTACTTGATTTCAAATAGGCCTTTGCTTCATATCCATTACCCTCGTGGTTCGTTGCCAAAGTCAGTACCAGAGCAGTTGCAGCCCACCATGCCTATGACGCCCGTGATGAGTCGTCTCAACAACGGTTATGGTGGCTCGAACTCTATCCCCTCAGTCTCGGTCGGTGGACACCAAGAGAAGCCCAGCTCTATTCGGTCGAACCGGTCGAACACCTCCATGGCGTCGATGCGGTCTGTGCGGTCGTTCATCGGAACCATGTTCAATAACCTTAAAGGAGGACATGGAGGTCATGGCGGAGTCGGCTCTGGATCCAGTGGCAACGGTGGCGGAAGTTACCCGGCAGGATACAGTAGCCATCATTCTCATGGAAGTACCAGCAGTATTGGCGGGTATAATGGATCGAGGCCAGGATCCGGATCCTCTGTGGGACTGACGTCTTCGTTCACGGGGGTGATGCCCCCGACAACGCCCAAGAGCAGCAACATGTCTGGCAATGGTGGGAGTGGGTTCGGTGGTGATGATTCACCTGCGCCTGCGCGGTGCGAGTCGCCCGTCTCTTCGACCACTTTGTCATCCCTTACTATCGGAGGAGCAGCAGCGACGGCCACGGCCACCCCAGCAACGTCGGTTTCGATCACTCCATTGACAAACACGAGTCCTGTGACGAGCAAGAAGGCACCCGCGCCTGGAACTCCTGGAATTGGAGCGGCGGTTGTCTCTGGATCTGGACCTGGATCTGCGGTCAATGGAAGTACGATTGCTACCAACCCTCCCCCGGTAACAGAGCCAACAGCAGCACCTGCATCAACGCCTGCGCCGGCAATCGTTGTCAACACGGCTCATGTTCCATTCTCGGAGTCGATGAATGGCTTCCCCTAAGATATTATTGTTCGTCATTTTATTGAGCACCATACCCCTTCCTCGCATTACACACATGTAAATAAAGCATTGTCTTGTAAACCACACTCACGAGGCAGCATTTACGCGAACAAGACGAACTGTCCTAAGCATGGCGCTCATAACTGTCGTCAATGCCGCCCTCCCATCGAACAATGGCTTCAATTTTTTGTTGCCGTCCTTTTGTCGTTGAGCAAAGAACTCTTGGGAGGCGTAAAGAAAAGCCGTTATATTGGTCTTTTGCTTTGCCGTCTTTTTGAGCATCCTGTTTACGCTTTATGATCTCAGCCTCGTAAAGTCCATTAACCTTGCATTTACTATCGCTGTTTTGGTTGTTGGGTGAATGATGATTACGTTTTTTCGCTGTCGTTATCCGTCTCCTTCATAATTAACGTTAAAAACCTGTTTTTCACGCCACCTCATTTTTTTCATGCTCTGTTTTCAATGCTCCGCCATGGTTTGTGATCCTTGGTTGTTATCGTCAATTGTTTCGTTCTTGTTGTGTCCTGTTCTTTTGTCGTCTCCAGTCTACATTTTGTCAATTTGTCCTTTTGTGTGTCTTCCTCTGCAATCGACTCCACTCATGTTGATGTTTTTGTATGTCGCGCCTTCCTTGGTTCGTTCCCGCCCGTCGTTTTTTTTTGTGCTAGTCCAATTGTTCCGTACTCTCATTTGGACATTGAGAGTAAGGGGGCCGCTTGATTGTGTCAGATGGGCGATGGAGAGATATTTTTTGATGACCCTCTATTGTTTCGTGGATTCAAGTGCATAACAAACCCTCGTACGCAAAACAATAAACAATACGCGTTTGCTCCCATTGTGGATGGGTCATCCTAGCTCTTAGCTTATTAGTACGAAAAAGAGAAAAAGAAGAGGTGGCGAACGAAGGAGGGAGGAGGAGAGGCAGGGGTACAAAAGGGTAATAAAACGGAAGGCATGATGTCCCAAAAAACAAAAAAAAGGAAGAAAGGAAGGAGATGAAGGGAGCAAGTCGATGTTAGATCCTCTCTGAATGCAACCTCTTGACCCCATGGTTTACTTCACCCTCCTAATGCCCCGTGTCGTAGGTTGTCTTCCCAAATTTGGCGACCAAAGAGAAGTGTGGAGGATATGAAAAGGGGGGTACGTTGACGCAGGTTGGTCCATAGCCCTTCCTCTCTTTGATATCTCCTTTTGTGCATGTTGTTTTGTTGAAATGCTCTTTGCCAGTGGTTGTTCAATGTTCACCGTTCACGATTGAATAAACATAATGCATGCTCGAACGGCCATGCACCATAGACTATCATTGCACTCCGATCCTGTTTGTCCTGGCCCTGTCCTGTTCTGTCTGTTGTCCGTTGTGCCCTCTTTGTCCTCCGTTTGCTGTATTGACCTGGCTTCAAAGTATTTTCTTTGTCCTTATTTGTCCTGTCGAGGAATGGCGAGAGAGAGAAAGAGAAAAAGAGGAAAAAGAGAAAAGTCATTAGATTGTTATTATTTTCATCTTGTGATTTTTTTCTCACATTCTTATTGTTTCGGGGATTGCAATTTTGGGATTGTGTTGTTATTGTGTATGGGTTGTCCGCCGGGCCACCGGCTCACTCCATCAACTTGCCTTATCTATGCCTGGCCTGACCCTTTCCTTCTTACGTTGGTGGAGGGTCTTGTTTTTTTTTTTTTTTTTTTTTTTTTTTTTGCCTCCCTTTCAGCTGGGGGTTTGAGATGGATAAAAAAGGGAGGGAAAAGAGAGTCAAAATGGGCCTTTGAGAGCGCGAGGCTACCCGAAAGAATGTCAAAGCGTCGTTGGTGGCCCTTGGACCATTCACAGCGAAGGCGTTGCTCAACATCAAGTTGTGTTTGGTTTAGTTGTCGAGCTGTTGATGAACGGAGAATCCAGGTAAGAAGTCGTTATTTTTTCAGTCGTCCAAGGACGTGCATGTATGGAGGCGGAGAACGAGAGCGAGAGCGTTGTTTGTTTGTTGGAGTAGTGTTTATGCAAAAGTGCAAAGTGCAAAAAAAAAAAAGGAGGGAAGGAGAAGAGATCGTTTGGATTGTATTTATGGGCAATGGTAGTTTTCAGATAAATACAAAGGTGATTTCCTCTTTTGGGGCGTTCATTGTTCATTCTCCTCTTCTCTTCTCATTTCTCTTCTTCTTTCTTTATTCTTCATCTCTACAGCTGACCATAGCTCCATCTCTCCCTTCTCCTTGCGCACAATCATCGCCCATATCAGGCAATTGTACCCATTCACACTTCCTTCCTCTTAACCAACCAATCTCAAAACCACACACAAAAATGGCCCCAAACCCCTGTATCGTCATAGTCGGCGCCGGGATCGCCGGGCTCTCGCTAGCCATCATGCTTGAGCGTGCTGGGATGCACCGCTACGTGATTCTCGAACGTGCAAATGAATACCGGTCCCTTGGGAGTGCTATCGTCCTCAGCGCGATGATGCTCCGATGCTTTGAACAGTTGGGCCTGTTGGAAGAACTGATTGCGGTCTCGAAACCGACGACGGGGGCGGTCTTCTTGGACGAGGATATGAAGTTTATTGGGAGTCTGCCTTGTATCTTTATTGGGCAACGGTATGTTCTTTTCGTGTTTTGTGGTTTTTCAGTGGTGCTTGTAGCAGTGTGCAGTTTGTTGACATGATAGCTGACTTACACCTGCTCTCTTGTTTTCGTCCACTTTTTTTTCTCATTCTCCACTCCCTTTCCACATCCCCCGAAACAGATACGGATACTTCAACATCATCCTGACGCGTCCAAATTTCCACAAAATCCTACAACGCCACGTCCCCATCCACAAAGTCCACTTCTCCAAGAAGGTTCTCGAGGTCACCCAGACCAGCGAACGGGCCCAGATCCGTTGCTCAGACAACTCAATCATCCATGCCGATATTGTCATCGGCGCCGATGGAGCCTACTCGGGGATCCGTCAATCCATGTACCGGTCTATTTTGGCACAGTCTCGGAAACCGAATAATGTCCGGTTGGAGAAACGAGGTCTTGTTTCGACTCTCAAGAAACTCTCATCCGCGGCTACTTCGTCGTCGTCTTCGTCATTGTTGCCTTCGTCTGCTTCGACATCTGCCGCGCTGTCATCCGCCGGGGTATCGTCGCTGTCGGGTTTAGGCGGTGCGTCGGTATCATCGGCAGCCTCGATGGCATCCTTCTCAACCTCAGCTTCAATCGCCTCAACCGCGACGGCGATGACCGCCGCTTCCTCTGCGTCCAAACACGGTGGCGGAGTGAACCGTCGTGGCGAGGTCCGATTACCCAAATCGGACCAGGAGCCGTTGCGGTTCGACCAGCATGCGATGGTGGGAATCACCAACCCCTTGGACCCGGAGAAGTATCCGTTCCTAAAAGATAAGAGTTGTCAGGCTATTACTATTCTACCCAAATCTGGGTTCTCGGTAAGAGCGGGGGCGATGTCTTGGATTAATATATCACCTTTCATCATGTTGTCGCGTTTTAACCAATCCGCGCGTAGACTGATTTATTCTTTCTTTTTCCTCCCAACCCATTTTCTCTTTTCTCTTTTCTCTTTTCTTCGCCTTCCCTCCTAAAACAATACAAAAAAAAAGGTGTGGTTGTTTCCGGTGACAGAGAACAGAATCTGCTGGGGTCTAGTCGCAAAAGACTTTGTACCCTCGAACGAAAAGGGTGGCCAAGGTACTTCTGGCGCGGGTAGCAGCAGTACCCGCCAGCAGCAACCCAACTTCAAGGTCTCCGAGTGGGGACCCGAGACGGTCAACGAGATCATGCAGCTCAAGAGTGTCCGTGAACAGAAGAGTCCTTACGGTGGTACCATGGCCGATATCTATGACCAGACACCTAAAGGCACTCCCTTACGGTTCATGATCGAAGATAAGGTAAATATTATTGTCGTTTTCATCAGTTCTCTGCGCACATTGTATATTACTGTTCACTTCTACCATGAAAAGATTATGTAGCTAAATCTTTTTTTTTTGTGTCTCCTTCTTTCACCTGCAAAACACAAACAGGCCTTCAAGACGTGGTACTACATGAGAACGGTGTTGGTCGGAGACGCATGCCACAAGATGGTACCCTTTGCAGGCGTTGGAGCAGTGAACGCGATTATGGACTGCATCGTGCTCGTCAACTGTCTCTACGACATGCCCGACGGTGACGCCTTCACTTTCGCCGATATCACCGTCGCCTTCCAATCCTACTATGCTCAGCGCGCCGATGCCGCCATAGCCGCCGTCAAGGGCTCCAACAAGGTCTCCGCCATGGTCGGTTCAAACAGCCCCCTCAGTCTCATGCTTTGTAAAGCGAGCATTGCGAGCATGCCCGAGGCGTTGATTTCTTTGGCGGCGGATCGGATCTTTGCATCGAGGCCGATTTTGACGTTCTTGCCGTTCGTCCCGGATTATGGGGAGCGCAAATCGAATCCACAGCCGTTAGGGAGACGAGATCGGGAGGAGTTGAAAGTCTTGAGGGAGAGTGAGAGGGTGGATCGGATTGAGGCTGCGAGGGTGAAGAAGGAGGAGAGGAAGTTGAAGAAGGCAAAGTTTAAGCCGGGTGCGAACCTCCTCCGAATCGTTGGTGTCGGTGGCAGCGCTTGTGGTAGTGGTAGTGGTAGTAACAGCAAGCCTGGTGGAACAAGTCGGATCCTGAAGGCGTCTTCTGCAGCGTCGCCTTATATGTCGACGCCATCGGTTGCCACGATCACTTCATCTGCATCTCTCTATGCCTCGCGCCATCATCATCTACCACGTCCTTTCCAGCAGCAGCAGCGGCTCCCGGGGCACAACTATCTAGATGGCACTGCACCCGTCGGCGTCAACAGCCCACTAAGTTCCTCCTCCTCGCCCTCCTCCTTTGATCGACTCAGCTACGACAAGAGCCCTTCATCTACCGAGCAACATTTCTCCTCAGAGAGCCGAGATTCTTCATACGACAACAGTTACGATGACGGCGACACCGATTCGATGTTCTCATTCTCCAGTCGATACACGCTCCCCTACGACTCGGAAGTTCTCTCCTCCCAGTACTATACCGGTCGACGAGGCATCTACCCCTACCTGGACCCCAGCGGTCGTTCTCGTTGGTCTCCATCGCCATCACCCTCACAAACATCCTTGGCGTCGTCCACTGCAATGAAGTCTTCTGCGACGGCGCCTTTGACGACAGAAGCGGTTGCCTCGCTGAACCGGAGGGACTCTTCTGCTTCGATCTTGTCGACGTTGTGGAAACGGTATGGTCGTCGGAATACCAGCCGGCCTCTGTCGTCAGTGTCAATCCAGTCGTCGACCATTAGTGGGGTTGGCTTCCGTGGGTTCACGGGTGGTGCGTTCCTAGTCAATAATGTTACCGGCGCCTTCGGTGCAGATGATGACAACAACCGACAGGCGCCGAATATGTACGACGACGGTGATGACGAGGTGCTGATGGTGGTACAGAACCACTCTGCTGCTGCTGGTTTGGATGTCCAAGGTGGGGTCGACTTTGATGTCTCCCCTCCTTCGTCAGAGTCCTCCTCGCTCATCTCTTCAAGGCCCCTCAGTGTGACCGCCAGCCAAAATGATGTCTGTTTGTCGTCCTCGTCCTCATCCTCGTCGTCGCCTTCATACCCTCCCTTATCCACCGGCAGCATAACCACCCCATCTGCTGCTGCGTTTGTTCGAGATGGAGAGAAGGAAGCGGTAGACGAGGAACTCTACAATCGAACGACGATGACGAACAACGAGGAGGAGTACGAAGAGCAAATGGAGCATGCGGGTCGGGCCATCTCGCATTACTTTGGCAACGACTATCGAGTGGAATTTACGCGCAAGGCGACCTTCAAGATGCCATCCCATCCTCCTCCTCCTCCTGCTCCTGCTTCCAATGCTGTTCCCGTTGCTAGTTCCGGGGTTAGTACAAGTACCATCACCGTCACCTTCACCAGCACAAAACCACTACCGTCATTACCCAAGACTATGATGACGGTGACTCCTCCTCATCCCCCTTCTCCTACAACGATGACAGCAACAGCAATACCACTTTAAACGTGCCAAAACTTTTTCCCACTATGATGAACAAAGACAGGCCTTTTTTTTTTTTTTTTTAACCAAGAATAGCATGCATGAATTATAACAAACAAAAAGCAAAAAAGTTTTTTTTGTCTCGTTATTGTTTTGATCGTTGTTGTCTCGATTATCGGTATCGTCCTTTGTTCGTAACATGTCCATCACAAATATCCACTTTCCAAGCCGCTTTATTCGAAGCCCCCACCTCCTTTTTTTCTATTTTTTGCAACACACACTCACGACTTGCCTCAATAAAATGACTGGCAGTAGTGCAGTAGTGAAAAAAAAATAGGAGAGGGGGAGAGAGAGAAGTGTCTGTTCTACCCTTGGACCAAACGCACTAACGGTAGAGCAATGAATATGGAGGAGGGGGAGGAGGGGGAGGAGGAAGAGGAAGAGGAGGCAGTGCTGCAGTGCTTTTCCTGAGGATGGAGGGCTACCTTATTCTTTGACTTTGCACTCACTGCCCAGCCTGTTTATTTTGCCACCTTGAAGTTGTAGTGACATGGGTGTGTTACAGGCGTGTGATGTGATCGGGATAGATGTAAGGTTGAACAAAAAAAAACCCCCTTTCCTCCCCACCTCACGCGGAGATTTACAAATTGATTGGAAAAAGAAAGTTTAACGGACACACTGGATACAAAAACGCAGGTCAAAAAAGAAATGAAGGAAAAGGTATGAGAGAGAGAGAGAGAAGTGTGTGAGCACCAATATTTCAATCTGTGTTGTGATAGGTCCTTGTGCACCACTCTTTTGATATGGTGTTTTGTAGGCATGGGCGGCGTCTGCCCTTGAGGTGCTGTATTGTAAGATGAGGGGGAGAGAAAGAGAGAGAGAGAGAGAGAGAGAAAAAAGAAGGCGAGCGTTGATTGAGGATTGTTGCGGGTGCGAACGTTACAGGAGGTAGGTGCTATCTGGACGGGGTTCCTCTGAAATCGGGCAAGCAGGTGGTCGTTTCTTTGATCGTTGAAGTGTGTGTGAGCTGGCCAGGAGCAGGAACCCGGCAACGTTGATCGGACCACAACGATAGCTTGGTAACTTAATAGCTTAATGGTTTTGATGGTTAAAAAAGGAGAAAGAGACGACGTGTCAGAAGGCATGAGTGCGCTAGAGATAAAAAAAGGAGGGGGAGGAGGAGGTCTCCAAGGAAGAGGAATTGCAATTTTAGTGATGGTTGGAGGGCCTAGTTCTAAAGATAGGCTTACAGGCTATTGACAGCAGGCGAACTTCGTTTTGTTCCTGGGTGGAGTAGAGTTGATTGAAGGGTTGGTTTTTGATTGCTGTACATGTACTGCACCAGTTGGTTATGGCTTAGTGCGATTAGACTGCGCTGGAAGCCTGAGACTTCCTTCTTTCTCTCTCCCTCTCCAATGGACCACGGGCTAGGTCTCTCTTCCTTTACTCTTCCCGTCTTGTGAGCCTTCACTTGTCCCACGTTCTTTCATCCACAAACAGTCTTCACTCTTCCTTTTCTTTCTTCTCTCTTTCTCTTTCTCTTTTTCTTTTCCTTTTTACCACTCTCTCCTCGCTCAACCCCAACTGGTCACCCCTCACTCCCTTCCCCCTTCATTCATCGTCTATAATATCCTACTAGCCCTACTCTTGTCAAGAAGAGTTAATATAACCAATGGCTCCCATCCGATCCCTCCTCGCTTCAAGGGCTGTCATCGCCGGTCTGGCCGCCCTCGGCTGTCTCGGTCTCCTCATTTCCACCCTCGACAGCGACACCCGCAACAACCTCTCCTGGAAGTACAACAACAACGGCGGCAACAACCAGGACAACCGTAACATCGTCAACCCCGAAAACAACCAGGCCAACACCATCTGGGAGGACGCCGCCACCCCTTCCTCACAATTGGGCAAGACCCTCTCACAGTACCCTGGCCGGAAACCCCGCACTGTCCAGGCCATGATCGAGAAGGCTGAGGGTTACTACCAACGTATCGTCCGTCAGCGTCATGCTAACTTGCAGCTCCAGCAGTTTGGAACGCCGTAAGTTATTACTACTCTTTTTTATTTGTTCAGGAAAGAATTGAAAAAGTGTTCCCATGGTGGCGATGCTTGGAGGGACAAAAGTGTGTATCTCTGGGAGTTTGTGTTCAGTGCTTATTACCATCAGCCCTCTTTAGCTTCTTTTTCATGAATGACAGGAGAGTGTGGATGTGTTTAGTGTTATTTTCCCCTCAGCCTTTAGTTTCTTTCTTCTTTGGGTTTCCCCCGTCGTCTTCCTCCGCCTCTCCTCCACCCATCTGACAACCACACTCTCCTTGCCGACATAATGTATTGTGACTCGGCCTGGTGCAGTTGGTTCAAGGAAACCTCTCTTTTGTTTGTCACTTTGTTATTGCAGTCGTCCTATTGTCTCTCGTTTTGATTTAATCAAAACAACAGGACAGACCCAACCAACCAACAGGAAAGGTATTCAATGCTCTCAAAAAAAAAACCTGTCGGGAAGGAGAATACAAGGAACGAGGGCCCTGGGACCCTGCTTTTCCTTTCTTTCGCCATGCATACCCTATCCCTCATACCTGCCCCACCTATGGATAGAACACAAAAAAAAAAATCAAATGGGCGCGGCGGACGTGCTGGTTGTGAAGTATTTAGAACAGATGCATCTGTCTGAGTTCTATCGATGCTTACAAAACAAATTCTCTGTTCAAAATCCTTTTAGAAACTTCAACCCATGGAATTCTGTGATGTACTACTGGTGGTACTTCCCTGCCAGGTAAGAAAGAACATGGCTTTTTTTACTTTTCTGTGGGAAATATTACTCCACAATCTTGTTATCATCTCCAATTGATACAGCCACACGCGCAACTGGAAATTAACGGCTCAGGCTCTTTATTAATCCTTTCTCTCCTCTCTCCCCCCGTTGTTTTCATTCCATTTGTCAACAGTTTCGTCTGCCCACACGATATCCAGCGCGTTGGACCATTAAGTGACGGAGGAAAGTGGATCTGCGGTATGAGCTTGTACGAGGAGCAGCCCCGTGCCAAGTGTGTCATCTACTCCTTTGGTGTCAACTACGAGACCCGCTTCGAGGGTGAGATGTTGGACAGAACCGACTGCGAGATCTTTGCCTACGATGCCTCTGTCGCCTCCATGGGTCCCGGTAAGCTTTCTGTTTTCTTTATGTGTAATTGGAGGAGTTGAGAGGAGGAAACATAAGGAACTGTCACTCACCACTAGTTCCTTTTCTTTTCCTTTTAAATGTATTCTTGTAACCTTAAACGACCATCTCAATCAAACAACCATTCAACCGCTATCGACAAAACCAACAACAAAAAACAAAACAGAGGCAACTGGACCCCGCTCGACCTTCAAGCCCTACTTCGTCGGCCGCACCAACCACGTTGACCCCCAGGGTAAGACCTGGAAGACTCTCAAGACCCTCATGCAGGAGAACGGTCACGACTGGATCGACATCCTCAAGGTCGACATTGAGGGTTCCGAATTTGAGACCTTTGACGCCATCATGGACGATTTCGGCGATGTCCTCCCCTTCTCCCAATTGCAGATGGAGCTCCATGTCCGTGAGGATATGATCTCGTTCCCCGACTTCTTGAAGTGGTGGGAGCGTTTGGAATCCAAGGGTGTTTACCCTTGGTGGACCGAGTTGAACTTGAACCCCACATTTGGTGGTGAGAAGGATTGGGCTTCTGAGTACTGCTTCTTGAACACCCGTGGTGGTTCCAAGAACTTGCTCATCCAGAACTACGTCTAAAACCAGTGTCGTCCTTTTTGTGCCTCATGCGAGGTGGCGGGATGAAAAAACGTAGTATTCAACAACTTTCCCCCCTGTATTTTTTTCTTTGATCTATTTGGCTTTTTACATTACAAAAACAGGGAGGGGTGGGGGGGGGGGCGCCAACAAAGCCCCATCACTCCTTTCTTAGACCGGATATCTTAATAAACATGTATTTTTTTTTTGCTACATTCATTCAATGGATCCTCGTTCAACGTCAATTGATTTGTTTGTAGTGCAGAAGACGAAACATACTCTGCATGCTAGAGAAAAGCTATTGTGGCGTTCTGTCGCGGGGATTGGATGTAGGGCTGTAGTTTTGGTGACCCGTATCCAAAAAAGTAAAAATAAGGCAGAAAGTACATTGGTACTCTTTCTCCATATTCATCCCATCACTCGCATATCATACCATGGGGCAGTGCGTTTTTTTCATTCCATGCAGCAGTTAAGGGGAGGGGGGGGGAGGGGAGAGATGCAAAGGACACAAAAAACGGTTCTCCGAGGGGACGAGCGTCCAACGCGCCATTTTAGAACGCCGCTGTTGCATAATAATACACTAAAAGAAAACAAGGAACCAAAACACGCTAATAAAGCAAACAAACCAAAAATAAGTGTTAGGCTTGTGTGTGTGAGACGCCTGCCGCTCACTCTGCATTGTACTGTACTATGGGTTGTATCGGCGTCGTATCGTGTTGTTGAGTTGTGAACACTGGTAAAGTGGGAGGGCACCGCGCGTATCTGACCTAATTGAGAGAAGAAGAAAAACACTGGGATGCTGCTCATAAATAGAAGAGATAGAGAAGTGCCAAATGTCAAAAAAGTGGGCGTTCAATAGACACAAGTGGAGGCGTAAAGTTGTGGGCGTTGTTTGCATGTTTATTAGCATTCAAATTGAGTTAGTCGTAGTAGGAAGATGGGTAACGAAGGGCGAAAGAGAGAGAGATGAAGTAATACAAAAGACGAAACAAACGAGGGTGATGGTGACAAAAAGAAGGTGAGGTGCTAAATAGTCCAGGGATCAGCCTAGAAGGCAAGTATCGTCGGTTTCTTTACTTTAATAGCAGAGGAATGAGAATACGAAGATGTGGTTTTTAACCAGAGTAGGGTTCAATGGAGCGTCCGAGGGAGAGGCATCCTCCTGGTCTGTTGTTGGCGTCCTTGGGGATCCAGCTACAACAAAAAGAGAATTATGGTTAGCTAACAGGACAACGGACGCGTCTTTGCATTCAACAACAACAACAAAAAAGGTGCCCATGATTACCCCTGTTCAGCACCATCAAAGTACGACCAAAGGGCATTTGTCTCCGTCTTGAAATTCCAATAAAACCACCCCATCCCTTGCTCAAAAGCATCCATCTGCGTCTGCGTAAAATCTGACAGGAACTTTCGATACTCGGGTGTATAATACCCAATCCGGTTCTGCTCCTTGCACGAACAATACCCATCCTCTGCCCCATGCAACTTTGGCTGGCAGGCGGCTTCGTCGAGGGGGAGGCCCTTGATGCGGTCCTCTTCGGGTTGGAAGGATCCATCCCAACGGTAGCCGACACCGATCCCGTTGAGGTAGGTGGCGCAATCGTTGGTGGCGGAGGAGAATTCGCCGACGAGGGTAGGGCCAAAGGCGGCGGTGGATTTTTGCATGTTTTTGGACCAGACGTCGCAGGGGAAGTTTACTTGGTCATTTCTGCTGAGACGGATTAGGTTGTGGTCAAAGATCAGGTAGTTGTGCACATCTTTTGGAATGGTAGAAGAAAGAAATAGAACAGAAAACAAGTTAGTCGTTGCTGTTGATATTAGCAGAAAATACCATGTCTTGGTAGTGCAAAGATGAAAAAAAAGTCAAGCCTTACCAAGGGCGAGGCGGTCAGAATTGGGCATGAAACCCTCCCACTCTGTCAACCCCAAGAAGCCATCATGCAGAACCCCCCAAGGCCCCTTTCCAGCGCCCGTAATGTTCCTAAACTCCTTAAACGCATTCTTGTACCACTTGTCGATCGGTGGGCGTTCCAACATAAAGATCGCGGGCTCATTCAACAGTCCAAACATGGGCGACACATGTTCCATTCCAGGGCCTTGGAGGAGTCTTGTCAGCTGTTTGATGTACTCGATCGTTCGCTCGCCGTTGATCTCGCCCTCGGGGGTCCCATTCATCCACCGGATCTCGCCACTTCTTCCGGAATGGTTCCATCCGTTCTGTGATCCAGGCGCTCCGTGGATCTCGACCATGGCTCGGAGACCGTACTGGGCTGCCCATTTCAATCCTTGTAAGAGATAATCCAGCGACAGGTCAGGAACATATGGCTCATCCTCCGTCAACCCACCCAAAGCCCAGAAACCCACAGGGATACGAACATGGTTTAGCCCCAGATCACGAATCCGCTTGAACGTGTCTTCGGTGACCCAGGTCGAGTAATGCTTCTGGAGGTACTCTTTCGCCTTTTCTTTACCCAACAGTTTCGTCAACGTATACTCGTCCGTCACGTTCTGGGAGATGTAGGGTTCAAACATCGAGGGGGTGATGAACGGTTCTAGGACGAGCCATCCACCAAGATTAACGCCACGGATGGGCTGCTTGCCATACTCGAAGGGCTGGTCCAGGGGCGGGGTATGGGCATTACATCGGACGGAGCTCGAAATTTGGACCACTGACTTGTTGTCGAACCTGGGTGGGGATCCATTATTGTTTCCTGCTGCATTGTTCCCATTGCCATCTCCATGTGTACCGCCACGATGCCCACCAAAGAACGACGACGACGACTCATCATTATGGTTCCAAGGCCTCTTGACAAGCAGCGCAATTAAGACACCGACCGCGCTAAGCGTAAGGACGACAGTCCCAACAAGGATCTTCTTACGATGCCGACCGACGAAGGAGCGAGTGCCATTGCCGCTGCCATTAGCGGAGTCTCCTCTAGTGCCGGTGCTGGAGCCGACCTGGGTTCCTGAGGACAAGGGTTTGACAGGGAAGCCGTCCCCTTGGTCATGAGGGCGGGCGTTGTTGGTTGCACCGTGAGGGGTTTGTAGCATTTCGCGCGACATTAGGTTCTGAATATTCGATGATATGTTGTTTAGTTGAGGCGAGGTATGAGTTGTATGTGCGTTATCTAGAGGGCATGTGGTTGGTTGACTGGCTGTCAGAATGAAAAGGATGACCGTTGAGATGAAGAGAAGAGGGTAAAAAACCTCAGAAAAGATACCCTTTTAAAGGACAACGATGTCCATTCTAATACTGCCTAGAAAAGAACGGTTATGGATCGACGATTAATCAGTGTCCTATTTCCTGAACTGAGACATCTCGGGTCTATCAATCACTCATCAGAAATGGCCCGATTTACAACGGTCCGAGATTGGAACAGCGACTGAACTATTAGCATCGTGGCGAAGAAAGAGATCTACAATACGCGCTCAATGGTTGTGCCCATACTACCCTGTGCCCGTTCCATCTCTACGGATCAATTAACCAAATAAAGATCTGAGACAGTGCATGTGAGGTGGATGGGCAGGGACCACCATTCGACGTTTGAAAAAAAATGTGCGGGCGGGTGCATTTTGTTTGTTTGTTTGATATTTGCTATTATTTTGAGACATAATATTATTGTACACGGAGAAAAAGCAAATGCGTAAATGCCGAAAAGAAAATGTATGAACACACACAACTACTACTGCTTCTATCTGCCAAAAAAAAGCACACATAGAAAGCGACATAGAAGAGAAAAAAAGATAAATTACAACGTCGCAAGGTGCTGCTGAAGACTGTCAGTGGCCGCCAATATGAGGCCAGTAAAGGGAGGCGAGGGCTTGAGGGGACGGGTCAACAGCTCAGGATGGTACTGGACACCAACAAAGTAAGGGTGGTCGGCCATCTCGATAATCTCCATACGCTGACCGGTCTCGTCCTTGCCGACAAATTGTAGGCCCTTGGCGTGGAGCTTGTCCACCATCTCGGGGTTGACCTCGTATCTGTGGCGGTGACGCTCCAAAACCTCAGATCCGCCTCCGTACAACTTGCGAATCGTCGAGCCTTCAGTGCCAGGTTGGAATAACGTGGCTTTTACGCCTACTCTGAGCGTCCCCCCCAGGTGAGTTTTGCTGATCTCAGGCATGAAGACAACGACAGGGGTGGTGGTGTTCTCGTCCAACTCGATGGAGTGAGCATCAGGCATACCGCAAACGTTACGTGCAAACTCGATGACCGCGATCTGAAGACCGAGACAGATACCGAGGTAAGGGATCATGTGCTCACGAGCCCACTTGGCAGCGGCGATCTTGCCCTCAGTTCCACGGACACCGAATCCTCCAGTGACGAGAATACCTTGGGCACTGCAAAGATCCCGCCAGGCGTTGTGGTACTTGACAGGGTTGACGGGACGAAACTCCGGTTCGAGATCCGAGGCCTCGATCCACTGGATGACCAGCTTCTTGTGGAGGGCCAGGGTGGCATGCTCCAAAGCCTTGACAACAGAGGCGTATGAGTCCTGGAGATGGGTGTACTTGCCGACAAGGGCGATCGTGACGGCATCCGAGTCGTGGAGACGCTCCTGGTTGGTGGTGAGCTGGTTCCATTTCTTCCACATGTCGGCGCCTTTGACCTTCAAGGCCGGGGTGATGGTGACACTCTTTTCAATGCTGAGACGCTTCCAGAGGTAGTCGACCATACCCTGATCCTTCAATAGCTTGGGGACGTGGTAGACTGAGCTGCAGTCGCGCACGGCAAGGACCTGGCTGGGCTGGACGTGACAGAACATCGAGATCTTAGCCTGGATACCCTCGTCAAGTCCAGTCTTCTCGCAGCGACAGGCAATCAAGTCGGGAGTAAGACCCAACCCACGGAGGTCGCGGATGGAAGCCTGAGTGGGCTTGGTCTTTTGTTCACCAACAGATCCGATAGTGGGAACCAAGGAGACGTGGATCAAGGCAAAATTATCGTGACCGACACGGAATTGGAACTGGCGCATAGCCTCGACAAAAGGAGCAGACTCGATGTCACCAACGGTACCTCCGAGCTCGATGATGCAGACATCGGGCTCTTCGCCGGTGTCGTCGACGGGGATAGTGGCAACACGCTCGACCCAGTCTTGGATGGCATCGGTGATGTGGGGGACGACTTGGACGGTCTTGCCGAGGTAGTCGCCCTTGCGTTCGCGCTCGATGACATCGCGGTAGATCTTGCCGGTGGTGATGTTGTTGTCACGGGTGAGGGTCACATCCAGGTAGCGCTCGTAGTTGCCGAGATCGAGGTCCACCTCTCCACCGTCGTTCAACACAAAAACCTCACCTTGAGAAGGGGGGGAAAAAGGGGGAACGAAAAAAAATAAATTAGCGCAAGGCTCACTGTTTTGTGGCGGCTTTCTTTCTTGCTTCTCTCTCGTACCTTCTCCATGCATGTTTTCGTTCAAGGTGGTGAATCAGAATGAGAGGAAGTGAAGAAGGGAAAAAAGACATACCGTGGTCAAGAGGAGAGAGGGTTCCGGCATCGATGTTGAGATAGGGATCGATTTTGATGGAGGTGACCTTGAGACCCATGGTCTTCAGGAGGAGGCCGGTGGAGGAGGCGATGATTCCCTTGCCGATGCCAGAGATGACACCGCCAGAGACGAGGACGTACTTCTTGACCATTGTTGACAGAAAGGACTTGACTTATTTGAAGAGAGGCAAGTGAGGTGTAGGACACAGAGACAGGGTCTTGGGTATAAGAGTTAAGAGTTTATTATGGAGGAATGAACGTAGCCCAGAAGGGAATGAGCAAAAGTCAGGTAGCATGCACGCTTAATACGCGCAGGGTTTGTGGCTTGGCACGAAGAAAAAAGTGCTGCGAAGAAAACCCAAATCAACTCCGACACGGCGTCTCATTCGCCATTGGGTGATGTATCACTGAGGAGTTTCAACTGTTCAACTGTTGCTGATGGGCACCTTTTGCCACCAACACCCAGCAAAGGGTTCAAGCTGGTTTTCCCCTGGTTTTGTCTTTCCCAAGCTAGTTATCACCCGGTTTTGTCTGCAAAGAAGAGTCTTTTGTTGAAGAAGGAATAATAACAACTCTACCTTTTATTAGCGCTCAAAGTCGATAGGTATAGTGGATATTCTCATCATCCTTCTCGGCAACATAAAATCCCTCAGACTTGTAGATCTGCACCGCGCTCGCCCAAAGAATCTCCGTCTCGACAAGGATCAGTTCAAATCCTCGTTCCCGCGCTTTTTCAATCAAATGTTGGATCATCTTTTTGGCTAGCCCCTGCCCACGACGGTCCGCCGAGACAGACAGGCGCATCATCCTGCATAGTTTGGTTAGCCCTGCGGAGTTGGCTTTCTCCTTGATCGACTCTGGTTCCGCACACCAGGTCCCGTACACGTCCTCCGCTGGCAGTGGTAACAATACGCCGCAGCCAATTATCACAGGATTACTGGTCTGTTGTTGGTCCTTAATAATGATGGCACCCTCATGCTGTTGCTCTTCAATGACGGCGACGTTGGCATGGTGGCGGTCGATGTAATAGCCATAGATATCGTCCAGGTCTTTGTTATAGGTCGGGTCGAATTCTTGGCCCCATCGCTCGGCCAGTCCCTCGAGGACAATCTTTCGTACCTGGTCCTGATCGCTCCTTTGGAGATCTCGAATCACGACTGTCATGGCACACTTCTGTTGGTTGTTGTTGATTGCTTGTTGGTTGTTGTTGATTGCTTGTTGGGTGGTGGTGGTGGCGGGTTGATTTGAAATGGAGTTGCGCAACAAGATTCAAACGCTAGTTATTTTTGCCCACGAAATACACTTTGGGGTGTCTCAGAACAAGAATTAAATTTTTAAAATAAAACGGGCAAAAAGGGCAGACGTCATTCTTCCTATTTTTTTCATTTTATGTGCACCGCCCGGCTCAATTGACAGCAATTGAAATTGAAGACAGGAAGATAACAAGAGCATCATGGCATCAATGGTAATGAGCAGCAGCTTGTCATTGCGGCGGGTTTTGCCAGCTTGTTATAAAAAGTGAGCAAACGTACATCTATTTATCTACAGACTACAGTACACAGGACAGCTAGGATCACTTCTACCGGTACTTCTAAATACAATGAAACTGACACCCACAAAAAGAAACTGACGGGATGAATTACCCCAGTTTTTCCTGTGGCGCGGATTGGATTTGGGCGTTAGACATTCAAGGAACCTTCTGCCCTAGATGTTTTCATTTTCTATCTCTTCTCTCGTTCCCTCGGTCTTCTTCTTCCAATAAAGGATTGCCAGGAACTGGGCCATAGAACAAACTTGAACGAACGAGCGAGAGAAGGTGAGGGATAGATGGAGATAGCGAGAAAGACAAAATGAATTATGAAAGACAGAGAAGGAGGAGGTAGAACCACAATCACAATTCCTCCTAACGGAAAAAAAAAAGATGGAGAGCACATGGATCCATAAACACACACTCGCTCAAATATCCGAAAACGGTCCAGGCACAAGCACACAGATCCAACATGGACATGGGCATGGACATGGACATGGACAACCATGCAGGTCTAGGAAGGAACCTGAAAAATTAAAACATGCTAGAGCGGAAATGCATTGAGCACCTATTTTTACGCCCATTCACTCACTCTGCCATTTTACCCCTTTTGAGATGGGGGCATGGCGCTTTGAAGCAACACTTTGGGCACCCGTTTGTGCCTTGTTTAAGGACAAGCAGCAAGAGCACTCAGGGGGGAGGAGGGATAGACGACGGCGGAGAAAAGAAAACCAAAGGGGGTGCAAGAAAAGGCGTGTGTCAGTCAAGGCAAGGCAAGAGAGCCAAGGTGGTTGAATCGCTGATGGATGGTCAAATTGTGAAATGAAAAATACGTGCGTCAACAATGGTCTCTCTTTGTTGGGACGGGCAGGCTATGTTCGCGCCTGTTTATCTTTTTCTTGTTTTGAGTAGTTTGTGTTCAGATGCATGGTGGCATACAGGGTCGACCCAGGGGCATGTGCGGGATAGCAGTCTTTCTACTCTGCTTCTGCTCTCTGTTCTTTGTTTATACTTTTGTTCTGTCTTTTGGGGCAAAGTAACACAGAAAAGATCCTGAAGACTTGAGGAGGCGCATAGAAAAAAGAAAGATGAAAATGGCACAAGGACCAAGCCCCTGTGTTTTTTGTCCATGGGGTAGAGTAGTCGGAGTATCTCCATTTTCTTTTCTTTACTGCGTTTCCGGGTTAAAAAGCGAAGAGAGACATGAAATGGTCAGAAGGAGCAAAGGATTTGATAAAGTCAAGAGAAGAGTAGTAACTGGAATGAACATCTTTCTCACCATTTGCGTGGTAAGAATAGGATTGGCTGACTGACTACACTGGGTGAATGCGTGAGTGTTTGAGCATGGAACCAAAACCAATTCAAACGCAGGTCCCAAACATCTCACACACACACGAAGACACACGCACCACTCTTTTTTTCCCTTCTCCTGCAGGAGACAGGCAAGGACTGAATCTCTCTTTCTTTTAACGCCTTCCTTCCCGGTGGATCGGGTGGCAGTGGTCAGTGGTTGTGCTAATTGCGCCCGGGTAACAAGGTACCCCGGACCTGTGTATTGAGTAAAAAGAGAGGAGATGAAATAATAATGCGGGAGATGGACAATTCAGGCACACACATGGACGCAGTAGTGTCTGAGACGAGGAGGGGATATGAAATATGTATCGACGGAAGGAAGGGGAAAAAAGACAAAAGCCGCAAAAAAAGGCAGACGGGCAGGCGGACTAAAGAGAGACAACGAGAGCGAGAGATGGACAGACAGACAGGGATTGACACCCCGTTCCTTCGTCATTGCTTTTTTTTGTTTTTATCTTTTCCTCATCTTCCTTTTCTTCCTTTTCTTTTCTCTTTCTTAACTTTCACGCCCTCCTCTCTTCTCCTCCTTCTCTCTCCCCTCCTCCTCCCACTCCTCCTCCTCTCTCTCTCCCCTTTTCCCTGACCATATTTTCCTCTAATACCTCCCTCTCCCCTCTTCCCTCCTGCCTCCTTCCTCCCTTCGTTTTCTCTCCTGCATAGACACAAACGGACTCACATAACCACAACCACCTCCTAGAATACATACTTCAGCCGGGAGAACCCCTTTTCCCTTTTCTCTTTCTATTTCGCATCTCTGATTCACAATCATTTTCTCCTCTTTACTCATTCCGCCCTAATTCCATTCACCATGATCCATCTGCCATCAGCCTGCTTGTCGATTGTGCTCGCCCTGGCCCTTGCTGTTCAGGCACAAGAAGCTCAGGTAACACCGATAAACATATTTTTTTTGTTGTTTTTGTTGTTGTGATCACTGATCCTCATATCAGATGTAAAATATCCTAAACACAGCACAATGTGATCTGATCTAACGGTTTTATGTGTCTTGTTACAACAGGAACCAGCTGCGACCCCAGCGGACACCACCCCAGCCCCTCCATCAACCACGCCCATAGACCACACTACGACCGTCGAGCCACCCACCACCGTCCCTCCTACTACCACTGCCACTCCCAGTCCCATCACAACGACAACCAAACCCCCAATCATTACCACTACTACTACTGCCCTTCCTGTCACTAAAACTACAACTACACCCCCTCCCGTTACTACAACCACTCCACCGGCCTCAATAACTACAACCTCCAAAGATGTTGTGCCTCCCGTCACTCGACCCACCACCAACCACATCACCTCTATTTCTTCGTCTGCTATCCTACCAACCACCAGCGCTGGATCCAACAATGCCAACGGTGGTTCCTCCTCCTCGACCTCCTCTACGAACGTCCCTGCGATCGTTGGAGGTGTGGTCGGTGTCCTGGCATTGGCCGTCATTGTTGCAACCTCGGTGATCTGTTACAAACGCCGTAAGCGCAACAACCGCGAGTTGACTTTTGATACCTTGGAGGGTATGAGTGGCCCCGCCCTGTCGTCCCGCAAGCGTGCCAGTCTTAACTACCTGACCAGCTCTAGCCCCGTCATCACCTCGGGCAATGTCGGTCTTAACAGCGTTCCCTCGGCACATGGTGGATACGACGACAACTATGACTATGAAATGCAGTCCAACGTCGGCTACCCTACCCCTCTGCAGCCACATAATAATAGCGCTTACCACCAATCGGCCTACAACAGCAACGCTGCCTACGACGGATACGGATCGCCTCACCAGGGTTACAGACCTAACCCTACCATCTTCCAGGAGGAGGCCCCCTACGCAACCGCTAGCTCGATGGGACGTGATCGTACTGGCTTTGACCAAAACCTGCCCGAGGTCATGTACAACCGTGGCGAGATTGATCATGACCCCACTGCGGGATTCTACCAGGAGGAGGATATCTACAACACGGCCGCATGGAGTCAAGACCAGCAGCACCCTCATGGAGGATATATTGCTGAGCAAGGACAGTGGGACGTCGATGCCATGTTGCACCAATACGACCACGAAATTGAGATGCCCCTCCCTCCCACCCATCAACAAGTCTTGTCGACCCCATCCTTGGATTCGACATTGATCGGTTCTCCCGGACGGCCCAAGCACCAGAGTGCGACGGTCCATAACCCCCAGGCGATTGTCGAGTCTCCGATCCTTCAATCGGCCACCCTCCGCAGCGGAGATATCTTTGGACAGGAAGCAGCTGGCGCTGGCGCTTCTCTTGGCTCACCTAGAATTTCAACCAAACAGGCAACTCAGGAATTGGAAGCCGTCGGAGGAGGAGCAGGACGTCAATCGGCCAGCAACAGCAGCAGCCCGCGGATAATCAATGCTAGCCGTGAGATGCGAAGCATCGAGTTGGCAAGTCAGTCACCCACGTTTGGAGGACCTTCGACAGAGGCGATTAACAGCTATGCGACGGATTACGATCAAAGTCGACCATCGATTGATCGCACTGCTGGTGGCGCGGGCTCTCCCTCAAACTTAAACGCAAACAAAAGCCTTCGCTCCTTTCGTCGTGAGGACTGGTCATAAGTTCGATTAGACATAGCATTCTCTTTTATCTTTTTCTTGCAGGTTACTTATCATCCATTCTCATTCATCATTCATCCACTTCATTCGTTAATACCACTTCATCAAAGCATCTTATTAAAATGCATCACGCGAAAGGCAGCAGGTATTGCTTATTCGTATATTCTCATACATACACTGTCTTAACTTTTTCGACCGCCTTCTTTAATCGATTAAATTATGAGTACAAGAGAGAGAGAGAGAGAGAGAGAGAGAGACATGGACAAAAATTAGGTATGCACCTTATTATTTTTGGGGACACACCTGTTCATAGACGCATTCACATTCACACAGCAAGAGAAGAAAGGTCGTTCTTAAGGTTTGGATCTTTGAGATGAACAAAGAGTCGAACAGTATGAGCAAAAGTAAAGAAAAAAATCCATAAGAGGTGGTGGCAAAGTTTTCTGATGCCGACTTTCAACTCGTCGGGCAGGGCTGTTGATTGTGGGCTGTTGGTGTGTTTTGCTTTTCCTTTCGAGGTGTTTGTATTTGAGTGGGTTTTACGTGCTGGCTTTTACGTCCGGTGCACACTTAACATTCAACTTAGAACTGCTGCGGACAAGGGGGAATCTGACTGTCTACATGTCATTAAAACATAGCCAGAAAGTGATGTTGACGCATTATGATTTGTGCCCAATTAAGCGTGGGGTAAACAGCGAGAGTACCTTTGAGCTCTCTCAAGGTGGCCAAAATGCCTCATCATCTTTAGCATTTTGTTTCCAATTCACATTGCTGGCATTTATTTTCTTTTTTTAAGGGGCCATCAAGCTTGCTCTCGATACCATATTATCCTGTCCTGGGTCTTTCTGTTGAAAGCGATGTCACCAACAACATTCCGCTTACTATGACAGGATTTACACAGCCAGACCATCCAGCCCTTATTGATTTCTTCTCCCAGGTATATGATTTCGCCCTTGCTCAACGTTGGTAGATCCGCCAGAACTGGTTGCAGGTTCGCTGGCATGTTTGGATTGAACACGAATGGCACCAGAGCGAGACACCCTTCACAGACATGAAAGCTGCTCGCGCACATATAGAGCATGTAGCTCTTGGATTCGGGCATATTGCGAAGAGTGCGAAGTCGCTTCTTGGGTCCATAGACTACCGAGAACATGCGGGACCACACTGAAAGAGAGGACACGATCTTGTTAAGGTTGCTGTTGACCATCGACATCCGGGAGAGCTGTGATGGGTAGAGGTGTTGGAAGATCTGTTCCCAGATTTCTGGAGGCACTCGCTTGTCAATCTGGTCCTGTGATCGGAGCTGCGACTGGGGTTCGGTGGTCATGTTGAAGTGGTGTGCGAGCGGTCTTGGGGCTGGGCAGAGAGGAAGGATAGTAGGGGAAGAATACGAAAGAAAAAAAAAAGAAGCGGAAGACTCTCCTCTTTATATGCTTATCGTCCAGCCCCTAATTTCCATGAAAAAGCATTGTTATCATATTGCCCCAGTTCACTGCAAAAACAGCGTCGTCATCTTGCGTGCATTATGCCCCGATGTATGCATACAGACGACTTTAATTGAACGGGGTATTGTAAGCTTAGTAGAGTAGCCCTGCTCGGGTTAAGGGCAGTTCAACCTATGCCATGGCGGGCAGGTTAATTTCCGGTCGGTCAAGCCCCTATGCGGGTACTTATGTCTCTGGGCCGCTTACGGCGACACCTCTCCCCCAGCCTGAAGGGAAAAAAAGGCATATCTACTATAAGGTAATCGTGCCTAGAGACCTTGAAAATAAGGTGCAAACGCAGATCGGAGGCATATCCACAGAGTAATGGTAAAAACAAATGTTCATTTGGCCATCATCAGCTCATATGATCTCGCCGCCCTGTCTGCTCTACAGCATCGTGAACGCCACTCAAAGAGCGCCCAAAGGCACTTGTTTTATGGCGACTGACTGAAAACTGACCGACTTGCACAATGACCAAACTTTGGCACTTTAGTGTGTCACATCTGATATATAGAGGGCGACAAATAAAAGGATAAATATGGAGATAATTAAAAATGGTATTATTATTACAATGCTCTATGCTAGTAAAATGAAGATATTGTGGAAGAGTGGATATATGATACAAAGAATGGGTTGGATAGGGGAGTGGTGATTGAAATTCTAGTGGATCTAGTTGCTGTTCTCGGCATAGGTATCATGTCCAGCCCAGTTCTGAGTAACGCGCGGGCACTGGTCGATCGAATTCGGGTTGTTACCCCACCAAGTGGGCATCTTGATTCCATTGTTCTGCAAGGCAAAGAAAATCACCAATGCAGCAATGGCCACACCGGCGTCGAGGGCTGCAGACATGACATAGTTGTACTTTGACCACCATCCGAAATATCTCCGCTTGATCACAAAGTTAAAGATGAAGCCCGTCAAGGCCCAGGTGGGCATGATCGAGGTACCGGCAGGGGGGTAAGGACCACCACCGAGCATGAAGGCGGCCATGTTGACGTTGCGGACCCAGGAGTTGGGGTACTTGAGAGTCCAGAGATAGAAGGGCACGGGGATGAAGAATCCGATGAAGAAGAACCAGACGATGGGGTAGTAGATCGAGGATGAGGAGAGGAACTTGAGGGGTCCGATGACGCCCCAGACGACGGATGAGGCGCCGAAGAGGGAGGCCGAGGGGCAGGTGAAGGGGTAGGCAGCTTCGGTGCAGATGCCATCAATGTTCTGCATCATGTAGGTTGTGGTGCCCATGGCGACCAGGGCTGCGACCATAGTGCCGACCATTTGGAAGACAAACATGTCGCGTGGGGGAACCTTCATGTAGTGGCCGAGCTTGAGGTCTTGGGTGAAGGCGATGGCTTGTTGGACGGTGATGAAGCCGTAGGTCTTGAAGATCATGTTGCCGATAGGGCGACCGGGGGAGATGACTCCAAAGACCCACTCGGAGATCATGGAGATGGAGGGAGCCTGGGAGGTGATGGCGGTGAGGATACCGATGGGCAAGGTCCAGATGGCAGCGAGGCCCATGGCGACCAGGACGTGCCACCAAGTCATGTCAGAGGAGGGGTACAACTCGACGGTGAGGATGGAAAGACCGCAGGCGACAACAAAGACGAGGTAGTACCACCAGTCGGGGCACTCGGGATAGGCATCCATGAGACGAGCGTGGATATCCTCGTTCTCCTGCTTGGCGCTGCGGACACGGGACAAGATATCTTTTCCGTGGTAGAGAATCGCGTGGGAAACAATGGCTCCGAGGGCGCAGAGACCTTGACCATACATAGTGGCAAAGAATGCAGTGATGCGGACGGGGGAATAAGAGGCGTACATCTCTTCGTTGAGGGCGTTGTTGACAAGGACGCGCTTCAAGTCATAAGGCTTGCCCTCGACATCATACGTCCTGGTGTTGTAGATAGGGAACTTCTTGCCCTCGTAGCGGTCAGTGTAGTACATGATGGGAATCAAAATCCAGACAAAGAAGACGAAACCAGCCAACATGTTGGCCTGAGCCCACCAGGGGATGGCAAGAGGGGAAGGCAACCAAGCGGACATGGAAGACCAGTCAAGAGTGAAGGAGCCATAGCCGATACCCTTTAATCCAGACCCGAGCTGGTTCAAGAGGAGCGAGTCGCGGTTGATCCAGCAGAGCCAAGAGATGGATGTCAAAAGGGGGAAGATGTATCCAGGGAACCAGTAGTAGACAAACGAGGCTGAGGCGACGATAAAGAAGAACATGTTACGGGAGATCTTCCAAGTCTGGGCCTCATCCTCATGGGTGCGGAGGACACCGTTTCCGGGGTTGCGACGGTGGAGGGTATGGAAGAGTGTGGCGTTGACCAGGTTAACGGGCCAAATCATCGCAGCGGGGCGGACCAAAAACCGACGAAGAGCACCAGCGAATCCATATCCGACAAACTGGGTAGAAATAACCAGAAGAAGACCACCACCAAATCCCCAAGAGTCATTATAATACAACTTCTGGATGACAATGATATCGATGGCGGCAAGGGTAGTGGCGGCAGAGTTGGCCATGATGGTGATGAGGACATGCTCCTTGATGTTGAAGGGACCCGGGTTGAGGCTGAACTTGAAGCCAAAGAGGTTGAAAGTGTTTGTGGGGAGGACACGGGCCATGAGGAGACCGAGGGGGTAGGCGAGCAACTGGGCGACCATCACACGGATCGTCAGGGGGTTCTCACGGAACCAGAAGAACTGGTTAACAAAGCCCAGTAGAGCGGTGAAGAAGAAGCCGAGGAACCAAGCGCGGAAGGTGCCCGTGGGGAGAGAGGTGTCATCGGTAGGAGGCACACTTGCTCTGACTTCCTCAATGGGCTGGATAGGATAGAGAGCCAATGAAGAGGATAATGGTTAGGAACAAAGAGATCAAGAAAAATTTTCTTTTGTTCACAACCACTGCTAGATCAAAGAGGCCGAGGAGTGAGACTTACAGAGTCATCAATGACATCGTCGAGACTGTCGATGGACAAGGCCTTCTCGTTGTGGCCAAGCTCAACTGGCATATCGAGAAAGTCGGCCTTTCCGTCCTTTTGCAAAGCTACTTCAGCCATGGCGAAAAGGGGTTATGTATATTATGTAATGGGTTTGGAGAAAGGGAAGCTGATTGACGAGAGGAAGGTTAATGTGGAGCGGAAAAAAGGAGGGAGGACGTGGAGGAGAAAGGTGAGTGTGATCTGCTGAAGACGGGGTATTGTGCAGATGAGAGAAGTGTACACACACACAAAATGGTAGGAAGGGCGAGAGACAAAGGAAGAGAGGATAAATCTGTAAAAAAGAGGGCGGCAGACCCTTCCATTTTATACATTCGAAGGAATGGTGCTAGCTAATGAACCACGAATCCATCGACCCCGGAGATTTTCTTTGCCTTTGTGCGAGATAACGTTTCCTCACTCAGCCAGTCTCCCTCAATTTGTAAACGAGGCGATGATGCGATGGCACACATTTGTCTTTCTTATTTTTACTTTAGCAACCAGCCAGTGTAACGGGAGGCGGCCGTTCACCTTTTGTTTCTCGTGGACCCTCGTTCGACCTTCTTCTTTGTAACTCTCCCCGGGGTTTGAATCCGACTGAAGGATTGGTTAGAAATCAAGAAGTCTTAGTCCATCCTAACGTATGAGGTGAAGGTATCAAACATGAAAAACGAAGAAAAAAAAAAAAGGTTCATGTCAGCGAGTAGGAAGAATCTGAAGCTGAGTCCCGCACCCCAACTGCACACACCACTCACAACCCACTTCCATTCCTCCTCCTCTCCAGGCCTTCTTTTGCACTAGAAAACAATTAAACGAGGAGGAGGAGACCGCCAACTTCCGTTTTAGGGACATGGAGGGCCGTTACGATGGCGTGCTCGCTTCTAACCCAGCCAGGCTCAATCGAGTAGCGAAATTTTCAACGAAGCGGCCAAAGGGAAACCCAGTGTCAGTGTCATTGACATACAGACACATAACCCATTCCGTAGCCCAGAGACCAGAGAATCCAGGGGGAAAGGATTAATAATGCAAGGTATAGTATGGCGTGCTTTTTTAGTACTCCTCCAACCTCCTTGTTCTTTTGCGTTTCTATGCGTTTTGGGCGGATGACCGCTCCACCTTATTTTTTTATTTTGCTTTTCTGTTCAGCTCTGTTCCTGTTGCTTGACATTACGCGAGGTTACACGTACGCTCACTCACCGCCCACACTGCACTGTACGCGCAATATGATGCGATCCAGGACAACCTGTTCAACTCGCCACAAAACACAAACGACAAAACACATGCAAGTCTAGAAAATGTTTTGGGTTCCGGCTCTTTGACTTTGGCCCTTTGACCGCCAACCCTTACCGCCTGACACATCGTTGTCACATCCTGCAATCCCAACCCTTTGTTCTATGGTTCTAACTTTTTTGGATCCGATCAATCTTTGCGCCCTAGTCCTTGAACTGTAAGGCGTCAATCTTGCGAGAAAGAAAAACAAATAAAGAATAGTGTGTAGCGCCTTGTCACTTGGACCGAGCCCCTGCAAGTTGTTTACTTGATTTGTTAATGTTTTATGTTACCCTTGACGAAAAGTGAGCAACAAAACAAACCAAACTAAATCCCTCCACTCGGAGAAAAAAGGGCTAAACGTTGTTTTTCTGTGTGTGTGTGTTCGCCCATCCGTCCGTCCATGACTCTTTCAGGAAAGCTTTTTTTCTCACAGTCTCTTCCTCTCGCGCCTTCTCGTTCTCGATCACACCTTTGGGCTTTTGAGCTAAATAGGTCTAGGAAGAAGACGACGCAATGATTAAAAATCTATTCCGCTGGCACACAATCCTCCTCCTTTATCTAATTTGTTTTCGCTTCCCAATCACATTTTATCCGGCCTAACTGTCCTCTCATCTCCCGCAAAGACGAGTACGTTCGCTGCTGACATAGGGGTATGATTCGTTTTTTTCTCACACTAGAGACGTAGGAAATCCATACATATTCATTTTGCGCCACTCCGCCGTTTCTTCTCACCATTGCGGTCTGCGCACGCACTAGTCTGCTTCTTTAGGGGCGGGATCCAATCGCAAGGGAACTCCTTTTGTTAGTCACTTGCACACTGCTTACCTTCTTCGTTCACCATTTTAAAAGCCTTCTCTGTCTTTAGTAGGAATAACTAAAAACGATGAAAGATAAACATGATGGTATGTTTGGAGAAAGGGACGATCTATAGGAGGAGATTACCTCTAAAAGAAGTAGGGCTATTATGCGTTGATCAGAGCCGTTATCTATGATAAGGTTTGCTAACCAATCAGAGGACTTGAAGTGTTTGCCACTAATTCTTTCACACCTGAATGAGTACCGACAGCGCAGATCAGATCAACACCAAGGTGGGTAGTAATCATCACCCTGCCTGGACGGTTGGTAGTATTACCCTGTTAGCTCCTCTGCATCCAATATGCAAACAGTTAACCATCTGCCGCTGTGTAAAAAAAAAGAATCAATCCGTGTCTCCTTTACGTCGCTTTCGTTTGTAATCATTCATGTTTCCTTCTGTCGAACATACCTGATTCAACACACAGAAGAGGTTAAAAGTACAACAATCTGTTTAAGATGTTCAATCACATTTGTTTTATATAGTGAAATCGTTAAATACTGACTTTCCGCACCTAGATGACAGTTGCGAAGCCAAGAGGCAGGGTTTGTAATGCAATATTGGTGATCTCAGAATGTGTTGTAGATACCGACACTCCTAGGCACACCACTTACGAAAGTTCCCCATCTGGCGAAAATGCACCCAAAACATGGACGCTGGTGAGGAGTTCAGAGCGTGCAGGTCTATGAATAGAGTGACCCCATTCAAGTCTGACGATCATCTACTGGGACGCAAACACCTTGGTCGTCTGCTCCACTGAACTTTGTGTAGGCTCGGAGCAAGGCCATGGCGGCGTTCACTGCAGTCATATTCGCTAGAAAAATCTGACTTGGCCGACAAAATGAGCGCGTACAAGTGACGCTTGAAACCTGGCTGTCTTAGGACTTGTTCCGCGAGAAAGTCGATAACTGATGATTCTTGGACAAAATTCTTTCAGAACAGTGAATGGTCACTAATTGAGATCAGAGTGGCGACGAAAAAGCTTGCGGGCCATCATCAGCGGTACGCCTGATAACGGTCCCAGATGGTGCAGGAGAGAAAATAGTCCGAAATGAATGGATGATGGAAGCGGCGTTGGTTGCCGCCGCGACTCAACAGACTAGAGTCTCAAAGGAGGCGTCATACAGGATCAGGACCAAATTTCCGCGCCTTCTATGTCTGATTGTCCCACAGGTGAGAGTAATCGACATCGGGTTGACCCCCCTTGTCGCTGGTGGATTGCCATCGCCAGGTCCTTCTGGTATTTGGTTCCGTGTAGACGCTTGCAAATACGACTCGATTTGGTTCTTGGAAAGTGGTGCTATGACAGCCTCGTGGAAAAGATTGTTGGCAGATCGATTAAACAGGCCTGCCGCCATTGGAACAAAGCAATTGCGATAGTCTGGTCCGAGATACTGAGTGCGACAGATGATGAGTAGCTTGACGTCCCATTGTCGAGGTCGGCTGAAGAGGTTGGTCGTGTAAAGGTTGCAGGTAAGCAAACTCTCGTCGTACCCATCGCAGACCAATAAGAGCTTGCGGTGATTCTTCAGCTCCCATATCAGCTCCTCCGAAAGGCCAACCATCCTCAGTTGCTCTGCTACCAAGCCCTTATGCGGTCGGTCTAGGACCGGTAAGTAGATGAAAAGGGGGATACGACCACTGGGCCTGTATTCCTGCCATAGTCAGTCCTCGAGGTGTTGACAGAATGTTGATTTGCCGGTTTGTGTTTCAATATTAGAGCCAAGCCTATGTTTAGTCCTTCCCCCCCTTCCCCCACACCTTTGCGCAATATACAAAAAACCGTTCACCACACCATATATCTGTTCCTTGTCGCCACGATCGCTACCATGGGACTCCTCAGCCAGAGCAGCAATAAGAACAAACAACGCGTCTATCGCTTTTTTTTTTTTTTTTTTTTTTTTTTTTTTCGCGCATTTCGAAATCTCCCCAATTTCCGGCACGCCACCAAAAAAAACACAGTTAAGGGTCAACAAGGCATCTCTCACTCAAAACAGACATAAAAAAACTTTCACTTTTTGTTTCTGTTGTCCAAAACACTTCTTTCCCCCACTTCCCCTTCACCCTCCCCCCTCTTCCTCCCCTCCCTCCACTTTCACGAAAAAGGTAAACAAACGGCTCCATGCCCTTTTTATAAAACAGATCTACTTTTCTTTCCCCAACGTGTGTTTTTAGCAATGATGCTTAACGATTAGTCTTTATGACGTCTCTTCGGAGCCATGGATCCAACATACCCATTACCTGAGCCACAAACACATTTTTTTTTTTCAGATCTCTTTTTTGGAAACAGATCTCAATGAAAAAAAAAAAAAATGAAACTTGTGATCTAACTCAAGTTTACTTGTTGCTTTATTTTTCCAGGTAGTATTCATGACGACGACGACAAGGCACAGCACCAAAAAAAAAAAAAAAAAAAAAAAAAAAAAAAAAAATGGTCGAAATAAAACAAACGATAAAAAAACAAAAATAATAGCTGAAAGGTCGAGTGTTTTTTATTATGGTACAGAATGTTTTTTGGTATGACATTTGAGGTTGGATAGGTATAAAGAGTATTGACAAACGGGGTAGAGAGTAAGAGGGGCCATGCTATTTTGAACGCGCAAAGAACGTGACTGACAGTCGCCCACTAAGAGGCGTTTTCCGCGTCGAAGAGGAGTCCAAGGCAAACACGGTTCAACGGAACTCGTACGATCCAAACGACTTGCGCTCCTCCACATGGCTCAACTTCAATTGCTGGAACCTTAGAGAAAAGAAACAACACAGAACAAGATGTCAGAACACGATTCAATTTGGTATCTCCACCATGTCAATTGAACAACATACTTCTACAAAACCACGAGAAAACGAAAAAAAAGTTGAACCTACTTCTCGCTGGACTGGTGGAAATAGTACCCATTGATATGTCCAGTCCGCTTGTTGTAACAGATGTAATAGAATCCTGCAAAGCTGGCGCCTGTGATCCCCTCGACACGATGATCGGGTACCAAAAAGTGTTCCTTCCATCGCATGAACACCACATCGCCGTCCTTTAGATCATCCTGGCGCGACTCCATGTTGTACAGACTACCCTGGAACTGTTGGAACAGGGCCTAGAAGCGAGAGCGAAAGGGGCGAGCGGCGAAGCGAGAAAGGGCGCATTGGAGATGCAGAGTTAATAAATTGAGATATTGGCTTTCTTTTTTGGTCACACATGCCATACATGCATGAACGATATCCAATTTGACCACAGACACGTTGTTTTCCCTTTCTTCGAGTTGAGCTTTGATCGTTTCCAGTGTTCCTTTTGGTCCGGTTGTTTCCTTCCATGATGCTTACCCAATGCTCTTGGTCGGTGTCTTCGGTGGCATCCCACTTCTGTGTCAGAAACGAGTACTGAGGACCGATAATCTCGGCGTCAAAGAAAGTCGTCAGCTCCGGGTACTCCCTTGTCAGTCCCCTGATGTGCAGGTATCCGCATAACGTTGAGTCATTCAAGTTGACATGCTATTTCATCGAGTTGGAGGAAGGGAGGATAGGGAAAAGAGAGAGAAAGTCAGTCAGTTAATGTGCCGATTATTATGCATCGCATCTTCCTCTGCGCTCTTCCTTCTTTCAGAACAAAAAAAACGTCCAGGTTATGAAATCCAAAAGAGGAGTGTAGATTTTACCTTGATGTCGACGACAACATCATAGCTGTTGGTCCCCGACTGCTGCTTGCCTCTAAACTTGCTCCCTGGATACAAATGACAACTCCTGGTCGGCAGCAACCTCACCCCCTCATATGGATCCTTCCTCCTCAACCTCTGCAACCTCATTATCTGTTCCTTCCTCTGCTTCTCCAGCTCCTCATGCTGCTGTTGCTCCTCTAGTTGCTCCTGTAAACGCTGTTGCAACAACGCGAGCTGCTGTTGTTTCAGAAGCGCTTGTTGTTTGAGCTGTGCAAACCCTGGTTGATCAACATCGGCAGGGCAGTGGAGTGGACAAGAGACCAGGTGGCCTTGGAAGAGGACTGAGGACGTGGAAGACTCGAGGAGGGTTGCGAGTTCTGACTTGCTTTGGTGACCGTTTAGGATTCCATCGATGAGCAGCATGTTGTCGGAGGAGATGGTGGGTGATGAGGGGCAGATGCATTGGCAGACGACATCAGTGTCAGTGGTCGAGACTGACAGGGGGGAAGAGGTTGAGGTGGAGGCCGTTGAGGACGAGGAAGAGGATGACTCGGATAAAAGGGAAGTGTCGAGGACAAGGTCGAGGGTGGTGATGGCGGTGGCCTCGACTGGGTCAGCAGTGGCAATCCTTGCAAAGACTGGCATGGTTCAGAGCTCTTTTTTCTTTTGTATTCCGAGCAAAAAGGGTGTTGTTGAGTTTGAATGAAGGGAGGTAGTGTGCCGAGGAGTGCTGTGCAGGGAAGGGAGGAGTTATCGCTGAGCCGTTGTTGTTGCGGGTAATGGTTATAGTATTAATACTGGTTGCGTGGAGGAGTAGTTGCGGTAAAAGAGATAGGTGGTTGTGTGAAAGAAAACAAGAGAAGAAAAGGAAGAGGGGAAAAGAAGGATGGAGAGGGTTAAAAAAGAGAGAGAGATAGAGAGGACGGGAGGACAGACAAGGACCATTGATTCAGCCACAGTGCACAGAGACCAAAATGAATGACACTAATTCGATGCAAAGGTGGGACAAGAAAGATGAAGGTGCACACCTGACAAACAAAGAACTGAGAGCACCTACTTCTTGAAGGTGAGAAGATGACGACGAAAAGAAAACTGCAGTAGGGGAAGGGTGCTAAAGTGACCATTCATCTCTCGCTCGCATGGGGACGAGTAACTAACCAGACGATCGTTGAATCAAAACACACTGTCCTTGTCCTCTGTTCTTTTTGCTGTGAATACTCTTTCACATCCTTCTCTTTCTCTCTTTCTCTCTTTCTCTCTTTCTCGCCATCTCAAAAATCTTGCGTGCTTCCATCTGTCAACATAGACACGCCGTCACCACAGCAACCCCTCATGGCCCAGCCAAGCAAAAGTCCAAGATCGACTTTGCCCACTGGGGTGAGTTAGGAAGGTTGGGGAGACTGCAAAGCGGTGAGTCAGGCAGAGGCATGAATTCGAGTGCATGTCCTTCCTCCCTTCCTTTTTCCTCGTTTTCGATCTTCATCCACGCCCCCTTGATTTCATTCTTCTTCTTCTCTCGTTGCTCTATTTCTCTGAGGACCGCTTTCTTCGTTTATTTCATTCATGCCTCTCCCCTCTCTTTTTCGGGGTGCCTGGGTTCCCCCCTCCCTACCTTCCACCACCAACAACAAAGTAGTCGAGGAAGGGGGATGAGACACATCTCTTCATCTCTCACACGGTACACCCTCATAAGGCCATTAGTCGGTATCAATTGGAATCCAAGAATAAACCTGTTCTCATGTGCCGTTGCGAAGGAAAGAGAGTTGTGGTTTGCTTGGTGTTCGTGTTGGTGTGGACGTGTGACACCCCTCCAATTGCCAATAATTCGGTCGTGGGGAATTAGAGCAGTCGTAAGCAGCTTGAGAGAGAACCCCGTGGGACCAGTCAATAAAGGACCCGCGCCGGTCGTGTGGGTCCACTGTTCGCTTGTTTACATTTGTTGCTTTGCCATGCTTTGCCCAATCCGGGTCATATGTGCACAATGCCTAAAGAACTATAAACTTTGTGTTCATATAGGTCTGTGATTCCAAGGTAATATAAAAGAGGGAGGAAACTGTTCCTCCACAATCCCTCTTTGCCTCCGCATCCGCTTCCGCTTCCACATCCCCAAACTCGGTCATCGCAACCTCCCCCCCCTCTCTATTCACTATCAAGAAATTCAGATTGGTGTTAATCCCACCCGACCCCATCCTTCTCACATGTTTCGACTCCCATCTCTTCAAACGTCGCGACTTCCTCGAGAAGGATACGACGGGTCTTGGAGGGGTGCTGGTTCGGGGAGGGTCGATGATTCAGAGGGGGGGGGGGGTTCCTTTGGGGTCGGTAGTGGTGGTGGAGAAGACATGTTTCTTGAAATTGGAGGAAGAAGAGTGGATGGATCGAGAGGAGAGGGAATAAAGCCCCCACGAGCTGCTGCAGTGGTGGTGGAGGTATGGAACATGGTTGTGAGGAAGAGGAGGAAAAGAAACAGGCGCGATTTGATGTTGCGGCGTCTTCATTTTTTTTTTTTACAATTGTTCGTTGTGGAGTCAATACAGGATAGGCAGAGTTTTGCACGAACCGACCGTCCCTCCCCCCTCCTCCTATTTATGTGAACCTTGACGACAGCACAGCCATCGCCGCCATGACAAGTAACCTTTCCGCCATGATCCTCCCAAGGATCCTTACTCGGTAAAGCAATTGTAGGAGAAAGACCCTAGTTACTGCGGAGTTGTGTTCACCTGAAGGGGACCTGTTCGTTGGACGCCTCAAAGGTCTTAAATTCCCTGTAGCTAATGGACATCCCATCACATCAAAAGGGCGCGATCTCCGCGATGATCCTGTGCTGCCAGTTTTTTTTTTTTTTTTTTTTTTTTGGGGGGGGGGTTTGGGCTTTACGACCTAGAAGTAAACACTGCATCTATGCAAGGAAAAGGAGAGAGAGGGAGAGAGAGAGGCATCATGTAGTCATGCCATACTAGTGGCATGCCAAGCATACCAATTGATGCCTTAGTTTTTTTTTTTTTTTTTTTTTTTTTTTTTTTTTTTTGGTGCATTTTTCAGCCCAGCATACATGCGCTTAGCCGGTGAAAAAGCAGGGTGCACACAGTAAATAAAAAAAAAAAGGTGAACACTCTGTCTATGATGATACAGGAATGTTTTTATTTTTTTGAAAGAAGAAAACAAAAGGAAGACAACAGAATGACAAGAAAACAAAAAGAAAAAAAGTCTACTACTACTTTTGTTGTTGTTACAATCTCTAAGGTAATAAAATGTAAAAGAAATGAAAAGAAATGATAGAAAAGAAAGAAAGAAAGAAAGAAAGAAAGAAAGAAAAGAAAAAAAGGGAAGTCTATATGGTCTCGCTACGTAAAATGTCAGCAACGATAGCAACGCCATTACCAAGCACATAGCGCACAAACTTGGATCCTGTAATCGCTCCCGCCGCATAGATCGAATGGTCCATGCAAGGTTCGATCAGCTTTTCTGCAGGTGTTGCTGGTGGAGGATACGGCAACTCGTCCTCCTCTTCATCATCATCTTCGTCGACAACATCCTCTGTCAACCCATCTTCACTAGTGTCCTGATCGTCGTGGCTGTAGTCAGGTTGGCGCTCTTCCTCCGTAACACCCTTCCTCGCAATGGTAGCTGTGACAGCGACTGTGGCAGCGCCGCCAGTGGGCTCAACATCAGCCACCCCAATAGCAGCGACAGCCTGTGTACCATCTGCGACCGCAGCCGACGCAGCAACAGCCCCATTGCTCGAGTCCAGCGATGTAATTGTCGAGAGAGCCAAGGACGACATGGACGACGACCTCGAACACCTCGAAGACCGCCTAGACGACAGAACCGAAGACGAAGACGAAGGCGACGACGTGGAAGTGTTGAAGGCCGCCACAGAAGCAGAGATCAAAGAACACCGCGGTGTCAAAGCTGCCATCGAGTTGGTCAATGCATTCGCCGCGGCCGCATAGAGACTAAACAAGGGTGGAGTAGGAAGGGTTGGGCAAACAATCCGGGAACCCAATAGTGGCGAACATGGCATCGAGATGCACGCACTCGACATGGCCATAATGTTCTTGCCAACTCGACTTGCCGCATCGCTGAGACTACCTCCTTCTCCTCGGGCTTCGTCACCTATGGTCGCGGCTCTAGTGATCGTCGTGGCGGTCGCAATCTCGGTACTCTCGTTCTCGGGTGCCGTTGAAGAGGATTCCGCGGTAGAATCAGCAATTGATGGTCGTCGGATGGGGTAACAAGGCAGACGAGTACACCTCTTGGCCTTGGTGGGGAACGTGGGCGCAGTTGTCAAAAGAGTCATCGGCGCCGTGCCTGCGCTGACACCGGAGGAGGGCAAGACTGAAAGAGGCGACGAAGGAATCGTGGCTCCTCGTTGGTGAACGACGACGGGCTCGGCAATACTAGTGGGGATCAGTCGAAAGTTGTACATGTCCGATACGAGAGGCTTCAGGAGAGTCAGCACCTGCGAAGGGTCCGTTTGTTCATCCTCTTCTTTCTCCTCCTCTTCCTCCTGGTCAGAGACGTCTTGTTGCTCGTCCTGACTGCATCCTTCTTCTGATTCCTGAGACGTCTCTTCCCTCTCGCTCCCAACCTTCAATGCGGACGAGGAAGGAGTGTCCGAGGAAGACAAACCCGTGCGACAGCGATGCAGACACTCGAGAGCCTGCTTGTGCCAAAATTGCTGTCGCGCAGTCGTCGTAGAAGCGGACATTCCCATAGGTCGAAGAGTAGGTGAACGCGGTGGCGTACAGGGTGGTGTTGGGATATCGACCGCCAGTTCTTTTGCAGCCTGACTGCTACTCCTCTTCCTCCTCGTGCTCCTTCCACTCAACGAGACACTGCCTGCTTCACCAACACCGAGTCTCAGTCCAAGGGCAGAGCTGTCTCCAAGAGGAGACGAGGGTGAGGACGACAGCATCTCCTGAGCAAGGGAGCCCTTCAGGAATCCCATATGGACCTGCTTGCCAATAAACACTCCAACCGCAGCGACCTGTTCCTGAATGACAACTCCATGGCTCAGAACCAACACGATCTGCCCTGTCACCGGATCCCAGCTCGAAACCGACGCATCCGGCAAACCCTTGTACGAACATGCCGCGCAGAGTGGGGCAAACATGTTGTCGCGGCCCTGGTCCTGGTCCTCCTGAGGCAACAACTGTTTGCACGGCTCACAGGTCGACTGCTTGTCAATGTTCCCAAAAACACGACATGGCTGTTCGCCTTCCTTGGGATGGTGATAGGACTGAACCGAGTTCTTCAGCGTCGCAAATCGCTTCATCCGCATCCAGATTGAATTGTACTCTGGGTAGACATCTCGATGGCATCTCTTGAGCGGTGATGGTTCCGATGCCGAAAAATGCTTGTAGATATGGATGACACGTCGCCAGGGTTGCTTCTCGTGGATCAGAAGAATCGCGTCAGCTGCTGAGAGTCCTGTTCCGACAATCACAATCGGTAGTGTGGACGCTGATGACAATGTTGGCTGTATAATGTCGATAATGGCGAGAGGCTTGGACGGTGATGATGATGGCGAGGGTGGAGGTGAGGCCGCTGTTAGCCGAAGGGGAGCAGATCCGTCATGTCGTTTCATCCATTCCTCGAGCTGGCGGGTGTCATGGAAAGACTGTTGAATCATGGCTGTAGGCGACGCTGGGAGTGCACAGGGGTCGGCTTCTGCCGCTGGCAGCTTCTTGGGCTGATCGAATGTTCCTGTCGCCAACACAACCGACTTTGCGCGGATCATAAACCTTGTTCTGTTACTCTTTGACCCATGTTGGCGGGTCGAGGGCGGATCAACATGTCCTAGGACGACGTATCGGTAAGGTGCACAGCTCTGACAGGGTCTAAGTCCCTCCGTGCGTCCACGACTTTGTCTCAGATTCCCTGTGTGCTTGTCTCTTGTAAAATCCCGCGGGTCCAATCCACAACAGCAGTGGCGCTCCATGTCCTTGAGATGGTATATTCCAGTGACGGTGGTATAGTTGGAGAAATTGGACTGAATCCCTGTTTGCAGAACATGAGCCTTGTAGTATGCAGAGACGGTTGACCGAAGAGGGCGCTCCAAGTTTTTGTCGTGTTCGGGGTTGTCGCGAAAAAAGTCCGCGAACGAGTACAGCGGCAGTTCCATGTGTTCATTGTAACTATTCACGTATGGCGATGCATTACATCTGTTAGTTCTCCAGCTGCAATTTATTGTTCAGTATTGCAAGTAAGGTCAAGAGTTCATACCTGAGGGTCTGATTGTGGTCGTGTCCCATGTCTGCCCAGATACCACCAACGTCCCCGCGACCGAGGACGATGTGAGGTCTGGCTGTGGATGCTTCTGCAGGGGTTGAAAGATGGGGGACTTTTTGGCCCTGGTTCCGGTTTTGGTTCTGGCTGAGTGTAGGAGTAGGAGGTGGGCTGTCCAAGATGGCGGTGTTGTTGTTGTTGTCATCGGTGGTGGTGAGGGTATCGCAAGAAGAGTGGGATGGCGTGGATTGACGCCATTCGAGGAACGTGGGGTATTCACCACGATGGGTATCGAGTTGAGGGTGGGCGAGGGAGTCGAACATGGCGGAGATTGGGTTGGCATCTCTGCCTGCTTCAGCCAATTGATGTTGGATGTGGTTTGTGAGCTGCACAAAGTCCTATTAGGTTGATAATATTGTTGTTGAGTGGTTAGACGCGCTGTATATTTGCAACGCGTGGGAAAGGGGTGTGGAGTAGGGAAATAATAGAGGAAATGCGCGCGAAAAATGAATTGCGATGTCGATGTGCGGAGAGACCGTGATGATGATGTGAAAAAAGAATAAAAACAGTGTTCACGGTTGTCTTTGTTTGTCGCGCAAATATAGACGTACTCGTACACAGACAGAGACAGACACTCATGCAAAGCACATGGCAATTGGACTGCAAAAAAATGTTTGCTTTATGCACCACTAGGCAAGGATCGGGATAGGAAGGTCTGCGCAGAAATTGAATTTTTTTTTGTACGAGGGAGAAATTACAAAAGTGCTGCTGATACCAGATGGTGTCATCTGAAATCATTACTAATTGCTCTCTCTCTCTGCCCTGCTCACCCTTTTTCTCCCTCCCCCCACTCGCAAAATAAAGAAAAAAAAAGATCCCGCGCGAAATGCCGTTGTTTTCAACTCTCTTGAGCTACACCTAGATGGTATTTTCACTCCAGCTGTGCGTGTTTATTTCCTGTTCTCAGCAGCGGTGATAGGAGATTGCAATGAAAGGGGAGAACCACGATAAAAATATATTCACGACCTGTGCGCATGCACATGTCAACCCAGACAGATAGAGAAAGTGAGGTTCGGATAGTAAGGGCGAATGGTGAAAGAAATGCGACCAGTCATATGAAAAGGAGGACAAAAAAAATGATGGGTGAACTTTTCGAGCACGGAGGGATGTGTATCTGTTGTGCAACGACATTCAAGGGGTTTAGAGGAGATGGAGATTGGATAGGAAAGTACAAGTATAAACAAACAAAACGAAAGAAAAAAAAACTTCACGCGTCGGAAATGTTTTTCAGTGGCCAACAACCAATGACCCATAGCATAGGCAAGCCAGCAAAGGGGAAAAAGGGGGGAGGGGAGGAGCAATTGAGAGGTGTATTGCGAGAGAGAGCATGGTGGACAGTGGAGGGAGAAAGTTTTTTTTGTTGTTGTTGTTTTTGGTTGGGTCAAGTTGATTGCGGTTATCTGCTCTCCTTACTGCCTTCTCCATACCTCCCTCGTTTTCTTTTGTTAGGCCAGTGCATTTTCTGTCGATTAATAATCCATCGGGAGAAATAGGCGTATACAAACAAAGTATACTTGAAATAAGGAGGCACAGAGGCATTGGAGGAGGAAAACCAAAAGCCGAAGATCGAAATAACAAAGATACATGCGCGCCACAGAGGAAGGACAGGGAGGGACAGAGAATGAGACCCAACCCCAATTATGCATGACACACTGCCCTTCCATATTTCAGCGCACAGGTGCTCTTTTTATCTGTCAGTCGAAGTGAATGGGGATGGGGTGGGGCTTGAAAATGTACAGGGACATTGGCATTGAACGAGAAAAGGAAAGAGATGAGAGCCAATTAAACGACAACGAGATTGAAAAGTGCAAAGTATGTTTACCTGTTTGAGCATGGATCGTGGCCTGCAACCCTGGAGGGATGATGGGGTGAGCATGCGATGGAGGATTGGGTCTGGATGCGGACATGCCCGATCAGCGTGGTAGTATGGCTCGAACCCACTGAGGAGGAGTGAGATCAGGATCCCGGCGGGGCCATTGCCTGTTAAAAGCCAATTGATAAGTGAGATTCGATAAGTGGCGAGATAGCAGTAGCAGGAGGGTAAGACATTGACAGATCTTTCCCCAAGAAATGTGCACGCTAAAGCAGAGTATCGGGTTGAAAGAGGACTGGTTGCATGGCACTCGGGGTTGGTTCAGTTTTGAAGAATAAGGGTATCTTATCGCACTTTCTGGGTGGGAGGGAAGGTTGCTGCAGGTCGAAAGTGGCGGGTGTATATGTGTGTATGTGTATATGTCGTAGCTGAGTTGTATTTTTTTTTTTTCAAGCACCAACGTTCTCAATAGCTTTTTTTTTGTTTTTGTTAAAGTCATTACCAACGACGACGACATCGGTCTCAGCTGGAAGTGTATGATCAGCATGCGATTGTGAATGAGAGGAGGGGTATGGTTGTTGAGTGCATGAAGAAGGGGAAGTGCAGAGGTTGTTGTTGAGCGAGGGTGAATGTGAGCTAGGCATTGTTTCAGTGGTCATGAATGTGGATATGAATGTGAATGTGAATGTGAAGTTGATCTGGATCTGTGGTTCAATGGAGGAGAATGGAGAGGGGGATAGGTGATCAGAAGAGGAGTCAATGAGTCATGCAAAAGGAGAGTGGATGAGTGCAAGAGGAAAGTGATCGGAGTGAATGCGAGGAGTAGGATGAGGAATGAATGAGAAGAAAAGTAAAGTCGAGAGAACCAAAAGAAGTGTTCAAGAAAGAAAGTGAACACAGATTGACTGACAGGAAAGTAGTCCAGGCCAGCAAAACAAGTGACAGAGTCGGTTACTAGGGTATTACTGATCGTCGCTGCACCAGTCATAAAGGAGAGAGAAATCTGACACATCGAGGTGATGCCTTGTCTTGATGGAGCCGGATACTTGTCTCTTGCTGCTTACCTTTGCACTCTCACCTTTGCGCTTCTTCATTGTTTGTCTCCGACCGCAACCTTCTTTTGCCCTTTTGCTTTTCACTATTCTCCATTTATTTTTTTTCTCTTCGGAAAGAGAATTTGAGTTTGCTGAATTTTTCTTCTTCTCGTCTCTGGCATCAAATGGCACGCGCGTCCAACGAACGGGGGTCATTCACTCCGTCTTTAATCGATCGTTTTACCCTCCACATCGCGAGCTCGCAAAGAAAGAACCGGGCACCCCGTGTCCCCTTCCCATTACCACCTGCACACCCATCATCTACACTACATCCACAGCTCACCATTACTAGCATTCACGTTGCACACTTTCAATGGATACTCGTTTGTCACGAACCGCTAACCTTTTAGACCTCGGACACATGGCTTCCTTCTCTTTTGCATCGCCTTTCTCACCAAAGCGCAGCTGCAGGTTCTCTGACCTTTCTTCTTCAAACACTACTCTAAACGCCTCCACACACCCCAAACACTTCATCGCCGCATTGTTTTTGTACTCTCACACTCGCCAAAGCTCTCCTTACAATGCCACAAATAACAACGGACCATGGAGAAAAAGGAGGTTAGGGAGTGGATCGGATCTCATCTACTTCAATCCGTAGGGATGCTAGGTCTGTGATTGGCCGCCACGCCATCTAGTAATTTTCCAAGCAGCTCTTCCTCTCTCTCTCTCTCTTTTGTTTGTTTGCTAGACGCGCATTGTAACCATGCAAAAAAAAAAAAGTCTTGGCTCTCGTGCTGCATGGTTATATATTTATTTTCTTCTTAAATAACACGTCGTTCGACCCTCATTGACAACGTGAGAAAGCAACAAATGCATGAATAAAAGACAATGGGCAAAAGGCAGGAAAAAGGCTACGTGAGAGTAGGACTCCTTTGAAGCTCACGGGTCCATTTGATGTTTTTATTTTTATTTTTACGTGGGTCATTGGGGAATTTCATCCGGTCACATCTACTTCTCACTTGAGAGAGTCATTGTAGAAGAAGCACCCCCGTAGAGGCCTCGAAAAAAAGGAAGCGACACAAGAGGATATCTTGGTCAACTATGTAATGTTTGTTAGCATAGATTGTACCGTACGTGTTTTACTTTTTTTTTTTTTTTTTTTTTTGGTGTTCTGCATAGTGTCGCGTCCTGGCATAAAAGAACCTGACGTCAACGATTTCAAACACTAGGAGCATAAATACGATGTGATCACCGCGCGACTCATTAAAAGGAATATCAATGTCTGATCGTCAGACTACCAAGCACACCACCCCAACCACCACTGCCAGTATCCAGGATCTTCAGCGTTTCCGGAGAAAGTGTTCCAAATCACTCTGTCAGCTGATCGATTCGATCGCTTTCTCTCTTCCCCCCCTTCCGCTTCGCCCACTGGAATACAGCAATAGCATAGTCGATTCTACTTTCACGTGCGCCTCTGCGGTAGGGTTTTTTTTGCGCTGCGGCCATTGTTGCACGCCAAAATAAACAAAGCAGCGTTTCTTTTATCACAACAACAACCCTAATCACCAACAAATGGACATTCCTGGGACAGCAACACAACCCATGGAGGAGGAATCACGTAAAGCCAAGCAGGCAGCAGCAGGAGGAGAAGGAGGCAATGAGTCGGGTGACAACACTGCTGGTGGATCTGGTGCAGGTGGTGGAGACGACCATGGTGACGATCACATTGAAGACGAGGACGGAGACTGGGAAACAGAGACCTCGGAGAGTGAGGAGGAGGAATTGGAGGACGATGACGATGATACCAGTGAGGACGGCACCTACTCCAATGACGAACTCGCCGATCATGATATCAATCCCAACGACCCCGAAAGCATCTTCTACCACCTCTACAACGGCAGCTTGGACGATATCGGCCAGCTTGGCGATGACGAGGAGGGAGGCGATGACGGAAGTGAGGGTTTCATGGATATCGAAGACTTTGACGACAGCGAGAGCGAGGATGAAGAAATGGAGGGCCCACAAGTCATGGACGACGATGAAAAGATTGAAGAACTGAGCCCGCGGACCCGAGCGATCTACCGACCCTGCTTGCCCGACGATAGTATCCCGTCCGATTTCAGTGGAGACGAGAAATACACGCCCAAGGAGTTCATCTCTGGAAACGACGGCGAAGGGGATCAAGACATGGTCGACTTTTCGGCCTACGAGGAGAACAACGAGGATGATCCAGAGTTTTATAAGGTCGCGACCAAGATCCGAGAGCTGATGCTGAACCTGAAGAAGGGCCGTGCCGAACGGGAACGGAAACTCAGGATGCAGCCAGGGTACCAACAACAACAACAGCAAGAATCCCTCACGTATGCCGAGGACTCGCCCATGGCTCCTGCGGTCAACGACGACTTTTCGCCCCTATCTATTGCGGTCGGTGAGGACGTATCAGACATGATTGGTGGGAGATATGTTGATCCAGCACCGTTTTTGCATCGCTTGTTGGTCCGTGGACGCAGTCATCCTCGGGAAGTCGAGCATTCACCGGCGATCAGCAACCATTTCCAGTGCGCCAACTCTATGGTCATCGTGCCGTCGACCATGGGACTCTGGGACGACATTTTCACAATCCACCTTCACAGCATCATTCGCTGCGGTGTCCTCGAACGCAACACCCTCGCCAACTACAACCGACGCACCCTGGCCCATTTTGCAAACGAGGACCCAAATAAGGACGGCACAACCCGGAAAGCGGTTCTCAGACCGTATGCCCGACCGCTCAAGACAGTACACGCGTCAAAATTTATGGATCTCTTCAGTTATCGGTTCGACCAATTGCCAGAATCGGAGGATTATATCCGGCTGGAGGATCGAGACGATCCGATTTGTATCGCGAGCCGGTATGGATACATGGCACATGGAGCCGTCAGCGGGAGTATCGCGGTCTACTGTACACAGTGCAGTGAGGAGCCGTACGAGATCGATAGCGCCTACCTGTCCAGCTCCGAAGACGACGACGGCGTGATGCTCAACAGTCTGCAGATTGTCCGCTGGAACCGTTACTACCGGAGTCGGACCTCTCAGGATGATGGTCTACAGGATCAGGATGGCGACGACCCGTTGACGGATTACGATGAAGAGGATGGATACCCTTCCAAGAAATCGGGTCAGTTTGATCACTTTCTTGTGATGGCCGGCAATGAAGGTGGACTTGTTATTGCTTCACTTCCTGACCACACGGATCCTAAGCGAGCCCACAAGGACAGTCACCATCATCATCACCATCATCATCACCACAGTAGCACGCCAGAACACCGGTTCAAATACAGAGACGACCGCACATGGATCCGCGAGGGATTTGGAGGAGCATTATTGAACGACGCCAAGGCCTCGCCCAACGGACGGTGGATTGTGGCAGTTGGAGATTCGGCACAGGTCTGGATCATTGAGGTCACCCACGTCCCCGAGACGGAGGAGCAGAGGATCTTGCGGGAAGCTAGAGAGGAAGAGTTGGACATCGAGGATCTGGAGACGGACTCGGAGTATGCCACTGACGACGACAACGAGAAGATGAGCGAGGATGAGGTGGTGGATGGATCGGAGGAGAAGAAGGATCTGGTCGCCGAGGAAGCAAGAACAACGACAGTATCGGACAAGCCCCGGGGAGCCAAGCGGTCTCGTGACTCTGAGGATTCTTCATTGGACAACGAAGTCGAAGACAGAACCAACCAACCTAAGAGCCCTAAACCGGCGACGACTCCAAGGTTGTTGCATCTGTTTGGCCAGCCCCAAGAGTTGCTCGTGCCCCACAAGATCTTGTTCACTGCAAAGCACAAGAAGAACCGACAGCCTCGAGGTCCCGATAGAGCCGGACCAGGAAACAGTACTGGCAGTGCCTTTGGTGCGACAAAAGTGACTTTCCAGTATGTCTCATGGAATGCAACGTCGACCAAGTTTGCCCACTCGTCGGATACAACATCCCGTGTCGTCGTATGGTCAATGCCGTCGCGCGAGATTGTCTGCTGTGTCGATACCGGAGGACCGGCGTTCTCGATCGAGTTCCATCCAACACTCGAGAACCTGTTTGCGGTGGCCAACTGGTACGGGTTCGTGCACGTTGTCGATATCACGGGTGCCTGTGTGGGGGACGAGGACCTGGTGGTGAGCGATACACGGTACAACGGCCGTGCTGAACATGGTGGACCCGGTCTTGCGGGTTGTGAGGGTCCACATTACGAGGAGAAGCATGATATCTTGATGGTCTCGTTCCGGGGGCAGAGCAATTTCCGACTCCGGATTTTTGATGGGATCCGAGGATTGGGATGGTCGACGGATGGACGGCACCTGTATGTGTCAACGCTTCGGAGGGTGCTGCAGTATGAGGTTGCAGATGCACGGGTACGTGTTCCAAGCTTATTTCAGCTTTGCGCGAGGAAGGTGAAGGAGTGGAAGGAGCGGGAGATGCAACGGGTGTATACCCGGGAGAAGGAGTCGTCTATCAGGAAGGCGTTTGGACCCTTACAGGACGACTGGGAGTATGTCCCTTATGCGATCAAGCGCAAGATCTTTGGTGATCACTTTCTCATGCGGTCCCATAACGAGTAGCAGAAGGTGTTGATGTAGCAGTGATACTTTATATAATAATAATGGTTCCTGAGAAACATGGTGTGTGCTTATGTGCGATAAGGATGTTGGTGCAATTGGAAGAAAAGGGTGAAGAGGGGGGCTGAAGATAAAAGAGACGATCGATTGTGTTCGTTTCCGCATTGTTTTTTTTCTCTCTCTCATCTTTCTCCGGTATCTGGTTTCACATTGTTGCCTTTTTTCTGCTTTTTGGAGTAGGGGAGGTTTGGGGGGGGTCCAGTCCAACCAACCAAGCAAGAAAGGGCTCGTGCTTGCTGGACTATGGTCATGGAATGTTTCTCCTCTCCCTTTTTTCACCCCTTTCTCAGGCACTCAGACAAGACTAAAAAATCAGGGCTGTCTCGCTCTCTTTCTTTTTTTTTTTTTTTTTTTTTGCCCTTTCGTCCTCTCCGGTACCTCTCTGGCTGGGGATAAAATCAATGTTTTCTTTATGTTGAGAGCACCCAATATGCAAGGCAACTAATTTGCGGCTAATGGGGGAGGAGGGGGGTGGTTAATTGCTTTTTAAGTGTAGGTTTTGTGTATGTGTGTGTGTGCTATCATGGATTCTTTTCGTCGCTCTCTCTCTTTTCTTTTTCTTTCATCTTAAATTGCATGGACAGGGGGGCAAAAGGCTATAGGGTATTAGGATGTGATGCTTGATGAGGAAGAGGAAGGAGAATTCGATATTTTGTGGTATGGCGGCAAATTATTTGGACTAGCGCCGGTCTGGAATGTAGTTGAGGCTGAGGCGGAAGGATCTGACGCCAGGGCGGAGAGGTATGCAGCAGTACTTCAAACTTGTGTGGAAAGAAAGGGAGCCAGGGGTAAGAGGAAAAGGTTCGTTGAGACCTGGCGGGCACCTTGTTTCATGTTTTTTTTTCCTTCTCTCAATGGAGCGAGGGTAGGGGGGAAGTTGGTTGAGAGCTGTAAAGCTAAGGGCATAAGGTGGGAGTGGGAAGGACGGAGAAGGAAAAAAGAAAGATAGCAGACAGAGAGAGAAGGAAAGAAAAGGTGTTGAGCAAAGCAGGCATGGGTCGCCGGCGTGTCCTTCTTTTCCCTTGCTCATGCTTTCTTCCTATGGTTTGGATGTGAGTATGGGTTATGGTTATGACTATGACTATGGCGCTTTTTTTTTTTTGGTTGTGAGCAGCAGCTGCAGCAGACAACAGCTCGCCTTTTTTTCTTTCTCTGGTGCGGCATTTTTTTTCCTTTGTTGCTTTCCTTTATTTGTTGTTTACTGTTACCCGGCTTTGGAGGAGTGCGGCAGTAGAGGAAGAGGAGGGGAGTAAGGAGAAGAAGAAGAAGAAGAAGAAGTAGATAGTTATCTTCCTGATGTCCCATGGTTCAATTGCACAATGCGAGTGTTTAGAAGATGAACAGGAAAAAGATAAAATGAAGAAAAACAACGCTAATGGCCACCGTGGTGAGCAATTGGCATACCGTGCCAATGAAGGTGATGATGATGATGATGAAGGTGGATATTGAAATTGGTACGATGGCGATGGTGTGTGTGTGTATGTGTGTGTATGAGTGTGTCTACTGTAACAAGAAGTTGAGAGCGATCGTTTGCCTGTATTCAGTTCCCCTTCCTCATATGTCTCTCTTCTCTCTTTTCTTTTCTCTTTTCTCTTTTCTCTTTTCTTTTTTCTTCTTCTTATTCTTCTTATTCTTATTCCCCTCTTCTTAGTTCCCCATTCTTGAATCCCCTTCCTATCCTTGCACCTCGCACTGGTCAACTACCCTTTCTCCTCCTCCTCCTCCTCTTCCACCTTCCATCACCATCACCCTCTCACTCATCCCTTCAAGGCAAGTCGACTTCCCTTCTCTCATTCATCCTCATCCCTCACACCTTCTCCTCACTTACACACCCACAACAAACACACCACCTTCTCTCCTCTGCAACCCCCTCCCTTTCTCTGCAACCCCCTCCCTCTCCTTCAGGAACAGGAAAAATAAACAAATCGCTCCCCCTGCCTCCAACCGCCACCAACTGTCGCTTTAACTCAAACAGCCCTGAACTGCTGTCTTCTCTCTCTTTCTCACTTTCAAAGATCAAACAACTGCAACCAACAACAACCATCTCCCTCGTCAGCACTTACACTTATACACCGATCACACATCAACAGCAACCCAACTCAACCCTCTTGTCCATGTCCTCATCACTCACACCTTCCCCCTTCTCTCCCTAATCGAACTTTCTTTACTTCGACCTTGTCTGTCCCCTTGAACTTTTCTTCCCCCCCTTTCTCTTTGCTCAGTGTATGTCGGCTTACCATTGTTGTTTGCCGCAACTCTGTTCTTCCTTCTCTTCACTGTCCTCTTTCCCTTCCTCTCTTGCTCTGTCGAGCAAATTGGTACTCAAACAACAAAACAACAATTAACAACAGCTATTCTAACCTCCTTTCTTATTTTCATCCTTATTTTTAGTCCACCGCTCATAAGCTACTTACCAACAACAACATACACTCAGGAACGACAACCAAAATACTCTTCTCCTAAACCATGACTCAAATCGATTTGGGGCTTGTCCTCGCACAACCATTCTTCTTGTGCTCCTTGATCCTCTTCGCCGTAAGTCTCTCCTTGTTTGTCTCAGTGTCCATTCTTTCCATGCGCAAAAGGACAGGATAATCTCATACAGGACGGCGTCAATCGATGGAGGGAGTGTGAAGGATAAGTCGAGAAAAAGAGGATTGTGTTTTATTTATGTGTTGTTGTGTTTTTCTCTGTACAGGAGTTCCAAATGGGCTTTTTTTTTTCTCTCTTTTCGCACAACTCATGGTGAATTTTTTTTTCGGATATCCCGGAGAGTTTTTTTTTCCTACAAGGAGAGAGATCGCCTTGCATGGATTCTTGGCAGTGCCAATCGCCCCCTTTCTCCGTTTCTTTTTTCTCTGTTCATACAAGAGGCAAACTATCCACCCACCCCCTTTTCGATGGCATGCACGATGGGGGATATAAGAAATAACCTGCGACCTTCGAACCAATGCTTTTCGTGTTTGTCATGCGAGCTGGGACAGTGGTTTCCTTCGGCGATATAAGAGGGTGAACGACAAGATGGACGCGTGGTGCCACTATACGACGATTCGCCGGCATTTTTAAATCCACAAAAAGACCCCACAAAATACTTAAAAACTAATCCTAACCCACGTTCATTTATTTTCGTTCCTTTAGGGCGGCTGGTTCATCTCGTTCATCGCCACATGTGTGATTGGAAACTTGATCCCTCTGTTGTGGGTTGACATCTTTTACAACCTGTTCATAATGCTCGGAGCCACATTGGCGGTCGCCACCAACGCGGTCCACAACTACCGTCTTGTCCTCTTGACCTTCATTGGCGGCTCCTTGACCCTCCTTTTCAACTGCATCAACGCCACCATCTCCATCCACGACCTCCTGAACGGCTCCTCCCGCTACAGCGCCGCCGGTGCCGGATTCATCTTCCAGTCCTTCGTCCTGGTAAGCACTTTGAGCTATTTATTTTTTTTTGATTGGAAAAATGTATACAATACTGGCGAATACTAATTTACGCTGATTTGTTACATGAATAGATCTTCTGGGTGGTGTACTTTGGAGCAGAGGAAGAGTCGATCGCCAAGCAGACAATCAACGGATTCACCATGCCCCGCGCAAACGCAAACTCCACCAACAACCCCACCACCGTTGGACCCACCACCATCATCTCGCCTCAGCCCCAACACGTCCAGGTCAACATGAACAATCACGGATCCCCCATGCCCGGTCATGCCCAGCAGCCCCAGGTCAACGGTCAACAGAACTATGGCTCTGTCGTTGTGGCCCCTGCGGCCGATTATGCTTACAAGGCCCGCGCCTTGTACTCGTATGAGGCTAACCCCGAGGACAACAACGAGCTCTCCTTCACCAAGGGCGAGATCCTGGAGATTGTCGATAACAAGGGCAAGTGGTGGCAGGCTCGTAAACCTGATGGCGCTGTCGGTATTGCTCCCTCCAATTACCTCCAGCTCATCTAAAAGATAAAAAAAAAATAGGGGGACATCCAATGCGCCGGGGGGAGAGAGAGAATGGTTTCGTGCATCGCTCACCTTTCTTTTGTCCTGGTGATGAAGAGATAGATGCACGAACAGCGTGTTCTTGTTTTGTTTTCTCCACCCCCCGAGTACCCGCCCCCCTACCTTTTTCTACCTTCAGTCGCGCTGTTCCTACGCGACTAAATTTTTTACACACCTTCTATCACCACTTTATATCCTACTTTTTCCGCCCCCTCCCTAATGGTCCTTCTTCTCCCAATGCATGGATACTCTTCTCCAGAAATATGTATCCGCAACTCCAACGTCCTTTTCACTTTTGTCATCTTCCAGAAAAAAAAATAAAAAAAATAAAAAAACACCAAGTATTTTTGATTCATTGTTTTCTCGAACCTTGTTACATTTCACTAAATTTGCAAACTATTATTCTATTGCTAAATATCATAACATGGCATGAAGGCTCTGTCTTACAAGACGGCGCAGACGCGCCCACGACTAAAGAGCCAGATGAATCCGACCCACGCGACTTGTATGATAATGCCGCTCAACAGTGCCTGCCAAATCAACTTGATCGACTTGTCGTCCTCTATATCATCTTCACCTGCCTTATTATCGTCGTCGTTATCGCCATCCCGCGTTTTCAGGACCACTGATCCCTCCTCACGACTCCCAACATCGGCGTCAGCAGCAGCAGCATTGGAGGCCGAAGCAGCAGTAACCACGTCGGTGTTTGCAACTTGCTCGTCCTCAGAACCATCACGATCCAACAACCCAATATCCTCGTCACCCATCCCCTCACTCTGCTCAACCCTTCTCCTCCTCTGCCGAGACCCTGCCACCGCAGAACCTGTCTTCTTCCTGCGCAGGAACCGCTCCGAGATCAACGAAAGTACATACCGATCCCATACAACCGTCATAACAAGGACCGGGTACAGCACCAAAGGCCGTACCATAATCGGGGCACAGATCGATAGACACGCCCAGATTCGTACAACAAGACTGACAAACATAAAATGTGCCGAGAAGTGTTCAGGTAGTGCCGATCCGAGTGACGAAACCGAGGTTGTTGGCGGAGGAGGAAGAGAGTGTGGGTGCTGGAGTTGGATCGCCTGCTTTAGTGTTGTCGATTGCTCAGATGCCCTTCTTCGTCGTCGTTGTTGCCGGCGTCGTGAACGTAAAGGCGCCTGATCCAGTTCTCCCGCATGATATGATCCTATCCCGCCTTCTTCCTCGACCTCATTCTCATCCTCATCATCATCAGACTCGGTCCCAGACCTGCTCATCCCACCGTCCACCAACTCCCCTTCGGCTCCATCAACAGGAGCAACGGAAGCCATAAGAACATCGCCGTCAAGTCCTGTTCCCGATTCCGAACGAGACATATCACGCGCATGGGCTGATGCTAGGTTGCTCCAGTAAGCCTTTCCAAGTGGCGCGTGCGCCTTGGTGATCGCCCCTGTCCTTCCAACTCCCTCCTGCTCTGTCTTCTTCAATGGCTGTTGACCCGAAAGGCTGCGCCTGTGTGTCGAAGCCAGGTCATCATTCGAACTAGTTTCCTCAGAGTCAGAGTCGAGATTTTCGCGACGAGGCGGTTGCCTGTCCTTCTACAAAAGGTTCAATTTGTTCAGAAAAAAAATCGGCAATTAGCAAAGCATCAGGGTGAAAAGGTGGTAAGCAGGACCGCAAGGTTTATTTTGCAACTTTTTTTTTTCTTTTTTCTTTTTTTTTCAGGGACTTACATCACGGGGTCGCTTCTGTTTGATGTTGCTGTTGCTGTTGCTGTAGTTGGTACCGCGAGAAGATTTAGAAACCGCTTCATGACTCTTCCTCCTAGCTTCATTTTGCCTCGATGACCGCCGTGGGTCTCCTGAAACCTCTGTCGAAAGATCGGCTCCGTGCCCTGCAGAATCAGGCGGCCCACTGCTATCAACGCTATCATGCACTTGAGGGTTCAACTCGACCGCCAGTCCAAGATTCGATCCCTTCCCACTGGCAGCCTGCCTCCTCGTCTGAAACTGCTGCTGCAGCATGAGATCCGCTTGGCGCTGTCCTACAACAGCAGGTTCCTGCGGTACTCTCATCATCTCCTGCACAGGCGAACGGTCGACAGCCATAGGCGGCGATGAGAGATACAAAGGCTTAGGTGCCCGTGCCCTCAGCGTCATATCCGACGAGCCTTGAGCAGGAGATCTTTGCTCGCTTTGAGGATACTTGTACATTCCCGCTCCCGTGATAGCAGCAGGGTGCATCATCCGTCGGCGTAACATGTGTCGAAGCCCCAGGCCTAAAGGTTTGACCTTTCTATGCAGGTTGGAGCTAGGACTGGCCGTATTCCTGGCAACTGTCGCTGGAGAATACGGAGGTTGTCCTGTACCACCCCTGGAACTCTCCGTGACCAAAGTAGCCCGACTCCGCCGCCTGCCAGTTACCAAGGTGGGGCTGTAGTAGTGTTGACGGTGCGAGGCGAGAGTTTGTGGTCCCTTGGAAAGTGGAAAACGTTGTTCCATCGAATCGTCTCTTGCGTCATTTCCATCGCCACCTTCTTTGCGACTGCCTTCTCCCTCTTCCTGGCGGGCCGAGGACTGTGATGAAAAGGTTGAAGATGTAGGTCGAAACGAGGCTGTTGTTGGAGATTCCATGTTCCCATGCATCATGCGGTCTCGCTGTGGGCTTAGCATTGACAAAATATCATCGCAGCTGGGGCGTTTCGACTTGTCTGTCGACAGCAACACGCGGATCAAAATCTTGAGTTCTTCGGGGACTACCCGATCGCTCGACTCGTCCGCAGGTAGAGTTATTCTAGCAAACATTCGATACCAAATATGACGTTTAACGCGTTAGGCTTCACGAATTGGATTATTGTAACACCTGTCGAGCAAAGGTAAAAAAACGTACGATTTGAACTCCCTGATTTCCTCCTTGAGAATATCCACGTCGTCGATCTGAGTGTATGGCAGGCGAGAGTAGCAGAGATAGTAGAGGACCATGCCCAACGACCACATGTCACCCTTGAATGAGAACTCGTTTGTGTACCGTCCATTAGCATCCACTATATGCAACGAAAAGCGTAGGTAGATTAGTAATTGCTAAAACAGGCAATCGGGTTGCTTTTTCCAATGGACGAACAAGGCAGACATACCTGCTAAAAGCTCAGGAGCTAGGAACTCGAGTGTGCCAGTCGCTCCGGTCCTGTCCCGCTTGGCAGCCTGGTCCGAGATCTCACACTCCCCAAAATCGGTAATCAGAATCCTTGGTCGCTCGCCCTTGGTTCCCTTGATCTGGCTGTTGGAGTAACTCAATAGCAGATTGGGAGGCTTGAGATCACGGTGAATGATCCCAAGTCGATGCAAATGCGCCAAACCTTCGCAGATGTCAAAGAAGAAACTCCAGATCTCCGTGATCGACAAAAAGTGCCTCTGCTGTATGGCCGATCCATCTGCACTCCCGCTGGCGTCGCCTCCCTTGACTGGCGGCGAGTTTAGTACGCCCTGCAGGTGCTGTCGTTTGGACTGCAACCGTTCTCTGGCCGACATTGGCTTCTTTGCTTCTGCTACTTGTCCTGATCCATCAGCAGCTGGTGTCCCTACATCGGCTTGAGGTTGTGTCTCAACAGGTCGTTCGATACATTCTTCCAGATTTCCCCCGTTGGCGCACTCCATCAGGATAAAGAGACAAGTGACCTCTGGACCAAACTTGTGCAACTGATGGTTCTCGAGCCACGCGTGTTTGTAGGCGACAATGTTCGGGTGGTGAAGACGTTCCAGCAAATGAACTTCCCGAAGCATCTGGACCAGCCAATCGTGATTGTCGCCCACCGCCACTTTCTTGATCGCGTATTCTCCCAGATGAATGCCGTCCAGGATGTGTTGACACAGAAAGACAGATCCTCGATAGCCACGGCCCAATTTCATCTGCTCGACAAAGAATCGCTCATAGTAGCCCTGATTGAGAGCGTCGTGTGAGAGATGCGCAGGGTTGTTGGAGTCCCGTGCGCGGCTCTTGCTTTTGTCCAGGGGAGGCGTATGACTGTCAATGTCCAGTGATGCTCTACTTGATGACGTCGGTGAGCCGATCGGTAAGGGCTCCGGATACTCTGGCTCAGCATTGCCTTGAAGCGAGCCCCTCCTCGAGAGCGCAATACTAAGTGAATGGAAGTTGGTAAATATTAGGGCCATATTCGCTCTCATAGAAATTCCTTGGCAGTCTGATGTAGTCGACGACTTACTTGGCGTCGGAAAGCATCCGAAAGTAGTTGGAATCCATGAATCCCGTGCTGTTTGCTCTAGTCTATATGTTTTATAGCGAGTCGATACGCTTCCGGTGTTAGTATTTGTTCTCCGCCTATCTGTCCTTCCGACATCAGCCCAAGACTTGCGAAAAGGCATAGCTGAGCTCTTTTGAAGAATATATACCTGGTCCGATATGGGATCATCCAGATCCAGAGGTCTCCTGCATAGTCTGCATATCCTCGAATCGTTCCGAAGCGACTAGAAGGTTCAACAAAAAAAAAGGGTGCAAAATAAAAGGCATTAGAGGCATTACGAACAAAAGAAGGTTTAAGAACCGAATGAAGGAGCAGTCACCCATTGTTCAATTTGCCCGGTGGTTTTCCTAATCATGCATACCATCGGATGTGAGTCTGGGCCAACAGTCGTCTGCACAACAAGCGATTGCATCTGCGGATTGTAGAGTACAGTCCGACCACGGGGAGGCGACCGTCTATGTCATAGGTAGAAAAACGGAGACAATTTTATGTTAGTTAATATATCCCACAGGTTGAGTTAGAGCAAACGTCATACTCGTCACCAGTAGAAAAAGTTTCACTTACAGAATGACACGCCACTCCTGGGAGTAAGGTACGATTTCGCGATGGTCCCTGGCTGAAAAGGGCATACCCGACGAAGAAGCAGAGTGCTGATGGTCGTTTTCAATAAATTGACCGTCTTGCCAGACATGAGGACTCATCGAAAGTGACATGCTCCTGTTGGTGCGACGAGCTGGTGGGAATACGTCTCGTCCAGATCGATCACTGCCTTCTCTTCTCGTCATGGCAGCGTGAAATCCACTGTGGTGTGTAGGCGGTGAAGAGCTGAAGAGGACAGGCGGTCGCATCAGTTCTGAGGGATCAGACTCGTGGCCCTGATCAGACATGCTCTCGCGGTAGTGCCGCAGTTGCCAGTCCGAATCATCACCAGCACCACCACTGGAAGGTCTTGTGTCGGAGCTGTCGGGTCTCCTTTGACCTGGCTCTTGAAGATCCTTGAACCTCAGTAGATACCTAGACTGTGATGGGTGCTGTCCAGGAAAGCCAGTGTCAGAATAGCGAGGGTCGTGTTCGTGATTGGCATAACCATGTGAGGAATGGTCGTTGTTATGCCATGCGATGGGTAGGTTTGGGTGCGGAATGAGCCAAGGCTGTTGCTGGTGTTCAACTTGGAGTGGATGGAGTTGTTGATGGTGTCGTGCGTCTGGGTATGTTGGAGGTTGTATGGAATCTCGTTTTCGTTCTGAGTCTTGGTTGTCGTCGTCGTCATGTGAGTTGTTGTCCATGGTTGGTGTGGTAGGAAGGGTGGTTGGTGTGGTTGAGGCGAGTGTGGAAAGAAAAAGAAAAGAAAATGAAAGTGGACTTGTGGAGAGAAATTATTTAACGTTCATGTCGATCCTCGTGACATGAATCTCTTTTATTCAAACAATGCATGCAGTGCATTGTCCAACTACTTTTATATTTGCTTTGCTACTGGAAAAAAGGGGTGCAGACCGGTGGACTGGAGGGGTGTTGTTAACGAGCAAAGTCTTGATGTTCTCTTTTCCTTCAAGTATACTAAACCTATACAGCAATGACCCCGAAAACACATGCTGCTTATCGCCGTCATGCTGATACCACCCAAACCACCTCATCACAGATTCCGTGCCCGATATCTGCTCAACCTCTGCGTCAGTATCATCCTCATCTGGACCAAAGCTATCCTCAAACGTTTCGAGCTCCTTACATCCCCACTCCTCAGTTTTCCACAGAACAAAGACATCCGCGAATTTCTCCAATCGGTGATCATGAATCTCTTAAGTTGGCGACACTGCATAAGGAGCGGAAGGATACACCGAGTCCTGTAGATCGATGCTATCATCGACAGCCCATGAAACCTTCAAATCCACAAGTGTCCCGTGCGAGATAATGGCCGATAACAACTCGTTGTCGTGCCATGGCGCGTCCCATGCAATCAACTTGTTCAGGCCAGATGCAGAGCAATCTCGAATAAAAGCAATGGGAGGAGCGATGGTAGCAGAGTCGGTATCTATATGGCTGTGGACGTAGTGAATCGTCAGCTCCTTGAAATTAGGACAGTACTTGCGGAGACACCTTGCCGGCTCGCTTGTCCTGTGTTGGTCGTCGACGTGATGCAGTCTCAGGCCTAGGGTCCCGAGATTAGGGCTGGCAGAAACGAGCTCTCGAATGAGATATGGAGTGACTCGGCGCACGTATTCGTATCGATAGGTGTCAATTACCATCGTCTCCAGACGTGGCAGGGTCACTCGGGTGGTTGTAGGATCGTTGTTATCCCGACGGAAAAGAGTTTAATGCGACGGAGTTCCAGTATCGTCAAAGTGTTGGCCATTGGCCAAAGGACATCGATGAAGGCCGACTATTGTTATTGCATCGGTAGAGCACCAGTTCCCGAACACTTCCCAGCTGGGCAAGTCGTCCCTCTGCAAACCGATCAAGGTTGACGATTGCGGTTCCACCCAGACAAGCGTCCTGAGTCCCGGATTGGCGCTGACGAGCTGCCGTTCCAATGGAAGGTCGAGTATTTCGCGGTAGGTGGAGGACTTGAAGAGTTCCAGGACGACCAGCTGAGTACAGCTGAGTTGCTTTGACAGTTTGTCAAAGACGTAAACGATCCATATGTGCGGAGCCTTGATTGAGATTGAATGTTGAGAGAAGCAGTGCTTGTTGAAGGGTTGTAGGAGTGCCAGAGGATAGGATGAAAAGTCCTGAACCAGAGCTTGGAGACCTGGATGAAGGCGATGAGGGAGATGATTTTGTCTCTGTTGGCGGCCCTCTTGGCGGCTTGCCCGTCGCTGGAGAGGTAGAAGCATTCGCCGATAGCCATCAATATCTCGGGGATGTTGAGTGCACGAGAGCTGGCAGGGATATGTGCTGTTGTTGTTGCTCTCGGGTTTCCTGCATATTGGAGGAAGGAAAAGGTGACGAATAAGAAATGTGAGAGTGACAGGAGGAGAGAAGAAAAGAAAGAGCATGTTGTGTTGTTTTATCAAGAAGAAAAAACAGGCCTTACAGCAGGATACGGATTGCCGTCGACTTTGGACTTTGATTGTTCGTTTGTTTGTTTGCCGTCACCTCGACCCCCTTGCATACTGTCTGTGTTTAGTGTGGACTGGTTGTGGATGCTTTTCTGATGAGGAACGACAACAAGACAGGCCTTGACTCGTGGTACCTCACACTCAACATGCCTTCCATCTCTCTCTGGGAGGTGGTAGTATGTTGGAGAGATGGCAGAGGAAAGGGTGGCTCAGGCGCCAAAGGTCTTGTGGCGGACAAAGGTGCTGCGAGTCCCATGGACTGAGATCGGAATGACACGTTTTCATCCTAGATCGCGCGTTATTGAGGTAAAGGAGTCAGCGGGTATGAGTTTCAAGTATCCATTCTATCGCATTTCTCTGCTTCAATGTCCTGTCCTTGAAGAGTTGCACGTCTCCTATCGGCGGCACCACATTGACGGCATGGTTCGTCTTGCGGAGCAAATAATGTATCTTGAAGGTTCTCGACCTGGTTATCTCTGATCCGGTCCAGCTTAGTTCAGGAGCTGTGTGGCTCGAGCCATCTGACCGTTAGCGGATCTGAAGCGCCATTGGGGTTTTTTTTCCGAATCGCATATTGTGGAAGGAATTCAAGGTCATAAAATCTAATTTTTGCGAATTCCTACTTCTGTGAAGGTGTGAGTTGGTGTTACCCTTAGATGATAGTCCTGTTGCTTACTCTAAGAGCCGAGGCAATGTCTTGGTAACTCGCGGGCGTCTAGCGTCTGCTTGTTGTGAGGTTGGTGCAAATAAAAAGAAGGGGCGGTAGGTGTAAGCAAACGCGTCTTTATTTTTTTTTGCAAGGGTGGTCTTTTCATCACGTGAAGTATCTCTTAGTCCTTTGTGGCCACCAAAAAGCTACAACAAAAAAAAAATTGAAAGTCTCGCTGTTGTTGCAACCACAGACCTCCTCTTTCAACACACCACCATAACCATTCATACCACAGGATGATCATCATTAGGTTGAAGACCCCCCGTCGTCAATGTGTCTGCGGATCTGCCGAGCACTCCGGATTCATGGTACGACATTGCACTTCATCAAACACCAAACAACACCACTTACCCCTGAAACCTTCACTTTGCAATTGCATTGGCATGGCATTCAGTGCTTATTTTTACTTTGCCAATAACTAACACGGAAACTATGTCTTCGGGGTCAACAACAAAATAGATATGCTGTGATGGGTGCAACTCGTGGATGCATGGCGCATGTTTTAATATCACACAGAGGTCCTCAAGAGTATTAGAAGCCTTCTATTGTTCTCACTGCAGATGTGCCAGCGCGACTGCGACGAGCTTGGCGCCGGAACGAGCTTCAACAACAACATCATCATCAACATCAACGTCTGCACAGTCAAAAGTCAGGACAAAGATGGCGGAGTCAAAGGTCACGACAAGGAGAGCAAAATCAACAGCCACGGCATCAACAACAGAGCCAAGCGGTACGATGGCGTGGGTGGAGGTAATAGCTATGGCACCGACAGCTGAACCAATAATACCTACGACATCGATAGACGAACCAAGGGTTACGAGAAGGACGGCAAAGGCAAAGGCAATGGTCACGGCTTCGACAGCAGAACCAAACCCTACGACAACGACGGCGGAGCGAAGGTCTAGGTCAGGGACAGGAAGGCCAATGGCCACGCCACCGTCGCCAGAACCGAAAGTTACGACAACGAGGGCGGAGCCAAAGGTTACGAAAAGGACAGCAAAGCCAAGAGCTACATCACAAGCAAAGCCAAACCCTACGACAACGACGGTGGAACCAATAGCCAAGACAAGGAAAGCACCAAAAGCCTCAGCATCACCGACAGAGCCAGAAGTTACGACAACAACGGCAGAGCCGCGAGTGAAGGCAAGGGCAGCAAAACCAAAACCCTCGGCATCATCGACAGGGCGAGAGACTAGGACAAAGACGGAAGAGTCAAAGGCAAAGACAAGAAAGCCAATGGCCACTGCACCGACACCCACGACAACGACTGCAAAGGCAAAGGTTACGACAACAACAGCACAGCCGAAAGCTCCGACAAAGACAGCCAAGGTGATGGCCCCCTCGAACGTCAGGAAGCAGGGACTCCTACCCACCACCTCCTCCTCAACCACAGATTCGCGCTCTGCAAAACGACGGAAAACAAAAGCCGCAGGTGCACCAGAAGCACCAGGTACTGGATCGGCGATGGTGGAGCAGAGTTTATTGTCTCGTCGTCCGGCATTTGTCTTCGTCATTCAAACCTCCTGGCTGCTGAAGCTCAGCGACGAGATCTTGATTTGGATTCTGATATGGGTTCATTGTCAAAAGTCGATCTGCAGAGTGTCGAGTACCTGCAAACGACTCTGGAGCGTCGCCCAGGACCCATATTTGGTAAACCACCTGTTTGCGTTAAAATTATCATTCTAATTATTTACGACTTTGACGATATGCTAATCATAAGCCTCCTTTGTCTTTGCAATGAACTAGTGGAAATACATTACGCTTCACCACGACACGGCCCTCCGACGGCACTGGGATACGCAACTTCACCCTCGACTCTTGTCATCCAACATCTACGAACTCAACCTCGTCGGCGAAATCTCGTCGCCAGTCCTCATTGATACGCTCAAACTGGACCAGTTTACAGGACTCAGGACTCTTCGACTGGAGGACATTCAAACCTACACCGTCTACCGACTCGCTAGCAGGCTGCCCTGGCTCAAGGTGTTTGAGGCCAGGAAGATCAAGGGCAACAGTGACAGATGGGATTGGTCGCCCTTTAGCAACCTGACCCAGTTGGAGGAATTGCTGCTCTGGAGGAACGAGAAGCCGATGCAGACGTTCAGTCTTTCGGAAGACATGATGATCGAAACGCCCGACGATGTGTACCCAGGAGATGGCGTCAATGGCGGATTTGGTGGGTTTGTGCAGTTGTCAAACCCGAACTCGCCTCTGCTGGATTCTGATGACGAGATGGCTGAGGATGATGTTGAAGACGGAGGAGATGAAGATGGCGCGGAGGATATGGTGGATACTGAGGGGAGCGTTACAGGAGAATTGGGGGAGGGGGCCAGTGTACATAGCAACCAGGGTTTGGGAGCAGGAACGGGGACAGGAACGGGAGGATCGGACGACAGCGGGGTATCGATTACTCCCGTCAATCAAAACCAACAACAAAATCGCAAAACGCAGCGCCGGTTGATGCCAAAACTCAAACGACTGGCGCTTGTCAACATTGTGAGCCCGACAGCCCACCGCGGGACAGATAGTGTTATGCGAAGTCTGGTGTCTCGCGTTTCGACGTTTGTGCATTGGAACAGCTTTAACATTCTCTTTCCTGTGGTGCGGACTCAATTCGACCGACTGGTACATCTCACAATGGTTGAACCCTGTGAACCAGCGTGGCAGGAGGCAACATGGCAGGAACACGCAACCGCTTTCCGAACCATGACATCACTCCAGACGATCACATGGATCAACCCACATATGCAGCGACGGTTCCTGATTCCAATTTTGGATGTTTTGCTGTTGTCGCTCGACCGACTGCGCGTCATCCATTTGGTCTCGACGAACGACGACACACAGGTCCTGCAGATGATCCTGACGCATGTTCTCGAGACGCAGTGGACAGGGCAATTGATGGTTTCGATTCAAGATGATCTGGGAGCGGATCCGATTGTGAGGGGTTGGTGTGACAGTGCAAAGGAAGCTGTAAGAGTTGCGAACCTGGATAATGCGATGAAGAGTCGGCCGTTGGCTTTTGTGGTCAAGCCATTCCGCGCCGAGTGGGATGAGGATGCTGGGTTGAAACGACTTTGCCTTAAAGCCTGGCAACAAACCCATTTTTGAACCCATTTTTGAACCCTTTTCCTTTCCCCAAAACAGGCAGTTTGCTATTTTCGTTTGCTTTTTATTTTGTGCATCGCACCACTAAAAGCAAGTAGAGTGAAAAAAAAAGAGCAACCAGTGCCCCCTCTCTCCTACTTGTCCTTTCCTTTCGTCAATGTCTGTTGTCTTAATATCCTTTTGGGTTCCTGGCCTGCAAGAGACAGAGCAGCTGGATCGAGTCTCCGAAATACGATCGGTCTTCCTCCAAGTTTTCCATCTCGTTCTGGACACGGCCCAGGGCAGGGTGTTGCATGGTCCACATGGCAACCGATGCGGGGGCGGTGTAGGACAGGTCCGAGTAAGAGCGGTCCGAGATCTTGTGGCCGTTTAGGTGATATCCTGCGTGGATCTCTGAGAGGGATCCGAAGAAGTTTGCTTGGGCCATCAGGGCGGGTTGGATCCTTGGGTCTCTGGTGAGCAGGTAGTATACTGACAGGCGCCATCTATCATTTTTGTAGAGAGGAAGAGTATATATGAGCTTTGTGTGCATGTTGTGCGAGTGGTTGCTTTGATGGTTCAGGGGACATGAACTTACGGGACACGGCAAGAGTTCCAGTTGTAATCCTAATGCCGAAAACCCCCAAAAGAGGAGAGAAGTGAACATTGTTAATTACCACATCAAGAAAATTAAAGGTCAGCAAAGCGTCGGAACCATATATAACATTCGTCATCGAAAGCCCTCATCGTCATGACCCTGGTTGTCGGCGTCCCGTTTTTCCATATAGCAAAAGGCGTACCTTATCGTTGTCGCTCTCGAGGATCTTGTGGGCCGAGGGTTCATAGAACCCATTCGCAGACTGCTTCAAAAAATCAGCAATCAGTCCTGTTTGGTTCAGCGCAAGCTGATGCTGGACCGTCATAATGATGCTGTCCAGCACCTTCCTCCACTCCTCACATCGCTCCACATCCTCGTTATAAAACGTCAAGAACCCGGATAAGATAAAATCCGAGGGCCGGGTGACATCCTTGTACTCGCTCTCTTCGCCATACTGCGCTCCACCGCTGTAGCCCATCGCGCCCATCTGCGGCTTTGGGATCTTGACCCAATCACCCAAGGTCGGCATAAAAGTGTAAGGGTTGATCTCGTGCTCAAGAATAGCCTTGCAGAGTGGAACGGCGATCTGGCGGTAGTCGTAGCGACCGCAGGGGGAACGACCCCAGAGTCGAGCGGCGTAGAAGAGGGCAGTGGCGACGTCGATATCGCCGTCGGTGGCCGAGTTGGTACCGCCGTCGGGGGCGTTGGAGTAGGTCCTGTTATGCTTGTCGTCGATCTGCTGCCAGGCAAGGAGTCCGTTATCGTTTTTGAAGTGCAGGAACCAGCGGACGAGGCCGTCAAAGTCCTGTTGGTTGTGCATCAGTACCGAAATCAACATTCCGTATCCAACTGCTACACAGAAAAAAGCAAGTAAGGAGAAAGTTCAGTCTTGTGTCCATTGGGACAATATTTTTTCCACGCTCACAGAATGGGTGCACAAACTGGCGACTTTTGGCTAGTGGTTGTGTTTTTCTTGTGTCCATTTGTGAATACCTTCGGAGCAGGTGATGGCGTTTTTTTGCTCAACTTCACCCTTCTTGTTGTAGTCGATGTAGACGAGCTCGCCCCAGGAGCGCACGTAGTCTGCGCGCCACTGGCTGTACTTTTGTTCGACGGAGGGCATGGTTGATTATTGTTTGTTGTTAAGAGGCGAATGTGTGAGAGTGAATGAGAAAATCGGTTGTGGACGAGAGAGGGGTAAAGTGAAGGTGAATGAGTAAAAGTGAACGGGGGAATGAATGGGGTGAAAGGGTGAATGAAAGTGAGAAAAGACAAAAGGAGGGAAAGAAGGGAAAGAAGGAAAGAAAAGGCTGAAGTTGTAAATCACATACAAAAAATGATCTCGTCCGATGTCACCCTGGTTGTCTTGGATAGTCGCTGCACACGTAATGGCTGTCGGAGGCCTTTGTTACCGAGTGGAGTTGCTATCCATGGAACAACCATTGCGCGTTTTTGCATACATTGCTCTCACCGCTCAAGTCCCAACAATGAGGTACATGCGACTTTTCATGCAAATAGCCCTGTCTCTTGGTTTTTATTTTTATTTTTTATCGTTCCGGACCAAGTTGCATATTCTTGTGAACTCGTTATCGACCCTGAAAGGAGTCCGCGCATTCTCAGGGTCCCATCGCGATGACCGCCATCATTATCGCTTCGCCCTTCACTAGCACTTCATCAGCAAGTATCGGTTCCGGAGACACTGATTTGATCAACAAACAGAAATCAGGTACGATCAATTACAATAATACATTTTTTCAGCTGCTCTTTGTCCCCCAAAAAACCTCATCCACACAAGAAGACAAGGTGATGCAACAGCCCATCACAACTCCTGTTCGGGACACGCTGTGCAATGCAATGACAAAATATGTTTGTGTCAGCCCTTCTTTCTCAATCCCGGAAGAACGATCTTCACTTCTCCATGAGGTATTTTCATTCCCAAGAAAATAGCCTGCTCACCCCTTCAGCTCATTTTGCTTTTGTTCTTTCCTGTTCTTTTTCTGTGTGATGCGCCACATCCATATCCTCGTTCCATCTCCATAGTCATATCGATGATGAGGTTGGCCGTAGCAAGAGCTGCAAAGTCCCAATAGTCCACTTCCTCGATCTAATTGCGATTGTGAGGAGGCGCGAAAAAAAAGGCAGGACATTCTGGTTAGTAGAGCTGAGCCATACACTTCTTTTTTACTTTCAGGCTGTTGCATTTCAGAACAGGTGCTGCTTTTTTTGAAAGGTGAAATGCATTGTCCGGATCTGACGGCTGTTGTTATCCGGCACTTGCGGGTTCTCAGAGGATGGAAGATGTATTGATAGAGAGAGAAAAAGAGAGAGAAAAAGAGAGAGAAGAAGGGATGAAAAGGAAGAAAGGGAGAAAGAAAGAAGGAGGAAAGAGAGGGCGAGTTGAAGGTCATTCAGTCTCTTCGCGATCCAGCACCCCTTCATCATTTTTTGTTACTGTGGTGTATTGTAGTCGATTCTAACCATCTCACGACCTTTTCTGCACTCACAGCCCACTCTCTCATTCTTTCCCGCCATCCAACTCACTGTCGACTTTTTGCGAAGGACAAAAGTCCGCTTGTTCTCCTCCCCGCACAGCCAGAAAAGTGCGAGAAAACAAAAGAGTCGAAAAAAAAACGCACCGCCACCATCTCTTTCTTTTTTGCCTTTGTCACGAACCAGTGGTTGCATTTTTATTTCGTTTCTATTGTTTTCTACGCCAGACATTACATTCTCTTTTATCCCTTCCGAGGCAACCTTCGCCATTGAATCCCCTGTTCGCCAGTTCAAAAGGCTGACTGCGCCAAAACTGAAAGACCAGGCCAACGCTGTGACATAATCCCATCGGCGGCCAAAAACAATCTACATCTCTGACGATGGCAAGGGAAGACCCAGAACACCCTCAACACAGACAGACAGAATTCTTTTGTTGCTGCAGCCCACGTCGAAGGGATTGTTGGCGTCGATGAGACCAAACACACAAAGAACAATAAAAGTTGCTGCAGTTGGGTGTATGAAATGTATCAACAGACCCACTCAAACACGTCGCGAGAGGTACCGGAAGAGAGGAGACAATCGTATTGGTCTTTGACTCGGATGCTCCCTGTAACGGTCTGTTGGCACTACGTCAGTTATCCCCATCCTCCTTTCCGCCCCAGCCCATCGTCACCACACCTGTAACCTTTGTTTTCCTCGTATGCTGTACATTCGAGGGCTTCTTTTACAGTCGTTGGGGACGAGCGTGCTTGCCCCTATAGCCAACATGGGCGAAGATTACAGTAAACAGCAAAATGACTCCGAGTTGGAGACTTGGAGCAAAAGAACGCGCATAAAACAACAAGTCAACAACAAACAAGCAAACAACAGACCAGCACTCTCTTTCCCTTCACCTTCTTCCATCCCATGCAAAAGCACAATCTCCGACAACCCATCCCCTCTGGAACAGATAGGTGACGATGTGGTCAAGAATGGACTGCATCCCCCATGCATCCTCTTTCCTCTCCTTGCCATGCGTTATCTTTTGACACTCCATTGCTTTTACCTAGTTTTGAACCCTACTACCCAGTGAGGAATGAGATAGACAGGACATGCCTTCACGCCCTATTCTTGCTAATTTATTCTTTGTAGAACACAGTAAGCAATGACAGAAGGAACGAGAGAAAATAAGGCAGGGCAAAGAATGACAGAGGAGGGGGTAAAAGAAATGCAAAAGGGAGGTTGTGATTCAGTAGAGAAGGAAGGGAAGAGGGACAGTCAATCAGCTGCAAGTCTGACTTTCGAGAAAGGGGTGGCAATGTCGAACTCACACACAGTGAGAGAAACACACAAACGTACAAACACAGACATACAAACAACGACCACGGACCAAAATAGCACACAACAACAACGCAAAGCACCACCGACCACAACCTTTGATTTTAAAAATAATGTCGTTCGTTTTTTAGATCCTTTCATTCATATCGTCTTTGACAACTCGTGCCCGACCCATTGCCATCCCTTAACCATCCCTATGAGCGATACGTCTTGAAGTTGGCGCTAATTGTCCATGTACCCTCACGAGTCACTCTCCCTTTCGGTCCAGTTCACCCTCACAGAGTTCTATGTTCCAACTTTGGGCGCATGTTCCTTTTCGGCGAAAAAAGTATCCTCCAAGCCAGCCAAAAATACGAGCTCTTTTGTGAACCTTAGATGTCAGCACTGCCCTATAAATAAACAAAAACCCTGCGGGACTTTCAATGGCACAGGCACGGGGCAACAGGGAGCAAAAAAGGAAGCAACTCTCTTTTTCTAGGCTTGGAAAGCCGCTTGTTTTGTTGATCAAATAGTGGCGAATGGCTATTGCCTGGGCGGAGGGTACGTCTTTTGAAGTGTCGATTTCAAGAATGAATAAAGATATCAAAAGGTGTTGCGTGCTATTGACAACATAGCCGTATTTGAGCGGTGTTGACCCTTTTTTTGTTGTTGTTCTTGCCTTTGCGGAGGATACATTTCGTCTCTTTGAGGTCGGCCCTTTTCACCATCCCCCTTTCTCCCTTCTCCAGGTCATGTCATGCCTTCTCCTTCTCCCCCGACCTTCTTTTGCATTGCCCACATACAAACAGATACAGTTCACTAAGTGTTCGCCAATTGAATGACCCATTCATCCCATCCCATCGTGCCTAACCAACCCAGGGGCGTAAAATGTAAAGAATGAATGGGCGGGACAAATCATCAACTGCATCATAGGGACGCGACGTTGTTATATATAGCCAGCGACATGACATCCCCCTTTCACTCTTCTTTCTTCTTCTTCTTTCTCTGTTCTTCTTTCTTTCACTTTTGTTCTCGACTCAATTTCAGCTTTTACTCGTCCATCGCTTCCTTGCCCTTCCCTCTCCTCTCTCTTTACTCACAATCGACGACCCTGAAAAAGAAGCTAGTCGCTGCAACCCTCTCCTCTCCATCCAATCGTCTCAACATTGCCCTGTCCCCACCCTCAGCGACCTTCCTGAGCACCACCCCCAAATCTCCCTCTCTCCTGAGCGCACATCCCTGCCCTCAATAACACTTACACATCCACAAAAAAGATATGGCCCCATCCTACGCCTTTGCTCTCGACCCAATGGATTTAATATACGACAACAAGCGCTCCTCCCTTTTCAAACGCGCCCCCGAAGAACCACCTACCACCCCTCCCCATGGAAGCGATGACTCTAAATCAGCAAACCCCGCGGTCATCATTGGTGCAACCGTCGGTACCCTGGCTCTCGTCTTTGTGCTCTCGCTCTTTTACTGTTGTATGCGCAAACGCCAGGCCTCCCGTCGGATCGGACAACTCCAACATTTCCTCCCAACGTTTATGGATCAAGAAAAAACCGAGAAGTACTTCCAGCAGCATAACTCGTCCTCGACCCTCGTCGTCCCCGGCACCAACCCTACGTCTACATCTGGATCAAAGGACCCCTCGCAGCTTACGAATGCTCATCCCCGTGTTCGGTCGGCACCTATTGCGTTTGCTAAAGGGGTGACGGATCATCGGAACCGGCAGCTTGAACGTGATGGATCCTTGGGGCAATTCCAGCAGATCTCTTTGGCCTCCGAGGATGCTGTGACCCCACCCCATGTGCATGACCAGAAGGATGAGATTATCCCCCGTCGTTCGCTTTCTAGAAACGGTGGATCTATCCGCGCTCGAGCCTCAACCGTCACTGCTCCCCCACCCGTTGTGAGCTCTCTGCACCGCAGCATTAGCCTCAACAAGCACGGCTCTCGTCCTATCAACAGCCGCTCCAACCTCGAGGATGAGGAGGAGGATGAAGAGGCTGCCAATGCTGACCGCTTCGCCGAGGGTGAATCCCTCATTGCCCCCAACCGGTTCTCGACCCTCCTGGAATTGAGCCCCGCAGATTTGAACAACATCAACAATGCCAACCGGTTTTCGGCAACTTCTTACAATGGCGGGTTGGACCCTGTCTTTGACCCAACCCAGTTCTCGACGGCCTCGGTCATGTTTGACGCCAAGCGCATCTCCAATCTCTCGACTGCTTCTTCGGAGGATTCAGTCTCGACCTCTTCCTCAGACGAGTTCAACGACCACCTGCCCCCACACCAGAAACACCATTCCTTCCATAGTCATCATACCTCGCCCACGATGAGAAGCCGCGAGATTGCAACCGATGTACCCGGGCCTATTGTCCCCAACCACCCTGCCTACATCGGTGATAAACAAGAATTGGATGAGGACGACGACATTCCGACTCCTTCTGTCTTCCACCAGAACCAGAACTTGCCACAGTTCCATGTCAGCACACCTTCGTCCATATCCAGCCAGGGCACGCCTTCAAGCTACCCTCAGCAGCAGCAGGTAGGAGGTCCCCCATCCTTCTACCCCCCACAGCAACAGCATAATACCCCATGGCCCTCGGGTAACCTGCCGATGGCGATGCCCGTCCCGCAGCCCTACCAGCCACCAAACGTCCTCGTCTCGAAGGCTGAAGAGAGCGAAGGCGATGCCCGCTAAAATAGCCATTTGCGCGCGCACTGCCAAGCTCTTTTGAGTCTTCTTTTCTTTTTGTTTATAGTGGCGGTGTTGAATGTAAATATCTTTCTTAGTCGTAGAAGTTCAGAACATGTAAATAAAATGGATATAACATACAGAACGGGTAGGAGGGAGGGGCTGTGTGTGTGGCAAAGTATCTTTTTGACGCTTTTGTTCTATTTTTTAAGAGTGGTGCCTGAATTAAGGGGTAGGGGTTCTTTCGCACTAATCCCATGTAAAGCGAGCGAGCAAAGGTCAAAATAATCGGTTGCTCACAGCCCTAAATTTTTTTATGTTGCTCTTCTCTGCGGCGGTGCGAAGTAAGGGGCGGTGCTGCTGCTCTCACTTTTTCTTTTTTTCCACAAGTCGCCCTCATCAACGCCAGAGCTCGTAGACAAGGACGGTACGATTCCGATCCTCGACCGAAAACTGCTCTAGATCCTCTTCCTCCAACAACTCACTCTCCTTCCGCAACTCATCAGGACTCCTAGTCTCGCCCCAGAGAGGCACCCTCCGGATCTCAACCAGCCTCGACTGGAGTCCAAACAACGGAGAAGTCGCTAGAGCCAAGAATCGTTGAACAGTGTTGTACCCTGTATGGAGTCCACAACAGACGAGGATCTTGCCCTGTCCGTCTTCTCTCAGCACCGCAAGGCAGGACTTGAGTAGATCGGCGTGTCCGTCTGACACCCAGAGCGTATCTGCTAGTAGAATCCAGTCGTACCTCTTCTCATTGCTGTCAGTGACTTCTCCAGTCCCTGTTTCCGATGACTCTGTCGAAGATGATAGACAGTCCAGCATATCCTGGACACTTTCTCCCCAGGCATGTCCACGGACTGCACATCTCACGTGTTGCTCCTCCTGGTCTCGCCTTGATCCCTTGACAAACGGTGCCGGCGTGACAATCTCCTTGTACGTCTCTGTATCGAACGAGGGGGTTCCTGCTATCCGCCTGGCGCTCTTGTCCTGATCAGACTCGACAAGGTTCTCAAACCAATTGCGTTCCAGGTTTTGGACGATAGCTGGGTCCGGGTAGTCGGTGAGTGTTGCAAACTTGGCGCCGCGCTTTACGCAAAGGAGTCCTGGCAATGCTGCTCCTGCTCCAAACTCAATCACTATTACGTTTTAAAAATAATATGCGTGAGAAAAGCGGAAAACAAACAAAAAAGGAACCAGTTTACACACTACACAGAACAACAGCGAGAGAACGTACCTCGCTTGCCACGAACATCAACAAGATCCCCAGCCTCAACATACTCGGCCATTACCAACGCCGCATTCCAGACATAGTGCGACATGAACTTGACCACCCCTCCCGCGACATTGGCGAGATGTAGCTGTAGGACCCCCTGTCGGTAATCAAAGATCTGTCCTGCCTCGCCATTGGCGACTTGAGAATCGCCAAAGAGTCCGATGCTTTGTTCGAAGCCGTCCAGAAAGTCATGTCCTCCTCCTGATGCTGAGGAGGTGGTGGTAGGTGCTGATGAAGAAGTGGACGATTCCTGTTGACGCTTTTGGGTGCGTTCGAGGCGCTTGAGGCGGTCGGCTTCTTGTTGGGCGGGTGTCCTGACAAAAGGAGTTGTTGTCTTTTTTGTCGCCATGGTGAAGGAAGAGGGAGGATGTTGATCTAAAGTATGCGTCGAGAGGGGGTCACAGAAAGAAAGGAAAAAAAGTCAGAACGTCAAAATAATAAAAAAAGGGTCTTGATGTCCAGACGCTCTTCTTTTCCTTTTGTAGCAAATGACGAACATGTTTTTTTTTTCTTTCTCGAACGTACTTGGGGCTTGTGTACGTGTGTGTTCCAATCCATCCGCCCTTCCTTTCTGTCAGTTGCCACTCTGGCGTCTTTATACCGTTTTACTCCTTTTCTTTTCTTCTTTGCTTTGTATGTTGCAATTGCCCTTCACACAGTCCATTTGAACTGCAAGAGGGGTAAAAGAGAGTGACTGTTGCCTTTCAATTGATTCTTCAGGATTTATGTTTGATCAGATTATTCTCCTCAGAGTAAAATAAACAAATTGTGATGGTGCCTGAGTGGATGGGGACTGACCTTCTATTGGTCGTCGATCATCTTTGGCTGCAGGAAGGACTACCAATTTCTATCCCAAGTGTTCCTCTTTTCCTTTTGCAGACAGTCCAGTCGACATTAACATTTCGCTGGCTCTCTTGTTTATCGCCCATCGCTCTATACCTGTTTCTCGGGACGGTGTGTTGTAGAGAATGGCCTTAACAAGTTTTTTTTTACTTGTTGTGTATGAAGCATGCCAATTCATACCTCGCCTTTGTCGCCAATACCCAACAGCAACAGCAAGAGGTCGCTATTTCTCAAGATCGTGTGGACACTGGAGAAGAAAACGAAAGCGAAATGGTGTCATTCTCACTCGTCTCTTCTTGACCCTCATTCTCTTCGGAATGGCAGTCTGGCCAAACATAAAAACAGCTTACGCCAAATTAAGGAACCACAGGCGCGAGAAAAAGGAAGAACCTGTCAATATCCTCTACTCCTCACCTCTTAAAGGCAGGTCTTTGTTGTTAGACTGGCCATGGAGAATAAGAAGTATCTTGTGGACTTGGGAACACTGAGCAACATATCAAAGAGATCTCGGGTCTGTATATAAATGTATGCATTCTTATTCTTATTTTTCATCGTTGTGAACAAGGTCAAAAGGATACAGTGAGGCGCTGTGTCAACCAACCTCCCTTCTAGACTATCAATCCCGGGCCTACTCTCGGGGAGTGTTCCTCGCCTTCGATCTGTCATTTGCAAGGTACATGTACATCGGTTTCTGATAAATATTATTTCTGCAAGACCATAGTTTATCCTGCGCGTCCTAGCCGACTATTGGGGGAAGACGTGTTGGTACTGTACATGACTCGGAGAGAGATGAGCTAAAGCTGTTTGGTTGAAGATCTCTTTTTTTTCAATAAGCGAAAGGTCTGGGGGAACTCTGCTGAGAACAAGAGAGACCTTATTTTTGTCGCCATCGGATGACCCATTCCACAATGTAGAGTGGACTAGCGCGAAAAAAGAAAAGAACACGAAAAAGAAAGCAAAACCTTGGTCTGTACCTCATCTACAGCAAAGTCCGCTTTCCCTTTTGAGAGAAGGACAAGAAGAAGGCTTCTTCAGGGGCAAAAGTATATGGTTTCGCCCATCTTCCTCACGCCGTACTTTCTTAGTCTCACTCCTCTCCTTTCCTTCAAAACTCTAACACCCTCTTGCTCTTACCCTTTTTACTCCGCTTGCCTGTTGCGTACATGTCTCCCTTATATAGCCGACTGGGGCTACTACTGTAGCTCCTTTCCAACAGTGAACCACTCAGAAACCAATCCTCCTCCTTAGTACTTCAATCTGATAACTAATGCCCGCCTGTTCTAGAATATCCTCGGATCAGATAAGGTTGCCTATTTGTCGCCTCGCACATTAGCACTAAGTCACCTTGATGTTTATGAGATCCCCCATTATATACCCCAATCCTGCTCTACTCAATACACATAAACGTACCGAAAAAAAGATGAGCGCCTCGGGGAGAGATCGACATACATTCACCTTTCAACAACAACCCTGCGTTGGTTGGTGCAATGGCTTGTTTGGTGGGACAGCAGAGGGGGAAAAAAAGAGTATATAACATGCACTCTTCCCCTGCATCAGCTTTTTTTCTTCTTCCACCCAGGACTCTCCTCCTTTCCCCTCCTCTCACCCTAGTTCCTCTCTTCCCGCTCGTCGTTTGACAACCACGCAAAGCTTGGTTATCTGCATCCTTCATTCTCCCCATTAAGTTCCATCCTTTGAGAGACCACAGCTAACGACGACAGCGCCATCTACCATGGAGTACCACGCCAGCAAGGAAGAAAGGGCCATCGGCGCCGAGGTCAAGGAAGCTCCTCTCGTGGACGCTGTTCCTGAGACTGAGGAGTACAGCAACATCCTCGAGCGCAAGAACATGTCCAAGAGAGAATTTTACTGGCTTTGGGCTGGGTAAGTTTTTCTCTCTCTCATATTCCTCCTCTCCTTGCTGTCTATTTGCACCAACCGTCATTCTCGAAAGGCGACCATGCATACAGGCGTACAGCAAAAACCTACTCACGCTGCAGCTGTTGCTGTGCATCCCTCTCGTCCTGCCTTCTAACTCTCCTATCTCCTTTTCACTGTCTAAACAAACAAACGTAGTGTTCTCATTCAAGCCCTGTGCATATCGTTCGAGGCATGTCTGACCCAGGGCATCAGTGGTTACGTCGCCAGTTACTTCGGAGTGACCTCGCTCACGGCCGTCCTACCCACCATCCTGGCCGTGCTCGCGACCGCTCTAGTGCCCTTCTACGCCAAAGTCTCAGACGTCTTTGGCCGTGCCGGATCGCTGACCTATGCTTTCACCTCGTACCTCGTGGGCTTGACTATTGAAGGTTCTGCTCAATCGTTCCTGCACCTCGGCATTGGTCAGATCTTTTACGGCATGGGTGTTACTGGTATCCAGACCTTGTCCCAGGTCGTCATTGCAGGTATGAAAAAGAGCACCGGCTCTTGTCTTTTATTGTAATCATGCACTTCTTCTCCCCGCTATCCCTGCTAGCATGTATACTCACCCAAATTTTCGTGTCCACCATGGAAAAAAATAGACACAACTAGCCTGCTTCATCGTGGTATCATGTTCGCCATGTACGATATGGGTAACGTCGCCAACATCTGGGTCGCCCAGGCGCTTATTGATCCCATCACTCTTGGTGGAGCCAAGGACAAGTGGCGCGTCGCGTACATTGTCATGGGCTGCGTCTCTGGGTTCGGTGCCTTGGCTCTCCTCATCCCTCTTTGGTACGTCCAACTATCTCTCAAGCGTCGCAAGGTGGCCCAACCTCCTCGCCGCACCCTCCGTTGGCTCGCCACCGAGTTTGACATTCCTGGTGCCATTCTCATCCTCCTGGCCTTGTCGTTGACATTGATGCCCTTGGTCCTCGCGCGTCGTGCCGCCAAGAACTGGCAAGATCCAGCTATCGTCGGCTTGTTCTGCTCAGGCATCGTCTTCTTCGTCCTGCTGTTCGTCTGGGAGGCCAAGTATGCCACGCGACCCATCATGTCGTTCAAGATCTGGACCAACCGCACCGCCTTTGGATCTTTGATGATCTTGTTCCTGCTCAAGGTCCTCGGCAACGTCGTCTGGCAATATCTGACTCAGTACTTTATCGTCTCGCGCGACATTACCTTTGGTCAGTCTTACTTGCTCGTCCGCGGTTTCCAGATGGCATGGCTCATTTTCCAGCTCATTGCAGGCTTGATCATGAAGCGGTACAAGAAGGCGCGTTTGTTGGTCTGGATCGGTATCTTTGTCTACGTCCTGGGCGTCGGTCTGATGATCCCTGCTCGCCACCAGGATGCCTCGATTTTCCTTATCGTCATCTCTCAGACGATCGCCGGAGCTGGTGGTGGAATGGCCCACTTGGCGTGTTCGGTCCTCGTCACGGGTGTCGTCCACAAGAAGGATGTCGCTACCGTCGTTGGCGCCTCGCAGATCTTGGTCTCGTTCGGTTCGGCTGTGGGTAATGCTGTGGCAGGAGGCATCTGGACCCAGTACCTGCCCTCGCGTTTGCGTGTGCGCGTCACCCGCCCCTACGACATGGACCGCGCCATGAACGATCCACTCGAGTATGTCAAGTTCCTGGATCCCATCACCAAGCAGCAGGTCGTGGACGCCTACAGTGACTCGCAATGGTTCATGAGCATCATGGGTCTGGCCGTGGCTGCCCTGACGATTGTCTGTGCGGCCATGTTGCAGCATGTCAACTTGGAGCAGGATCAAGATACCCAGGATCGCATTGCACTTGGCGAGGAGATCCCTGAGATCGAGGACGAGAAGAAGGAGATCAAGAACTGAGGGCTGGGGGCAGCTACTCTTTTGTAATTTACTTTTTATTTATCGTTCTGCTTTAATATATCTCTGTTTGTTTCAACATCAAAGTGTTTTCCACCAAAGAAGAGGGAGAAACAACAAGAATCCACATATTCTTTGGACCCCTCTCCCCCTCCTCCCCCTTTATTTTCTTCTTCATATACCTATGGAGAACAATACAAACACATCCTAATGTCAATTTTGAAAATTTTGCCGCGATCGATGCATGCGCTGGTCCTTGAGCCCACAAAGAAGCGGACATGCTTAAGCTTCGGCCAGCGTTCATCCATCCAAGCCACTTCCTTCCAATCCATCGTTTGTCCTGGTTCTCTTCTGTGTCCGCCCGGACCGATCCCAGCCTCCAATTTCGTCAGTCCTGAAAAAGTGGCCTCAAGAATCCCCCGGCCGGCCTTTCCCAAGGTGTTTCCGAGAGCTCAATATGGGCAGGGGAACGACATCGGGGATGTTTTCGCCCGTCCCTCATCCCACCTGACCCCCTTTTTCACTCGGATCGAACACTGTGATATCCCCAACTGCCGGGGTCTTTCAGGAATGTCACAAGGGGACTGGAGGAGTTTGTAAGTTCACTCGAATGATCGGAACCATGAATGGCTACATTTACCTTGGGAGGATTCAGTGTCAGGCGGAGTGGGGGGGAGGGGTCTGCTCCAGGATTTTCGTCACCTTGAGATGTCTATCAGGGGTCATGGAGTTGACATCTGATCCCGAGCATCTGTTTTTTTTTTTTTTTTTTTAACTATGAGCAAGAGAGAGAGAGAGTCGCCTTTGGTTCTTTCCGTGGAGGGAGGCCGAACAGTTTTTGGCCATGCTGGGAGAGGTGTACCGACGACTTGGAGTATTGGGAGAGGTTGGAGCATGTGCTCCTGGCACCCCTTATAATCGGTATGACAAGATGATATTTCCCTCGCCATCCTCAGTCTTGGTGATCCAGCGAGTAACCGCCCTGGGTACTTGGATCTCTTGAAGGGCTGGACGAAACTGGTGGATCCATGCGAACGAATACGGATGAGACCAGAGTGACAGTGGGTGAACGGGATTCACTGTGGATTGAGGAATATTGGTGGAGCCCTCGCGGGGTCGACGTTTTTTTTTATGTTTTATTTTTTTTTATTTTTTTTTTGGAAGGCGGGTGATGAGATTGAAGGTCCTTTTCAAGGAGCTCCAGGCCCCGGCGCAGAGATCGTGGACCCGAGTTGACATTGGCGGCGAAAGAGGACCGTTGAGAATTATGAAAGGCAAGATATGTATTGTTCTTCTATACCCAAGGCATATAATACAGCCAAACTTCCAACATCGTTTTTGGGCATTATCACATTTTCGTCCGCATGATTCAGAAAAGAGTATTGTGTTTATTTCTTAGTTGTCCAGGAGAGCATCAAACGGCCACGACCATACTTGCGCTGCTCCTGGAGCCAAGTAAACGGGGCGCTGATATCTTCGTTGAAGTGAAAGAAATAGGCTAGACGGAGCTGGGGCCAGTGTTCGTTGATCCAGACGCATTCCTTCCACTCCATCGTCTTTTTGTTCTCCTTCGTGTCTGCACGAACCGATCCCTTGAAATTCTCCAATTTGCTCAATCCCGCAAGGTGGCCCAAGTATCCTGGTCTACCCTGCCAGGGATCTCCAAGACTCAGCATGGCGGGGAACGAGTGCGGCACGGCCAAGATGTCGTTCCAGCTCCACGAGGTTTCATCCACCTCGCCTTGTCCGTCAAACTTGACTATCGTGATACTCAGATCCCGGAGCTCGGTAAGTCGTCCAATCTGGATGTAAAGCTTCTCGAGCTGGGACAAGAGATCTGTCTCGGCATGTGTGAGAGCGATTGGCGCTGGACGGTCATAGTAGGGCAGGCTCTCGGCATCAACAGGGGGCAGCACGCAGCCACTGACGGAGATTGTGAGACTCCTGAGCTTGGTGCAGCGCCAGGGCGATCCTTGGGCGTCAGCCAAATCGATATAGACTCCACCGCCGTAACCTCCCATATGCAGCTTTGTGAGGTTCATGCACTCGTCGAAAATAGCACCAACGGATATCCTTCTAAAGCCGCCGTTGATTCGACTGAACGAGAGAGTTCGGAGGGTTGTCGAGTGCTTGACGATCGTCAGGTTGGCTGTTGGAAAGCTCAAATCCGAGAACTCGCCCATGTCGATGAAGTCAATGATTTGTTGAGGAGGCAGCTCTTGCATGATCCGGTAGGGAAGAGAGTCGAGTTCTTCAGATTCAACCGAATAATAGGACAGACTGTTGATATGAGGACACTGTCTTCCAATGAATCCACCAATGTCCTGGACATTGTAATGCCCGTTGATGTCGCCTATGACCAGCTTCTGGATGTTGGGGCATTGCGCAAAGACGGAGAGAATGTCGGCTGCAGTGGTTTCGTCGGTGGTTCTCCAGAGGCGTAATTCTAATAACTCGGTTAACAGCCCCTGCCTTCTTGGCACCACCACCAACTCTCTGCTGCTCCCGCCGTCGCCTGTCTCAGAGTTATCTTGTTCCTCGCGCGTATCGCCCAGCTCCATATGTCCGAAATTAAAACTCTGGATCGACGGACTGAGACAGTTAAGCAGATCCAACCCCAATTGAAAGCCTCGGTTCAGATGGCACGCGATCGAAACATTCAGATACTTTAGCCCTCTAAGGTCGGCGATCGTTCTGAACAAAAGTCGGCAGTTGCAAGAGGCCGTGATAGGCAAAGAGTGGATGTGAAGGTTGGTCAAGTGCGGGTTGTGAGAGATCAACCAACAATTCTGGGCCAAGGCCAGTTGGGGCTCGCTGGCACTTGGTAATTTGATCTCCAAAAACCTTGTAAAATAGAAATCGAGGTGCGTGAGGCGGGTCATGGGCGGCAGAGCAACAAATTCACAGGTTATGGGGTCGCGAGCCGGATACCAAGACGGTCGAGGTCCAGGGGCGTCGTCAGACTGTTCCTTGAGCTCCTCGAATGTTTGGACGCAATTGTAGTAGTAGGCAAGCTCGTCCGAATTAAAAGTTAGCTCCTTGACATGCCGAATGTTGCGCCCTAAGGCCTGTGTCCTGGAAGTGGATGTAAAGATTGCGATGGGGTCGAAGAAATTGAGGCTCTTGAAGAGGAAGGGTGACAGGCGAGCGTGCAAGTCTCGGTTGGTGCGAGAGAGTATGGAGACATCCTCTCTTGTGAGGTGCAATGCGAGTTGATTGACCAATTCTAATATATCAAAGAACCTCTGGCAGAACGACGAGTTCATGGTTGCTATGGTGTTGTCGAATGAGAAAGGGATGGAATGAAGGATGAAGAAAGAAGAAGGCGAACGGATGGGCAGTGCTCAAGGTTGACATAAATCTGGTGGGCAATAGTGAAACAGTGGCTGAGATCAAATGACAATTTGCATATGAAATTAGGAATGCACAGATTTGTATGCCAATCTGTTCAGCCCACACCCACCTTTATTTCTGCACCACAATATATAAAAAAAGGACTCTGGTCTCACCGCCAGAACTTGAACATCACCTAAAATAACAAAAAAAAATATGAAGAACCTGCTTCTGTCAGCAGCCGCAACATTATCACTCATCTTTAGCTTGTTCACAAGCGTCCTCTCAACAACCCATGCAATACCTGCCGTAGCTTCGCCTGAACCTAGAGCGGTCACCACCAAAGTCGCGTCAGGTCAGTCTCTGAACAACCGCCATCCTTTCTCGGAATCCTCCTCGGCTCTCAGGGGCGCAGTCAACGATGCTCAAACTCCACGCACCGAAGCAAATGATCTTGAGCCCTCCATATACCATCATCAAGCTCGGTGCTGGCATCCCTTTACCTCCCAACGCCCTAGCACCGTTTTGTAAAAACACTATGAGGACCATTGAGGAAATAGGTGAGGTGGATATTCGTTTATCATAAAAAAAGTGCTTTTCCACGAGTGCTGCCTCTTCACTCTTTTCGTTATTTCTAAATGACTTTTTGTTTGTTGAACAGAAAAATAACTAGGATATCATATAAACTAAGGAGTGGGTTGGGCGTCGGGGGAGGTAGCTGTAGCGGTCGTAGAGGTAGTGGTGGCCGCTGGCACGGCACCTGTCGTTGTCGTCGTGGCAGTCGTAGCAGTCGTAGTCGTTGTTGTTGTCGTAGCAGCTGCGCTTCCAGTAGAGGATTCAGCAGGCGGGAGTGACCCCTTCTTCATCAAAAATACATACGGTCCCGACAATGGCTCTCCGTCCGTGATACTCGAGGCAATACTGGGGGTAGAAGAGGTCGAGGGCGGCAGCTCCATCGGCTCAGACGCCAACTCTGCAACTCCGCTGTGGTTACTGCTGGCGGGAGTGGCCTTGGGCGACATCATGATCGACGGCCGGGGAGCTGAAGGAGGAGAGGCCACCGTGTGGGTAATTGTTGGGACTGCGCTCTCCTTGTCTTCCTTCATCATGTTGTTCTTGATGTAGGCCGCTGAGAGTCTGAGACTCTTGGAGAGTTGCGCCTTAACCTTGTTAGCACGGCTTCCCGACATTGACATCGAGTGTGAGAGCGCATACAGTCCGTGAGATGTTGACAAGGACGACGAATGGTGGTGATGGTGACTGCGCGACGAAGGGGAAGGTTCAAGGTGCTCAGAGTGATTAGTGGGAGATGTGGAGATGTTGGCGGCGTTCTGGAGAGTGTATTCGCCGCCGCTGCCTGATTTTTGTGCTCCAGGAATCACGACAGCTCCTTTGGCCTTCTCGGAAGCCTCGGAGGTCGCCTTGTTGGCGGCAAAGAGAGCTGTTCCGAGTCCTCCATCGCTCTCTCTGCGTTTCACAAAGAGACTCGAAAGATCCTGTTGCATCGACGAAGGTTGTTGTTGACGATAGACGTTGGTTGGGTATGATCCAGCAGCTGAGGGCGAAGAGACAGCAGACGTAGGGGCGCTCACAGATCCCGCCAAGGGTGCTGGTCCCTGTGGACGAAGCCGTGGTGACAGCGTCAAAGAGGCTCCAGAATTGGGTGGGGAACTGAAAGTGGCACCGGCGGATGAGTCACCGTTGATGGGCGGGGATCCTGGCATGGGATCTCCTCGGGCGGCGCTCTTGGATCGGAGATACTCCATGGCTGAGCCGCCTCCTTCCCCTCTCATATGGACAACCTGGCCCAAGCTCCGTCGGTTAGATCGTTGCTGAAAGTGCTTGATGTCCTCAGGATCCACCGTCGAGTCCCATCCATTGTTGCTACAGGCAGATCCTGAGAGGTCAACAACGGGTGAGGTTGACGTTCCCGGATTAGAGGCTACAGTCTCAGTCACGGATCCATCACCAGCAGTCGAAACTTGCGCCGATGTCTCTGTTTCCTCGTCCAGCATCCTGACCTTAACACTAAGGTTGCTTGTGGCTCCGTTCTGAAGCATAAACTCGGCCATGGGGTAAACCTCATACAGATCATCCAAACTAAACTGGACACCGTTCTTGAGTGCGAGGAGCAATGGAGAGGTCTGCATCACCGTGAAGGAAGCCGCCGAACGGTCAGCCTGCGAAGGCGATCGGGCGTCAAGCGAAAGAGGCTGGCTCGAAAGAGCATCCTGACTAGCGCTTGGGGCAGCTCCTGGGGCGTTCAGGATGGAGGACGCGATGGTCGATCGAGAGTAGCGGGAAGATGTCTCGGAGCCCATTGAGAGACTTTCCAAGTTTGCCTGCAGTTGGCTGTCGCTCAGAGCCGAGGATCCCGTGGTGTCATCCGACCCCATCGCAAAATGGCCGGGTCCTGGGGAATTTCCATCGGTCTCTGGATCAACTTCCTGAATGGCGTTCAAGTCGGCGCCAGCAGCAAACGCCGCAATGACTCCGGGGATGTTGTTGGCAGTGACCTCGTTGAAGAGTGCTTTGGTGATTAAGGCTACTTGCTCTTCCTGCGTTTCTGTATCGCCATAGTACCGCTTCCTGTCGACAAAGGCTCGTTCAACGTACTTTTTCTGGATGAACGAGTCCTTGTAGTCACGAGAGTCGTTCACCAGAGGACGTCTAAAGACGATCTTGGTCGATGTATGATCGTCATGAGTCTCCGACTGAACCAGGTTGGCTTCCCAAGTCTTGTTTGAGGTCTCGTTACCAACAGCACGGATAAAGTCGAAAAGGTCGCGGGTATATGATGTTGTGTCCAAAGTGAACGACCGAACCTTGGAGATATGAGTTCCCAGACTGCGATGAATTCCAGAGCATTCTATGTGAATAGAGGCAAACAATTAGAGTTGAATTCATAAAAAGCAACCAATTGTCATATCAGTAACAAGCAAATGCCATGTCATCTTACCAATGCAGATGAGGATGCCGAGGTTGATGGCACACCAGTCAGGGTTCTTGGCCCCGCATTCAGCACAAAAGTTGTTGGCTGGGTGAGAATCCCTCATTATTTGCAAAAGCCGGGTGCCAAGGTGATCCATGTCCGGCGTCTCAAAGGCTCTGCCAAAGTCATGCGAACCGCTGGCGGTATGTCCATGACGGCTTCCAGTCATGGGCAAGCCGTGCAACATCTGCTCCATGCTGGATCGTCCTGCTCCGCTGAATCCTGACATCAATCCGTCGACGCCAAAGACACCAGTTGACTTGGAGTCCTTGCTGTTGGGGGAGTAATAACCGAGGTTCTGACAGCTGCTTGTTCCGTCCAAAAGACTCTGGATGGCATTGGAGATGACGCTGATCCAAGAGTTCATGTCCTCTGCGCTAGTGGCCTGGTAGATCCTCCTGAACTTGGGGGTGATCACCTCAAAAGTGAAGCGTCTATCCTGGTTCCGGCAAGCACGGACGGTCGAAATGCGGAGGTTGATGGGCTCGTTGTGAAGCATGGCGGCGCCCCTCTTCCAGTGCGAGTACTCGTGCATGTGGCCCTCGGAAAGCACACACCAGTACTTGTGCCAGTTGATGTTGGGCTTTTCCAAGACGGCAGAATTGTTGTGCATGCTGGGTCGGCTGGTCGCAAACAAGAATCCCTCCTTACGGCGTCCGAGGGCGGTTCCGGCGTCAATGTCCTGGTGCTCCAAGTCACGAATACCGCTGAACTTTGGTACCTGGTTATTTTGTTGTGCGCCACCAAATTGCAGTGACCCATTGGAGATACTTCCAGTTGTACTCTTCTGATCAGATAGAGTTGTGTTGTCGGCCTGGTCACCGGAGGGCTCCAGAGATCCTCGAAGCATCTCGAGCGGGCTGTCAGAAATGACGTCGGGGCTGTTAGTGGACGATCCTGCGGAAGCGGACGCCATCATTGGGGTCGATCCACCCTTGGAGATCGTAGGTGAAAGGTGAAGTGCATTCACGCTGTCATCCTGTGACTCGAGAAGTTCCTTTCTCCGTTCCTGTCGCTCCTTCCTGACGGTAGCAGCTCGCTTGTGGGACTCCAAAAGATCGGCAGCAATCATGTCCAGACCAGGTTTAAGGCTTTCGGCCAACAAGGCAGTCTCGACCATGTTTCTGCAATGTTTCTCGGAGTAGTTGGTGAGATGGTGGAGGATCTCGTCGCTCTTGCTACCACCAACGCGCATGTCCAGCAGGAATCCCCAGTACTCGAAGCGCTTGATCTCAAAGTGCCTGCGCTTCTTCTCGTACTTGGCATCGGCCTCGCCCTTCTTGCGGTTGCTCTCCTGCTTCATGGCCATGTACTTGGACAGGAACTGGTAATAGTCCTTGCTCTCGTCGTCAAACGTCTTGCGATGAGTCTCTGCTGCCTTGATGTCGTTGCCGTAGAATCGGGTGAGCGGCTCGATCAGCAAGCTCCGCATCTGGTTGGCCAATGCCTCGGACCTCTCCGCCAAGCTCTCTGACATGGGTCGAAGGTAGCTGTTGACCAATGGCTCAGCGGGCCTAAAGGTCTCCATCTCTTTGATAAAGATCTCCTCTGCAATCACCCAAGACTTCCTCGCATCGACGACCGCCTGTGCGGCCTTGAGGATCCTCTTGGTGGCGGCCTTCATATCCCGAATGTTGTTCTCGCACTCCACAACCGTGGCTCGAAACAATGGACCATCCTCTGTGTCGTGTGCGAATGGGGCAGGTTGTGGGTTGGACGGACTGGCAGAGGTGGATCCCGATCCTCCTTGGGTGCCAATAGCAACCTCGGGCAGACTTGGCAGGGAGCCGTGGCTAGCGGGGATGGAGAGGAATTTTGTGTGAAAGGAAGGCAGTTTGCCCACATTGGTGTTGAATCTCTCGGGAGTCGAGGCTCTTCTCCAATGACGTCCGCCTCCCGAAGATGTCAATGTGGCAGGGAGCGAGTATCTTGGTCCAGCAAAGCTTTGCTCGGTTGGTGGACCATCTAAAATACAGAGTAAGGAATGAATGTAGAGTCAGTTTGTGTGATTATGTGTCATATCTAACGGAGAATTTACAAAGAGTGTTTGACGACATACTAACGATCCAAAGAGAAAATTGGGCCACGATTTTTGTAGATGCCGAGGTAGGGTCCCAGTAAAGGAACTAGATAGTAAAAGAAAGGGGAGCAAACAAGTTAGGATAAGGCATAACAACACCGCAAAATCTTGTACGATGATTGGACAATTGAAAAGTTGTTGGTGGAATGATGGATTGTGGGAAACCTACTGCAAAAACGGCCTTGTGCTCCACAACTGTATCCTCGACGTTCTCTTTGGGCGTATAGGTCGCTTCCCACTCGTAATGACCGTCTTTGTGCTCGTTCGGAAGGGCGATAACCTCCGATATGGTATAGTCCTTCATCTATATCATCAAAAAGGAAGTGTTAATTATCTAAACGTTGCAGGATCATCATGATCGACAGCAAAGGCAGCCTGTTGGCCGTTCACGTTTCATCTCGGAAGTAAAATAACAAAAAGAGATTTTGGTTCCGCTACCTGACGTTGAGGATCGAATGTACGGCACAACCCCAGCATTTCTTGATCCGACCTAGCTTTTGCAAAGTACAGCAAAGTGGCATCCAGAGGAGTTGCTGGGAGGTCTTTGGAAGAGACCTCCGTTTTTACGATAGATCCTGAGGGATCATCGCTGTTGATGCACGGCGTCTCCCCTTCTTCTTCCTCCTTAGCTTGGCGGCTCTGCTGCGAGTCTGCATTGCTATTGTTGTCTATAATGCTGGATTGCAGAGCATCGGCCTCAGAAACAACAATTGTTGCCGGTGGTGATGTCGTTGATGTTGCTCCCTCTGTTGGCACTGACACTAGTGGTGACTCGACTGCTGCTGTGGTGATGGTAACGTCGGGCGTAGTGGAGGTAGCGGAGGCGGTGGTGTCGTGTGAACTTGGTGGGGTAGTGGTGGTGGTGGTGGTGTTGTTGTGGCCAAGGTGTTGAGAGCCATCTTTTTTGGTATCGTTTTCGGTGGGAGTATGTTCCTGAGGGTCATGGACGCCCTGTGGCACATTGGACGACGTCAAGGAGTCGAGAATGGTCCCCTTGATGTCAAACAAAAGTCGAACCCCACCCCCTGCTTGAACTTTAAGCAGAAGGGCGGGAATAGTAATAGTGGTTGTTGCTGTGGCGAGGTCTGTCGTTAGTGTTTTCGTTGCTGCTGGTTGCTTTTGTTGTGATTCCTGTCCTGACCCTGACCCTGGCCCTGACTCTGACCCTGACCCTGACCCTGATACTGAAGCTGACTCGACGAGACTGTCGGTCGGTGTAGGGGTAGGAGGGGACACATGGATGTGATGGTGGTTGTTGTCGTGGTGGTGGTGGTGTGGTTCAGGGTCCTGGACATACTCGATCCGGTCCAGGGTGTGGGATCGGACTGCGAAAGTGTCGTTGGGCTGGACGGACACAGTCACCGCGGGTGAACTCGTCGCACTGTGCACCGTGATGCTCGCGATAGCAACTATAGGAGGAAAGTGGTTGAAGGCGGCAACGTTGAAAGTAGGTTAGGATAGGAAGACTGACAACAAAAGCAACTTGGCCGAGAGAATGGGAGAGAGGTGTGAACGAGAGACAAGCTGGAAGCGTGTTTGTGTGTGAAAGTTGACTTGCATTGTGCGGGGTCTGGTTGAGAGAGGGACGAGGGGATGTGAGCAGAGTTGGCAAGTGCCATGGTCTGAAGGTCCGAATGGGAAGAGGTCAAGGGAGAGAGAGAGAGAGAGAGAGAGAGCGTGGCTGTCGTGGCTGTCGGTCGGTCGGTCGGTCCGGTCGGTCTGTTGGTGAAAAGAGGGTGTTTTGGGCTGGTGATGGAGGAGAGAAGACAAGGGTAGGTGGGTGACGGCGGACGATGGGGATGATGACCAGGCAGGGAACAAAAGAAAGAGGATGGCGAGCGGGAGGGAAGGAGGGAGAAGTGGGAGAGGGAGGAAGGGTGTGAGAGAGTGAGAGAGTGAGACGAAGAAGAGAGAGAGAAGGGAATAATAAAAAAGGACGAGGCAGCACACTTTTTTGCACTGTTGGATTGGAGGAGGGAGAAGGACGAAGGAAGGAGAGGGAAACGCACAAAGAGAAATAAGAAGAGGCCAAATGGCTTATTCGATTATTTAGCCAATGGGTATGGGACTACTGGATATTGGGAAGGGGGTTGCCGCTGGCTGTTGACTAGTCTACGACAGCAAAGATACACACAGCAGGTAGTTCTGTGGAGAGAAATATGGAAATATCGAAGGGGGGCAGGGGACAGGGCAAGAGAACTGGCTATACCGTAGTCAATGGCCATACATATGCCACTAACAAGAACAAACATTCGTGAGCATTTTACCTTGGCTTCACCTGGTCGTCCTTTCCTCTCTTTCTCACATAAGGAGGCATGCTGCTCACCATTTTTTATTTTCTTTTCTTTTTGCCTTCTGGTCATTCGGGGGAGCCCTCATTCTTTCTTTCTTCCTTATGTCTCTTCCCTCTTTCCCTATTTCAACTTTCGATCGAACGTCCTCACCCATGTCTCTCTCTCTTTTTTTTTAAACATTTGGTACCTTCTCAATTGATACCCTAGGAAGACCCTAGCATACCACTCCAACCATTGGAACAAATCGCACCCTTGGACTAACCATCCCCTTTAGCAAGCAGATCCTACTTGACTTCAACGAATACGAACAGGAAAACAAATACAAGAACAATTGGCACCAATGGTTCAACATATGCGAGAGCGTTATTATTATTTGAACACAAGGCCACAACCCTTTTTCTAAAAATTGCCTGCCTTTCTCCAGAGCCCAAAAAGCCATTTAAAGTCAAATAACAAAAAAACCAAACGCAGTTGGTCTCTTTTCTTCTTTCTTTCTTTCTTTCTTTCCCCATTTTGCGATCGGGAAATAGCAATAGGGGAGCTGATATCTACCAAGGGACAATGCTTTAGTGATGACGGTTGGAGGAGGAAAAGCGTTGAATGGATGAGTCGCGTCATTGTCAACTGAGACACAACGCGTACTGGAAAGAAAATAAATATGATTGTTCTTACTTTTCTTTTTACCCGCGCTCGTTGGACACACAGAGGAAAATATATAGCAAAGCCCAGCACCATGTGGACATGCATTGCAATTAATGTTAATGCTGTTAAGCAACGATATCTCAGCATTAGCGGATCACTGTGGGAGGCTTTTATGGTATCCGTTGGACATCATTCCGTGTTGGTGAACCGGATGTCTTTTTCTTGGCCAGAGAGGTGAAGTGTCAGCTCTTTGAAAATGGTGGCAAAAACGTCGCAAAAAGCCGCGTGTGACGTCATCTCGGACTTGCTTGAGGAGACATATTGCTCCATTCCTCCCTTTCTCCCTTTCTCCCTTTCTCCAATCACCAACCACGCACCCTCAAGTCATAAATACGCACCCACACACCCAAACAACCCCCCAACAAACACAACCATGGCGCCACCAGCAAACGAAGTGCCGCACTACCTGCACCCGGACTTTGACCCATGGTCAATCAAAATGAACCAGATTCGCGACATTCTGATCCAGCACAACGTCAAGACCCCAACAGGGGCCGTCCGGAAGCAGCAACTCGTTGACCTCTTCAACGAGTATATCAAGCCTGACGTTCCTGAGCTTGGAGACTCGGAGGATATGATTGAGCACGAGGATACCCTCAATTTCCCCAAGGTAACTACTGGTCTCTTTGAATACGCCTCCAATCGAACGTACGCCCTATTAAAAGAGCGACAGAAACTAATAGATGATCCCTCGCTTTGTACTCTTTCACCGCATAGATCAAACTCAAGAAGACCAACAGTCGCGCCAAGCTCTCCAAGGAGAACGGCACTGTTGAGACGAAACAGGAAGAAGAACCAACTCGAGGCAGGAAGCCCAAAAAGGCTGATTTGCAGAGTGACGACGAGACCCGAGACAGGAAGCCACGAAGTACTGACTTGCAGAGTGACAACGAAAGCCGACCCCGAGGTCGTCCCAGGGTAAGCAAAGAAATCAAGGAGTTGGCCGAACCAGCTTCATTGACGCGTGTCTATCATGAAAGGAAAACTAATTTTTTTGCTGTCAATATATTCGATCGTACATAGAAGGTGACAAGGGAGAAGAGCAACAACTTTTCGGACGAGAACCCATTCCAGAGCGGCAGCGAGTCAGGACCCGGTCGGTCGCGATCACGCACAACCCCTACATTGGTTCGGTCACGATCTAGTACACGCATTGCCTCTCGAAGGGCAGCAAGGGAGAGCGAAGAAGCAGTAAATCAGGATCACGTCTTCAAAGTCCCAGCACAACCTGCATTTTCAAAGTTCATGAAGCCCTCGCCCGTCGCCAAGGAGAAGAAGACGGATTCATCATCGAGATCATCAACATCGCCACCACCAGTAAAGCCACGTCAAATTACCGATACAGAACTTCCAAGCCCCAAAGAGCTCAACATCACGTCTTCACAGGACGATAAGGATGACATGAGGGAGCTGAAGGAGAACCTGCGGCAGACCCTGAAATACCTGTGGGTTGTCCTTCCAGTCATTTTTCTTGCATATGGCGTCTGGTACCGTCAGGCGAGATTCGACGTTGGCTTCTGTACCCCCGCCACAGACGAATTGACCAAGGGCAAGAGTACGTTTTCAATTCTGTCATTGCAATTGCCATGTTTGGTGCATCAGCTATGTCAACTGACAAGTCTACTAACGCGTCTCCGTTTTGGTGTCGATCTTAGGCTGGTTTTCTCCATCATGCATCCCTTGCCCTGACCACGCGACTTGCATTGACCCGGACGCTGATCCTATCTGCCCTCCGGAGTACATGCTGAAACCCCAGCTTTTGAGTTTTGGCAACCTCTTCCCACTCTCGCCGATCTGCGTTCTGAACAAGGCCAAGGAGTACCAGAGTCTTCGGGTTGCCAATGCTGCCGAACAGCTTTTGCAGATCCATGCAGGAAATGTCGAGTGCGGGATGTTGACTAGGGATAAGGCACCCGTCGACAGTGCCGAATATAACGCCCGCCGCAGCATCCCAACCGATGATCTCCAATTCCAACTCGAGCAACTCAAAGATGTAAGCAGGTTGTGGGATGTGTTTTTGGTTTTCAGCGAGAAGATATCAATTTTGCTGCAAATATTTGGTCGGGTTATTAACATCGCCCCTTCTTTTCGTGTTATTAGGCCAGCATTGATAGGGAAGAATATTTGCAGCTCTGGAAGCTGGCGCTGAAGGAACTTCATCGCCGACCTGACACTATTGTTTTTGAGCACGGATTGGCAAAGTAGGTCTTGCTTACACGGAAATGGAGCCTTTTTGATGTTGTCTCCTATTAAGCCTCATTTTTTTCCTTGTCTTTTCATGCACACATGCTAACGGATATTGGGTCTAATGTTTCATAACAACGTTTTAGTGAGGAGCGTATTCGATCATTGAGACCACGCAAGTCATTGGGCTGCCGCCTTCGTCAGGCCTTTGTTGGCTGGGCCCTCAGGTTCAAGTTTATCCTCTTCAGTAAGTCATATACCTACCTCTTTCATTGTATCGTCTCTTGAACTATCCCTTTGTTTGAACCATTACTCACCAAACCCTCCCGTCTTGTTGGACACTCCCGCTTGTAATAGCACTGACGGCGGGACTGATTGGAGCAGCAGCAGTTCATGTGCACATTGCTCGCAGACGCAAGGAGGCACGTATTGTTAATGGCCTAGTCCAGAACGTGTTGGCCAAACTGTCGGATCAAGCACATTACTACTACGTCGACCGAGTCCTCTACCCAGAAGCGTACCTCCCAGAATACCACCTCCGGGATGTTTTGCTGGCTGATGTTCATTCCCCAGCGCGGCGACAGGAGATCTGGAATAAGGTCGAGGCAGTGGTCGAGCGTAATTCGAATGTTAGGGCCACCTCGGAGGAAGTCCGCGGGGAGTTGCATCGTGTTTGGGAGTGGGTTGGGTCGACTGGAGTTTATAATCAACAGAACCAGCAGAACCAGGATCAGCAGAGCTATAGGCATCACGAGCATCAGAATCAGGGGAATAAGGAGGAGGAGCGGTATTTGAGGGATGACCATTTGGGCGGCTCTGTGGGTACTGGTGCTGGAACTGGACGGGCAGTGAGGGGTGTGCCCAAGGTACCCCCTCGTGTGGGACCTCATGGAAGTTTTTTTGGAATGCGACGTGAGGACTCGGAGTACCTTAACCCCGAGAATTCGTTGTACCCTTCTCTCTCCCAGCAGGATTATGGATCCTACTCCCAGAACTAATGCGTATGGGAGAGGGAGGGAAGGGAGGAAAGAGTATGAGACACGGGTGTCTTTGTGAGTGTATCTGCGAGTATGATATGCGTAAATAAAAACGCTTTTTTGATAATATTATTTTAAAAGTAAACTACAAGAATCATTCTGTTTTTAATTTAATCGACCTTCTTGAGGTTGTTTGACTCCAACGTCAAAGCCGGCGCAAAGCCCTTCCACAGGTACACCGAAGGCCTCAACCCCTTCTCGACATAATGCTGAAAAGTCAGCAACAAGGTTGTGAAATACACGCCCGAAATCGAAAACACATGCCACCATGCATGGAACTGGGGGTTCCACCTCAACACCGAGTTTGGGCCCACGCCGTTCACGAATTCGCAGAGGTGCAAGTCAATCAGCCAGATTGTCACTGCGAATGCGTAGACACCCAGTGCGCGTGTGATCAGCCAGGCCGAGGTTGTGGAGGGGGTGTTCCAGGAAGCTATGATGGATTTCTGGCGTTGGTGAAGGGTTGTGGTGAGGTAGATGATTGCTAGTTGAAGGATCCCGAAGGATGCTTGGAAGGTGTAGAATTGCACCTTTCCGCCCGTGATGGATACAAAGATCGTCGTCAATGCTATTTTTTTTGTGTAGGTTTGTTGGTTTGACAATTAGGGTTTTGTTCGTTCGCCGTTGTTTGGGATAGAAAAGTAGAAGAGTGGGAGGGAAAGAAATTGGGCGTATGAGCCGTCTTGGGTTAGCATGAGGGGCGAAGGAAACAAAGGTCAAAGGTACTTAACAAACGTTCACTGATAGGGCTCACAACCCGCATTTGCATATTTTTGTCTCATGAAGCAAAAGAGAAAAGTAAAAGAAACGAAGGTATGGGTTGTGAACTATCAGGCGTCGGGGTTTTTGCTGGTTCCCCATGATCCTTTCTTGCCACGAAAACCCAAACAGCAAAGAGTGAAAATGGGAGAGGGAAGGGAGGAGGACTTACCGAGCCAGGTGGCAAGGCTGATTGGGAACCAGCGTCCCTGTGGTCCATATTTCGTCTCTGTAGAAATAAACAACAACGCCGTCGCCGCGTAAATCATTGGCAACTCATCTATATCGTCACCCAGATCATCCAGAACAATGGAAAAGAAAAGCAGGTCAGTTTTAGTCACCACTTCAACAACAGCATGGCATTGGAGCGTTTTACGGTATTAGTATCCCTTACCGAGTAGCTGCATTTTGTGACGAAGGGTGCCGTGGAAGAGAGTCGACCCAATACCGACGACGCTGATTGTCCGGAAGGCGACCTTGAACCGTTTCTCTTTTGTTGGGCAGAGGTATAGGCCCAGTTCTCCCAGCGCTACAATAAACAAGCTCGAGATCGTGTTCCAGAACCTATTCTCGGAAAGGTTTTGAGAGAATGAAGGATCAAGTCAGCAAAGGCACGAGTGGACATGGTAGAGAAGGGATGACCAAGCAAAGAAGGAGAAGGAGGAGATGGAGGAGAATGAGGGAACGGGGTGCTGGGAAGAGGAACGTACTCGGCAATGTAATAAGAGACGACGTAGTTGTTCTCGCACCAGTCGACGGATGCGGTGTTGGGCGACCAGTATCCGGTCTGGTCAAACGATGCTGTCGTCGGCGCCATATTCCTTGTGTCTTTAGTGTAGAACGATAGACTCTTGCTTCCGGTAAAGTTATGTGTCTTTGATGATCCCGAGACAAGCGTGTGTCGAGGGCGTGTAGAAGGTAAAGAGAAGGGTACGAGTGTGTGTGTGGAGAAGGGAGTTGAGAAGATCAAGAAAAAGAGAGCAAAAACGGGGGGGCGGGCGAGGAGAGGGTTTTATACGATAATTCAAATCGAACCTTGTTCATCTTACAGACGAAAAGGGGGAGAGGGCGGGTGGCTGACTACCTTACAACCTGTCAAGGGAAAAAAAGAGCCATGCATGTGCTCGGACCGAGAAAGAAAGACAACGCCTAATATCCTTTCACCAACACTGTCTTCCTGTTTATGTGCATGATCGCGGCAAAGATGCCAAGAGCGAAAATGAAAAGACAAAAGGGAATCAACACAACAGAGCAAGAGGTGAGGAGGGTGGGTGATTCCTTTGTAAAGAGAAATGACTAAGAAATCGGATATCCACCTGGTAGTACAATGACAATTTTTTCTCACTTGTTAGTACTAACGGTACTTCAACCAACCACGATGATGATGACGAGCACCTAGTCCCTCTCTGCTTCGTCGTCTTCCTCCTCTTCTTTATTGTCATGTTCATGTCCTCGTAGCAGAATAATTAGCGAGAAAGGCAATAAACAATTGGACACGGGGCGAAAGTTCGTCGCAGAGGCAATAACCAGGTGCCATTTCGGCTGCGTTGTTTCTCTGTTGTTTGTTTTGTTTGAGATGCGAATGTGTGTCCATGCTAGAGAAAAGTGCTCTCACTCGCTCCAACACTTACTCTCGGCTACCCCGGACAAATTTTCAATAATGGGAATTGGTGGCCACCACTTGCCAGCTGGAACTGCGCACAGCCCATGCTCACTTTTCCCACCTTTGTCGATAAAAAAACGTCTGTCCCTTCCTCAATGATACGAATCGATGCAGCCTGCTCCAGTCTCTTCTTTCCTCCCCCTCCTCCACATGCAACTACCGACCCGCTCTCTAACCGCCAGGGTACAATCGCTATACCATCCCCAGTATTCAGCTCCCTTCGGCAAAACCATTTGTTTGTCTCTTTTTTTCTCTTTTTTTTATTACAGTAATTGAAGGCCGAGCAACATGCAGAAAAGGAGAACGAAAAAAAAAGGCAAAGAAACTCGCAAAATATCTCTTTTTTTTTTCCTTATGCCTCCTTCCACTCCTTCAGCTTGTCCTTAAAGACCTTCTCAAGCTTATTGGCACACTTGACATACGGTGTCGACTCGCCATTGTACAACCGACAGTTGTCAAAGATCTTTCGACAATCCCGCCCGAAATCATCCAGCGTCGGATACACATCCGCATCCACGTTCGATTCTAGCGTCGACAAGTCTATTTCACAATCAACACACACAAAAAATAATTAACGACTGCAACATAATACGAAAACGCGTGCAGCTCTTTCTTCACGCGTTGGTTAAGCCGCCATTAGGTCAATAGGCTTACCCATAGGGTCCTTGATGTAGGAGTAATAGTCCGTGACAGCTTCGACGTCAACAGGGTGTAGGAACGGCCATGACGAGGCATCCTTGATCAACTCGGCCACAATATGCTTCATCGCGTTGTAGTAGGGTCCATGTACCGGTACTCGAGGCGTAATGTCCATCAACGGATCCCAGCCCGATTCCTCTATTAGATCGCGGGAGAAACATATTATGCAAACAAGACAAGTCAGTGTTCAATTCATACAAATGTCGCAGCTGCATTACCGACGGAACAAGGGGAACGAGTCGTACTTATTCCTGGTACGGTCATAGGGTCGACCTCCTTGGGGCCATTTTTGAAATCCTGCAGTCCGGGATATATGATGTGTGATTTCGACACTTCTTTGATCTTTGTGATAACAGCCTGCAACATTCACAAATAAACATAAGTGGTTAATATCGTATCGACGAAACTGTCCATTGCCCACGCGCCGTTCCTGAGATTTTCTTTTGCCTCAGTACCTTTCGCTGCGTTTGGAGTAGGCTGTTAACCTCGAGGTACTTGACCCTTGGAACCATGGAGCACTGCATGATAGTTCCTCCCTCGTAATCCTTAATGTATCCCATCCATATTGACCGATCCAGCGTAATATCTTTTGTGAATCCCTACATGTATAGAAAGAAAGTAGTGTAAATACATCAGGAACACATTGATCGGCCACTCATTTCAGAATCGGCAAAAAAAAAAAACTCTGAATACAGACATACCTGCTTCTTGAAGTATCCGATGGCATAGTTATCTGCATATGTCAAAAAGTGCTGGACATCCGTGTTTTCCGAAATGTAATCCTTGAGATGGTTCATCAAATGCGAACCATAACCTTTGACCTGCTCTGTCGATGTAATGGCGCAAAACACAATCTCGGCAAATTTTCGGTGGTTGAACGGCCGATATGTGATCCCTCCCAAAACAATCAACGGTGCCTTCACAATCGCCATACTGTAATGGTTTCTATTAGTCCGTGTATCAATCAACATGAAATAAAAAGGTGTTAGTGTGTACTACCTCGGACATGTCACAGCACGTTGTGCTGAAATACTTAATTTCAAAGATGATTACCTGTCGTAGACGAGGCGAGCAATGTACTCTCGAGGCATCTTGGGAAGCTGCTTCTGGAACAGGTTCTTCATGCCGGTCAGCAGAATCATCGAATCCCGCGAGCCGTCGTTAGTGAACACGCGGAACTCGATCAACCCTTGCCGCTCTTCAATGACCGCTGGTTTCTCCTTCTTGATTGGCACCTGTAAATTGAAGGGTTATGAATAAATTAGACTCTAGATTGCAGTTTGACAGGTCGCGTATTGCCTTTTTCAATTCCAACACTGCTGGCAGTGATAACATACCTCGTCTTCCTCTTCTTGGGCGTGAGGTGCACTTGACTCCTGGGTCTGTTCAGTGTCACTCAATGGCTCAGCCTCCTGGTCAGCGACATGTCCGTCTCCGTTGGTAGTAGTGCTTGTCGGCTCCTGCTCATCCTCGGCCTCGATTTTGATCCGCTTTGGTTCCCGTGTTACGTCAAGATCAATATCGCCGTCCATGTCCGTATGCTCGTGTTTGTTAGCTGAACCAAGGTCTCTTGAAGCCAGGTCTTCTGTGTCAAGATTTCCATTCTCCAACGGGACCTCCATCTCTACCGCAGGCTCTGGCACAGAAGCTTCTTCCGCTGGTGTTATCCCGTTCAGCTCATCAATGGCATCTGAGATGCCTACATTGAAATGAAGCAACAATGTTAGCATCCCGTTGTCAGCATCTAATCTGTTTCGTACTTTGACATGTCATGACAAATGGGTCAGGTAAGTGAGTAAACTCCGAGGAAGTGTTACCATTAGGCACATGGTGTCCGTTGACAGGTTCAGGTTCAGGCTCTGGCTTCGAGTCCTCTGCCGGAATATCCCTTGGAACGATTTGCCTATTCAGTGAAAAATCCCAAATGTCGAGTAAGCGCCGGGTTCATCCCTTTTCGCAACTCCTTCAGCAATTCAGCATGTTGGTGTGGGTATACAGAAGAAAAAAGAAAACTTACTTCCGCAAAGAAGCAATATCCTCGTCGTCGTACTCAAAGTCCAGCAGCCTTCCCTTGTCCTACACACAATCGAACAAAAAAAAAAGGCATTAAAATAATGTTTCGTTTTAGTGGCGTGGAAAATAAGTCAACCCCATTTTGTACATAGAAAAAGTAGGATGACAGAGTTTCCCGGCATGTTTGTCTTCCTGAGAAGAACGTACAAGCGCAAGTAACTGCTGGTGTTGTTCATAAACGTTGCTCGTTTGTTCGTTTGGGCGAATTTCGGCTGTATCAAATGTCGGCATTATTTACCTGCAAGAGCTCGTCTCGACGGAAGGCAGCCCTCAGGCGACGGTCAAATTCCTCGCCCGTCCAGGGTCCACCATGATGACTGAGCTTATGTCCACAAGCACAGATATCGACCCTGCCAATCGTCCCTGGAGGTTTGGGTTTCCAACCCTGGCAGTCGCATCCATGACTGTCGTTCCCGTTGCTGTTCTCGCTGCTACTATCAGCAGGTGTAGCTCCCAGCGGTTGCTCTGTGGTGGTGAAATCGCAAGGACAACTCCGGCCGATCTTCATCATGCGCTCGCTCATCGACAACGAATCGATCGGTTTGTCTGCTGGGGGGTAGTTGAGACCATTGCTGGACGGTGTTGAGGGTGTGGCTCCATTGCTCTCTTTGCCAATGTCGATCGCGTCGTTCGAGTCCTTGTTCTCGTCTGGTGGGGATGGCTGCTGCTGTTGCTGCTGCTGTTGTTGTTGCTGTTGTTGTTGCTGTTGTTGTTGCTGTTGTTGTTGTTGTTGCAGCAGCTGTTGCTGTGCTTTGTCTGGGTCTTGAGGCTGATCCATGACTTTGCTCCTGTTTTCAGTAGAGAGGGAATGTGCTCAAACTGTCTTGCAGGGCCGAGCTGGAAGGCAGTCAATGAAAAAAAAAGAGTACGGTCTCTCTGCGACAGGCCAGTGAGGCTGTTGGTCTGGTATACTCGATTGTGGTTATGAACTCTTTTTCTTGCTCGTCCGTCCGAGGTCTGTTGCAGTGGTCGTTTGGGTCCTGTCCTGTTATGGTGGTTTGAATGAGCTGATCACTTGTGCGCGCTTGCTTGAGGCAGTGTGAGTGTCTGAGTGTGAGTTTATGTGTGGTGTGTAAGTTTTCGACGGACTGGCAGTGCAGACATGCAAATGGAGCCCCAGAACTGTACTCAAAATAAAAACGACGTACACTTCTAAATCACGTACACCCAAAACTCCCTTGAGTCGTTTCGTCCCTTGAATTGAAAAAGGGGACTTTTTGCTGCTGCTGCTCTCCTCTTTCTTATACACACATCCACAAAGACTCCCGACTTTATTTATATATACCTCGACAACCATGCCTGCATCTGGGTAAGGCACCCATTTATCAACAGGAACCAGCTGGCAAAGGAAGCATATACCAGGACAAGGGAATGGCCCATCACCATCTTGCAATGGATTCCCTTTTTTCTTCAACTCTCGAGAACACTCCCGCACCCTAGCCTGAATCACTTTGTCACGCGAGTTGATCAGGACCAAATACTAGGACAAGCAAGAAGCAACAATCCTACCAGCAAAGCGGACACACTCTCCTGGCTTACACTCGGGTATCAATTGAAGCGCCAAGACCATTATTTGTGCTGACCCACACCTTATGGTCGACTCTGTCTCTCATAGAAAGCAAACCCCAACCGGTGGTGCCCGCCGCAAGCCCACCCAGTGTACGTCGCCCTTTGTGCCATCATCAGGAAGCTCCATAACCCAGGCGCCCCACTCATGGATCGATTGATACTCACACCTTCCGCTTTCACCCCCCCCCCCCCCCCCCCTCCTCAACACCCAAATAGCCTCGAACCACACCTCCAACGCCAACAACGCCAACAACGCCATTACCACCAGCCCCGAACTAGGATCAAAATCGCGGGACACAGAGACCTACAACCCTGTCAACAGCTTCAACTCACAGGATGTCATCAACCATTTCGATCGCTGTAAGTTTTGTTGTTGTTTTTTTCACAGGATCCGATTCCATACGATTTGAGGATATTCCTCGCAGCTTTTAAATGGGAGTTGAGGAAGGATCTGTGGTTGTAATTAACATATCTTGAATATTATTTTTTTTGGGGGGGGGGGGTTTCATAGCGTGGAAGGCGGCACTTGACAGTTATCATCAGCCAGGAGGAGCATCTAACATGGGTAAGCGCGCAGAACAAACGAATAGAGCACATTGGAGCCGGGTGTACCCATGGATTGAGGGGGAATATGTGCCCCATTGATATTAATTGCTGGTTTCCTCTTTGGACCCCTGTTATTTAGCAAAAGCCGAGATGTACAAGGGCGCAGAGACAATGGCATGGGGTAGCAAAGTCGCCCCAAAAGGTACACAACCTCTCTCTTTCTCTCTCTCTCTCTCTCTCTCTCTCTCTCTCTCTCTCTCTTTCAAATGCCAAATACCAAATGCCTCAGGATAAACCAGAGACGTACATATTATACGAACCCTACGATTGCTCTGTTTCTCACATCTTGGTCTTGTTTTTTTTTTCCGCCACGTAGGTTCTACGAGTACGGGAGCAGACTTTTTGGCAGAACTCAACAGGAAGCAACCCGTTGCCCCCTAATCTTGATGATGATACCCCCCTTTCCTCCCTTCCTTCTGTGGTCATCGGTTGAGAATGTAATAAAAAAGATATCGGTCAAAAGAACAAGCTGGCACTAGAACTTCTACCTCTGACAAAATGTGGTAACAGGACCTTGGTGGTTTGTTTTTGTTTTGGCATTTATTTGGTACAAAATGAAAAGAGAATTATTATTTTTCCTAGCAAAAGGGAGGCGGAAGAAGGGTGTCAAAAGAAGAACAAAAGGAAGGCGAAAACAAAGAAAAAAGAGTGCGGCTTAGAGGAAGTAGACAGCGCCAAATAATGTCATGGCAAAGGCCATGATATTAGCATTCTGCCTATAACTCGTCGCAGCCCCATTCACCACCGGCTTGGCAGCGGCGGGCTTGGAAGGAATACTTGGGTTGTGAGCAACAGGGGTGACAGCAGGCTTATCGGCCGGGAACGGGTTTGGAGGAGGAGCAGGCTGAATAATGCGTCCCTTATTCAACGGTTTAGGAGTATCTCCCTTCCTGGGCATCTCCAACGGCACACCCACATTACTCTTGCTCGCCCGCTTATCCCCCGCAGGAACCACCTCAAAGTAATGCGAATACGTATCCAACTTCCCGTCTTGCGTAATTCGGATCGTGTAATCCTTCCCCGGTGCCAACGTGGCGGGAACGAGCCACTGGTACGAGTTTTTGGAAGAGTCCGTCCCCTTGACCAGTGTCTCGACCGGCTTCAGTTTGTCGGGGGCTCCTTGCATCAATCGGATTTCGACGGGGCTCTTGGGCTCGATGTTCTTGGCGTAGTCCGGATCTGGGTTGGGACCCCAGGAGATGACATAGGTGGTTGCTTGGGCCCAGACGGATTCTGCGTACGGTTGGACCAGCCAGAGGGGGGACTCGTATTCTTTAGGGGCAAGAGCGTGAGGGTCAGGGGCGACTGCTCCTCCTGGGGCTGCGGCGGCTGGAGCCTCGGCTTTCTCGTCCTTGTTGTGTTTTGCCTTGATTTCGTTCTGTTCATCTTTCTTGTCAGCGGTGGCGGATTTCTTGTGAGTGTCCTTGTGGGCCTTAGCACCGTGTTCGGAATGTTCCCTCTTGTCGATGGGGTGGGCGCGCTTGTCCATGTTGCTGGATGTCATGTCGATGGATGCTTCTGTGGAGGCAGCGTCGGCAGCGGGTTGGGGGATGCTGGCGGCCATGGCAGAGGCTGCCAGGCAGAGTATGGCAGATACAGCTGTGATCTTCATGTTATTTTCTGTTGTTTGGGCGATGTTATGTGTCGTAAAGGAAGGCGGGTTGGTGGCGGGATGGAGTACTGAACACAGAAGGGCGAGGAGAGAAGAAAAGAAGACGAGACAAGAGAAAAGAGAAGAGAAGAAAAGAAAAGAAGAAGAGACGAGAAAAGGAATCGTATTCGTAGCAGGAACCCACCCCTCATGTGTTCCTACTACAATACTGCCTCTCATAGCGGGGCAATGGAGGGGGGGTGTCGGTCGAGAATGAAATCAGGAATAAAGAACGAAACGCGAACATTCATAGTCAAATGAACCCTAGCACACATAAAGGGTGGATTATCTACGATCATGTATCAGACAGGTGAAAATAGGGGAAAATCACTGAGAAGGTATGATTCTAGAAAAGAATAAAAAGGAGCGTAGCAGGTTGAAAGCTTGAATGGAAGGTGGAATCTCCAGTGGCTGCATGGTGGACGGGTAGTATCGATATGTATCTGTGCGTGTGGATGATTGCAAAGCGAGTGCTCTCACGAAGATCGATAAAATATGAGCAAGAAAGAGCAAAGAATGATGAACAACGAGAGAAGAGGAGAGGAGAGCAAGTTGAGAATTATCACGATGGGGATGACAAAGCCTGAGAGAGGAGGGAGTGGGGGAGAGGAGAGAGGCACATGTAGCATTGTGCATGTAGTGGAGGTTGAGCCCTTTCCTTTGTTTTGTTCGAAATGAATTGACATGGTGGAGAAAGGAATAAAAAACGGCCTCTACTCTGCAGTCGACAGTTGCGAATGATACTTCCATTGACCAATGCCTACTTCGTCATTACCATCAAATGGATGAACCTCGATGGGCTGAGTGAAGTAGACAGACTCCCTCCCTCTTACCGCAGACGTGTGAAGGATCGGCGGTAGAGTCGATGTCCAGCTTGGGTCATGAAAAAGTAGACACAAATATGCACGAAGGAAGGAATACACCATGTCACACAAAGCACAAGAAGCAGTCCAATGGGAATGAATGTGTCGACTTTTCTTTCCTTTCGTACTACCATGAACTTGACGAATGTTTCAAAGACAAAAAACGAGCCATTAACACCAGAAGGGCCAAATCACAAAGTCAGGAGTCAGGGTTAGTGACATCCCCGTCATGAAGAATGGCGAGTGCAGTAGCCAAGCAAATGAACTGGCAATGGATGAGCCCTACCAACCCGCCTTGAACAATCATGTAAGCAATATTGATCAAGTATCGACAACAGCACCTTCAGACCAATTGATGAATGATGAGCTTGGTCGGTCTTGAATCGGTTGGTGTCTTCGTTTCCGTCCGTTATATCGTTTCTAATTTGTGTTACTCCAATCCTCCATTCCTTCACCCAGCCTAGCCACATTGCCAATCCCCTGCATTTGTGTCAAGATGAACAGGAAGAGCTTTTGACAAATGAGGCTGTGAGAGTGACAGCAAGAGAAAGAGCGATAGGTATGGGTAGGTGATACGAATGATCACGAGTAGACGAATAGACGAATGAACAACAACGAAAGAACAATCTTTGAAGAATCCAATTGGTTCCCCTGTTTGTGTCCGTGTGGCACAGCAAGGTCCAGGGAGAGATATGTAACAATGAATGAACGAAAATACAAAAAAAAAAAACGATGCATGAAGGAAAGCACGAAAGTATTTACCATTGACGACGATGCACGATCTGGAGGAACGATAATAATAACAAATTATGATGCTGATGGCTGAGTCAATGAGGTAGGGAGGGAAGGGAGCCCCTTCTTTTTTTGCTGCGTCCGAGGAAGAAAAAAAAATGAAAGTTAGTCTGTCAGCCATAAGCCATCCCGTAGACTTGTCAGATGACCAGAGAACTACCACATCATACCGACCAACTTTAGTGCAATTGGGATGGCAAAGAAAAAATAAAATAGCCCATACAGCATGTGTGTAAAAAAGGGCATTCAGCCTGCAGAAGAGGAGAGAGTCAAGGAGGGAAATCGAGTCCATCTTTGGGCCTTCAGGTTGGAGAAGAGAGAACCAGATTGACATAACATGCCTCTTACACAAGACATTGTGCAATTGAAAGGGAGAGAGGCACTCTCAATACCATTGATCATTGCCTCATTGCCTCATTGCCCATGGCCCGTAGCCGCTGTTCGTAGGGGAAGTCCTATTGCACCGAAAGGGCAGAAACACCGCGGACATCCACCCATCGCCAAGGGGTTGTAAAAAAAAAAAGAGAGAAAGAGGAAAAAAAAGGTGAACGGACGAATCATCGTCCAGCGTTACTCCTCATCGTTCTTCTTTCATGTCAACACTCAAAAAAAAAATCCGCAGGGGAGATTGAGGGGAGAGAGGGGTCAGGGAGGGAGGATGAGAGATCGATAGTTTGTGTTGTTTTTTCTTGTCCCCCCTCATGTCTTCCGTGCATCGATTGTTTTTTTTTCTTGTTTGATTTGTTTTGCTGATGCTGCTGTCAGTTGTATGTGTATTGAGCGTGTGTTTGTTTGCATTGAAAAAAGTGAGAGGGCTAGATAACCACCCCGCATAGGGCCAAGATCGGTTACAGCAACAATAAACGACTGTTATTCTTCAATGCGCAAAAGAGGTAAAGGAAAAGAGAGGGAAAAAGATAGAGAGAGAGAATAAGGGTCCTGGCTGTGAGTGTGGGCATGCTTTGCTGCGACACTTTGCTGCGACGCTTTTTTGGTCACCGAATGCGGAAGTGCCGTTGTAGGAGTAAAAAAAAATAGTCGTTGTGTGTTCTGTCCGTGTGACAAAAATGCGAGGGAAGGGAGGACAAGGGGGGAAGGATGAGAGGGAATGGTGCTGCAAAGTAGCAAAGCGGGCGAAGGGAGTACAATTGAATTGAACTGAATAAAACGATTTTGCATTGGTGGGACGATGGGTGGAATGGGGGGATAGACAATTTTAGAACAGCAGAGAGAGAGGGAAGAATGGGTCCTTCTGAATAAAGTAATAATCATACTCAAACAAACAACAAACAAACATGTATGCATTCACTTCTAAATGCATACTCTGTAAGCGTACCTATAATAGGGAACTGACCATGAAACGGGGGCGGTGCTGTTGCTTACTGCTCCTGCTGCTCCTCATTGCTCTGCCAGGGGGTTTAAAAAAAGGAAACGGTCAATTAACGCTGCGTCGCCTAAAAACAATAAAAGGAGAGACGCTTTCATCACTTCCCCACCCTCTTTTTATCATCACTCTCTTCATTTAACTCGACTCTAGTGTGCAGCCTCATAACAACAGCAACAACAACCAACTATCAATTAGCCATTTCGACTGTCCATCCTTCACATCCTCCTTCTTCTATAAAACCATCGACCCTTTCCCTCATCCCCCCACCAATTCTCACTACTTCTCCCTGTATCCAGTCCATACCAGCTAACACACTCTCACTTCATACCCGAATTGCATCCACATAAACTCAATTGCATTCAACCTCCACTCTCGTTTCACACCCTCACCCACCTACAACAAACACACACACATAGCTGTATCCCTTTCTCTTCCCCTCCCTTCCCCAACACACACTCTAATATCATGCCCGCCGCCACATTCAACCGAGAGCGCACCGTCGGATCTCAGCTCCCAACAAGCCGCTCCAGCCAAGGTTTCCAAGATGCCATCGTCGAAGAATCCCAAGACCCTCGCCAAGTAGCACCACATGTCACCGCCAATGGATTCCCTTTTGCCAACGACGGATCCGTACAAGCCAACTTTGAAAACTTTATGATGGGCATTGCCCTCGACCAGACCGTCAGCGACCTCTCCTCCTTTAGCCGGGCATCCCATGGCAACAACGGATCCAACTGCAATGTCCCGGCAACGGCAACATCGACGGTGACGGGCACAACAACTGCGGCCCTCAGCCAAACTCAGTTGCTTTCTGGATCACGATCATAAATTTCCAAGAGTCGAATGTCGACGATTGAAAGTCATCTCATGGCTGCAGCAACGACCGAGCATGACCATAATCGACACAAACAGCCACAACGACAGTAGAGTATATACATACGCGCACACAACCTTAAAAAACAGCAGCATCAACAACAAAAACGTGGAGAAGAGAAACAAATACAGCACCCCGCAGCAAACAATGCACAACAACCACAGCAGCAGCAGCAACAGTAACACAAGCCCACAGGTCCACAACAATCTTAATTGACTCCAGTCGATTGCCTCTCCGTACCCTCCTTTCTCTTCTCCCGTCATATACCTCTTTTTTTTCTTTCTTTTCATTTGATTGCTATTATTATTATCATTCCTTCTTTTGCTTAGCCTATCCTCTTTCTCACTCTTGTACATTCCAACATCCAACATCAACAAAAAAAACTATATTTGTATCTATTCCTATCCTTCATTTGGTCACACATCACATCACCGTCGTACCACAATGGCTGAGTTACTTAGCGCTTTTGGGGTTTCGGGTATCACCTCAGCCTCACATTTGCTCAGCCATTACCATCCTTCCCTCTTTCTCCTTGAATCGAATTTTTTAGTATTTTTCTTCCCAGCACTTCCTCCCGCGCTTCCCGCCGACAACGACGACATACACACACATAAACGCACAAAAATAGAATATTCCCTTCTTTCTTTTTCTTCTCTTTCTTACCAGGTCTGGCACCGCCTCACATATCATTACACAAAACGCACACAAATAAACATACCCTCCTTCATGACATAACCACACCCCTTCTATTTTTTTTTTTTTTTTTTTTGTTTATGTCCGTATGTCCGATCGATCTTGTTTCTAATTGTGGTTCCCATTGTGTATCATTTTTTTTTGACGTTCTCTCTTCTTGTGAGAGGATGATCTTCAATGACTGTGAGTCGTCCAGTCGGTCAAGATTGACAGGTACTTGTCATGTGGACGGAGAGAGAGGGGATGATGGGTTCTGTTCATAATTCTTACCACACGACCCGCCTCACACTCATCCTTCGCCCGATATATTAATAATATCTTGTTCTGACGAATGTGTCACAAGGCACCGAACCAACTCTTAGCCACAAACGAATGCGTGTCCGCAGTTCATTCTTGTTCATTTGATGATACTTCATTCTTACCTTACAAATGCCACCATCGTTGATAAAAGTTTTCTATCTCTCTCTCACCCTACCCCTTCCTTGATACCAGGCGAGCAGCATGTGTCCTCCTTGGACTCTTGACAAATGCACCATCCGTAGTTCACGTCTCTGATGTAATGTGGTGGTTTTTGGCCGGTGATCATCGTCGTTGATGAATGGTTCTCGACATGGCGTTCATGCATCACCCCGCCTTCCTCGCCACCACTCGCCTTGAACACGCGGTCATTCTCCTCCTCCTCCTCCCAACGAAAACAAAAGTAGACATGGGAGCATAGATAGATTAATGGCAAAGACATAGGAATAAATAGGTTCCTCAGTGGTCGCGTCGACTCTTCTTTTTTGCTCTTTCTTTCTCTTGCGCAACATCCCTCTTCTGAACGTTCGACTCCACGAATTTCTACTCAAGAGTCAAAGTTACACAACTCACATAAATACGCATAACACCGTTACACGTATTCACCTTTTTTCCAAGTCCCTTTGCCTTCCGTCGCACAAACAAGCAAAAACAATGACACATCGTGCAGCACACCTCATCGCAGGCGGCGGCCTGTCCACGTACTCTTCTTCCTCAAGCACCAACAGCAGTCGATCTGGCTCAAGTTCTTCAGCGGCGAGTTCGACTACAGTCGCAACCACCTTGCCTCGCCACCTCTCCCTCACAAGAGGCTGCCACGGTCATGGTCACGGCCGTGCGCACCTCTGTCATCACTGTAATCGCCATCACCATCGTCAATCTGACTGCTGCACAAGCAGTACCACCACAACAACAACAACAACTACCACCACGACAACGACACGTACAACGACATCTTGTTCGACCACAAAGTCAACCTCAAACTCTGCTCATCTGCAGCCCACCGTCATTGTTGCTGCTGCGCCCTGCGTCCCGTCAGTTTCGCCATGGCCATTGCCCTTGCCTCCGCCCGTGCCACCGCTCGTCATCGATACCTGTCAAAAGATTACCAGGAATATCGCCTATGAGGGCCGAGTCCGTGAGCACGTCGAGACCAAGGCCCATCACCACCACAACCACCACAATCCTCATCACTGCCTCTAAACCCAATTCCTCCCTCTCGTATCCAAAAAAAGCCTAAATCCATTAATACAATAATACCTCAGCAATTTATTATCTTCAAAACGTTTCGGAATGGTCCCGTACGCTGGTCATGTCTAGTAGTCATCACCCCGACTGAGAACTTCTTTGCGCGTAGGTCTCAAGACCAGCGTATGCTCATACTGCGCCGTATACGACCCCTTAACATCCACCAGGGGAGGGTGCCCGTCCACATGTCCAGAATCACACAAGCTCTTCAGCGCCAACAGATATTTGTCCTCGCCCAACCTGTCCAAGTACCTCCTACAGAACGGCAGCGTTCCAAACTCACGGTTGATGGTATCAAAGAGCGTCTTGGCTCGGGGGAGGCGGATGGGGACCTTGGGGATATCGTAAGCACGCGAGTAATGGCTGGTCTCCATATCGTACCGGACGATTCCACGGCCTGTACTTCCAAAGGTTTCGATTGCAAAATAATCGCCTTCTTCCATCTTTGTTGGGTCGCCGTTGTTGACGATAGGGACGGCCTTTGTGCCGTGGATCTTGTACCTCTCAATCGAGTGTCCTGTTAAATTGCGAATCGCTCTGACTATTTGTTCAAGGGAAGAACGCGAGATACTTAGCTTCCATTCATGCGACATTAGGGTACACAGAACCTACAAAACAAGTAAAAGATGGGAATATACCTTGGTGAGTCTTGCCGCCGATTTCAACTTCGTAGGACTCCATGACTTCCTGGATCTCGCCACCAATATCGCCCAGACGGACGTCAATTCCAGCAGCCTTGATTCCAGTATTTGTCGCATCCTTGACAGCTGCCAGCAGGTTGTCGTACACAGGGTCGAACGTCAGCGTGAATGCAGAGTCAATGATCCTTCCTATGACGTCGTCGTAGTCACCAGTACAGGAGTAATAATTAGCGCGTTAATAAATCAGTGCTTCTCCATTTCCACACATTCACGTATGATGGCACATGTTCCCGACAGCTGCCTTCAGCATGCAAACATAATGCGCATATTCCTTTGTTTATGCATTCGAACCATATACGTACCATTGACGTGAACGCCAAAGTCGAGCTTGCAGACATCCCCATACTGCAGGACGATCTTATCTCCAGCATTAGGTGAATAATGCGCCGCAACATGATTCAACGAACAGCCAGTCGGGAATGCAATCCCCGAATCAAATCCATTGGCCTCGACAAGTGTCCGGGTTCCGTTCTCAATCATCTCACAAATTTCGGTCATGGTCATCCCAGGCTTAATGTTCTTGCGTGCATATTTACGGACTTGACGGTGGACCTCTGAGGCACGACGGGCGTCGTTGTAGTCGTCAAAGTTTTTTTTCTCCAGTGAGCGTTTCTCCTCGTCCGTTGTCCTCCACAAGTTGCTATTTTTTGGAGGTCGGATAATACATATGACGTGATGAGCTAGCTGACTCTGATGGAGTTTGATGGGTTTGGATGTGTGGACGTGGAAACAGTGCCGTATGAACTTACTCATCCTTGTACTCGCAGATTTCTCCTTCGGGATAGATCTTGGTGGGGAAGAGGACAGAGACGGGGATAGTGGGGGGTTCGGTCTGAGTCTTTTTCTTTTTCTTGTTGTTCTTTTTCTTCTTCTTTTTCTTGCTCGCCGCTAGTTTGTTGTTGTTCACAGAGACAAGAACAACGGTGTTAGTTCCTGGCTCGAGGACAGTATTCTTACTTCGCGTTCCTTCCTGGAATCCAAGAAAACGAGAAAACACTTACTTGCAGTTGGTGCCCCGTTGGCTTCTTCCTCCTCTTCCTCCTCCTCGTCGTCATCCCCTTCTGCCTCTGCGGTGCCGTTCTTGCCAGTTTGTGCTTCACCACCTATTAGGTTACAGTAGATTAAAGAAAACGTCAGCACATTGCGCAGAGTGTTTTCTAGGTACTTCCAAAAAGGCTCTCGCAGGCGCTCTCCCACGAGGACGTCCATTATACCTTCTACAGAAGCTTTCGTCTTCGATTTTTTATCGGCGGTGTCCGCTTCCTTTGTGCCCTTCTCTGCGGCACCGTTGGTGAGGCCTGCCTTGTTCTTGAGATCGTCTGCTAATGCGTCCATTGTGTTCGATTGTGAGGAGACGAGATTCTAAATTCACAAACTTTTTTCGTTCGCACTTGTGTCCGTCCGAGGTGTGGAAAAAGCAGTCTCATTGGAGGCATTGGAGTGCTGACGGGGGCGTTTCGTCAGGACGCTCTTTGTTCCTCTCACCTCACTCACCCACCACAACTCTCACACATTCAACAATGTCCAACATGGATGGTAATAAACAGCTACTCCATATTCCTATCCTCACCTTCAACACAGAGCTCGATACCATGGATAACAGACGACAAAAATAACAACAAATAACAACAAACATAACAAAGTCTCGAACTAGACATGCAATGCACAGTGAACACCAACTAACACCAAAACCACTCTGCGCGTCTTTGTCGATTCCACAACAACAATAGCTGACGATTTCGAAGACGACATGATGATGGACGAGGACGAGCTCATCGCTCCTTCCCCCACAGCCGAGGACATCTTTGAAGAGGACGGTCGCTTTGCCGGTCCACGCGTCCCCAACGTCAAGGTCGTCGACAAGAACTTCTTCAACGGTAAACTTTCTTTTTTCTCCACGCCACCACCGCCTTATGGAGCGCGCACCAGAAACGGTTCTTTGTTGGTCTAATTAATAACTAACGCCTTATTACTACAACTACATGTAGACTTCCCTGACCTGTTCGACGACGACCTGTGAAAACATCGCAAAATAACTGCGGCAACGAAAGGAAGTTGACTCGGGATCACAGGATTCACAACTACCTTTCCCCTCTCTACGCCACCAAAAACATGCGACACAAAAAAGTTAGCTTTGTTTTATCCGCCTTCGCCAACCATCGCCACATACTTTCTTCTTGGAGAGGCTTTTTTTTCCTCTCTTTTTTTCTTACTCTTGGTGCAAAACAAAACACAGAACAGCTGGATTAAACATATCAAAAAACACCAACCACTCGCAACCGGCAGGATAACAACTAGGGGTATACTGAGATTCCAGGGGGCTGTCAGGGGTGATTGGAGGTTATTTTTGGTCATAAGGGGAGCCATGTACTCGCGTTATGGACAAGATGTCCGAGATATATGCGACATTCATTAGAGGACACGCTCGACAAAGCTCTATTATACGAGTCTGGTTCGCAGTAGGCGTAGAAATCTTTGAGAAGCAGTTGGCTGGGAAACCTTAGTACACTTGGAAATGTAGAGTCTGTATTGGCATCGAAACTCAGCAGGGGCAATTGAGAGTGAGTGAGAGCATTTTCTTACCTTCTTTCCCTTCGTTCCTTCCGTAGCCATGTGGATTTGATACTGTATGCGATGACAATCAACGGCAGGGTCGAGCTACTTTGTGTATACATTCATACCCATGTGTCACAGTCGGGCCGGCTGTATTGTTGTTCAATTGCTCAAATTTGACCCTCTTTCCAGCTCACCCTCTCTCGCTCATTTTTTTTCGCCTCTTTCACCTTCGAGCAAAAAGCTTTCTCATCCCGCCATCTCTCTTTTCCACTTCGCTCCTCTTTTTCTTTTTTTCCTCATTCTCTTTCTCATTACTCCTTCACTTTTACCTTCACTCCCTCCTTCACTCACCTCGCCCCTCTTTATTAAATATCCACCATGACACAATCCCCAAATGACGCCGACGTGATCGCCCCTCACTCAGACAGCCTCTGCCGCCAGTTTAACCAGGACTATCCAACCACCGTCCTCAACATAGCCCGGTTCTTTATCGGTTTCAAGGACCAGTCCAAGCACATCATCTCGGCCAGTGTCGTCCAGGTCTGTCAAGACGATCTCAAGATTGATGGAGAGACGCTCAAGGGTGAACGGCTCATGCTCTCGGTCTCCTTCCCGGACGGCCCGATGCAGTCGTTGGCCATGGCCAGGGAGGCGTTTTTGGACTTGGGCAAGAAGGCTGATCGAGGCCTGCTTCACCAAACTGCCCTTCGTCCCGTAAGTCAAAGCACACACAGTTTGAGATGAAAACAAAAACAATTGGAAGGAGATGGATGGGATGGGAGGACGGTTGACGGGAAGAGGGAGGCAGTTCCAGACCCCTCGTTTGTTTTCATAATGTGATGCGATGTGGGCAACGGTGAAAAAATGGATTATGTTTTGTGCGACACTGCCATTTTTTTTTTATTTTTTTTTTATTTTTTTTTTTGTGCATGCATTTTTTTCATGTCTTGTTCTAATTGCATCCCTATCCCATGCAACCAAATTTAATATGTTTAGATCCCAGGCCAGCCTACAGGATTAAAAGTCTACTGGCCCAAATGGAGCCCCTTCCTCATCACCCTCGCCGCAAGTGTCTCCTCCTTCTTTTACATGTACTTCTTCCCCGACACCAAGATCCCCCTCCTCCAATGGACGATGGAAAAGGTCGGCGGATACGGCACCGTCCGGTCATGTGTCCATTTCGCGGTGTTCTTGCACGCGTTCCAGACGGCGACGGCGATTCATCTGATGAGGAATGTGTCCGCTTATCGGTTCTCGTGGAAGCAGATGGTGGTTTGGTGTGTGTGTGTGCAGTTCCTTGGGATTGGGTCGATGTTGAAGTTGTTGCCGATTGTTTACAATAGCAAGTTCGTGCAGGACGAGAACTTGATGATGGAGAAGAAAGGGGAGGGGTATTATCTGGATGAGGAGGCTGCGTTGGAAGAGTAGTGGGAGTAGAGAAGTAACTTTGAGGGGAACTATGGCAGCTAATAGATAGATAGGCATGCGAATTAACGCCACCAATATACAGCAGTAATACAAACTAATTCATACCATCGTCATCACGAACCCGCAAGTAGCTTCTTTTTGCTCAAAATGGCTCCATTCGTCCTCTTTGCAAAATGTGCATTAAGCTCGGCTAGCCGTCTCGTGGGACCCGCCAGGTGTCCACAAAGGGTATAGGAGTTCGTTGGTGGACAGGCTGGCGCCTCTTTCTTTCACCCTTAAGAGGGTTGACCGTCAACAGAAGATCGATCCCCATCCGACCAGGCACCATCACTGATCACCTTGTTTGTGTCACTGAGGGATCAGAAATATTTTTTTACTCCCTCTTCCTGCTCGCATGAACACCTTTGGTGAAAGGCCAATTGCAGTAAACATAAGCAACGGAGAAAGAGAAACGTATAGGGATAGAATGGATTAAAGAAGAGAGGGGCAATTGATTGACAAGGGAAGGAAGGAAGGAAGAGCAGATGGACTAGAGAATACATGGTCCTTGGATTTGATAAATTTTAGTATGACATTGCAAGACCTCACACTAAGTTCTCACTTCCAATTTCTTGTGGCGCCTGCGATCAAAAGAAGCGAACAAAAAGCAATCCACCAACACACGCTCACACGGTCTTAACATTCTTCTGTACTCCCCCCCTTTTCAACATCACATCAACATGTCAGACTCAAGGAGAGGCAGGTCATACTCAAGATCCCTCTCTCCCAGATCCCACTCCCATTCCCCTTCCTCACCCCTTCATCGTCGTCGATCTCCTGCATCTGCATCCAGATCCCCATCCCCTCCTCCTCGGCGTCCACAAGGCTCTTATAATGACAACAACAACGACAAGCGTTCGAGGGATAGCCAGGGACGTCGCCGCTCATTAACCCCCACATCTCCTGCTCGTCGGCATGCGAGCAGCGTTGGTAGATCTCGATCCGTCTCTAGAGAAGACCGAGACCGTGGCCAGTCTTCGCGTCGGTACGATAGCAGGAGTAGGAGCAGGAGTCCGGAACAGAGCCGCAGTACTAAAGACCAACCTAGGAGCAGTAGCGGCGGCGGAGTGAAGGATAATAAGGGCAGAAGTCGATCTATCAGCGACGATGACAGAAGCAAACAGAGAGGAGGCAGTGGCAGTAGCAGTCGTCACCATCACCGAAGCCACCACCGAAGCTCGCACAAGTCTTCGTCCTCTCGCAAGGACTCCCGCTCACGGTCGCGGTCGCGTTCTAGATCACGATCGAAATCGCCCTCGCGTCGATCCAGCAAACACCATCGTCACAGCAGCAGCAGGAGTAGCAGTCGTCGAGATCACAAGAGCAGCGGTAGTAGTAGCAAGCGGTCCAGAAGGTCAAGATCGCGTTCCCGATCGTACTCTTCTACAGACTCGGAGACTTCAGACTCGGACTCGGATCGTGACAGGAAGCGCAGGAAGCATTCCAGTAGTAGTCGGCGTAGTAAGAAGGATCGCAAGGATCGAAAAAAGGACAAGAAGGTACAATACTTTATATGTTTTGGTAGACGTCTGGGTAATTTGCATGATTAATTAGATGATCAACTGGCGAGTTTGCTAAAGGTCTTTGTCGCTCTTTTTCTTTTCTTTTACCATGTCGTGTTTTGTAGAAGAGCAAGAAGGAAAAGAAGAGTCATTCATCCAAGGCTTATGGAACCTATGGCGTCCTGAACCCATCCGAGTAAGTATCTTAACCCACTCTCCGTCATAAAACAGTCAAGGTTGCGTTGATGTGTATACAAAGCATTCAGCTAACCTACCATCTTTACTCACTGTTGTTATCATACAATATAATTAGCATGTGGAATAAGGAAAGCGAGTTTCAGGCATGGTTAATGGAAGTCAAGCACTTGAACCCAGAGACGATCCCCCAAAACAAGATGAAGGAGCACTTTATCGGTTTCATGGAAGACTTCAATACCGTCACCATGCCCCACGAGAAATTCTACAACCTCACCAAATGGGAAGACCGACAACGCGCCATCCGGATGGGCGAACCTATCCCGGAAGACAAACAGGGTTCGGTCAACCTGATGAATGACGAGGAGCAGTTGAGGATGACACAGCGAGATCGTCGACGGACAAACTTGTCGAGTCAGCCACAGATCCTGATGACCCAGAGTCAGCTCCAGGAGTTGAGAAAGGTCTCGCATGAGCGTGTTGAGGCGGATCGGTTGAGGAAATTAGGGTTGGATGCTGGACGTAAGGGTGTTAGATATGAGTGATCAAGGGGTTAGGGTAAAAGGGTTATTTTCCGGAAAAACCTGGGCAACATTGGTAGTATCTAGGCGACATTGGTAAGCATTTTTTGTTGTTGTTGTATAAAAACAAACGAAAACGCGCATTTATTTATTGTTCCTATCTTTTGGGAAAAGGTGACAAGGAAGGGCTGTTGTGTATGTTTGACACGAGGTTAGAATAAGAAAGCGAGGATGATGGAGTTGTTTTCGGGTTCAAAGTATCTTGGCGAAAAGGAAATCGAAATAACCTTCAATCTACATGTGTGGTACCAAGGTAGCTAGCATGGTGCGATGTTTCTTTTTTTATCGTCGCAACGGTAACAGCATCCTAGTGACGACTACAACACAAAGTCGAAAGACGTGCGTGCAAATTTCTTGGCTCTTGTCTCTGAGCGTGTAGCCGTGTACACCGCATTTTTTTTTTACGGACAAAAGGATAAGAAGTCTGTCCGCAAAATAATTTCCCTAAAAAAAAAAGACCACTTTGACCACTTTTGCAAACAGGCCAAACGATAGGCTGAGAGGATTTCTTGCAAATAAAGATTGAGAGGACAGCAGCGGTTGGAGAACCTTGCAATTAAAGAAGATCAGCTCAGGCATGGTACAATGGCGGCATCGACTCTTGTCCTCTTTCCTTTATCCCACTCTCCTTTTTCTCCTCTTTTCTCTCTTTATCTCCTTTCATCTGGACATACGTACACATTTTTTCTCTTTCTTCCCTTCTCTCTCTCTCTCTCTTTCCTTCTCTCTCTCTCTCTCTCTTACCTTTTCTCTCTCACCTACCCTTCCTCCCTCCGTTCATCTCTCAATCTTTCGTCATTTATTCACTCCCTCCCATCACAAAGGCACACACACATAGACATACCCAGCGCAGAGTGGGATAAAGGAAAGAGGACAAGGGTCGATGCCGCCATTGTACCATGCCTGAGCTGATCTTCTTTAATTGCAAGGTTCTCCAACCGCTGCTGTCCTCTCAATCTTTATTTGCAAGAAATCCTCTCAGCCTATCGTTTGGCCTGTTTGCAAAAGTGGTCATTTTATCTCGACTATTATTGGCCAATCATTTGGGTTGTTTTTCAAAGTGGTCTTTTTTTTTTAGGGAAATTATTTTGCGGACAGATTTCTTATCCTTTTGTCCGTAAAAAAAAAAAAAAAATGCGGGACAGTACTACCTGTCTCTAGGGCAGTCTAGGCTGATACACCTGTTCGGGGGGTATCCACTGATTCGCTCATATGAAATTGCCACCATAGTCGTCAAAAAACAGACGCGATGGGATCTTGCACATCGAATTTTCATGGACTGGATTGTCAGCTGTAAACAAACCAGTTGCTACTGATCCATGTTTCCTCCACATGTCCTTAGCAACAAGCAAGGTGCACGAAAGGTCGCCATCGAGGAGACAGAATACAGGCTGGTATCTTAGGCCGTACCGATGCAATGTGATAAATACAAATGAAGAAAAAAAAGAATGCCGATATGTCTCAGGAGAGCTACCGCATGTTTTCTCTGATCCCTCCTCCCCTCTCCTTGAGCAGAAAGTGAGAGCAGAGAAAGGATATCGATAGGACCGTGTTCCCTCCTTCCCATTCGCTGGCTGGCTACACCATTTGTCTCCCTCATGATATCAAAAATCGTTTATTTTCGTTTTTACTAATATTTTTTTTTTTTATTCCAAGTCTCTAGACGCGATGGAACACGATGATCAAACGCGTTCCTCACACGAACAATCAAAGCATGTAATTTCGATCTTGAATAGATAGGATTTATTTTCAACAAACAAGTTTCTACAACTGTTTTTTTTTGGGTTGTAAAGATAAAGGGGAATGCATAAAGTAATTGGGACTAAAGGGTGGGGTATCGTACGGATATGAAATTGAAAGGACCAGTGAAAAGAAAGAAAAAAGATAAGAATACAAGGAGCGGAGCGGTGTATGGGTAAAGAAGAGCGTTATACAAAGGAGTTGAAGTGGTGTACAGGTATAAGAAAGGAAAGGGAAAAGAAAAGAAAGCGTTGGTCCATTTTGTGAAAGAGCGTGGCGTGTGTGTGTTTTGTCGATAGTAGTTCCCAGTAGTTCTTGCTGTTGTTGTCATAGCAGATAGTTGTGTGTCTTGCTTGTTTGTTGTTTGCTTTTTGTTGGTTTGTGTTGTTTGATTGTAATTGTTTTGTTGTGGTCGAAAACGGTCCTAGCTTACATGGCGGCGATGGACTCGTCAAGGTTTCCGAGTGCGGCGAAGTCATCATCGAAGCTGTAGGTGGGGACAGTGAATGACAAGGCAGACAACAATCCACCGGTGTTCATGCTCATCCACGACGACGCCGAGGAAGCTGAGCCAGTCGCACCGCTAACAGAGCCCAAGTTCATCACCTGACTCCTCTTCTTCATCAACGACGATGATGACCCACTGCCACCACTATCACTCTGTTTGCCTCCAACAGATGCTGAAGACGATGACGACATGCTGGCCAGGAGTGCCGTGTGCAAGGCCGCAGTCGACCGGGCAGCAGCAAACGACGATCCAAACATGGGCCCATAGGGCGAAGGCGAGCGCATGCCGATTGACGAGGACAGAGAAGAGCCGTAAGCGTTGAAGGACGATGTCGAAGAGCTCATCATCGAGTCGAAGCTGGAGGTCGAGTCTGTCATGGTGTTGAGTGGAGGTGGAGGCATGCCGTATCCAGCACCGCCGCTCGTGGTGTGACCCTGCAGACGACGAGCCCTTCTGTTGTTGTTGTTGGAAAGGGGTGCCTGGCCGTGCATATTGGTATTGTTGTAGCCTAATATCGTCTCATCGTCCTCGGAGGAGGTGAAAGAAGGTCGACGCGCTTGGCGGTACTGGTTGCCCTTGTCGTTCCATTGACTGATCTGACTCACGGTGCTGTTGCGACGCGTCGACGCCACACTGTCCCGACCGTTGCCAGCACCACCGGGTCGAGCGGTACCGCCCGAGCTGGTGGTAGACGCCGAGGGCTTGATTTTGCTATTTCCTCGTAGCACCTGTGGTGTGTTGTCCTTGGAGCCCTTGCCATTGTTGGTAAAGGAGGTCGAACGTCTCAGAGTCTTTGTCCAATCCACGATATCGGAGCCGCCCGCAGGGATCATGTTCTGCCTAAAATCGCCCGATGCGACTGACATGGATCGGTTTGGCATCGGACGTGGTGGGGTGCTCAGGGCGGTGAACTTTCGGTTTCCGCCAGGTGAGAATGGCGGACGGGTGTCCTTGAGGGATGGTGTCGTTGGCTTGGCAGGTGCAGGCGTTGCAGATCGAACAGGTGGTGGTGCTGGGGCGGCAATGATCTGGCCAAAGTTGTCCTGGCTGGGGTCATTGCCCACCAGGAAGTAACCCCAGTGGGATTCCTGCAAGGGAAATCCAGGCATGCTCGGAGACGAAGTGCTGACAGAAGGGCACCAGGGCCGTGGCTTGGTCCATTCAGGCTGGTCCGACTTGACCAACATATACTTGCGAACCACTCCAGAGTCCATTGACAGCGACGAGACGAGTTTGCCGCGCAAGAAACGGGTAGACGTGTTCCAGTTGGGAGAGATGGGCCGAGTGACCGAGGAGCTTCTCATGGACGAGTGGCTTCTCGCGACTGACGGGCTTCTCGACGTGGCTGTGCTTGTGGCCGATCGGCGCAAGGTGTGTGGAGATGTCGGATCCCGAGATGATCGCCAGTCGCTTCCGTCAACACTGTTGCGATGTCCGACCGAAATTTTTGCCTTGGCGGCAGCTGCGGCGGCCTCTTCCTCCTCCTTCTTCTTCTTCTTGGCCAAGGCTTCTGCCTCTGCCGCCTTCTCCCTGAGGATTGTATGGTGGATGTGCAGCTTTGCACCAACAGTATCCAATGAAGTCTTGAGGCTCGTCCACCTGTGCTTGAGTTCCCGCTGACGATCGAGCATTTCGAGGCTTGGGTATAATGGGGAGGAGTCTGTGTTGTCGTTGTTGCTGTTGGAAGGTGGTGATGAGGGGGTAACGAGAGTGTTTGTGGGCGAATCGATTGCCGAGAGTGGAAGCCCATGCATCGACACTGCAGTGGTGGGAGTCATAGGTGACATCAACGCTCCGGTGTTCTTGGTTCGATGATGAATCTCACCGTCCTGGACCCACAAGATGTTCTCGATCGCAGGGGCGACCGTCATATGCTTCTCGTCCAGCTCCTGGAGCGTCGCTGTCAACAGCTCCAAATCCACGGGAAGACTAGGCAGTTTTGATGTGGATGCGTCCGGGCAACCAAGGGTGTTGTCCTGCTGCTGCTGCTGCTCCTGGAAGCTCGAAAGTGCCTCTCCAGAGATCTGGGCCAGGGTTTGACCCTCCAGGTTGGCCAGCATGTTGACACACATCCTCTGGAAGATCTCGACAGGCTCCAACATGGTCTCGATCTGCTTGGCCACCTTCTCGATTTTTGTCCGCCACCGATCGCACTCCTCCAGACCGCGCCAGAGCTGGTCTCTCCGCGTCCGTAAAGTGTACCAGTCGCTCAACAGTTCCTGATAGTGTCGCTGCATCATCGCCTTCTTGTCTGCAATCGATTCTGACTCGCCTGGTCGCGCCTTGCTACTGGCTCTTAGAGGCTGCTTGCCGGGCCGTGTGCATTCCGGGTATGACTTGTGGAGGGACTCCATCTTGAGTGAGAGCAGGCCGATCCGAGAGTCCAGTTCCAACATATCGTTCCTGTCGACACCCCAGGATTGCGATGCTGACCTTGACAAGCCTCCGTTCAGACTGCTATTGCTGTGGTTCTTGAGCGACGAAACCAAAAGGTCGATCGAGGCCGATGACGGACTGGAAGCCAGCTCACTGATTCTGGCCTTCTCTGTGGCAATGTCCCTGTAGCATTTGTCGAGGATGTCTGACGCGTCGCGTGTCTGCTCAGAGATATTGAAGATGCTCTGGATGCCGTCCCGAAGCCGTTGATGCTCCCGTACTGATCCACCCAGGTCACTAATGATGCCTCGCAGGAGTGACCACTGCTCCAGGATAGTCTCGAGTTCAGAGCTCAGGTGAACTTGTGGCCGGGACGAGTCGAGGCCCTCCTGGCTCGCGACACCGGCGGTTGACGACGACGATAACCGGCGAGAGATACACTCCTCCAACTGCAGCAAGATCTCAATGCTCGACTCGATAGTAGGCTCGTACTGTGCGAATCCAGAGACCACATCCTGAATCTCGACATCCAATTCGCCCTCCAGGAGGCTCGTACTGCTGTTTGTCCTGCTGCTGCGGCCATCAAAGCTGTTGTATACGTTCTCCGCCTCCTCGCGCTGCTGCTGCTGTTCTTGTTGGGATGCTGCGTTGACGGTCTTGACAAGGTCGAGGGCGGCCTGGATCCAAGTCAAGAGTTGTTGTGCGCCTGTCCGGTGTTTCTCCTGCAGGAGATCGACAGGCATGTCATTCTTAAAGACGAGTGTGTGGTAGAGCTCTTTGTAAGGTAAAGGTATCCGCTCCAGCTCCGTGACCTCTGATAGACCGTCCAATCGCGATGACACGGCTGCCATGGCGAAATATCGGAATGAACTGGATTTATATCCTTGTGTCGGTGTGTTGAGAGAGACTGGTGTTGTTATTGTTGAAGGTAATAGAGTGATTGACAGGTAGTATGGGAGCCGTGGAAACTACACCAAGAAGGACGTGGACGATTGGTGTTAGCCGGTGCTTGTTACAGAGTGTGTTTCAGTCCTACAAAGAAGGCTGGTTCGAGGGGAAGGAGGGTGAGCAGGAGGAAAAAGTAGAAAGGAATTGAAAGGAAGGATGAGTATGCAATGGAAGGCGATCATGGAAGGTTGAGAAGGAGTTGGATGTGAAAAAGTAACAAGGAAGGCAACAAAAAAAGGGAAAAGAGCAAGTAAGGATGGAGGCGATAAAGAAAGAAAGGAATGGGAGAGTGGAAGAGAAGAGAAAAAAGAAGAGAGCGGGAGGAAAAATGAGAGCGAGAAAAGGAAGTGAAATGAGCAAGCGGAGGAGTCAGACAGGCGCAAGTGGCAGCAGAAAACTGCCGCCATGAACTTGCAGCGGAAGCAATACTGGCAGCAGCAAGGATACTGGAGATGCTCAATGGGACCTGGGACCTCTGCAGGATCCGTCTTTTTTTTTCTTTTCTTTCATGATCACCTCCTTCAAGCTTCATTCTGACAAGCAATGTGGATATACGGGGTAATAAGGAGAAGAGCTGGTTGGTTTGCCTTCGATTGTGGATGCTCAAATTAGCACTGGCATGCAATATTGGATTTCATCTTCACATAATAAAGCTCATGCTCCGTAATTTTTTTTTCTGCCTAATTATAATTAAGCCAAACTTGTTTTAGGATGCAAAGAGAAAGAGAGAGACAAGAATGAAAAAGGATGGACGAACAACCAAGAGAAAAGGTGAGGCGACAACGAAAAAGAGAAATGTGAAAAATAGCTAACTTGAGAGCCCTCCGGGCACAAAAAGTGTTCAGGGTCGTCGTGCTGTCGCTCCAGTTGACGATGATATACAAAAGGAGATGGAGATCAGTGTTGGTTGAAAAAAAAGGGATTGAAAGGAAAGGAGAACAAAGGAAGGAAAAAGATGAACAACGCAACACAAAAACAGAGGACACCATGGTTCATGATCAGCTATAAAAACGGCGAAAAGAAAATCACCAAAAAATGGCACAGCCGTTGTTTTTTTGTCTCCTCACTTTCCTTCTCTCCTTTCTTATATACACCTTTCCCTCTCCAACACAAGTCCAGGAACGTGTTAATCACTAAAGCCCTCCTCGCCCGGATGGACGCGAAAAGCATATCCGAAACAGGTCGAATTGGTAGCCAGTACCACGTTCCCGGTCACACAAAAAAAGTAGAAATCAGAAAAAGGGGAACAACGCCCCAACTGATGGTCGGGTTCGATTGGCTAGCCAATTGATCTCTTTTTTGAACAATAGGCAAACAAGGCCTCAACTATTATAGTTGGATAGGAAAGATCACAATCCAGGTCCGGGACAAAACAGAACAAACTGATCCTTACTTTCACGACAAAAGCGAAAGAAAAGGAAGAAAGAAAGAAAGGGAGGAAAGGGCAAGTGATTGAAAATGGAAAAGGGGAGGGAGGGAAGAGAAGAATAAAATCTCGGTGTAATGGTCCAACTGCTCTGGCCCATGGATCATATTTGTTTCCAAGGTGAGCGGGCAAACACAGGAGGCATATTCTTCAGATATGTGAACACAAGATGACGAGAGAGAAGAGGAAAAGAACTAAACAAGGAGGGAAGGCCAAGAGAAAAAAAGCAGTAAAAGGAGGTGGAGCAAGGATATAATCGTCTTTTTTTTAGCAAGCACGATCCTCATGATGGTATTGGCTGAAGGGAGAAAGAGAGAGGGGTATATTCGATAGAGAGCTGGGGGGGGGGGGTTACTAGATCTGGACGAAGGAGGCACCCTTTTAGGTCATTCCGTTCGCTGTGTTGTCTTCGCTACCCTAACGGTTCCAGGTGACTTTTACTTCGAATGCCAAAAGCTGCCGCTAGCTAATCCATGGCCATGGAATAGTTGAATGAAGGACAATGTTGAAAATGAAAGTGAAGAGGTGGGCGGAGTGAGATGTGAAAGGGTGAAAGGGTGCAAGGGGGGAGGAGAGGTGTTCTTGCTGAGCACTCACCGAGAGAGACGGGCTGAATGGCTGATAGTATTGACTCCTGAGAGGCGGCGATGAGAAGGCAGGGGAGGGGGAGAAAATAAGGAGGGGGAAGGAGGCAAGAAAGGGCAAGGAGGCTGGAGAGGAAGGGAAGGAGGGAGAGAGAGAAAGAGAGAGAAGTGTCAGAAGGAGAGAATCAGGTGAATGGGTATATGTGAATGGGTATGCGGGGTATGGAATAGTACGAGGTGAATGAATGAATGGAAGGGAGGGAGAAGAAAAGGTGTTGTTGGTGATTGAAGGTCGTTGTGGTTGTGGAGGAATGAATAAAGGGTATATGGTTGGAAGTGAGAGAGGGAGAGTAGGGTAGGAAGAAGGAAGGAAGGAAAGAGAGGTGAAAGTGGAAGTGGAACAAGAAGAATAAAGAGAGGAAAGAGAGACGAGGGGGAAAGGGATTGGCTTGTTGGGGGTGGGGTGGACATGGTAACTCTGTCTCTTCTTCTGTCTCTATTTGGTTTCCCTTTTGTTCATTTTCTCCGTTCACCCCATCCCATCATGTACCCACAAGAACAAGGAATGATAATCCTATTTTTTTCTCTTTTCGTTCGTGCCCTAATCGCACTCTGTCTCTCACGCGCCTGTGGGTCCTTCGGTCTGTTCTATCCCTTTTCTTCCCTCGCTTTAGCCTTTATCGATAATTGTTGTTGTTTGTGTGTTGATGTTTGTGAGTGTTGTTGACGATGATGATGATGATGCTGTCTGTTGATTGAATTGAATACACACAGACGACCACCCTGCTGTTGTCGGTGTTATTTTACTCTAATGTTCGTTCCCATCTTCACTTGATAATTCAATTCAATTGGGGTGGGTTGGGTGAAAGTGGTAGTGCCACACGGTGGTGTTTGTTGTTGGTGGGAGCTTTTCCTTACATGCGTATTCCCTGCTGATTGTTGCTTTGTTTTCGTTGTTGTTGTGTGACATATGATAATGTCCACAGCTCAGTCGGACTGTATTGTTGTACGTGGGTAGGGCCTATGGCCTCCCTTTGGTTCATCCCATTTTCACATTCACGTTTAGACTCTACGTTGTCGCGATTCCTCCTTCGTCCTCTAGCACAAGCACAACCCTGCTGTCAACAACAACAACAACAACAACAACAGTTATCTTCATAATAAAAAAAGGGTATGAACCTACGCCACTTTGTGCTTCGTAATCCCCCTTTACTTGTGCTTCCCGTCTGTCACTCCTCCATCCATGTGCCACTGACTTTCGTCCCTGACGATGTGCGGTACTTACCGAAGGGCAAAATAAAAATAAATAAAAGACCGACAAAAAGACGAAAACGAAAAGAAGAGCGTAGAAAAGATATAGGGGAATGAACAAAGAAAGATGGCGAATGGTACAAAGCGAGATGGGGAAGTGCGAGAGGAAAAGAGAAGAAAGGGGGGGTGATGCGGAAAGCGCGAACAGAGAGGGCGAGAACAAATAAAAGTTTGCAATGGTAAAAAGGGAGCCACTGGCTCGATGTGGACATGCATAACTCCGTTGTTCATATCCTAATCCCCTCATCTGTTTCTCCACTCTTCCTTCTCTCACTCTTCGTTTTCTTCTCTCTTTCTTTTTGCTCTTTTTTAGGTCTCGCTCGTTCTCCTCTTTCTCGCACAACTGCGTATGAGCGAATGGATGTAACAGTGTTCATGCCACGGCATTGTGCATAGAACCGATCGGTCTTCCTTCTTTGTCCTCTACAAGAGAAAAAAAAGAGAGCCAGAGACCATTTGCATGTATCCTACTCCACTCACCCCCTGACCTGATCCATCTTTTCCTTGCCCTTGTGTCTTCTTTTGCTTTTTCCCTCGCCTTCTCTCATCTTCCTTCCTTCTCCCACCCTCTTCTTCGTAAAGAATTCTTATATCCCCTTTATCTGAAGCCTCATCACCATCATTGTAATAGTGAACGCTATTCAACAATCGAGGGTCTGCTGGTTATTTATTTATTCTATTCTCGTCTGACCAAGCCCTGTCTCAATAACCATAGTGACGAGAATGAGAGACAGAGAGAAAGCAATCGCCCAAGCGAAATACAGCCAGGCTTAATAATACCGTGTGCCAGAACAAAGGGTCGGGAAGACCGACCCAACACATGTTCGCTTTTTCTTATTCCGTACGCGCTTTGCGCATGGCATTGGGCATTGGGAGGTCATCTTACCATTTGTCATTGGCAAACTTTTTTTTCTTGACATGACTTTCCCCTTTTATTTCCCTTGTCCTTTTCCTACTGCTCATCGTGTACATTGATAGTTTTCTTCATCTAAAAGGCCGACCATTGCAAGAAAAAAAATGACCAGTCCGTCCCCTCATTTCTCTCCGCTCCCCTCTCTTTCTGTCACCCTTTTTCTCCACGACCGTGTTGTTACTTATCCATGGATATATGCAAAACCATAACCTTGCTTTGTCGTCCTTATTTTCCTCCCACTCCACCAATTTTTTACCAGCTGGCGGGATCTAATCTTCTGGTAGTATTGCATTGCTGCCAATCACCTCCAAACGGCAAATGCAATCCTCCCTTCCTCCTTTTTCTCCACCCTCTCCTTGTAAAAAAATCCTTCCCGCGGCATACACAGTCTAGGTGTGGTATTCCGATGCATGCATAGCATCCATCGCTTTTAAGGATTTCTTTTCTTTTTACAACAACAGCAAGTCGCAGTCCGAGCAATTAGATCACGACACCATTCGGTGTGGAGTGTGAGTGAGCGTCGGAGCCCCTTTTTGTCCGTTACCGCATCCCCTCTTTCCATCGATCGCTTTACATAACGGTCCTTCCTTCCTTCTTCTTTTCTCTTCCCAGATGGTGGTCCATGATGATGTAGGACTATCCATCGCACATGTGAAGGCTCGAATGCAATTATGGGTCTACAAGGGTAGACCGACGGAAGGGCCTCTTTCCTCCCTATCTTGTCGCAAGCCATTCCTCCAGGAACAATAAGAATAAAAAGTGTGCATGATTTTTGGCGGATGCTTTGGCTTAGGTCAGACGCAATGACCATTGCTTTCTCCACTAGTACCCTTTTCCTCTGTTGTGTATCCCACACTCACACATGTGTGTTGCCTGTGGGAAAGGAAGCAGAGGCCGGAAGGTGCAGCAAATGCGAGTGGCTTATTTCGAACGATGGCGCGTTTCTGGCTTCTGTTTTGAGGCTCCTAGGTGGCCGGATGCTTTTTTTTACTTCCTCTATCGTAAAACATCCTACCACATGCCCACACTGTCTTTTATACATTCGTAGAAATCAAAACAACTTCATCGATAAGCGTGTTTGTGCATATGTGGGTAAGGGAATGTGAGTAGTAAAAAGAAGTGAGAAGGAGGGCTCAGAATGGCAACGGAAGAAAAATGGTTGGATGATTACGAGAGAGACTTTCAATCCTAGTTGTGCTGTTGTTTTTGTTTTTAGAACCATGCTTCGGGGACACTAGGGGTGAGGTAAAGGGGGGGATCGAAGTTAGGGGAGAAAATGGATGCTCTCAACATGCTTGCTCTGGCTGGCTATCGATTGAATTATTTTTACTCTCCGAGCCCAATGCTCACTCTCACCACTACTTCTCTCTCGCTGCTGCATATCATGCATTCATTTATTCCATCGCCTATTACTTTTTCTTGTGCTCTCTCGCTTCAGTTCACGCACATACAAAGTGAAAAATGATGGCCAGTCGTCGATGAGACAGGCAAGGAGACTGGCGGGTAGGTATAGGGGCACACTGAGAGCCAAACGATTGTTAGAATGTATGTGTGTGTGAGAGAGAGCGAATCGTTTCTGATCAATTTGACAACTCCGTTGTTGATGTACCTTCTCGGCTTGTCAAATATCCGCACCAGCGCCCTCCACGTCTTCCCATGGAGCCACCTTAAACGGTTCCAGGCCTCCGATCTAGTGGGACGAAAATGATCGTTGCGATAAAAAAATAAAAATACATAATTGCGATCTACTACCACACTTCTTCCGCCATACGCTCCAGATATTGTTTGCTGTGTGTGGCTCATATTGTTTCTCATTCATTTTCCTTTACGCCCATCCACAGGTTCAGTATAAGCGGCAATTATCTCCCTTTCCATAGGAGAGAGAGGCGAGGATGAGGCGACAGAAGAGAAGGCGTTGTTGCCGAACTCAAATTGTATGTGTGCATCGATTATCGAACCATTCTTGCAATGTCTCATTTTGTGTATGGATGGATGGCGAGTTAGAAATCGTATGCTTTTTATAATTTCCAACGAGTTAGAAACGAGGTCGGTGAATGGTCGATAGACAAATGCACAAGTGGACATGGACATAGGAGGAGAAGGAGGGGTCAATTCTAAACGAGCAGAAAACGAGGAAGGTTACATAGAGGTAATGGTGGTTGGGTGTGTGAGGATAAGAGTGGGCCGAAATAGACAGGAAGGGGATTAAAGTGGTGAGCGAAATGCATGTTGGATAAACACGTTGGCTTAGAAGCAACATTATGGTTCTTTACGGATCTCTCAAGAGGCACTAGAACATATCTTTTATCTTAGCCTCCAGTCAATGCGCACTACTATTACAAATATACCATTGTGGAGCAACATCTTTTTGTCAACATTTTTTTCCTTTTTGAAAATATACGACTGTGCTAGAGTCAACGTCTATTCTCTCTCACTGGAAAGGCACCTCCTCTCCCTCCCCTCCATGTATTCTCGCTGGAGCAAGGTGCATTGTTACATATGTAACAATGGCATCCGGACAATTGTGAGGAAAATTTTGTTGTGTTCAAGAATTTGGCGATCTTTGTATAAAAATAGGTCCATGGTCCAAAAGTCTCCTTCGGTGAGTTTAGGCGGACGGTTTTCATTCGTGTCTTCGTTGTTTTGTCCGTACTCGTTCCTCAGATCTTGTTTGCGCTTACTTGGAGAGAACATGAACATCTCTGTGTGTGGGTACAAAGTGACCCCAGTTCTCCGAAGGAATGGAAGAGTATTTTTTGATCGACTTTAGTATGTCTAGTCTTTCTTTTTATGACGGTAATGCAGATGGATGGAGAAGGATGTGCCAAAAGTGAGACTTCACTTGTACTACTGCCACTCTTGTCTTTGCTCGTCTTGATGAAAACGAGGCAATCAATCGTATGTCGATCGCTCTTGCGGCTGCTGATGGAACAAGAGTAAAGAGAGTGAAGTGTATCAGTCTGATATCATGTTTCTACTGCACAACTGTTACAACGGCTCAATCAGCAAGTCCAATCAAACACAAAGACAATTAAAGTTCAGTCGGTGCCTGAGGACGGAGCGATAAAAAACGAGGGCTGCATTCATTCACTCTCTGCTTACCTGTCTGTTCTCTCTTTCTCATTACCTTCTCTTCTTCTTTTTATTGTCTTTCCTCTTCACTTTTCTTCCCCTTCTCTTCTTTTCTTCTTCTTCATCTCCATACCTCTCATTCCCCTCCTCATTCCTCTTCCTCGTCGTCCTCATCACCCATTCCTTTCTTAACAGACTCATCTCCCTCTCTTCCCCCGCAACCACGGTCTTTTCTTCGTTTTACCTTTACTTTCTCGCTCTTTTTCTCATTTTCGCCCTAGCTCCACATTTCTTCTTGAGCTCTTCTCTTTCTCGCTCTTTTTCTTTCTTTCGCCCTAGCTCCACCTTTCTTCTTGAGCACTTCTCTATCCAAGTCGACTTCACCCTCATTTAACGACCCTCGGCACCCCCTATTCTTCCTCCTGCCCAGTTTACCCTCCTGCAACCACCGTTCCTTTTCACTTTTGAACGTTGCAAACCTCTTCCCGCCAATTTTCCCTCCTCGCCTCCTCGCCTTTTTCTTAACTTCCTAAGGAAAAAAAGGAGGTTCAAACCATTCCTTTTCTGTCGATTATTGATTTCTCTTTTCGCTTGCTGTAGTAGCCTTCTTCGGTCCTCCCTCCCTCCCCTCTCCTTTTGCTCAACTCAACTCCTCCTTCCTTGTTTGTTGCATACTCCCTTGCGTCAACTTTTTTCCTTCGTCCCAATTCCACTCCTGAGACACGTTGGATTTTTTTGTTCTTCCAAGGAAAAGGAAAACTGCTCTCGTCTCTTAATATATATACCACACGGACAAAATCTCCTTTTCTCTTCCTTTTATCTACACACAACAACAACCAACAACAACAACAACAACAACAACAACAAAATATAGTACAATCGCCATGGGTGGAACTGTCTGGAACGAGTGGGCACGCTTGATGTGCTTGACTGCATCATTTGGTAAGTCGTCGTTCTTTTTTTATCCGTTTCTCTTGTTCTCCAAAAGACCGTTGATCGAACCAACAACAACAGCGGCAACGAAACAACCACCCGCAAGAAAAAGAGTGAACCAATGAGGGCATCGGATTATTTTCATGTCCAAAGTTTTTTCTGTCTTCATTTTTGCTCACTCGTTATTTATTTTCCTTTTCGTGAACGAAAATAGTTGTCTTTGTGGGAGGCGCCATGGGAGTCTTCCAGCCCTTTCCTGCATTCTCCGTCTTGGGGTATGTCCTCTTCTTTCAATTGATTCAAGGATAAACTGCACGCACACACAGCAAACGGAAGAACAACAACCATACATTGCAAAGGATACTTTCTTTTCATATTGAAACAGACAAAGGAATGCAAGCCAAACCCAAAGAGGCATAGACAGGTCATGAGGGAGAGAGGAAGGACGATATGATAATTAAGAACAGAGGGGGCGGCGGGGCTAGATCGTCCTCGTCGTCGAGCGGATAAATCGACATCTTCCTTCGCCAATCTCATGGTTGTCTCTCTCACCCACTCATTCTCTCGTCCAACGCCAAGCGCTCATTCCACACGAGGACAGATACATCATCAAACCCTCCGAGGAGGGGTGTACAAAGGAACAACATTTCTTCATCACGGAATATTTCTTACAGCTCACTACACACTTGTCCGATGGTTACACATATGACAAACAAGATTCATTACAAAGCCAACCATCTCATCTCACACATATACCTTCTTTTTTTTAACCTGTAATAGAAACTTGGAAGGACTCTACGCTTTGCCAGTACCGGTGCTTCCTGTCATCTTAACGTAAGGAGAACAACAACGCCATGCTCTACCGTCACAACGCGCCCTATTCATTTTCAGGAAGAAACGAAGAGGAAAGCTAACAAGAGTCCCTTATCATCTGTTTCTCCTTCTCTTCCAACAGTGTGCTAGGAGTAGTCGTCTGGGTGATGGAATACCCGCTCATCTTGACAGAGTACTTCAACGGCCCACGGTCATACATTCCAAAAGTCGCCTTCTACATCCCCGTCGCCGTCATTTCAATGCTTGAGGCCCACACAATCAACGGAGGTGTCTATCTTGCCATTGGAACCATCGCTTATATGATGGCTGTCCGAGCCGATTTCTTGAAAGAAGCTTCTTCGTCTGGATCCTTTGGTCGTCTTCCGTAATGGGTGATGTCCTGACAGCCATGGAAATGCTAGCACCTTCTACATCACCACCGCCACCACCATTGTGGATGTCTTTGGTGGCGTGAGAAAAGGGAAATACGCCCAGAACCAGGAACTCACATCACGACCATCCCGACCCACTTCACCAACTACCAATCCTACATCATATTACCGCACACGTAAGATCGTATTAGAAAAAAATAGGGAGGTGTCCACCTACCTACCCACTACCACCACCCATCATCATATTACCAATCTCTACCCTTGTACCATAGCCTACTCTCATCTCTTCCCCTGTCTCCCGTAGTCGTTCATTTTCGTTGTTCTTTTCACCAAGGACAAAATAAACGGCACTCCAAAACTCATAGCATCAGACATATGTTCTCTCCACGATCAATTTACGTTTTAATAGGAAGATTGATAAGATGCTGGCAGGAGATGGATGGGGATGAAGACTAGATTGTTCCAGTAGATGGGAAAAGTGTGCATGTGGAGGTGGCATTAGCACTTGTTGGGACCCCTGTAGCAGACATACCACTCGCCTCGGAGACACTTTGTATCGGTATCGTAAGGGCAAGGACATTGGACCGGCCGATCGACACAAACTTGTGTCTCTTCGCAGTAATACCCCTTGCATGCCGAGGCTAGATATAGAATCAGGAAGGTAACGATAAAACCAATTAATTACACGCTCATTATTTCTGGGATGTAGGTGTTACAGCGACTGTGAATCCAACGCCGATCAATTGACTTTGAGCATTGAATGGCCGTGGCATATTTGGTCACATCATTCAGTATTACCATCGCTGAAGGAGGATTCCTCTGAATCGTCCTCAGAATCAGCCTGCTGCTGGGCAGATCCGCCTCCAAAAAAGTCATCAAACGGTGACGAATGCTGCTGCCTTCTCTGCTGTTGCCTCTCCTGACGATGCTGTTGTGCCTCAGCCTGTGCCTTGGCGGCCTGGTGGCGCGAGAACATGGGTGCCGAGGATGGGATGGCGTCTGACATCGGAGTCCCGAACCCCTTCTTCCCTTGACCGCCATGCCATGCTTGTCTTGGGGTCGACGAAGGGGAATGGGAAGAGTGTGATGACGTGTGGTGATGAGTGTTTGTTGTCGACTTGAAGAGGTCGAATGGAGAAAAAGAAGGCATTGCGACATGGGCTAAGGAGAGGGCGAGGATGATGAAGATGAAGGAGACGATGGCGCGTGTTCCAAGTCCGTTGGAGGGTGGTGATACTGTGGAAGGAGGCGCTTTGGACGTGGAGCGGACTCTTGTGCCGTCGGTTTTGGCTGTTGGTGGAAGAGGAGAAGGCGGGGAAGAGACGCGTGACTCTGCAGGTAAAGAAGGGGAGGGAGTGGAAGACGCAGCTGCGGATGGCGGAGGGGATCTCTTTGGTGATGACATGGTTGGCTTCTGAGGAATGTGTGTGTGAACGAAGAAAGGTTGCAGGACGACCTAGTGGCCAAAGCATGGGGGACAAAATCAGGGACAATAGCCTTGACTTCTTAAGGGTGGCAGACATAAGCCTATCGACTATTTTTGGTGGCGTAAAATGAGTTTCAATCAGGAGGTCATCTAATCTCTAAAGTCGACACAAGGAGCGGTATTTTACTTGGGCGGGGGGCAGACAGTAGTTGGGGATAAACAGGAGTAAAGGGCACAAGTCGGCATTGGAGAACATTTAGCTGAAAGATCGCTTTTGTACGGTGGCGGTTGTTTCAGTGGTGGAGCAGCAGGTCCGGTGCTAGTGCCGGTGCGGGTTTAAGTGCAGTTCTTTGTACAGGTCCAGGACCTGGTGCAGGTACCGGTGCAGGTCTTGGTGGCGGCGGCGATTTTCCAACCTGTTATTCTGGTGCTGGATCCTTGAGAGAACTGCGACTGAATGAGGACGATGTTGTGGTGGGGGATCGCACCTCAGGGTTGACCTAATTAGTCGTCCTGTTCGGGCGTTCTCTCCGTACATGTTTATTGTCGTGAGTCTTAGTGTGGTTCATCAAGGAGTGAAGGAGAGGTAAAGTAAGGCATCAATGGTATAGCCACCAGGCAAGGCGAATAAATAAAGGAAACATGCCGCATAGTTGAAGGGCGAGAAAGAGTTAAACAAAAACTTGAGGGACTCAAAAAGTGTTACATCAAACCAAAATAGCATGAGGCAGTACAAGTGTGCAAAGAAAAAAAGAGGGAAAAAAGGAGGGCACGATGAAGGGGCACGGTGACTATATCTCCATCGAAGGGTAATGGATGATCAGTATTTGCAAAGTCGCAACGTTCCAGGCAACAAGTCTCCATCAGTTCAACGCGTCTCAGCCACTCCACTCGGAATATGACGGATAAGCCACAGAGACGGTTGGGAGTCTCGAAAATTAAGACTCAAACCCTTTTTTTCTTCCCACTCTTTCCTCTCCACCCAACACTATCCCCCAAGGAAGAATTGACGACTCTTATGGATCACCAGGAGGACACTGCACCCATGGACGGATCATTTATCGTCGTTCCCAAGGATACCCCTTCTTCCTCAGTTACAACGACAACAACTTCACAGGAACAACAGGCACTCACAACCGTCTCCGCAGCAACCACTGCTACCACTACAACGGCTACTACGACAACCACCACAAAGACAATTGACGGCAAAGTCCACACCAGCAAGACGGAGTCCACTGAGTCAACAGCTACAAAATCCCTACTTCAGAAGGAACTGCAGGCCTTGTCGACACCTAACAAGGTCTTCCAGAACTGGGCAAAGACATTCCGATGTGTTCCCGAGCAGTATTATACCCCTACGACTGAGGAGGAAATCGTTAAGGTAGAGTCAGGGCGAGAAAACAGACTAATGCGATGGTGTGACACCTACCTACCCCCTTTCATTCCAAGCGATCCAAGCGTACGTATATCTTTCCATTATGACTAATTCGTGCAAGATATTCTTTCTCATAACTTCTGTATAGATTATTCATCTCGCCAGGATCTCAGGAAAGAGCGTCAAGGCTATCGGAACAGGGCACTCACCCTCTGACTTGGCTTGCACAGATGGATTCATGATCAACACCGACAAACTGAACAGTTTGATCAGCGTCGACGAAGAGAAGATGACTATCACCGTCCAGGCTGGGATGAAGTTGCACAAGTTGCATGATCTGTTGGAGCTCCACGATTTGGCCATGAGCAACCTGGGATCGATCTCGGACCAGAGCGTTGCGGGCATCATGTCTACAGCCACCCATGGCACCGGTGCAGAGTATCCCTCCATGTGCGCTTCGGTAAGGACAGGATGGACGGCAGGGATAATCTGCAATTGTAACATGAACAAATGTCGTTTCCAATTGCTCTCATTACTCACTACATTTCGCTTGATTGGTTATAACGCTAACTGAACATCTAGGTACTGGAGTTGACATTAATCACGGCGACTGGAGAGACGATCTCGTGCTCCAAGACAGAAAAAGCGGACATCTTCAACGCAGCAGCATGCTCCTTGGGTGCACTCGGGATTATAACACAGATGACTCTCCAGTGCGAGCGGGCCTTCCGCCTCGAGAACAAACAGGAGCCCGCAAAGTTAAATGACGTGCTCAACAATCTCGATAACATCATTCACTCGGCAGAGCATGTTCGTCTTTGGTGGTACCCTCACACCGACAATGTCGTTGTCTGGCGCGCCAACAGGACTACTAAGGTAAAAACACCTTTTACAGGAGAATAATTCATGAGGGGTCGCTCAGTTCTCGCTTTCGATGTCTGGAGATTGACACACTTATTATTTTCATCCGACATTAGGAAATTTCATTGCCTGTACTAAGCTGGAGGTCATCAAAATGGTTCGCCGTTCATGTTTATGAAGGACTCTTGTACGTTTGCCGGTTCATCCCCCGACTAATCCCCACTCTCTCCCGGTTCATGTTCTGGGCTACGCAGTCTAAGCCCATCGAGCGTGTGGACGACAGCGTCAAGGTCTTCAACTTTGACTGTCTTTTCTCTCAGTATGTCAACGAATGGTCGATCCCTTGGTCGCGGACAGCAGAGGCATTAAGGGCGCTGGACCATTTTATTGAGAGCGGGAGTGTCAAGGACAACAAAGATCAGGACAAGTCAGCAACAACAAAGGCGAATAAGGACGCACCACTGTACGTTCATTTCCCGATTGAGATCCGTTTTGTCAAGAAGGATGACGTCTGGCTCAGTCCTGCCTATGGAGTCGACTCTTGCTACATCGGCATCATCATGTACAGGTAAGAATAGACAACACGGTATTTGCGGGACGAATTCCTCCTCCCCTATTTGACTACCACATACCATATACCAAATACCATATACCAAATACCAAATACCATATCCCAAATACCAAACCCCACATCCCGCAAAGGACAGACACCTCCCCAATGGAACTATGACTGGCCTGATCGCGTGAATGCGGACTGCATATATACACACACCAATATAACATTGACACCCCCTCGTTTTCTTTTTCTCCCTCCTCGTCCTCTTCCCTCTCAAAAAGACCCTACGGGATGGCAGTACCATACAAGCGCTTCTGGGCAGGATACGAAAAGATCATGGCCTCATTGGACGGTCGACCTCACTGGGCAAAGGCCCATTCCGTTACGCCCGAGGGTCTCGAAGAGTCGTACCCAAAGATGAAGGAATTCTCTGCTATCCGACAGCGATTAGACCCTGAGGGCATGTTCCTTAATGATTACCTTCGTAGACATTTGGTTGTGCCAAAATAGATAAATAGATATCTTCGCTCTCTTTTGCCATTTATGATGTGTGCATTGATGGACTGAGCCCTTTTTTTGCATTAGCATTTGCAGTTTGTTGACAAGCACACGGTGCAGGTTGAAAGAAAATGCAAAATTAACAGGACAAGGACTGAGTCATCTTGTCGATACATGCCCCTTCACCAATTCATCATCATAGCCCGTAGATTGGTTGGATCGGGGACTTTGTGCTTTGTTCCTTCATCATGCCATCATGCCCAATGTATGGCCCATGAACAAAAATGCTACGAAGCAAGCAAATGTCAACAAACAAACTTAGGAGTGAAAGATAGTCAGCATACCCTTCATGCCCTGTCGACTTCTTGCCCCCCACTTTTGACCCCCAACAATGCGAATGAGTCCACGCATTTTTTTTCTTTTTGTTTTGCAGGAAAAATCCACGTGGCGGCAAAAGGTGTGTTCGCCACACAACGAAAAAAAAAAAAAAAAAAAAATTGTGAGCAATAGGGGAAGCGGACGCTCAAGCCAGTTCAAGGGAACTGAGAAGAAAGGAAAAGAGAGGAAGGAAAGAAGAAGAAAAGGTTGGAAAAGGAGACCAAGGAAAGAAAACAAACGCAAATACACAGACGTCGGTTTTTACAACACGGCGACACAAAGAAACAGCATTTTCACCGACAAAGGAGATATGCCTTTAATCGCTTGATTGCCTGAATTTTTCATACACCACCCCCTTTCCGACTCCTGTCATGCCTGTATGTCTGCCTGTCTGCCTGTCTCCCATCCATGCGTCGTGTCTGCAGCGTGCAGGCTATGTCTGTTCGTCGTCGCCGCTCGTGAATTATGGATGATGAAGGGGTCACGGCCTTTTTTGATTTTTGTCTTGTGAAAAACCAAAGGGCTACATGTGTGAATGAAAGGGCTGGCTTCCTCCCCGGGGTAAGGGTCTTCTTGGTGGAAAGGAGAGAGAGAGCATGCAAGTCTTCATATGTTTTTTCCTGCTTCTTCTTAATTCACATTCACTGTGTGGTTGTGGTTGGGCTGGATTGGTCTGGGCTGGATTGAGAGTGTGTATATGAGAGAACGGAAGGCAAAGAATGTTACCTTTCGTTTGGCGATAATACCACAGCAGGCAAAACAATAGTCAGAGATACAATTCTCTTAAATACTCCAAGCAACTCTGTTTTCTTCTTTCCCTCTTCCAACTCTCACACCTGCATTCCATCTGTCCTTCTCACTTGCCATCATCCTCATTGCTCCACTTCATCTGCATCTCTCCCTTTATACCTTACCCACCTTACTTCTTACTACACCTCACTTTCCTTCTCACCAACGGAAAACATACCTGGCCACACGCTAAAATAATAATAATAATAATAACACCACGACCAAAAACCCCTGTTCTACCCCTTCAATCCCACTACAACTATTTCGCTCTCGACCACAACACCCTCTTTTTCTCACTTACCTTAAACATACAACAATAATGGCGGTCAAAGTATTAATTGTCGGCATGGACGTTGCCACGGTAACACTAGCGTTGATGCTAGAGCTCGCAGGAGTTGACTACCTCCTCCTGGAGAAATCCGACTCTGTCCCCGCTGTTGCAGGCGGGATGTCGCTCCACCCGACTGTCCTCCCTCTGCTGGAGCAGCTATCGCTCAGGGACGACCTCCTCTTCTTTTCACAGCCGATGGAGCAGGTGCTTGTGCTAGACAGCGACATGGAGCACATTACCACTTACGACTGGTCTGACCGGCGGATACGGTAAGCAGTGCATTCGTCCGTCCGTTCCTGCTGACTGTTGTTATTCTACTGATGAATGCCTGAACCCCAATGAGATATAAAACCTTAATTGTCTCTCGTACTGATCATCTCACTCCGTCTTTATTCCATCACCTGTTTCTTTTGTTGGCATTGATTGATGTCTTGGTGTGTGTTAGATATAGTGCCTGGAGTCGATTCATGACAAGGCCAGAGTACTGCACTGTCATTGTCGAAAAACTGACAGAATCCAGAGTCCTTTTCGACAAGGACATCGCCTCCATCACCACAATCGACTGCGCCGAAGAAAGGAACGACAGGGCTAAGGGCCTGCAACCCCTCGTCATGGTCGACAGCCGCCAGGATAGCATGCTCGATATAGATATCACCATGGAAAAGGGCGAAGCACGAGGGGGCGTAACAGTCGAATGCACGGACGGCTCGTCCTACACCGGTCATCTCCTCGTCGCCGATATCGAAAGTGGAGTCGAACAGCTGTTTGACAAGAGCAAGGCCACGTCTACTGAATCAGGGTGGGCTCAAGGAGGTCGTCAGGAAATCTACTCTGTCAACCAAGCTGCCACTGCAAAGGACCCAACAAGCGCGATAACAACGGGAACGACACACGATACCCCAGCACCACGCGAAGTTCAGTACCATGTGTCGGGCGTCACAGAGGCTCTTGACCCCCAAAGGATCCCGCTCCTCAAGGAAGACACAACTCAGCTTCGACTTGTTATGGACGATCGGAGCTCACTCTCGGTAAGCGGATTAAAGTTTTCATGCCGATTCTCCCGCCACAGGCACAGGCACGCACTGCTGTTTTTCGCACTAAGAAAAATACTCACGAACCCACTTTGTCAACACACTTGACGCTTCTCTTTGAACAAAATAGTGGTGGGTAGCAACATTGGTAGATCACAGAATTGCCTGGCAGGTCACTCAACGAATTCGACTCTCTGACAAGACGATGGGACAGAATGCAGACGCGGATTGGCCCTTGGAAGATGAAGAGGCGGCCAAGGCCAGCATAATGAGTCAGATGTCGCAGTCGATGATGTGCCCCCTTGGTGGGACGATGGCACAAATCGCCCAGTGGACCTCCCCATCTGAAATCTCATGTAAGCGGTGGGATGACCGCACTGCCCCAACCCGTGTGAACCCAAACAATGCTCCTCCTCATCCTCGGCTGCAACTTTTGGGGGAAGGTAAAGTACAAAACAGGTGTGACGAACAAAAACACCCCGCCCATGCCATGCGTTGATCTCTCGTGAGATGCACAATATCCCAATACTCACTCGTCTCCCTCTTTTTTATTCTCCCAACCCCATACTACTGTTCAAACAATCACCCCATAATCCCTCTGGTGTCTCACAGCTTGTCACAAGGTAAAGAGAAAAAAAGGAAGGGAAAATAATCCCCCTTCCCGCCAGTCAAGCATAGTCCACCTCCATGTGTCACAAACAAAGGCATTTTCGTTTTTCGACCTATGAAACTCACCACGTTTTTTTTCCATGTCATGTGTTTCTTTTTTCTCCCGCCCAGGTCGTACCAATTCTAGGACAAGCTGCCGATGAGTCAATCCTCGATGCCCTCAGTCTGGCAGAGGCTATTGTCGCCCTCCCTCCCGCAGCAAGGCTGACTGACATCCGTGACGCCTTTGGGAGGTACCGCAAAGAGCGAACCTCTCGACGGGAGACTGCTATCCGCGAATCGCAGGACCTTGACCAGCTCCTGAACGCCAAGGTAATGACTACTCCACATCTTTTAGATGCAACGAAATGCCGCATCCTTCCTGGAACTGAATGGCTCTGCCACTCTTGCTTTTTTTTTTTTTTTAACTATCTTCGTCCTAACTTTCACATCTTCTGTTTTTTTTTTCTGTCTTATTATTTGCAGGGCGCGATGCAGAAGGCATACAGAGCGGTGAAGCTGAACTATACCCCAAAGTGCACACAAGAACGCCGGATGGACGAGAAATACTCATACCGCCCTCAGGCCAATTTCTTGCAACCCGTGCCCGATTACGGCCAGATCCAGCCCGTACAACAGCATCATCGTTCACGCCGACCATATAACAATTAAGAACCAGGATGATACCCCCTGTTCCCTAATAATACAGACTAGATAATCGTCCATACAGCAACATACTACAATATCATCTTACACATACACCAAAATGCCGCAAAAACGTCTTGCAAGGAGGGAAGACGGAGGGAGTGAGGCAGGAAGTAACAATAGTATGCTTTCCTATGTTGTTGCTTCTCGAAAACGCGTGAAAGTAACTCCCCCACCCCCCATTCAAGATTGGATAATTTTGGTACATGGTAGAGTGGCCTCAGAGAAAGGGCTTTGTCATAGCATACAAACGTTTTTTTTTATTAGTTTAGCGCCATTGGCTTTACCTTGCGTGTTACGGCCACAAGTGAACATACATTCCTCGGAGGTCTGCAAGTGAGGACAACTACCAGATCCGCTGTACAAAAACCTGTTTGGTACCCGGGATAACGACAGGGATGTGGAATGTCTCCATTTTTTATTTCGTGTCCGCGATAAAAACGGAAGGGCAAAAGAAGGAGAGAGGATAATGAGAATTGAAAAAATACTAGCAAAAGAATTAAACGCGTCAGGTACCTCGTTCCTAAGCTAGGCGGCTGTGATTGAAATAAAAAAAAAGAACTGTGACAATAAAAAGGGCTCAGACAAGACATTCCTCACTCTCCTTCTCCTCAACAACTTGACTTACTCAACAGTCAAGGTACGCGGTGTAAATCCAAACACCAGTGCGTCCACCCCAGAGATCGCCCATGATCCAATCGCCGGTGCGTCCTCGGTAGTTGAGGTTCTGACCCCTGTTGACGGTTCCGAAGGCTTTATAGTTGGGGCCGGGGCCGGCGCGGTAGTTGACGCCGTTGTCGTTGACCGTGCAGACAGAGGCGGTTGCAGCTGGTGCGGCGATTGCGGATGTAGCGGCGGCGGCGACCAAGCTGAGGATGGCAATGGTTCTAGTCAACATTTTTTTGAAGTAGCCTAGAGATGCCCATTGGAATAGGCGGTGGTTTTCCTAGTTAGTTTGGTTGCTTTACTATGATGGATAGATATGGCGCGAATGAAGAGGAAGAACGAAGAACCTTACTTGGATAAAAGTGTAGAAGTGTGTGTGTTTGTTGTTGTTATTGCTTGTGTTGAAGAAAACTGAGGTTGGTGAGGATACTTTGGGAGAGGGGATGGTCCTTTTATACCGCTCGAGGACCTCAAAAGTCGACCAAGCGAAAAAAAGGCATTGTCTGTAGGAATACATTGTCATCAGGTCAACAACAATAAAGCCTATCTGACACTGGCCAGTATGGATGACCGTAGGCGTGGGATCATCCGTCAGGGTAGTGGTACTGACGCCAAGGGAATAAAATAGTCGACATAGTAACCTAAAGAATGAGAAGGCAATGGGCCATGCGGGTTCGACTAATCACAATCGACAGCCTAAACCGTTACGGGATCGAATAAGAATAAAGAATTCAAGCCAAAAAAAAAAACTACGCGTCCGTGAGCTCTATGCAATGCAACGCAGCTAATTGTCTACCGATCAAAGTGCAGGCGAAGGTGCTAGTGCCAAATAACAAACACGGCGCTTCCTTGCCTTCTGCGCTTTTGGGCTTTTCTATTTCGGGATCCTTGTTATGATTGGTGACAGAGTGGAAACGGTGGGAGCGGCGACGGCTCCTTAAGGACCGTTTGGGACGAGGTTAGCTTTTGCTCCTTTTTTTTTGCATTGACGCTAAGGGTTACCATCGTCGACTTTTTATCATCGCCTTTCCTTGCCTAATGACCGCGTACCATTTGGAGTACCTTGCCTTGAATTTCTAATGATAGTCGTTCATGCCACACAGCTGCTGTAGTCTAAATATTCATGTACAAAATAGTGCGGCGTCTCCTTTCTTGTCAGGCTATGAACGCCATGCGACAGGCTGTGTTCTTTTTGCCTTGCTGTGGGAACCGTTCGCCACTAATCCAAAAATACCGTACCGCAAAGTAAGAATGGATAATTCGCCTCTATCGATTCCTGTCATCATTGTCAGGGGTTGCCTCAATAACACCCTTTCCTTCCATCAAGCAACATTTGAACGTTCACAACAAAAAGGCATGCTATATCATCCATGAGATACGATGCCATTGACTCTAGTGGGTTTGGTGTTTTGACGCCAGGTTCCTTATGCCTCCCTTTTTTTTCCGTACATTGAAGGCGCTCGATTAGCATTCGCACTGGACTGGTATGATTGGGGTAGGAGGATCGCCGTGAAAAAGGTGAGAGGTCATGTCATTCTTTTCTCACTAATGGAAGTGTGAACAGTTACTTTGATTGCTCCTAAAATAATCAGCCAACGACGAACGCCGCACCAGGTCAAGCAGTAGGAGATGAGGCCGCTGTATCATACTTCAGAGGACGGCGTTGACTTCTCTAGCACAAACGAAATGAACGTGTTCTAGGGAGAGGTATGTTCTTCTGGCCTACGACGTGTGAACCAAGCCGACTGTGTCCTGGACGATTAGGCGTGAGCGAACCTGCAGTTACACATGTAACCCCGGAGCTTTATTATATTATCTCGACCAAGGTGCTCGATGCTTTGTCTAGACTCGCTCTCTATTGAGAACGACTCGGTCGTGATGATATATTGCGGGGTTATCCACATAAGGTCGGTTTATAAAAGTCACGTGACACATATGGGTTTATCCCCGTCGGCATAGGCACGGTTTTAAACCGATAGGCAGCCTTGCATAATTTTTTTTTTCTGGCGGAATCATCCACATGGAACGCATGCATGTCACTCCATTCTTCCCTCTTTCTCCACTCCACATCGCCACATTAGCCTCATTCAGACAAGCCCACACCCCAATCTTCCCTCTTTCTCACTTCACATCGCCACATTAGCCTGATTCAAACAAGCCCACACCCCAATACACATTACACACAACCCCCCCCCCCCCCCAATACCCGACTAATTAATGACACGGGTAAGCTAAAAAGGTCTTTGCACAATTGGGGCGATATGTCCTGTACCTGATTGGCATCCACCATACCACCATACTTACTATTTCGTTCTATTGTTTTATTGTTTCGCGTTAAACAAGTCGTGCAGCTTTTCTGTTAAAGGCAAAGCCATAGCACGAAACAAACGGCAGCAGACGAGCATGCAAGGCAGCCAGCCGGCAAGAGCAAAATCTAAGCTGGAAACCTACCGCGAACGCAATAGGGTTGAACAGCAAAATCACCTCTGTAATAAGCAGAAGGAGCTAGCAAGCTCCCAGCTTGTGGCCGAAGCTCGCAAGTCCTTGCAAGCCCAGTCGACGCGGGACCAGTATGATCGGTACCAGGAGAAGTTCATGGTATGGCAAATTGTAAAATGTACCCCCATTTTTGCACAAGCATAGATAAACTATGGCCCCCGACTCGACGCACTAACTAACTCAATCACTCCATCCATTGGTATAGGAATGGTGCGACGTTTCTGGATATAAGGATGATTACAACGTCACGAAAGGCAAAGTAACCCGTTACTTTGCTTGCCTGACCTGCGAGACGGAAGATCCTCAAAACGGTATGAATATGAAGAATGGAACTAATGTGAGCGGTCATACGATACGACGACGACGACGAAACGCTATGGTGGTGTTTGAAATTATAAGAACTAACGAAAATATAAATGCTATAGGTATTATACGGATCAAACCGTTGCCAAGAGACAGGAAGGGCAACAACAGCAAGGACAAGTCCGGCGAACGGCGGGCAAATATGGATGACCCGTGTTCTGATGATGATGTCGATGGAGGCGATGTGGAGGACAAAAGCGATGACGACTGCGAGGGGGACGCCAGTCGAGACGTTGACATCCACAACAGCAACAACGATAACAGTGAAGAGCGGTGGTACTCGACGGCAACCATTCTCTTGCACCTCGCTGCCATTGGCGACCTCTATAAGCATCAGTGTGAAGACAGGAACAATTTAGCGATGGATTATGGCACAGTTCCGGCCCCGAAGACGTACCTTCAACCTCTGATCGACGTTTACCGCGTGAGGATGTCCGCCAGGAAGAGGTCGACAGATACCGACTTTGGCTCTATCGACTTCACCCAGAACCCAACTTCGATTGTTCGGCAGCTAATGAAGCGATTCTGGATGCGCAATGTGGAGGGCGCAGCCAGCTTGAGAAAGCGCCGCTTGAAAGGGTTACGCGACCGTGCGGATGTAAGTCTTTGCTTTTTTATGATGTTCCGCAGCGAGGTCACACGCCAGATCCGACTCCCGGATCTTTTCGCCCACGACGTCGAGCCCAACCGCAACAAAAATACGAACGATGCCAGCTGCAGAGAAGGCCAATTCGTGCTTGGAGTTGTGCTGATGATGAGGCAAGGCAAGACGAACAAGGACGGCAAGATTCAGTATGGAGTTGCAGTTCGGAACAAAGAAGTAGATGTGTGTCCAGTTGGCGCGCTAGCCTTTTATTTGCTTGAGCTTTGGTCGGTAAGTGGCGTGCATGTGGTAAATGTCGGCGGCCGACGCGTCGTGTCACTCATATTTCAACACTCATTTAATAATGCGTTCTTCCCCCCACCTCTTCCTTTTTTTTGCTGTACTAAGAGCAAAAACAAAAGGGCGCCTGATCTCACCAACCCTAAATGGACCGACTACCATCTGTTAGCTGGAAACAAACCAATGGATGCACCGATGACTTACAACTCCCAGTTCCAGGCGCAGGTGGAGGCTCTTCATGAGAGCGGGATATTGGACAAGGGCACAGTGACTCACCTTGGGCGCAAGCACGGCTCCAGATTCGCGCATATGTGTGGATCTACGGTAGAGGCTATCGCTAAGCACGGGAACTGGGCATCGAACCGTCTCTCAACTCACTATCTCGAGGGTGTAGAGCCTTCAGTGGCCCTTCGATTGGCTGGATTTGACCGCGACCGTCTAGAGCGCTTTTGGTTGGCTCGGAACACTGTGATCCCCAGCATTGAGCTCCAAAGGCAGTTGTTCCCTTTCATCGAGGATGCTTGCTCCGACACGTTCTGGAGGCTCACGATTGACAACATTATGCGTGACTGCGACGTTTTCCACGGACGCGAGGAGTTGCGTGAGAAGCTGCGACGGGGCGAGTGCAAGGAAGTCAAGCAGGTGTATACGGACAAGGATATGCAGACCGTTCTGTCGAATGAGGTCATTTCAAGAAAGCGCCATCTTAGCCTTCTCGCCCACCTGCGAAAGGTTATCCTTCAGGATGCAGCTGTCATCCTGTGCGGGGGTGGTGCTGCCGCCGCGCACCCTGTTTTCGATCACCCTGTCTTCAAAACACCTGCGTTTCAAGATTTCCAGCAAACCCTACTCGAGAGCATGAGAAATCCCTCTCCTCTCACGGATTCCCTCGCATCTGCCACACCCATCATCCAACTGGAGTTTGACAGGGTCGGCGCGAGGCTCGGTGTCCAAGATGCTGCAATCCGGAGCCTGCAGCAAAGCCAGCAAGCCGGACTTCAGAGTTTGCACGCCGGTATGAATGTTCTAGCAGCTACTTTACAAGCTCAGAATGATAGGACAGCATCCGAGCTGAAGGACTTGAAGCGGTGCATTGGCAACAATGACAAACTGGCAGGCAACAAGCGACAATGTTTGAACAAGGATGCCGTTCGATCTCAGTTGATGCAAGCTCTCAAGTCAACGGTGGAAGCCGTGGTGGCGATTAGCGAGGACGATGAGGTGAAGGTCAGTGACGACGTCAACGGCAGTGTAGCAAGCCAGAGTACCACTATGGCTACCGCCATCGCTCTTCTTCAGCTTCCAGAGCCGGACGCTGGCCAGCAAGAATCAAGACCTCTGACTTCTTCCACTGCAGTTCTTTCAAGGGATGCGCACCGCCGCGCAGCTCTGGCCGCTTTCAACCCCAGCGACAATGTCGAGGACAGAATGCGACAAGTAGCCGCCTTAGTCGCCGACGAGAAGAGGGCGAGAGGAGAGACCCAACACCATATGCCCCTAATGCCCGAGTGCAAGCTGATCCCACGACCGAATACGCTCGACCAACTGTGGCAAGAGTGGGTTTACCACGGCGTCGATGGGTCCCCCTCCATCGCAGAGCTTAATAGGTGGTTCGGTTCAGCGTGGCGAGGCAAAGATGCACAGCTCTACAAGTGGAAGAAGGACATTGTACATTCGGTTCTGCGCTCTATCCCAGCTGGCTTGCAGGTTGACAAGTCCGCCGTAAACAATGCACTTGCCTTCGTAAGAGGGCAAATCGATACTGTTGGTTCAATTGATAAATACTACAAGGCTCTTCCCAAAGCACCCTCGAGAAAGTACCCAAAGAGAAGAGAATAAACACCATCCTTGGTCTATCACAGTGTTACATGTCAGCTCGCTCTACATATGGTTAGGAGCAGGGTGAGGGCAATGCTGAGGGAAGGAGGAGAGAAGAGGATAGTAGAGAGGGGAGTAGAGAGAGTGATGATAGAAGGACCTAGGGATAGAGGGAGGGAAGAGCAGAGAGGAATAGAGGGCAGAGAGTGTGATGTAAGCAGGAGGGCAACGCAGTTCTCAATGTGTTCAGGCACAGGCACGAGAGGAGAGGGCACATGAAACAATCTATTCACACATATGTGACTGGTTTATAACTGTCTATCGTGCTCGGAATAAAAAAATCTATAAACCATTATAAGCCGCTAATCTGTGTATAATGCGCCTTTCATAAATTTTTATTGTGCTCTTGACGAGGAGCTGTCGTCACTTCACCAAGTGTCAAAAATTAAAGTGTCACAATGCACCAGTGAAGTGTCACTTTGCACCAGGTGAAGTTTTTTTTTTAGTGTGTGTTGTTTTCTACTTTTTTTTTATTATCCCTTAATGTCTTCCTCACCATCTCCCTCAACTTCCTCTCGTCGGTCAGCCAGCCCAACGGCGAGAGCGACTACCACCTCGACCTCTTCATCTCATGGCTCTTCTTCATCAGTTACAGTTGTGACCGTGACCTCTTCATCTCCATCCGCCGCGACAGCCTCTTCCTCCACAGTGAATGTTGAGTCCATCTCTTCATCTTCCGGATCCAGGTCCACCGTTCGCACCTCAACAACTTCGCAGGATGATACAGCTGATAACGAGGGTCCCTCTTCCTCAGGTACAGATACAGTTGATGATGGGGCTCCCTCCTCTTCAACAGCCCCTGCACCAGCAGCCTCACGACCATTACGAACGGCGCCACTTGTACCCCAACCCGCCTATCGGTTTATATTACACTTTCGAAAAGGTGTGCGAGGCAACTACAAGCGCAAGTCTGTCAATAGCATTCCTTCCACTGCCGAGTGGGCTTTCGAGAGTGCACACTCTTTCGGCGTCCTACTCGGTCTTATCAGAGCATATTCTGTCGTACACGCACCATTAGTCTGGCCTCAAGACGATCTTCCCGATATCATCCCATCACCAAGTAAAGGCGCAAGACTGCAAGCCGCTGTGACCCTAAACGAGGACAACTTTCTGCAGATAATCGACAACTCATGGAGAGCATGGACAAGGTCAGGAAAGCACAGTGGGGCTCTTCAATTGATTATCTACATGACCGAGCCTGTCGCCCTTGGTGCCTCTTCTTCCTCCAGCAACAATATACTCCACCGATCAACTGCCGGAAGAATTGCGGAGGTCAGCCGACGTCTTAACGAACAAGAGGATGCGGATGAGCTCGGAGATATGGAGCGAGCCTACCATGTGCACTATCTGTCCAAACGAGCGATGCCTCCGCCGGGAAATAGTTTCGTCCTTCCAAACAACAACACGTCTCGACAAGCCCATGACTTGGATAATGCTGCGCGTCGGGTGCGTGAGAAGAGAAGAGCGGAGGAAGTCGAGGGTTTGGAGGACGACGAGTTCGTCCCAGTTCGAGTCAAGGTGGATCTGGAGATCACGGTTAAAATGTCTAGACAGGACTTGGCAAAGGCACTTGGTTTGCCTTCTGGGTTCAACCTTTCTTCCTTCAACTTTTTTGGTCAAAATCATGCAGGAAACCAACCCCCCGATGCCCCTGAAGAAGACATCCCTGATAGAGACCATATGACTGATGATGATGACAATGAATAAGCATTTTATTTTTTTTCTTTTTGTATGAACATTTCATCTCGAAGTACTCCTTTCTGCTCGTACCCACAATGAGAAAAAAGGTTGACAGCAGTGGTCTCCCCTTTAGTGCAGGCTAACAAGGCAACATCAAGCACCTTCTCTGGCTGCTGGGGGAAAACTAAATTGGCATATCGTTCCAACCATCTCTTCAATTGTGAGAAACCGACCTCGATGGGGTTGAGCTGTGGTGAGTAAGGCGGAAGATAGAATAGTAAAGCGCCTCGAGTAGCAATAGCCTCTTCCAATTGACTGTACATATGGATTCTGGCATTATCCATAATAACAATCGAATTGGGCAAAGGGTAAGGGTTAAGAAGAGGGAGGATGTTTTGAACAAAAGCTTGGTGAAAGGAGGTACGAGTAAAAGTGCCAGAAGTGGTCGACCAGCCTTGAAAGCCGGTCTTGTCCATCGCAGCTAATAGAGAGACTCGCTTGCCACGGGAAAATGGAAGGGTGACAATGGCTGGCTCTCCTTTTTTGGACCAGGCATATCGACGAAGAGCCGCTCTGCCATCCTTGCTTGACTCATCAATGAAAACCAGCTGCTCGGGATAGTTATAGAAGACTTGAAGGCGTTGTTGGTAATCAACCAACTCTTGTGGAGCAGCTTCACGAGCTCTCTTCTGGAGTACCTTTCTAGTAAGACCCAAATCATGGCGGAGCGCTCGACAGATGGTAGGGAGAGAGGTGTTCGTCAAGGTTGGAAACGACGCTCGAAGGTGGTCTCGCAGTTCCTCCATCAAAAAGCAAGGGTGTTCCTTCACATAGTCGCGGACAAATTCGTTCACAATGGGTGGCCAACGAGAACGGATATTGCGAACTTGGACTTTCATTACGACCCCGTCTTCATTGAAGAGCTCTACCAAAAACACAAGTGAGTTAGCAAAGGTATCAAAGGTGTCAAGTGTGATTTAGTAGCCGAGACGAATACATACTTGTCCAAACCGAAATAGTTGGTGGTGACACTCCCATGAGATAGGCAACGTATTCTTTCTCATATCCTTGGAAGCAATAAAGATTGATAGCAGCCCAGCGTAGGTCTTCGGAATACATTGAAGGGACGGAGGAGGGAGGAGGAGGAGGGGAGGGATGAGGGAGGAAGTGAAAGAGAGAAAAAGAAGTTTTTCACTGGACCTTTCCTCGGCCCTCATGATTAGAATAACACGTCAATACTACACTTAACGAAGCACTACTGGTTTTTACACTTTCACAAGTATAAAAACCAGTAAGATCTTCAGCAAAGAGGTGCCATTGTTTGGTGAAGTGCTGGTTTGTAGCGTAAGTGAGTTGGAGCAATATTGTTTTTTACTCATTTTTACAAATGACACTTCACACCAAGTGTCGACATTTCATTTTGAAGTGTCATTACCCTTAATTTGTTAAACAATTGAAGTGTCATCCGTCACACCCCATTCAATAATTTTCGATGAAAGGCGCAATAAAGGTTATGAGAGCGGCGTCAACTTGTGAATAAATGATCAGACTGAACACCCATTCTTTCTCGATCTTGCCTGCAAAAGGATATTCGATTCCCATCGCCACCAAACTTTAACCCCTTTGATTAATAAGACAGGAGCGTATGGCTTGGGAACATTGAGAAGGGAGGAGAGGGAAGGACATTCACAGTTGACGGTTCCCTCAAGGAGCACACGGAGAATAACGGATCGTCTGGAATATAAATAAGGACCAGGCTGACATTCTTTTTACTCCTTCTCTCTTCACCAAACAACCAAGCACAAGGCAAGGACAAAGGTCAAGGCAAGGACAAGGACAAGGACAAGACACCAACCAACCAACCAACACACGACATCAAAACCATGAAGACATTCAACCTCAACTCGGAAGAAAACTCGAAGCTCGTCGCATCCGACAGTCTCAAGTACACCCTCTCCTACTTCCCCCTCCATTTCGCAGGAACCAACGCCCGTGCCATCCTCGCCTACGCTGGCGCCGCCTGGACCCCCCTCTACGTCGTACGTGCCAATCTCCTTGACGGGGAACAATTCTAATGCTTGGGCATTCACCTTGAAACACTTTTTTTTCTTACGCTTACTTTCTTTTGTTGCGCGCAATTAGAACTGGGGAGTGGACAAGCCCAATATGCCCTTTGAGGTCCTCCCTCTCCTGACCATCATCCACCCCGACGGCAAGGTAACTCTCTCGCCCACCTTTTTCTCTTTTCTATCTCACTCTTCGCTCACAGTCGTCTCTCCAGGAACCAACAATCCAACACTAAACAATTTTTTAACTCTCTCCCACTCCTCCCCAAAAGGAACTGATACTCGCCGAAAACAACGCCATCGACATCTTCCTCGCAAAGCAATTCGGCCTCCACGGTCGCAACGCCTGGGAAGAAGCCCTCATCAACGCCTTCTACTCCTCCTCAAACAGCATGTTCTTCCAAGAGATCATGAACTCGTTCTTTTGGGAGTCCTGCGGGAAATCTGAGGAGGAAAAGTCAAAGTATTTGGACGATTTCTTGAACAAGACGTTGGCGAGTTGGGGACGGATCCATGAGGCTCATTTGGTGAATAATCAGTCGAATGGGCATTATGTCGGTGACAGGGTAATGTTGTCTTCTATCATGGTCTTCTCTCTCTTGATTGTCTGTTTTATTTGATCTCTCTGTGTGACTCGAGTCCATCCCCACACCTCAAAAAATTGACCATCACATCCCTTCCCCCCTTCATCCGTAACCTCTAAAACCCACCATCAAATAGACAACGCTGGCAGATATCCGAACCACGACCATGCTTGACGCGCTCGAGAAGATCATCGGCCCCGACCGCGTCGCAACCATCATCAACACCAACAAGACTCCCAACATTCTCAAACTCCGCGCCAACATCGAATCCAACCCAACCTACAAGGCCTGGGTCTCTTCGGACGAGTACAAGAAGTTGTCCGTTAACTCTACCGGGTTTGTCAAGGATCATTATCCGGAGCTTCTTCCTTCTTCTTGAGAAACGTGGGTGAAACGCAAGATGGGGGGTCAACGATGACATGGACGATAAAGTGATACGACATGATGAGGGCTTCCTGTTCTACTTCTACTTAACACCTACAATCCCTTTGTTCTGAAATAAACGCTGAGTGTGAAAAACAGACCAAACACCAAACAAAAAGTGACCCTCAAGGCTAAAGCATAAAAGACAAAAAAAAAGCGGGCACCCAGGGATCGTTCCTGGCTCCCTCTCATCGCACTCCATCCCACCTAGGAACCCTAATGACCACATATACTGACCACATACACTCCAAAGTCCAGACCCAGGTCTCAAACCCCACCTGCAGTACACTTTGATGTGATCTGACACGTCTTTTTTAAAATAAAAAAAAACGTCCTGCATGACTGCTTTTCCGCAAGACGCCATCGTTCGTACGGTAACAAAAAAAAATAAGTACGCAAAAAAACATGCAACAAAACGACGTTAAAGACCAAGTCTCTGTATGCTCCGTTTGGTTGTTGAGGAGAGAGCGAGAGTGAGCACTGATGTCCCATGGTCAAGAAAGCACGTCATGACGAGTGGACAGTAGAGAAGCAAGATGGCAAAATAAACACCAAGAGTTCGTGAGTACGAGATAGAGTAGAGCAAGGAAGGCCAAGATAAACACATGTAAACATGCCAAGTATCACATATGCATTTTGTTTTTTGATCGACACAAGCAAAAGAAGAACGCCCAATGGCGCATCCCCTTTCTTCCCTTCGTTTCAAAAAGGGGGCGTGTTGGGGGAAGGAGAAGCAAAAGCACCTTCGAGCCATTCATCGCATCGGCATCGGCTGTTGTGTTATTATTTTTTGTTTATTACATATGTACAAAAAAGGTGTGTTTGAAAAGAGAAAAGAACACTTCCATTTCCTAAGAGCACCCAATGATAGGGCAATGGAAGTATTTGTAACCGCTTATCTGTTAAAAAAAGGAGAACAGAAAACGCATTTAAGCAGCATGGACGTTGGCAACGAGATCCTTGAGCTTCTTGAGATCGGCACCGAGGAGCTCGCCGACCTTCGCGCCGTTGTGGTAGGTCTGGAAAGTGGGCATGGCACGGACTCCGGCGGTGGCAGAGACCTCACCGAGCTCATCAACATCGACCTTGACAAACTCGATATCCGTGAACTCCTGGGAGAGGATCTCGTACTTAGGGGCAATGACCTTGCAGGGACTATTATCAAGTTGAATTGGAAGGGAAAAGTGAGTTAGTTACGGCGAACAGTTCAATTGTAAATGGTTGGCTGCATGGGTGCATGGTCAAGAATGAAACGCGCAGAAAGTGATATTCGCGAGCAAAGCGAGAATGAGTGAGGATCTTCTCTTTATCCTTTTCGTTGTTGGTATCATTCCATTGTGCGAATGGATTGATTGTCCATTGATCGTCTTCATGTATGTGTCTGCGCAGCGCCATTGGCTCTTCGTTAATGCTTCGCCCCTTTTTGTCCACTTTCTCTTCCTCACACCTCCTTTTCGCTCATTATCTTTTCAACAGTTCTCTCACCTCTCCTCTTCAACGAGCGAGAGATAAAAAAGGTACCCAATGACATGTATGTATGTTGATCGGCAATAGACGGTAGCGTTTGAGCAATTTGGCTCTCAAGCTTTTTTTTTTTTTTTCCATGAGGTTCTTTTCTTTCTCACCCTCCCCCCTCTTGATCCCGACCCGCGTTGTGTAAAAGACAGAGCACGTTATCAGGGTGAAACACCAAAAGAAAATGTTTGTCGTCCCACGCACGTCGTGGTGAGGAGGGAAAGGTTGATGACCCCGTCCAAGCGAGAAAAGTTGATTCCTCTTTTTTTTTTCAGCGTCGTCGTCTTCGTCCTGTGGCCTTCCTGGTCCTCGCTCCTGCCATTGCTGTGCTCGTAGTCGTGTCCGTCGAACAAAAAAAGAAAGCAAGAACAAAAAAAATAATAACGTGGCACTGCGCAGTGCTAGAAAAACTGATCAGTTTTGTTGAAAGGGTTACACATACCCGCACCAGGTGGCATGGTAGTCGACAATGACCTTCTTGCCCGAAGCGATGAGCTCGTTGAACTCGGCGGTGGAAGTAATAACGCGGACCATGGTTGTTATGTGTATTTTTTTTGGTTGTTGGTAGAAAGGGGGAAGTAGGTTTGTGTGTGTTGAGGGAAGTGTGAGGAAATTAAAAAAAAAAAGAAAAAAGTGAGAACGAAGATGGGAGGGTGCGTTTATATAGGTTTTGCGAGGATTTGCAATTAGCGAGGGTAATGACGGCATTGAGGTTGAATTATGAATTACTCAGCGAATGAGCGTCTCGCTTACACACACCTTCGGCTTTGGGGTCGAGTGCCTTCTCGTAGCGCGAAGTGAAGGACGAAGGGATGATACTATTTCAAATCGCTTTTTCCAGCAGTTGCTTTGCCAGAACTTTGCCAGACTATCACCATCATCATCGTCATCATCATCATCATCATCGTCATCGTCATACTGTCAGCCCCCTCCTCGTCCAATATCGCCAAGAATGAAAGGCGAGGAAAAGGGAAGGGGGAAGGGGGGAATGGAAATGGGCGAAGAACTATCTCGCATAACGGCATGAAAAGCGCCTTGGCCAACCACCAAAAAATAAGCATACCGATCACTTTTGCATGTCTGCGCAGACACGATAATAATGAAATATTCCTAGAACGTGTACTTTTTTTTTTATTCCACCACGAAAGTTGTTGTTGGCGACCAAGAAAACAATAAGAGGAGGGAACAGAGGGGACTCTATGCGCTCCATGCATTAGACGACAAGATATCGTCCGAATGGCTTGTCTTAAGAACCCCCGTCTCTCCACCATGCAACGACGTCTCCGTGTCCGAATGGGACCCAAACCCTGTCGCCGCCGGCTCCTCCCCAGCCGCCGTCGTCCGCTGTTGCTGATCCTGCTGTGAAGAAGAAGTAGTAGGACTCTGTTGATCATCAGCAGCTCCATTAAGCGCCCGGAAGTAATTCTCCCACAGCCCCACAATCTCCCTCTGGTGCTTCACCATACTCGCCAAGAACGCCTCCACGCTCTGTTTGAAGTCCTCGACCTTCTCCCGATCAAACCGATCAAACTCCTGTCGGATCAAAGTCGAAATCTCCTCAAAGTCCTTCTTGGCCCCGTCGACCCTCAGCTCGGCCTCCGTGATCTCCTGCTGGAGCTGTTGGAGTCGCTCAGGTTTAGTCTTTCGACTTGGCTGGCTCATCTTGTCAAAGTTGGCCTTCTTCTTTGATAGCTCGTTCTGAGCCTGGACCATGTTCTGGTTGAACTTGGCTCGTGTCATGAACGTAATCTTGATCGATCCAATCGTTCGGATGTACTCATCCACCGTGTGCTCCAACGTCAACACATCCATATGTGCCTGTTTGTCGTGCAATTCCTTGATCCGGATCTTGAGGTTACCTAGGACCAGAAGCGAGTTCGCCAATGGTTTGTTCAACTCTGTGCCTGCCAACGAGACAATACTCTCGCCAAACTCAGACGACGCCACTCCAAGATCCCGACGCTGCTTGATAATCGCCTCAATCGCCTTCAACAACGACTTCAGCTGCCCATCCAAAACATCCAACTGTGTACGACGAGACTCAAACCACTATTATTTTTGGACGTTTGGCAAGAATTTGGCGAAGCACGACAACCGTGAGATTAGTGTTAGGGGCTCTAAATGCAAAAATGCACACCTCCACTCTCCTTCTCAATTCCAATATATAAAAAATATGCGCATTAATTCATTACCTCGTCGGTCTCGTGGACTTTTGTGAATGTCGTCGCACTCGAAAGAGTCTCTCCAAACTTTGTCATGAACCCCTTGGAACTATCCTGTCTCTTTTCTTTGATCTATGTATGTCATTGACCAACAAACGAGAAAAATAACCACACGCACAATGGTTACGAAAAAGTCCATGCTGCACGGGAAAAATAAATAGCGCGACAAAAACAGATTCCAGCCAAGCTAACTTGCGCGACAAAGGTGGATCTTAGGCAAGCAAATACAAACATAGCAACGGTAAAATTACCTCCGCGACTAGGCTCTCACTCTCCAAAAACAGCTTCAAATCAGGGTCTCCATACAACATAGGATGAGCCGTCATCTTGCGCAGACACCTTTCAAGCGCAATCCGACGACTCTCCACGAACTCGTCCTGAAATCGGCCCAACGCATGCTTCTCCGACACGGGCGGGACAATCACTCCTGGGTTGTGTGTCGTCAGTTGGTTGTACAGCCATAAGAAATCCCGGTATCGCCGTTGGACCGTGAAGTCGCTCGACTTGAATGCTGTCGAGTTTGTCTAGAAGATGCGAAAAAATCAGCACACAGCCATAGATATTAGAAAAATGAGCCAGTCAGCATGTTAGGATATGGACATTCATTCACCGCAATGTAGAAAACGGTGGTGAGCAATTCGAGGTATTGGCGTTTGTTATATACCTTGATATGGACTTTGTAGACTATGTGCGGGCTGATAACATCCCCAATCTTTTGAGGCTCCCCAACAGTGATATCGAACCACGGAATCGCACCCGCCTCTGGCAAACGGAACGACATCTAACACACACATGCCACACAAGAAAGATAAAACACTCGCGAGAGTTAGAAGCGATTATATGTTACCTCCTCCCATACATACAGACACCTACATCGATGAATGGCATGTACCTGAGAACCAAGGGACCGAGTCGACTCAGGACGGAACTGTCCTGCCCCCCCGCGCACAATAGAAACCTGATCATGCTCCTGCCCATGCCTTTGCCCCTGCCGCTGCCCCTGCCCCTGTCCATGCCCTTGCTGAACCTCCTCCACGTCGCCATGATGGTCAGAATCAACACTACTCCACCGCTGATGCCCACCTCCTCCTTCTCCTCCTCCTCCTCCTGTCGCATACCTCTGCAGCCCACCATCTGAATCATACTGGTGCGAAGACCGTGGCTGATAATCCTCGAACCCGCCAGATGCCGCAGCTCCTGCTCCATAATAAGGCGACGGCGATAACGTGTTCTCCCCCTGCTGCTGTCCTGCCAAATTCATCGCAGAGAAGGATTTCTGGAACGTCGTGTTGACCCCATACAGCGACCCTTCCGTACCACCACCACCACCACCATGTCCTGTCGCCTCAGAATCATCGTCGTCCGTCCCAGCAGCAATAGTAGACTGCGGATAATACTCATGAAAGTTCAACGACTGCGAAGCCTTGAGCACCCCTGCACCTCCTACAGAAGCCAGACCAGGTGGGCCGCTTATGGAGTCAATGTCGTCCGCAAAGGGGTTGGACTCTGAAAAGGGGTCGATGAACGTCGAGGCGTCTAGGGTATCGTTATTCCTGCTGTTACTTCCTCCCAATCCTCCTGTGCCTGAACCTCCTGTGGCCAAAAGGTCTGAAACGGACCCAGTCGGGGATGTCATTGGGGGGCGCGCGTGAGATGCTAGGTTGGTTGGAAATGGTTGGATTTTGACGTGGTTGAGAGTTGAATGGGATGCTGTGTAGTTGGTGTTTTCTGTTCCTGTTGAGAGGGTTGCCGTTGTTGAGGCTGAAGTTGAAGAGAAGGATAAACAGAGGAAGGGTGATGTCGGTGCCTGTTTGTAGTTAAAAAGTTGAGAATGCAGCGAGCGGGCCTTTTTTGTTCCTTGCGGGTGACCATGTGGTTCATCTCTTTCTCCTTCTCGTGTCCACTTCTCAACAGTCACGCAACCCCAGCCTGACTTGTAACTTTTTTTTTTATTTCGTGTTGGAAAAAATACAAATTGACACACTCACTCACGGACAGGCAGCTCCCGATAGAGCACCTCTCCTTCCTGCTTACTCGCGAACCCTCTTGTTACGAGGAGATCCAGAAGCCACAGACTCCGCTGCGTCCGCCTCCTCGTCATCCAAAACACTTGCTGAACGGCCCTTGGCCTTCTTCTTGGACGTCAACTTGGTTGCTGCAAGCACTGCTGTCGCAGCAGCCGATCCCTTGGGGCGGCCACGCTTGGCAGGCGACTTCTTGACGGGTTCTGTCGTCTCCTCGTCAATCAATGTAGTCACCGACGACACCTCCGATGTCAAAATAATCTTGTCTCCATTCTTCAAATCCACCTCAGTCTCAACAACCGTTTCGTTCGTCTTTCCTGAGGATGTCGACAAGGCCGCCTCAGTCAGGGGAGTGACATTTTCCGTGGTCTCAACCACCTTCAATTCATCAACAGTCTCAACAACCGTCTCCTCAACCAGCTCAACCTCAACAGTCTCGACGGCCTCAGGGACGCGAAGACCATAGACACGCAGGCGAGAAATTCCACCATCTAATGAAATAGACACAAGAGAAAATACATGTTAGCTCAGTTGTCACAAGATCGACGAGTACGGAAGTTCAAAAAGTCATCCTATACCTGGGAAGATGTTGAGGCGAACGTGGGTGTAAGAGTCACCAGTCTGCTCGAGATCAAAAGTGTTCTTCTTGTCGGCATGAACCTCAGACTTGTTGAGGAGGCTCACCCACTGCACCTCAGGATCGTACTGGATATCGTTCTATATACAATAATACAAAGATTGACGTCAATGATGATGATGACATCTCAAACTCCACATTCCTGCAAACTCACTTTTTTTCATCCCCGACCCCTTCTTCAATCTGCCTTACATATTCACTCTTGCATGCATCGAGACTGACGAAATCGGGGTTGTTGCCGCGGAAGTGAGTAGTATCGACCTCAAGGCTCTCCAAAAGACCGGTGGCGCCCAACTTGATCTCAACCCAGTCGTGGTGTCCCTTCGCGCGGGAACGACGGGTCTGCCAACCATCACGGGTGTTCACTCCAGAGGTAGGAAGAATTATGTTGGCAGGCTTTCCGTAACGGTCATCGCTGGTCTTGATCACCCGGCCGCCGTTGGCCACGGAGGCAAGGTCAAGCACGGTCTTTTCCTCGGGGAAAATAGGAGACACGCTACCGTAAACGCGAAGACGGGCCTATGTGGATATCCCATGACACTCATGATTAGAACTTGCGTGGAAAAAAGAAACAAAATTATTGACAAAAAACATTGGTAACTCAACAAAATTACTGCAGGAGTACTTACAATTCCGCCGTCAGGGTACATCTTCAGCTTGAGATGAGTATAGACCTCATCAGAAGCCTGGATTCCGTAAACGTGATGAGAGTTTCCACTCAATGGAACCTTTGGCAATATCTCCTTCCACTATTATCGTGATTGAACCATTTGCATAGTGGCCGTTGGTAAAAAGAACTGATGGGAGTCTGGACGCGTAATATCGCCCAAAAAAAAAAAAAAAAAAAAAAAAGACAGCAGGACAAACATGCTCCGTTCCATGTACTAAAGTACGGACCTCATAGGATTCCTTGACACCCTTGACGATAAGGCAGCCTTCAACGGACGCGTACGAAGGATGGCTTCCGTCAAAGAAAGAAGTGTCAATGTCGAATCCAGCAATGGTTCCAGCAAAGGCGAGTTGGATGATGGCAGTGTGGTGAGTGTCCTTGTTATGTCTCCTGTTGAATGTTCAGGCCGATGTATCCATAACAAAAGAGTGAAAGAGTGGAGTGAGTACTATTATTTACCAGTACTTTGTGTGAGCCCATCAATCCACAGCAGCACAAACGGAGCGCATTATTTAAACTGCATATTTACCTTGTCTCCCAGCCATCCTAAAAGGTAATATAGTTTGAAGAAAAACAAGAAAATCGTCATTAGTACTACTCGACTTTTCCTTTTCGTCTTGACCGTTGGGATGGATGGCTCTACCGGTTTCTTCCGGGAAACACCCTCGTTTCTCTATTGTTTTCTACGCTCGAAATCAGAATAACAAATGAAAGGAATGTATGTCTGTCGCGCGTATCTCACTTTCTGTGAGCTTGTTGTCTGTTATTTACCTTCCAGAAGCCATCTGCAGTCTCGCGGTTCTTGTCCTCGATAGCAGGTCCGTCCTTGATCAAATGAAACCCTTCTCCAAAGAGCTCATCCGACACCTCAAGGACCTTGCCACCTTTGGCAGACGATGCCAGCTCTAAAAGTAAGGTATAAAAGCAAAAGGAAAGGCATGTTAGTGGCGTAATAATCCGTTGAGTGACTTCATACTTTTGTGCAGCGGAGTATCCAGGTCGTCTTATTTATTGAAGGGCTATTTGTCGTCTCTCTCGTCGTCATCGCCCCTGCACCAGTCGCGTTATTTTGTTATTTTATTCCATTCGGTCATTGGTGCGTCCTTTTTTTTGTTACTGCCCCTCGTTTGCTGTTGGAGTTGCTGTTGGAGTTGCTGTTGGAGTTGCTGTTGGAATTGCTGTTGGAGCTGTCGTTATTATTGTTGCTGTTTATTGTTGATGTTCCGTTACGGCTCTGTGTGTTGAAGGACTGAGTTGTTGTTGTTTGCTCCCCCCTCCTTCTCTTTATCCATAGTTAGACATACACCCAAGGTTATACCCGCGTCCTCTAGGTCGAATGAAAGGTGAATGAATGAAAAGGAAAAATAAAACAATAACGCCAAGACAAGACAAAGTACCGGTGTATCCCTTGATGACGGCGTCCTTGTCCTTGGCATCGAGCTTAAAGTAGCTCTCGTCCTGTTGTCTGCTCTGAACTTGTCCCATGGTCAGGTATGTCGTGTTGGTGTTTGTTTGTTTTTTTGTCGCGTTGTTTTGTTGTGATGTGTTTTGTTGTTGATGGAGAAGAAGGGAAGAGAGAAGAGAGAAGAGAGAAGAAGAAGAAGAAGAAAACGAAAAAGATGAGGTGAAGGGAAGGGGGGAAAAGAAAGAAGCGAAGAAGAGGGCTAAAGAAAGTCAAAAGTAGGTTTGTAAAAGAGCGAAAGAGAGAAGGAAAAGTGAAGCTCGAAGAGAGGCGTGTCTCTGTCATTTTGCCCGCCCTTCTGTCCGTCCTACTTCAAAAAAATACGCTACTTCATTCCCCACTTACGGGGCATGACCCAATATCACCCTTGAGATGATCACGAGAACATTTTTTGTCAAAAGTCAAAAACAAAGATCGCGTCTTCTTATTGTTTTTGTTTGTTTATTCATTAGGGCTGCATTAAAAAAAGAAGAGTGTCATTCAATCATAGTAAACATACACAAGAACTGCCTTCTACCCTCAAATACTCATATGAACTTAATGATGCAATCGAGGTGCGATCTTGGCATGAGTGGTCGTCGCCTTGCCACCACCAGCTGCTGCTGCCCTACTACCACCCGAAGGAGCAATAGCAAGCTGCAGGTTGGCGGAAGAAGGCGGTCTGTTATACATAACAGGGATCACAGGGATAAACAGTCGAGGCCCGCCTGCGTGGCCACCTGGCCCAGTCGTTGCAATGAATTGAGGGTGGTGACCGTGGCGACCACCGGCAGCCATCATTGCGGCACCGTGTGAGTAATCAACCGCCATGATCATTTGGGGCGGCGGTCTCATTGTTCCACCAGTGCCGTTGGGACCGACATGCAAGTGTGGGGTATATGGGGAAGAGTATGCAACAAAAGGGGGACGGTAGGGTGGTGGTGCATTGGCCACCGCGACTACTGGCACCAAAGGACGCAGTGCCTGGGGAGTCTGAGGCTGGGACGACTTGGACTCTGATCCTCTCTTCTTCTTTGAGACCGTAGAAGATGAAGAGGACGAAGAAGACAATGCAGTCTCAGTACTCAACTGAGCTACGCGGTCTTTTGAGTCTTCGTCCGACATCATGGGCGTCCTTGGGCGGATGGGAGCAAACTGCCGAGACGGACGAGGGGCCAGGGCCGGTGGCTGTGGTTGAATCGATCGACTGTTTGTTGCTGACAAGGCTGGGAGAATCGCCTGCGGACTCCGAAGGATGGCTTGGGGGTTGCGAGGGATCGCGACAGGGGGTGGAGGGTTCTGGCCGCGAGCTGCTCCTCCTGCTGTGGTCGTCGTCGTCGAGAGCCCCTTGAATTCCTGGACCAACTGCAGGTTGGTTGGAGCAGCAGGGGAGTAGGAGGCAACGTAATGAGGGTGAGGATATTGAACAGGAGGATGGGTGGTCGTGGGTGAAGGCGCATGACTTGGGATCCTTTGCCTACCAGCTGGTGCACTGTGCTCTGTCGCATGTTGTTGCTGACGGGTCGCTGTGGGCGATGGTGCTGATGATGTTGATGAGCCTCCGTTTAGACCGTCTGTTGGTATCCTCTCCGACGTTGTCCTCCTACCCTTCCCCTGAGCGGCCGCGACGGCTGCGACAGAGGCAGAGAGGGGTTCAGATTGGAAGCTCCTTGACCCCTCTGCTTGGAAAGACGGGTTGTTGTCGCACTGCATTGCGCTATCCTCCTCGTCCTCGCCAGCGACATTCGACTCGCGGTTACCGCGAAGAGGTGACAAGGGATGACCAGACTCGCCCTGGATGGACTGAGGTCTTGGTGGGAAATAAAAAGGAGCAAGTGTCGCCGGGTGGGCTGACGACCCTGGGGTTCGAGGTGGCTCCTCGCACATGGGAGACAGACTTGATCGCGTTGGCTCAAAAGTCAGCTCAGAAGCCAAGGATGAGAGGGAAGGCTCGCGGGACCGATGCTGGCGGCGTCCTCGGGTCGATGCAGATGCCTTGTAAGGAGTCATTTGATTCTGACCACTATAAGGTGGAGGCGGGGCTTTGGCTTGGAAAGTAGGTGGTGGTCGCATCTGGTCATGGCCCTGGCCTTGGGTCTGATCCGGGTACTCATCCTGCTGCTGTTGTTGCCAAGACATCCTCCGAGATGTAGGTGTCACTGGGCTGGTCACCTCCTCTGACTCTTGGAGATTCGTGCTGGAGGAAGCCGGCGAGATACGATGGCGGACGAGGTACGGGTGTGATCGCAGTGCTGGTGGCTGAGGAGTTGGTTCTGGCTCTTGGACTGGAGCTGCCTCTGAACGATGGGCAAACGAGGCAATCTTGCGAAGGAAGGGCTTGAGTATGTTCTTGTTGGACCCTTGCTGGTTGGGTGTTGCCTTCTCCGAATTAGAGTTCTTGCCGGGTGTGTTGGCGCGCTTGGCTGGCACTGCCTCCATGGTCCCAGACGAGAGACGCTGGAGCTTTCGCTTGGGGTTGGGCTCTGAAGACTCTGGTGGGGGTGAGGCCTTGTTGAACTCTTCCTCGATCCTGGCAGCATCCTCATCCATGACCATACCGCCGTAGTGAGAGGCAGGGGTGTACTTTGTCTCCATTTCGTTGGTGGGCCAGATCATATGGTCCAAGTTCATCTTGCTGGATCGCGGGATGGGGTACTTTGCAGCCACGGGAGTCTCTGCCTTGATCACAGGAGTGCTTGCAGCACTACGCCAATCAGTTGGAGATCCGACTTGGTCATCCGCCCTTTCCGACATGACCTCATCGTCGTCTACGATGAACTCTTTGCTGTCACGGTAGGGACCATTCGAGACAAAAGGTCGAGGCTCGGACTCTGTTGAAGGGCGATGCTGAGGCTGAGGCTGAGGCTGGGGTTGTTGAGGCTGGGAGAGATCAGAGGTTTGGATTCTTGGTGGTGGGGGAGGATGAGAAGGATGGGCGGGCTTGATGTCGGCCAGGATCTGGTTCTTCTCGTTGAGACGGACATACTCGCCCTTGGCAGGGGTGATGGCGTCGTAGGCGGCTCGTTCTGTCCCGTTGAGGCGTTGGTGGTACATGAGGAGTTTGTTCCCGTATGTCTGGAGTTCCGACTCTGTTGTGTTGAGCTCGAATTGGGAGAGGAAGAGGAACTCTAGTTCGAGCTGGTTGAGTTCCGACAGTGGGAGACCACCGACCTAGGAGATGGACACAAGACATTAAAAAAATTAATTAGACGCGATGACCACAATTTGTCGGTGCATGTACTCCTTGGATGTGGATGCGGATGGTAGATACATGTAGATGGATGGTGCAGTGTGATTGGATGGACCGATGGATGGATGAAAGGAATGATCACGGGTAACCCATGGTCTGATAAACGTACTCGGGCATAACGAACGTTGGGATAAAACACATCCGACGAGAACTTGCAGGCTACAAGAATACTGGTAATCAACAGACGATGGATGTTGAAGCTGTTGATAATAAGCTTCGATCCCACAGGCGACTCGGACGACGACGTGTAGATCTCGTCCGCAATAGGCTCCTCCTCATCCAGGATATCGCTGTCTGCATCCGATGTCGTCAATCCTGATCCTCCTCCTCTTCCCTGCTTGGCCTTCTCGTCTGCGTTGCGAAAGTAGTCTCCTGGTATCGATGGCTCAGTCTTGGGGGCGGTGAGCTGGCTAATATCCTCAGACGAAAGGGAGGCCTGGCGAAGAAGGCTTTTGGGGATGGTGTTGGTCAAGACCTGGGTCGGCTTGCATCCTCCCCCAATACGGTCAAAGTAGAGGAGGATAATCAGGAGAACCTCATTCTGGAAGGGCGCATACTGAAGTATTCTTGACAGATATGCCTCGATCGAGATATTAGGGATAGCTCGAGAGTGGAAGAGGGTGATCTTGGGGCAAGCAAGACGGTCGTTGACTGCAAGGATGGTGTTGATAAGTGACGAGACCAAGAGCAAAGTTTGGGAGGTCGAGCAGTTGACAATGTCATAAACTGGGGGAGGGGGTAACAGGTCCAGATCGGGTATATTGGCGATGGTTTCGTCGTAATCTGGAGCGTTAGCTTCCTGCTGTTTAGTGATAGTATGGCTGGCGATGACTTTTTGGATGGATGGATGGTTGATGTAAGCAGCCTTCTTGGAAGCGAGGGAGGCAACGAGGGAGGCCGAGAGGACTTGCGGTATTGATGCGGGGGCGGTCTTGTTGGGAGGGAAGTAGGCGCGGGTGGGTGATATAGGGGATGTAGGGTTGTGGTTATGATGGTGTGCTGGTTCCTGGGGCTGGAGCCCTAGACTGTCAGAATGGTGGTGTTGTGACGACATTGGGCGAAGATGTGTGGAAGGAAGGTGTAGTGTTAAAGTCGAGTGGCGAAGGTGTGTTGTGTTGGTGGATGATGTTATCTACAAGGTGTCTAAAGGGGGGTTATGAGAGTGGAGTTGGGCGGAGCAAGGAAGGAAGGATTAAGAGTGAGAATTAAGGATTGTACAGTACAAGGGAAGCAAAGGAAGGTGGTGAGTATGTGGGTATATGGTGTATTGGGGGGGGTGGATGTGAGTGAGTGTGTTTGTGTGAGGGAGAAGAAAGGTTGTTGGGTCAGAGGAGAAGAAAGAGTCGATGGATACAATAACATGAAAAGAAATAAAAGAACCCTCTTTGTGAATGAATGGAAGTGAAGGAAAGATATTTGTCCGTTACGACTCTGTGTGTATGTCGATATGTCTGTGTGTGTGTGTGTGTGTGCGTGTGTGTAATTGTGTAATTGAAGGAAGGGAGCTGAATGCTCAGTGGATATCCCGGAGAAGCATTGTCGACCAACGAACCATCACGGTCGGAAGGTACGCGATCTGATTGGCTGCTGGGCACATCCGCACCCTCTCGGTAGGTAGATTTTTGCGTTTGTCTGCTGTCTGGTCGAAAAATGTATTCTCTTCTTTTCGAGACGGGGGCAGGGATCTGAGGGAAAGGGGAGGGAGGGAAGGGGGGAAAGGTGAAGGAGAGATAAGGAAGAAGAGAATTGGTGCTGGACTGGAAGAGGATGAATGAATGGAGCAAAAGGCGACGAGAATTATACTGACCTCTACTTTTCTTTCTTTTCCTTTTTGATCGCCTTCAAAAAAAAAAAAATAGATAGATAGATAGATAGATAGATTTGTCGAGGGAGACGGACACGGGCGAGGGAGAGTAAAGAGGAGTATGTCACTCCTGTCGAGGCAAAGAGAAAATAATAAGGCTTGTAAGAAACAGAACGGTCAAAAAAACAAGGACGTGTCTGTGCCTGGTAGCTGAGTTTTTGTCTGCGGAGGTGTAAGGAGCGAGAATCGACTGTCGAGAAAACAAAGGCGAGGGAACAGAGAGTTAGAGGGACGGGGGGAAGGACAAGGAAGAATTACTAACAAGCAGGGGAAAGGAGGAGATTCAGCCTCGGGTCGTGAAGAGAGAGAAGGAGAAGGAGAAGGAGGGAGCGGGATGTATGAAATATGCAAATGCGTGAGGGGGTTTTTTTCTACTTCGGTAACAAGAAAAAAAGAGGAGCGGGAGTCGCAGGATTATTTCGTCAAAGGGCGATTTTTGATAGTGCAAGTAAGTGTAGGTGTTGAAGGCGCTAAAAGGAAGAAAGAGAACAAAAGGAGAAAAGGAGTGCAGATGTCAGGATATTGGGACAAAAGGGCAGGAGTAAGGATGCAAAAGTTGAGAAAGCAGAAAGGGAAAAGGAAGAGATAATTCCTCGAAGGATGCCTCAATATAAGGAACCCCGAGCAAGTCGAGGAGGGGGGGAGAGAGAGATACAAAAATGAGATGCGATCGTGGATTGCTTGACTGGTTGAGCTGAAATGCTGGTTGGCTGACTGACGGGCGCAACGGAAGGAGAGCAATGGCCTTTCAGGCGTATCAAAACAAACCGGATGCGTGTTTGTAGCCAGCAAGGATGCATAGCCTGCCAGTCAACCAGTAAGTCAATCAGTCATTCATTCATTCATACAACCAATTCATCCACTTTCATTCAATCATCCACCCCGCCAGCTTTTACCCCTGATTGAAAGGAGAGATAAAACAGCAAATGCCAAATGTGGTCTTTCTGTTGGTTGGAATAGAAAAAGGGCATGAGATAAAAATGGGAGCAGCAGCGTATGGGTGTGTTGTTCTAATTACAGCAAGACCATTGCTTCGCAGATAGGCATAACCATGCTCCAACAAAAAGGCATCAAAAAAAGAGCCATGTTCATGATCAATAAAGAATAGGAGAAAAGAGGCAAAGCGATCCTTAGGGCAAATGTTCAGTATTGGAATTTGTTCGCCAGTTCATCAAAAGGATGAGCAACGCCTTTTTTTTTGGTTCTTTCGTCGGTTGACAAAGATGGACTCACTTTACCCCGTTCAAGAAAGGTCGGCCTTGTTTTTCCTGGGCCGATGGACACCAGACCTTGGCCAAAACACACGCACACACACCGCCCGCGATCACAAAGAAAGGAAAAGGACAAGGCGGATATGAAGTTCGAAGGTGGAAGTCGACCGAAAAAGCTATTGCTATTTTGCGATGAGAAAAGAGACACCATTGAATAGAATAGAATGGCTGAGAGGTGGAAAAATAGAACTTGCCTTTCAATTCATTCATTCATTCATTCTCATTATCTCCCTGCTATTTCTCCCAATGTAAGCGTTGTCGACTTCATTGGGGTAAAACCCGAGGGCGCGTGTTGATTCCACAGGCGAACAAATGGCTTCAAAGACTGATCAACAAAAAAAACTTGGATTGGACCCAAAGAAAAAGACTGGCTTGGAGCATGTAAAACAAAAAGGGAAAGGAAGAAAAGGAACAACTTTGGTCGGTCGAGGGGAGAATGAGCTCATCCATTGGCTATAGGACAAACAACAACAGCGACAATACAACACCCCCCAAGTGATTCATCTCCTCCTTCACTGTCTTCCTCGGGTGCTCATTTTTTTTTTGGTCAAGTTTTTTTTTTCTTTCTGTGATCGTCGATGCGCAACGATGGCCAGTCGTTTGTGCATGCTGTGGGTGAGAGCACTTTAGTCTGGAATCTGGTTGGCTATAGCTAGGGTGTCTAATTCGCGTGGTTCGATTGGACACTGGGTATATGTGTGTGTCTGCCTATGTGTTTGTGTGTATATTTGCGTGTGTTGAGAGGAGAGGAGGCAAACCATAATTGATGAAAAATTATGAGACGTTTAGAGGACAAAGGCCCCTGCACGTGGACCTATTAAGGCCAATACTGATTGGCTGCCGATGCAAAAGCACCCTAGCGGTCTGCCATTTGGGTCTGACATTTTCTGAGCGCGTTCTTCCCTCTTCACTCTTGCTCGCTGAACTCCATCTCATCCATCGCTCCTTTTTTTCTTCTTCACACACTCACTCACTCCTCCCTTTTTCCTTGCTTTTGTGATCGGAGTGGAGAGAGAGAGAGAGGGATAGACTATCTTTTCCCACCCAACCCGCCCAACCCGCCCAACCACGCCTAACCACGCCCAACATACCAAACGCATAATGGCCAATAAACAGATCTAAACAAGAAAGAAACACAGAACTCAAAATGTCTCTTCTCGAGTTTCGACCCCGGTGCACAGGCTTCCTTTCAGTAACCATGCGTCGCTTCTGAGAGACAAGGAGTTGACAAACAATGGCAAGAAAAGAGCGACCGACAGCTGTCAATGCTTTTTCGCCGTTCTGTCACTTACACATCCTCATGGAACAAGTATTCAGGCGTCCACATGACCCCCATTTTTTTTCCCTTCAAGCCTTCGTCGTTCGACAAAAACAATCAGTGGCAACCACGACCCCCCTTTCGTTTTCCTCTTTGCGATCGCATCTCTACCTAGCCAACCCTCAGCTCACATGTATGTACCTCTATCGGTTTATGTTTTTTTTCTCACACGCACACAACTCACGCCTTTAGCTTTTCTCGCTCTTGTTGTTGTTTGTACTGTTTTTCGATATTGCATTTGTCATCAGTAGATCCTCTACTTCTCGCTTATCATGAGTGGCGAGTGGGCGCGCTTTCAATGATGATGATGATGAAGTTATGCATGGCAACTTGATCCCATTGGCAAAAATGGAGCGATCTACCAGATGTAGACCCCCAAAAAAAGAGCAAACAACCGTTGCAATGCTCATTTTTATCGAGGAGTTGAATACAGTACTCTAACTGTGCCCAGTCGATGTCCATTTGTTTGACTATTGTTATCTAACAACAAGGAGTTTTCAAAGGCCCGACGTGCTAATTGGACGCGCAGAGTCAGTCTACCTTTCTATCCGAACCTCGGACTTTCTTCCTAAAAGGAGATGGGAAAGACGTCAAGCAACCAACAAGAGTTGATCACAAGGGGGCGGGGTAACAAAAGCACAAAAAGTTGGAAAAAAAAAAAAAACATCCACGCCACTTTGTGATGGGAGAACAGCTACAGGGACAGGTACACAAGTTATTGGAAAAGAGTCGATTGTGGCAGATACACGTGTCGTATACCCTTTCAACGGTTTGGTAGTGCAGATCGTGTGGCTTGTTTTTCTTTTTCTTTGCAACGCGCAAAGCAGTGCCTGGAATATACATTACAAACACGCTTGATAATTGGATAGAGATGAATAGAGAGATATCAGATGCCTAGGGTGGCGTTTTATCTCGCGCCCTTCTCTCTTGGCTTTGCAATGCTATTATCTCAATTAAGGGTGAGAGACGGTTGCATCCAGAAGAGAAAAACGTAGGTGAACTGCCACGTTCTGGACAGGGTCGATCGTCAGATGCGGAGTTGTGACACAAGGCACTGGCTCCATTGTGAGCCCTCACACACACTCTCTGTTTTATTGGAGTGTTCGCCCGTCTTTCTCGTCCCTGCCTAAATCCTAAAATTATATTTCTTCAGTGCAATTAAAAATGTATTGAAAAAAGGGGTTAGTCGGGTTCATAGTAATGCAGCCCAGAATGGTCTCCAGGGCTTTCTTTTCTCCTTCCTTTGACTAATGTGGATGTCACTTTCAGTTTTACTGCCAGTCAGTCAGTGCATTCATGCATCCATCTCGCCCAGCTCGAGAGTAACGCGGATAATAAATAAGCGATGCACGGTATGCGTATATGTGAACATGGAACAGTTCAAGCAGATGGTGAGAGAGAGGACACGCCTCCTTAATTCCCTCGCTCCCCTCCTCCCCTCCTCCAAGACAATGTGTGCTCTCGTCACACCACGCACAATTGAGGGAGAGCGTGTTGTGGCACGAACATAAATAAATAAATAAATAAAAAGGGCGGGTTAATTGCCCGCAGGTGGTTGTGTGTACGTGGGTCTTTTTGTTCTTGTACCTGACTACGTCCATCGGGGGAGGGTCTGCCTTCACATTAATGTATGTTCGTCCAGGGGAGGTGAAAACATATTTCGGAAATAAAGAAATGATTTGTCGTCTAGCGTGCCTTTTTTTCCTTGTTCAAGGAGCATTGGTTCCCGAGCGGGAATGTAGTCAAAGCTGACCCCCCTCATTATTCATTGTTCGGTTCTTTCTTACTCCTCAGGAGGAGAAAGAATTGTCCACTGCCTGATCCTTTCTTTTTGTCCTTTTTACCTCTTTCCCTCTCTTTTCCCCGTCTCTCGTTCTTTTCAACCTCATTTTCCACCCCTCTCTCTTTGGTGGACTTTGTTCGTGAGTCTCTTCCTAACCGTTTTTCCAACAAGTTCATCCCCTTTTTTTGTTTCTCTTCTCTCTATCATTCCCTCTTTCTCTGTTTTTATCCTCTCTTTTCGCCCTTTCCTCTTCCTCGCCTCTACTCCCTCTTTTTCTTTCTTCTCGTCTGTTCTCCTTTTTAACCCCGAGTGGACAACTGTCGACATATTTACACATTTGCGGAGACAGTTTTCTCTCTCTTACCCTCCCTCCACGACCGTCCCTTGACACTTGTGAGTACAACAAGAAGGACAACGACACCACTTAGGTGTTGACCAGTAACCACTCTGTCCCACCCCCTTTCCTACAGCTCCAAATAGAGCGCGGTCCACTATTGAAAATGCCAGACAATCGAACAATGACAGCCTAACCAATTTAGTTCGATTCACCAAGGCTCGGACCAACCCATTGACTTCTCGTTTTGAACAACCAGCACCTGAATACCGGACCTGCTCTGGCGCTAATGCTGGCACTAGTACTGGCACTAAGGAGTGGTACTGGTTCTGAAGTAGCGCCCAATTCATCGAACGGAAACTCATTGAGCAAAAACTCACATTTGCACATCCTTATCCCCCTTCTTTCTCTCATCCTCATTGTCTCCTTTATTATTTTTTTAAACATTGGCTACCATTTACTCTCAGTCTCACCTTTCCTTCCCACAGCATGGCTCGAGTCCAATGGCTTACTCCTTTGCTGTTTCTCTGACAATTCCCGTTGTACTTGACCATTTGTCTTAACGCTCTTCTCTTTCTCCTTCCTTTTTCCTCTTCTCCCATTCCTTTCACACAGCACCCTTTGCGACACAACTCTTTTGCCCTCCCAAACTCAAGTCCAAAAGACACTCGAGATCGGTGAGTAGTCTCGTTCTTTTATTACAACTTACTGTCGGATCTTATTGTGGCCTGTATCCCTCCTCTTTCTCCTCCTCACTCTCACACACTCACGCTCTGCATTTTTTCGCGCTCTTTTTTTTTTTTTTTGCTTTGCCATCTTGCTTAATCTCTTTTCTCTTTTAATAATAGCCAAGTAGCATCCCTTCTCAAAGACAACGACCCTTCACAACCATTGACTGGACCTGACCTGACCTGACCACATCGATTACTTCATCTCTCTCTCTTCTCTCCCTCTCCCTCTCTCTCTATCACTCTCTACCTTACTCTCGCCTCTCCCCTTGCCACACAAGTACCCTACCTCATGCACTGTTTTACGTAGCGCCTCTCCTCTTTTGTACATCATCTATTCCTCGACTAGACCACCCTGCTTTCTCGTCTCCCTTCTGACCCTATCTGTCACCTACCTGGTGCATCCTGCCCTTGACACAATCTATCTTTTGTATCCTCCTCTCTCTCACGCACCCTCTCTTTCATTCAGTCTCTCCCTTCCCTCCTCAACCTTGTCCACTTTCTCCTCTCACTTGCATCCGCACGCACCTTCTTCTTTGCCATTTTCCATTCACCCAACTCAATCACCTCTTCTCTCACTCCCTTCTCTCTCACTCTCTCACACACACATACAACATGCCTACCTGGCCGAGGTCTAATCATGGCCCAGAAAAGCCCGCCAAGATCAAGGCACCCAAACCACCCAAAGCGCCAAAACCACCTCCACCAGAGATTGTCATCATGATGCCCAGGCGGAGGAAGCAAGAGTTTGGAATGGGCACCTTTGGAACTGAACCCATGGATACTATTTCTTCGCCACCACGCCTTTCTTCGGTTGGGCCGGAACCAGAGCTGGGACCAGACCTGGAAGCAGAGGCTCATTCGACGACACATACCGCCCCCACCCCTACCAGTTTATCTGATCTTCGCCAGGACCAGGATGATAATAGAGTTCACCAGCAACACGCAACATTGACCCCACAGACTCCACAAACCGCCGTCAGCAGCGATATAAATACTAGAGGTTACACCAACTCGACTGTACAGCATATACAGCAACAAGAACATCCAGGGAACTTGCACCTGTCATCCTTGCAACCGTTCGGGAGCAGCAGTGACAATAGCAAAACCACCCATAGCCACAACGGTCAGGTGCTCCGGGATCAACTATCACCGTCCTTCAAAACACCCGGCACTCCCGCCACGCCAGGATCAACGGGGCTCGTTACCCCTCATTCCAACCGCACATCCTACTTTCCAGCAACCCCTGCAAGCGGTAACACCTCGACCACAACCTCCTCTGCTCGCTCAACATCCACCGCCGCCTTTGGAGGCAACCACCATCACCACCACCAGCTCCAGCATGAAGTGAACAGCAGCAGTAGTACTCTCAAACGCAACAACAGCAACTCCCTCTCCGTCGTCGACATCCCCTCTCGAGCTTCGACCCCTACTGCTACTTTTACCCCTGGCCCCGTTGTACCTGAAACAACTAAACGCTCTCGTCATCTTCGATCTGATATCCCCCCTGCAATTGTTACCCGTGCGCATTTCCCCCCTTCAACCTCCACTCCCACTACCTCCCAGCATTACAACAATATCTACCAAACACCATCTACCCCTCGCATGCCCTCCGCCTTCTCAAACTCGACCCATGATATCTCTTCTGCTTCGGGCATTTATCCAACCCCTGCATCCTCCCTAGCGACTGCGACCACTATGGCGACGCCCAAAACCCCCGGCTCGATGAGCGAATGGCGAATGATGCAGATGCAGCTCCAACAGCAGGATGACCTTCACTTCTCCCTCACTCTGCCCTCTGTCAGTGCGCTTTCGCTCAATATCCCAAATAACAGGATGACGAATGCGCTGTCGTCTTCTTTTGGGCTGACTCCCGGGTCGGGGACTGGATCTGGAGCCGCGTCTGTTTCAGGGGCCTCCTCTACGGGGTCATGCTGCTGCTGTTGTGGTAACCTGCCGCCTCCTGCTGCGAATGTTTCCACACCTGGGCCAGCAGGAGGAGGAGCGACCGTTCAGAGTTCGGGGTCCTCTGCGACCATTGGTAATGCGACGCCAGGACCCGACTCTGCTGCAACAACGACACATCATCACCACAGTTTCTTGCTGCACCCGAATTCATCGGCAAACACTTTGGCTGCGGCGGCAGCTCTGGCAGCAGGACCAGGACCGGGACCGGGAGCGGACGCAGGAGCAGCACCTACATCGAGTGGACGCGGAAGCGAACCCCAGCAAGCTGATTTGCATAGCAGTGGTCAGTGTCTGTACAACCATTGCAACTTGAGCAGCACAAGCACCGACTACTTTTCGACCCGTGACTGCCAGACCCATGGTCATGGACAGCAGCAGACATATTCACATCCACACGCACACAACACGTCGTCGGGGTTGCCTCTTGCCGACAGCACCGCGACTCTTGCGTCAGAATATGCTGCCAGCTCAGTCGACCCATGCGAATCAGACAACGGACATGGAGGAGCCCCTACTGCACAACACCATGCTCAGCATCAGCATCAACATCAGCACCAGCATCAACATCAGCATCAACAATTCCATCACCACCAATTGCAATTCAATAATGGACACTTCAATACACCGAGCTCTGCTGGGTCAGACGCTCCCTTGAATATGTTCAAGAACTACCCGTATCTTTTGCGCTCAGCACCACCAGGGTCGGCTGTGGGTGGTATCGGAAGCAAGAGGAGGCAGCACTGCAAGAACTGTACGCATCACAATCGGCGGCCCTCTGTTAGCGGAGCACTTTCTCCATCCTCGACAGTCGGAGGAGTTCCGCAGAGTGTCCTTGGAGGGACTGAGATGGAGACTACAGGGTCTGGCACATCGATTACAGGATCCGCTGGACAACATCGACCCTCTTCGCCCTCGCCGGGATCTTTCAGGAACTTGTCGTCTAAACTGGCTGCCACCACTATCCGCAAACTCTCGATCTCGCAAAAGTCGTTGTTCAGCAGTAGCAAGGAGGATCTGTTGGCGGGCATCAATTCCTGTCATTGCTCTCAGGAGAACCCCAGTCGTGAAGACTTGAACGACGCCTTCGCTTGTGAGCCCTCGAAAGCAAACGGTGGTGGCTGTTGTTGCTGTGTGAACCAACATGGCGCAGGAGGACTCGGCGACGGGTCGGTCTGCAGTGGAGACGGCAACTCATCAGCAACACCGGGGAACAGTGGCAACAGCAAGGGACTAAAGATGCCGAGCAAGTTGAGCCTTCGAGGACCCAGCAGCGCTGGTAGTGGAGGTGGAGGAAGTCGGTATCGCAAGGACAAGAGCAAGATTCTGCGCAAGTCGCGTGAGATGGAGTACAACCTTTCCAGCCAGTTTGTCCGGGAGGAGTTTGCACAGTACAACTATGAGCGTCAGATCGAGGACTTTCAACGGGCGGCGCGTGTCTTCAAGGAACAGAAGGCTCTCACCACAGCGGCGGCGGCTGCTTCAATTGCGGCAGAGGCACGAGTGGCGATTGCGGAGGCGACACAGGCAGCAGCAGCGGTGGCGGCCAAGAACAAGAAGCAACAATCGTCGTCATCATCGGCGGTTTCAGTTGCGGTTAGCACCATTCAGGAGGCGGAGGAGGACGCGAACGACAGGAAGGAGACGACGAACCGACATAGTACCCATTCCAACGAGGGCAATTCAAAGTCCCGTAAAAAGTCGACCACCTTAAACACACGGTCAGCAGGGATCCTTCGGTCAGTCTCTCGTCCCCAGCGTCGCGTTGGATCCAGCACAGTTTCGGCGTCCAGCGCCAAGTCGTCATCTCGGAAGGGCTATGGCAGTAATGTTGGAGGAGTGAGCATTCATGGCTCCCGAGGCAGCAGCATCCACACTGGCAAGAGCGATGCATCCTATCTGGAACTCGGTCAGGTCGGCATGGGCATGGGTACGGACCTGAAGCTCCCGGGACTTGGACTCGGCAGCGGATTTGGGTTCGATGCCATGAACTTTGAGCCCCTTTCGGATATGTCTTTAGCTGGAAGGCAGAGCATGACCCAGAGCAAGGATTTATCCGCAATCGATGTGTACTCGGCAACGATTTCTCATGACCGCAGCGAGGAAACGGCGGCCTTTGAGGATATCCCGTTGCGCGAGATGGCTTTCTCTCTACCTCTTTCTCGTCATGGCAATGGCAAGGACTCGACGATCAAGTTGCAGGAGGATGTCCACAGTCTCAAGGGTCGACCCTCCAACGTCAGTCAGGATTCTCGAGGAGGTTTCATCGGTGCGTCAGCAGCAGGAGACGCGGCCAAGAAGGGTGATATTACACGGACTGGACGGTCGGTGCATTCAGTCTGCAGTGTCGACACAGTCTCGCAACAAATCTCGGCCCGCCACCACCAACACAGTCGACTCGCCCACCTCAGCAATGTGGCAAGTCTGCATTCTCAATCTCAGGCGCTGCACTCTAACTGCGAAACAGCTGTCGGTAGCGGCCCTGGTGGTTGTGCTGCTGTTTCAGGAGGACCTGGTCTGGGCGCTGGACTTGGTGGCGGATCAGCATCAAGTGCCTTCCAAAGTGCCACTGGAACCATCCTCGAGAACTCGCCCATCCAGGTTGTCCGCGCTACTGTCGGAACCGTTGACGACTCTTCGCTGCCCTGCTTCACCTTTCGGATGTGGACTCTCTCGACAGTCTTTGTGGTCATGGGCGCGGCCATTGCCGAGTACAATTTTTTTCGGAGCAACTCGGCCTACTTTTCGATCTACTTTGTCCAGCTTGCGTCATATTTTTGCGGGAAGGCTATGGCTAGGTGTCTGCCTACGCGTGAGTTTGAGCTTACGATTCCTGGACTCAACTGGCTTTTGAATCGGAGACGCCATGGCAGTGCTTGCAATGCTGGCAAGGATGCAAGCGATGAGGATGATGTTGGCGTCAACTCGGACAACAGTACCTCGAGCGGTGAAAGGCGATTTGGGTCTAATGTCACCAGAGGACCTATTCGTGGCACCGACAGGAATGGACTCGGACGATCCAACATCACGAGCACCAAGAGGGGATTCGGTAGCGGACTTGAGGCTCCGGCTCAGCAACGGAGGCGGATCTCGTGGAGGTTTACCTTGAACCCGGGAAAGTTTAACATGAAGGAGCATATGCTCATCGGTGTCGCCGCCGCTGCTGGATGTTCGCCCGTGAGTCTCTGTTTGCTCTTTTCTTATCATGTTTCTTTTTTGCGCAACAATGGCCTAATTTCTTTTGAGTTTATTGACTGGTAGGCATATGCGACGAATGTGCTGGCAATTCAAGATTTAGTGTTTGCTCTGCCCCTGGGTTCGCTGACTGGAATCGGTCTTGTTGTTAGTTCGCAGTTGATCGGCTTCAGCATGGTAAGATACCCTTTCGTTATTTTTGTCCGCAAGAATGTTTGCTTTATTATCATTTCTATGCTAACTTTCCTATCGTTTTGTAGGCGTGGCTGTTGTTCGACTATGTTATCAAGCCCTCGGTGATGATTTGGCCATCTACGCTTGTGAACGTGTCGCTGTACAACACTTTGCACGAGCACAAGATTTTGACCCGTTGGTTTACGAGGATGCAGCTGTTTTGGTATGCGTTCTTTGCAGTGTTCATCTACCAGTGGCTCCCCAGGATGTTCATGCCGGTCTTGACGTCGATGGCTCTCCTCTGCTGGATCAACCCCTCCAGCAACGTGTTGAGGAAGCTGGGCAGTGGGTACATGGGCCTTGGCATGGGGTGCATCTCACTCGACTGGTCCATCATCAGTGGCGTCGGTCCTCTCTTCACACCTTGGGTAAGTCTATTTCTTAAGCTCGCTTGGACATAGATTTGGTGGCAATTTTTTTTTCGATAGGCTAATTTTCTTTACTGTCTTATGTTGGACAAGTATAGTGGGCGCAATGCAACTTTTTCGTGGGGCTAATCCTTATGCTGTGGATAATCACGCCGATCGTCTACTTTGCCGACTACTGGTCTGCAATGTCATATCCAATCGTCTCCTCCAACCTTTTCGACAAAAGCTCCGAGCTCTACGATGTCTCGCAGATCGTCAACAAGGACCTATCGTTCAACATCACAATGTACGAGAGCTACTCGCCCATCATCATGACGCCTTACTTTGCTATCACCTACGGAACCAGCTTCATGGCCGTCATTGCGACATTTGTCCATGTCTCGCTCTACTACGGATCTGACATTTGGCTGATTGCCAAGACACGGTTTACACGGAAAGTCGATCGTGTTCAGGCGTCGCCTTTTGTGAAGTCGCTCAAGGTCTTGTTTGGCGAAGGATCTCAGTATGAATCTGGACATGAGACATCTCAGTCGAGGACTACTGGACACGCATCTGTCACGGATCCAGGACATGCGTATATTGGTCTTGAGGGCTCGCCGTTGGGTGGACAAAGGAACAGCGAGTCGGTGTCGTTCAGAAACGAGGTGGTAGATGGTGGTACTGGGATGGGCGGGATCTCTGGGTTGGAATCTGTGGATAATAGGAGCTTTACTCACTCACCGCATTACCGCCAGATGTCACAGCCGTACCATCAACACCAGCCTCAGTATCAGCATCAGGATACGTTGTTCTCCTCGGGACTTGGACAGTCGTCTGGGTGTCCCTCGCAGCAGAAAGCCAACCACTGTGTGGATGATCGAGACCAGATCCCGACCGAGATGTTTGGTACCGAGGATATCCATACCTCTCTCATGCGTACCTACCCAGAGGTAGGGTCCCTTTTTTTTTCTTTCATCGATATGGATGCATCAAAAAAGAAAGCCATTTCTAACCCGTTCCGCAATGACTTTTCGCTCGATAGATCCCAGGATGGTGGTTCGGGATCTTATTTGTGATCTGCTTTACGATGGCGGTGTTTGTGTGTATCACTTCTGACATCCGCTTGCCCGTGTACGCTCTAATTTTGGCATTGGTTCTGGCCGCTGTGTTTGCTATCCCCATGGCCATCATACAAGCCCTCTCCAGCTCTCAAGTTGGTCTCAACGTCCTCAGCGAGGTCATTTGTGGCTATCTCTTGCGTAAGTGACCTCTGACATCTGCAAGTGTAACGATACAAAATGTCACAGATATTGAAGATTAACGCGTCTGTCTCCACTCTCAAACCGCAACATGTAATATAGCTGGAAACCAGTTGGGAAACTCGGTATTCAAGTGTTACAGCTACATGGCCCTCTACCAGTGTCTGAACATGACACAGGCGTTCAAGCTGGGCCACTACATGAAGGTCCCCCCACGCAAGATCTTCATTACGGTGATCTATGGTACTCTTGTCGGTGCTTTTGTCAACCTTCAGGTCTTGGACTGGGTCCTGCAGCATAACCGTAATGCCTTGTTTGATTCCAACCCACACAGGTAAATAACAAGCTTTGGCTTTTTGTTTTATGATTGTGTATGGTAAGTAACTTTTGAGGTTTCATGTCTAACGCCGATATTACCCCTTTGCTCGCTTGTGGTGATATATAGTGGATGGTCGTTCAGGAACTTGGACCTGTTCTTCTCGGCTTCTCTCCTCTGGGGCGCCATCTCCCCTAAACGGCTCTTTGAACAAGGGTCGATCTATCATTTCCTGCCCTACTGCTTCTTGATTGGAATCTTTATCCCGATCCCGTTCTATGTCATGTACCGCCATTACCCGCCTTTTGGGACCATGTGCAAGGGAGACTCTTGGTTCTTCTTCTTACCTAAGTGCACATGTCCTACTGCTGCTGCAGAGTCGACAACGACTGGTGAGGAGGTGGTGGATGGGCAGATCCGGATGCAGGATATTGGGAGAGGTGGTCTTGGAGGTGAAGGGGCGGCGGGGCCAGAGTCGGCGGAGAGTAAGATGGCCAAGAATTTGGAGGCTGGACATGCAGCCGGGTGCTGGCCTTTTGCGCACCGCCGCAGTAGCGGTGGCAGAAGTGCCGGTGCAGGACAGGATAAAGCCCTGACTGACAAATCTGCCGACTCTACCACCACCACCACCACCCCTCAACACTCTCCTATACCCGCCCCAATCCCACCAACTCGTCCACCACACACATACTACGGCCACCCAGAAAGCGTCTGGGACAACCGCCTCCGACGTGTCCCCTGGCACCTCATCAACACCCCTCTCATCTGCGTCGGCGCCAGTTTTGTGCCCCAAGCGCCCGCGTCTTTTGTCACATCCGCAGGACTTGTCGCCTTTACTTTTGCGTTCCTGGTGCTTCGGTTCCGGCATGAGTGGTGGCGGAGGTATACGTTTGTCCTTGCTGCTGCCCTGGATGCCGGGACACAGATCTGTAATATGGCGATCTTTGTGGTTTTCTCGTTGATCCTGAAGGGGGCGGTAGAGTTCCCGAGGTGGTTGGGGAATGATATGGTTAACCCTGAGAAGTGTGGGGTGGGGGATGGGTATAACTGAGGGGGCCTTGAGATTGAGAGTGATTAGTTAATTTGTTAGACGTTTGATATTTGCTTTGTTATTTGTGTTTGTTTGTATGTTTTCTTGTAATTCTCTGTTATTTTATTAAATACATTGTCGTGTACCAACAGCATTCGTACTTGAAACGAGGATGAGAAAGAAAAGAAGGATGGAGGGACAAGAGGCGAGTACCGATGGAAGGTAAGGGGTAAGAAAAGGAAAAACCCGAGGGTATATGGTAGATATGAGTGTCCCTTGTTCATCGATGGTAAGGCTGTTGCAGTTCCTGATAAGTCTGGTTCGGGGGCGACTGAGATCTCTGCAAGATCAATTGTGCATTCGCCAAAGCAGGAGAAAACATCTCCTGCCTCCTGTTGTCGCCCCTTACTGTTCCTGCGGGTTGGGACGTAGCGTTCATGAGAGTGTTACTTGACCCTTCCTGATGGGAGTTATGAGACATGGCCGTTGATGGTCTCTGGTGGTGGTGGCCAACGGCAACCGAGGCGGGTAGGATGGTTGTGTCCTCGCTAGTCAGTTCTTGTTTGTCCCCGACGATGGGGGTGGATGGGGAGTAGACTGGTGTTGAAGGGATTGAAGAACTGGCAGAGGAGTAGACCATGTTGTTGTTGATGTGAGTAAGTGGCGCTGGTGGGGCGGTTGTGAGTGAGGAAGCGACCATGGGGATATGTTCTCCTGGTCGAGTTGAAGGAGAGTAGACGGCGGTTGTCCAACCTGCAGAGGATGATGGTACTTGTTGGTGGTAGTTCTGTTGTGGACTTATCGACACAGATCCTGGAGGTGGTGGCGCTTGTCCTGCCGTATACGCAGGCGGATACCTCTGCTGTCCTGGCATCATCACTCCTCCCGCACCCGGTGGTGGCGGCCGCACAGTAATCTTCTCCACCCGCCCGTCCAGCCCCTTCAAACCCTTCGCAGTCCTCCGACGCCTCATCAGCCACCAGAACCCAACCCCTCCAAGCACAACAACCGCAACTGCAATCCCCACCATCGAGCCCGCAGAAAGCCCACTTCTCCTATTGTGATCCGTCGAGATAACTCCAACACTCCCACTTCCGCCGCCGGTGCTGTCAAGGTTGTAGAGTTGGCGTGAGCGCCAGATCCAGTCGTTCATTTCTGCGGTGTATACCATAGGCATCCCATCGGAACCTCCTATGTGAGCATGAACAAGCAAGCATGTGTATTGTATTTTGTGAGAAAGCAGCAAAATGCACAAAAAGTGAATCCGATCACGAGTCGAAACAAGCCGATAATGCATTAAAAGCCACGCGCTCACTTTTTCCCCTTGCAATCCACAATTCATGTAAAGCCATATCAATAATAAACCACAGAAAAAGGCGTATGTACCTTTGACGACAGCGTAAAGAGTATTCCCGAGGGCAGCGCAGGTGAGGACGGGTGAAGGCAATGGATTTGAGGATTGACGAAGTGACCATACTGAGATGGACCTGTCGACTGTCGTGGTTTCGATGGTTCCCTGAGTCGCTTTGATGATCTGTCCGTTAGCTAAAAGAGAGAGAGAGAGGAAAAGAGAGACTCAGAAAAACGAACGAACGTCATATGGTTGCAACGAAGTACCCATTACAATGAAAGTAGTTCTTTACCGCTGGTGTAGCATGCGGTGGAATCGTAGGTGTCTTGAATGGTCATCTATGTAAGAGGAGACAAAAAAATGTTCACGGTTGAGTCCATGCAGCAGTGGCGTCGTGGCTGTCGATGGTGGCAAAAAATAGTACGCAGCGACCGTTTTGCAAGAGCACCTACCACAAACGGCAATGGTCCAGTACTGTCCATAAACTGGATCCCGGTCGAGGTGGCTGTGGTACTCGAATCACCAATGATAGCCCCATTAAACCCAGTAATGCCTGTCAGTTTAATCATGGTTGGGTTCAAATCAGCTCGGATTAGAATAGTGCCGCTCACATCCGTGACATTCTGCTTGGCAGCATCATATCTGCTGAGGCGGAGCTCAGGGCTATCATGAGTTGAATACAGCTGATAGAAAGAGGATCCCTCAAGTGCTGACGAGGCACTTGCCGCAAGCCAGAATTGTGTTGCGACTCCAAATGGCGTAATGGCCGGCTGTGAGATAGTGTTGAGTGTCCAGGGAGAATCCGAGATAGAAGAGTCTTGGCTGTTTCCTGTGGCTGGAGATTGTGCAGTCATCTGGAAGACGAGTGGTGAACTTGGAGGGAGTTGGCTAAAGGCCAGTAGGAGGTCATATCGATAGATGCCTGTATGGCTGTCAAAGGAGGATGTCGCGGCTATGCTTATACTGGACGCCTGGAGTCCAAGGGTTTCCAAACTGGGACTCGAATTGTAGGTGTTCTGGACTTGAATAAAGAGGGCACCGTTGCCGCCACTACTGGGAGCTGTAGTTGGGCCAATATCAGTTGCGGTATCAAGGGTCCTCCCGTCGTCGTTTTTGGAGGGGGCGATGATGGTGGTGGTATCGTCCCGACTATAACTGTTAGTTTGGGAGAGAGAGGAAGGGGCATATGGATTGATGGGTACAGAGGTTGCTGCATGGGAGCCGGTGTTGGAGCCTGAGGAAGAGAAAGATTGTGGGGAGAGGACGAAGAGGGGCTTGGTGAAGGGCCTTTGGCCTGAGCGGTAGTAGAGGTAGATGAAGTTGCCTCGGACAGCGCACGCGGCGACGGCAGAAGACTCCATGAGTGGTGTGGGTTAAATAAGATGCGTGAATCCTGTTTTTCGGTAAATTGTGATGAGAAGCGGTGGAAAGAAGGATGAAGTGGTGTGAGGGATGGGTGCAAGGTGTGTGAATGAAAGTAAAAGTGGAAGAAAGAGAGAGAAGAGGCGTAAAAGGAGCGCTGCTGGTGGGAAAGTCGAAAAAGAGAAGAGGCTGTTTGTTGTTACTGTGAGAGCATGCGAAGCGTAAACATAAATAAAGTAAAGAGTATGTACTGCACAAGACAACGGTGGTATCAGACCCATTGGACGGACAATGAGGCTAGGCCATTTACTCGCTGAGGATACCTGGCAAGGGAACAGTGCACTTCGAAGGAGAGGGTGAGCGTGTGGTGCCCCTTTTCGCCTTTATGAATGATGTGTTTATCTCGCCAATGTGTTTGTTGACATTGGCCATTGGTTTGTTTGCTGCGTCAACGCCAACCACTGGATAACTGAAATCGTTGCAGCTCCAAGCACAGACAACAAAAATATCATAAAACCCATACAAAGGCAAATAAACTTGCGAACGCCAGATGGCACACGATAGGAGACGGCAGGTAGGGGTCACCGGAGGCGGAGGGGAACTTTAAACTTTGACGGTAGTAATGCTATTATTTCACACGAGGCAGTGCAAATCGCTCCTCCATTCCCCGGCGCACATCACCCTCAAGTATGACATCAAAAGGAAAAAGAACGAAAGGGGTATCTATCCTATCCCTCCTTTACCTCTTTTCCTTTCTTACTCGTTGGTTTAACAATTGGGTCAAATGCGGCAGTAACGGTGTGCTTATGTTTATTTTTAATCATGATGCTAGCTATAGTCGACTGTTCTGCCCGGCGTGCATTGTTGTTGTTTTTGCTGATGGTGGTGGGGAAAGGCGGTGCAGAATGGCGTATCATTTGTTCGGCGTCTACTAAACTGGATTGACTGTGGTTCAAGGCTTTCATTCAACTACAGATCTGTGAGTGTGGAAACGCGTGCTAATCAAACCAGCTAACTGACCAATTCCGAGTCTGTCTACGCGAACTACGCCTCTGGACGCGAACGAGGGAATCGCGCGTTGTGTGCTGAGAGGCTATCTCAGTAGAGGGTCCAAAAGAAAGTCGCGGTTGCAATGTGTTGTTGTTTGTGTCGGTGGCTTTTTTAGCAGGCATAAAAAGTCCGGTCGAAGATAAAAAAAATTATGTTTACTCCTTCACTCCTTCCTTTCCTTTCCCATCTTCCCCCTCCCCCCCAATCCTTTGCCTTCCACTTTCAAGTCTGCTGTCTGTCCAATTGGTATGTATTCATGTCCTCATCAACCATCTCCATACCCCTTTTCCCCCAAGTCGGCACAAGATGATACAAACGCAATTAAAGCTGGAATTACCGCCTGAACCACAGTGTTGATAGGATTGCACCCAACTGATGCCTCAACTTGACAAATACAATGAGAATGTAACGCACCTCTGAGTGTGTATGTTTGAAAGCAAAGCGACTTACCTTTTGCCTCTTTTCTTTTTGTCATCGAATTGCAGTAGATCGTTTCAATTGTATCGGTAAGGTGTATTGCCTCAAGTTGTCGTCGTCGTAGTCATGTATAATGTCAATAACAATAGCAATAATAAACAAAAGAAGAAAAAGAAAGCAATGAAGTGTGTATACTGTGAAATGTTTATGCCATGGTGGATGTTTCTGTGTTTGTGAGATCAGCTTTCTCTCTTTTGTGTGATCAACAAGATCAGCAAGCAAAGGGTGGTTTCTGCCAATTGTCACCTGATAGCTCTGCCTCCTTGTCTCATTGTCCTGCCGAACTGAAGACCGTCCGTCTCCTGGGATTTTTCTCCTTTTCTTTTTTTTTGAGAGAGTTGGCTTGTAGTCTCACTCTTCACTTTTGTTTCTTTCGCACTCTGCCTTTACCTGTAATCACCATCATACCCACAGAGACGAACAACGCCCTAAGGACGACAATGCAACATCAACAAGCATACCCGCAACCACAACAACAACCAGTGCAACAACATCAACAGCACCAGCAAAGGAAGAGCAGGCACTCGAAGCAGCCGAGTCACCTGCCAGGAACAGCACCTTACCTGCGCATCCTCTTCCCAAGGAACATTCAACAGAGAGAGCCCGTCCCACAGCTGCTGAATCACCCCCATCCAGACCTTGATGCCGAGGCATACCACTTCCTCGCCCTCCTCGTCCGCGACTTTATTCAGACTTGGTACTCGACCTTCTCCTCTGACCCACAACTTGTCACGTCCGTCGTCAACGTCGTCATAGAGATTGCGCGCGAGCTCGAGCGAAGGAGTCAAGAGGTATGAGAGCTAACTCCTTGCACTTGCACATGATTGCAGGACTTTGGTAGTGGGGGAAGGTCTACCTCGAGCAGCGATAGTAACAAACGACTCTTTCTCGCACAACTTTTATTTCTATTATTCACATAGGTCGACTGGGTAGGATTATTGCTACTGGACGTCCCGGAAGTGCTAAGGAGACACTATATCGATTACAGGCAGGCAGCACAGAAACTGGACACAGCATACGCTCCCAACCAAACAATCGAGTCAATCTTTCATGGACTACAACCTCACTTTGCGCTCCAGGATGGCGAGGAATCGGAAAAGGAATATCTCCGACAGCTAGCGGATGAGTTGTTGCGAATCCTGCTCCCCAAGGCAGAGTACGAGTCCGACTGTGTGCGCTGGCTTATCCGGGAGATCCTCGCCTGTCTCGTCTTGAGGAGTTTGGTCGAGATCCTGACAGAGCCTGACATGATCAACTACATCGTCAACACAGTATGTCCTTTCTCACTGAATATTGTCTTTGAAAGAGCTTTTGATGCGGCAAATGGCCATTGACCCTACCCCTCATTTTTGACTTTCAACTTGCGTAGCTTTTGCAAGACTTTGAGCCGACGGACGAGATATACGAAACATTCCTTCAAAAGGCGGCGGACCAAATGGATGCATCAGACGACAAGTTTTCGGCGTTCCTGGCGAGTTTAGTAGGATCAAAAGGAAGGACAAAGCTCACACACAGGTCGTCAACACCCAACATCAACCCGACGGACGAAATGGTCGACTTGCTACAGGATGCCCAGTCATCCAGTCTCGCGGCTGCAGCAGCGGCAGCGGCTGCATCATCGTCAAAATATGCAGGCGAGCGCCCACGGCCCGTCAAACAGTCAGCTGCCCGCATGTCTCGGTCTGAACGGAACGACGACGCACTATCGCATAGCGTGGCAGGAGCAGCCCCACTCGCGGGTCAATCGACAACGTCTCAAAGCAACACATCGGCCAGAAGAGTTCCCGTTTCGCCACAAAATGCACCTCTTCTAGAACCACCACTACAGATACCAGCCTTTAAAAGGACCAAGAGCGATGCTACTTTGAGACTGTCTTCAACCTCATCCAGCAACAACTACAACAGCAGCAGCACAAGAAGTACGCCAGGACGGACGCCGAACAGGAGCCCGCAGCCCGAGCCAGGGTTGCTGCCAAAACTAAAGTTGAAAGCTACATTGGCAATGACAAAGGCGCCAGCAGAATATACCACCTACCTGATCAACAACGTCTTTGTCCCCTTCAGCGTGATACTGGTGGCGTTATTGAACTTTATGCTCGTCCTGCCCAGCAAGATCTCTTTGGTCTCACAGTCCTTGGCCTGGATTTATGCGGAACTCGATGAGCCAGAGCACACAGAACTGGAGGCGGGAATCTTTCGACTTGCCAAGGAGATCTTTTACCTCGAAGAGCGGAATCAAGTCATCTGGCGTCAGTGGGAGCTAATGGGCTGGCCTCTTGTCAGAACCCTTGGAGGTGGAGCTATCGACCGGTGAGTGAGATTACATGCTAGTTTTGGAGCCTCCATTCAATTGCGATGACTCCGACCATTCACTGATTCGCGACGTACCTCTTTTCATTGTTTTGTGTGATAGTGTGCTTGCGCATGGAGTGTATTGGATATTCGCGGAACCACAACTGGTGACATACATTCAGGCAGGACGACGAGCACTGTGGCCTGACCCAACATCGTCTCCTCCTAGGCCACGAGGTGTCGACGAGATGGAAAAGGCACGTCGTGAGGCCGAACGCAGGATCCTCAGGACCATACCTGGTAAGAAGCAATATCGATAGGGAGCGTATATAGTCTTTTCACATGAGGATGACACCTAACCAGCGTGAGTTTTTGTTTTCTCAAACCAATAGCACCAATACGTGACACTTTCTTTGGGGAACAAGGCGTACACCATCTAGCAGCAGCAAGGGAAGCTCTTGAGCCGTTCCAAAACAAACATTGCAACAAGCACTTGATTTACATTGCACTTGACCTACTTCTCTCCAAGATCACACCAGAAGTATACCCAGACCGCCTATAGATGGTGAATAAACCTTCTAACTTTGATTCCAAGATTTTGTGTTTCTGTGTTGATGCCGACTGAATTGTCCTGGTATTTTTGCTTGTGCAAGCGCAGACATTAATCGAGAACACGACAGAACCAAGCAAGTCATTGGTGTTCACAGCTCGTGCCAGCTTCTCAGGACATTGCCTCGTTGTTTAGAGAAGAAGTCAGGACAACTTCTTTATTGTCGTCGGATGTATTGCTCTACAAACCCTTGTCCGCGTCTCAAGTTGCATGTATCGGACCGCCTGAAGCTAAGGAAGAACGCTATTGGGCTCACCATCATATCTCCCTTATTCTGGCGACTGGAAGCGCCTGACCTTGAAGGCAATAGTTGGTGCTACTATGACATCCTCGCGACTGCAATCAAGTGGACAAACATGAAGGCATTAACGATCGATTATGCCCACTCGAGACATCTCCAGCTCTGTCCCGGTCTGCAGCAACTTCACTTCAAGAATTTCGAGGCGCTTAAAGGAATAGAGCTACCAAAAGCGATAGCGGTTTTCTGGGTATGTTGGAAGCATGTCAGAGTTCATGCTCATTGTGCTTGAGCGTTGGCTCGACGTGACATTGGAGTTCAAGACGACGCGAATTGTCGAGTCAGGTCCTATCTGGTGGAAGGGAGGTTCGGATGGCGCAACGTGCACCTTTGAGGAGATCATGGCAGCCACTTTTTAAGACCGCAGGGTTTTTTTGTGACCTTAGTCCTCTTCCTTCTCACCACTTGATTCTTTTCATCTTTTGCAATAATAATAAAAAGTGCTCGTTGTGTTCATTATTTTATTCCAATGTGTATGTGTGATGGACTTGCCAACTGTAAAAAAAAAAAGGGGGGGGGGGGTGCTGTAGAAAAAAGAAGTGGAATGACTGTTCTAGCAGGTGAGAGTGATCTTCTGTCCAAAGCGACTCTCGCCTCCAGTCTTGACAATCTGCTCACAGATCCACTGCCCAACATCTGCACGGTGGATCGTGTACCCGACCGCGGGCTTGTCCTCCACTCCGACCTTGACCTTTTGCCACCCCTTGCCGTGCTTGACATTCTGGTCGCCCTTCAACAGACTGGGTCGGATGATCACTGCACCTCGGAACACGCCTGTGGTGGGCGATGCATTCGCGACGACTAGGTCCTCCATGGCTTTCTTGTCCTTGTGAGGGTCAGCCAAGACCACATGGTAAAACGTGCGGAAACCAAAGGGGACATCCTCGCGCACGTCCGAGACGCCTGTGGTTGAGATGGCAGTAATCGATGGCCTCTGCTGGCTCGTAGAAGGGTGAGCCGCGTAGATCTCTTGAAGGGACTGGATGATGTTCTTGGTGGCTGTCGCACAGATCTCCGGGTTGTCGATCGTCAAGGGCTTGGAGAGGGACATGTGCATCTGAGGAGTACCTCCGATTCCCGAGATGATCTGCGACGCAATCTTGACAGTGCTGGTGCCAGTAGTAGTGATAGAGTTGTTGGTGAGGACGGCCTTGATGGCGTTAATGTCGGCAATGTCGCCCTTGATGATGGTCAGTTGAGTGTCGACGATCGACTGGGAAAGACCTTGGGCAAGGAGCATGTCCGTCAGCTTGGAGGGAGTGCGAGCGAGGGCGGTAGCGTGGAATCCGGCGGTGAGGGTGTGGACGAGGCAGGCGTTTGTGCATCCGCCAGTTGCTCCAAAATAAGCAATGAACTGGGTTGAAGATGAGGAGGACATTTTTGTTTTTAGGTGTTTTTGTTGTTGGATGGTTTTGTGAGTTGGTTGGCGTTCTTGTGTATTGGTGGTTGTGGTTGTTTGGGTTGTTGCTAATGTGTTGTAGTTGTCGAGTTGAGCTATGTTGTGTTGTTGGTTGATGGGGGGGAAAAAAGGTGGAGCTGGTTAGTTATATAGTAGTCACCGGGCCGAAGATCCCTTTTGTTTCCTTCCTATGAATATGTTTGTTATCAAAAATACGATCGAAGACGCGTCCGTGTCAACTGCCAAGGAACGAAAAGAAGGGAAGCCTTGGTGCATGTCGAAACCCAGCATGCAAGTAAACAAACAAACAAGGGCACAAATCGAGCAAGCAATGCTTAATTTTTCTTCCACCCTCGTCACTGCGTCACTGTTGTGAGAAGAACAAAAATGCCAAGAGCTCAAAATAGGAAAAGGTAAAGGAGAGAGCTAGAGTTCAAAAAGTGAAAATAAGCCACCTACTTGGCCCTTCTCAGGGACTGTAAGTGCGGCTCAGGGACAAGGGCATAATAAACATCAACTTCTTTACTCGCTACTCCGCTGATATCTTACCAATCCTTCTCACATATCCAATGATTCGTTTCACGACCTACAGTGCAACTTTAGGAGGAGTGGAAGAAAGGGATAGAGATTGATGTATAACTATCTGGTCGGAGGTTCAAAAAGTGTGAAAGTGGCGAAATAGCATCAGAATGTCTATTCCGGGTAGGCAAACCTGACAATCTTTTTCAATTAGAACATATCGTCCTTATTCTCTGAGATGCCCTCAAAGAAAAAATCGTCCATGTTCGAAAGGTTGATATACACCATCACATCCTCGACGCCAGTCACGGGATTTCTCCTGGTGTGGGTGGCTGGCATACCCTTCCGGACGTCAGGGAGCTCGATATGGATACGGAGGATGCCCTTAAGGTTGGACGGAGTACCCGAAGCCTCATAGACCCGTCGAATATCTGACAAGGATTGGTTTAGGACTTCCTCCTTGACTTTATCGTCGGCTTGTTGTTGGAATCCGAAGGCGTTCCTGGGAAAATCGATGCTGTTGAGGAAGAAAAAGAGGGATAGAGCTGGGATCAAGACGGCTTGGTATGCCTGCCTTCGCTGACACAGTGATGGCGACTTCGCCATCAAGGGTCATGATGTCTTTGCAAAGTAGTTGAGAAAGGGAGCGAAGGGTACGAACTGAACCAGGGTGGGAAGGGGTACACACTGTGGGAATGGAATTGGGAGAGATGTTCAAAAACCCTCCCTCTTTTGCCAGTCCATGGTGGCCTAAACTCAATTCCTAGTCCGCCTCACTCATCGGCGTGGACTCTATTTTGCGCCCTTTTTGTGTTCTGCGCCAGGAAAAGGCGGAAGAAAACGTCCGCGACTTTTATTGAGCTCAATAAACATACTTCTTGAGTTGCGCGAGATCTGCAGTCGTCCACGATCTTTTCAGTGAATCCGGGTGATCACCCAACCACTTGATGCAATCCTATGGTCATCCAACAAAGCGAAGTTAATAAAATAATACCATAGCGAAAATATTGGAATCCTTATACATGTGGACATACTCGGAACCAGAACAAAGTTGGAAGAGATGCCAGCAGCGCCCATGTGGATGGTGGTCGTGGGGACCGAGAACACACCCACCTCCGCCAGCACCACGATTCCTCGACCCTTGACAAAGTGGCGGTAGATGGTACCGGAGCCAGCGAGAACCTGCACCAGTGGCATGACTTCGGTACCCTGGTTCAGGACAGCTGTCCCAAATCGTGAGAGTCTGTACAGGTCCCAGCCATTCTTCTTCCGATCGTTCCTTTGGCTGGGGTCTGTGACTTCGCCAAAAGCCATCTCTTTCTTCCCGATCACGACCTTGAAGTCCGGGCGATCTGGCTTCACTCCCTGTTGGGTTTGAATCCGCGAGTTCGTATTGGGACTAAATGAGGCGAAATGTGATATTTTAGTACTTTTTTTGTGCAAAGATCTCAAGGTCTGGGTCATGAGCGAATGCCCTGAGGATGGGGGACACATGGTTTGCGACGAGAGTTTCCTCTGACATCTTTTCTTGCTCTCTGGTTGGCAGCTCCTCCACCCTAAACACATCAAATAACAATATTAATAGGAGCATTTTAAGCTTTACGAGAATGGTGTTGATTGCACCCCCCTTACATTTGCTGGAACAGCCGCCTTAGCTTCTTGTCTTTCACGCCATTGAGGGCCTCGACAGCCTTTTCCATCTCATTGTTGGCTCGATGCTAGAAAATAAAAAAAATGTTAGTATGGAATTCATAAACGAATCATGCATGGAATCCATGAAAACTTACGCGAACAGAAAGAAGAATCGACACGTCGGCGTCTTGATTGTCGATCGGCTCCATTTTCTTCGATAGAGAGTCTCGTATCTTCTTCAGGCACTTCTTGCTGAAGACCTTTTTCATCATAGTGGTAGGGTGCCAAGGAGCGAATGTGCCGGCGAGAATCCTAATTGAGAGCAAAGGAACAGCAGTGCTATAACATCATCAGCTTCATCGTTTCCTGGATTAGTAAACGTTGGCATCCTTACATTATGTCTGTTGGCTCAGACTTTTTAAGCTCTCTCCCTCGTAATGCCCGAATTGCCGCCTCTTTGTATTTGTCGGTCATACATGCCAAACAGCGACCATCAAGGGCCTACTACACAGTGGGTGCAAGGATGGAAATATACAGAGGGGGAGAAAGATGAGGTTCAACCAGTCTAACACGGAATGATGGACTTGAAATAGCAAGGGCTGCCTACCAGATTGCAATATCTGTGCTTAACAGAGGTAATCATCGCACCAGCTCACCGGTCTCGTCCAGATCAAGACTGTCGTCGCTGTGTACTGAGTCCGAAGACTGTTAACAGATACTCTTGGTTAGGCTAGCTATTGTGGCCATGAAAGCAAACACTAGTCCTGTTCAGTGAAAGGATGGCAACTCTTACCTCATCTTGGGCTCGTGCGGCGTGATGGTCGGTCCGCATAGAGCCCCCTGCATCAAGCTCAAACTGAGCAGGATCGTCACCACCATCCTCACTATTTGCTATCGATCTTTCTCTATCATTTGTATTGAAAAGGCGACTTAGTTTTTCAACTACATAATTACAAACAAAGTATGACCCTGCTATCAATTTGAGCTAACCTACATGGACATTCAGGTGAGGAGCCTTCGAAAGATTCTCGATCTCGTTTTTTGGGGGATCGGCTAGTTGCCGCTGAGCATTCGTTTGCTGGTGTACTCGGCTTGGGGAGAGACGGATGGTTGTCCCTAGTACAGACTTTCTTGCCTTGAGGACACTGCCAACAATTAAATCTGCAGCATCCTGTGTCGTTGCATCCATTGCTGCCCAGAATTGATTGCCCTCATTTCATTGCCACACATCATAGTTGCTCTGCAAGGTGTGTCTTGTGGCCTTGCGGATAAAACTTCTTGAGATCAAGACCGAAACATCCGATCGGCATCCTCCCTGTGTGAATATTTGAAATTCTCAGCAAATTCCGGCATTGTCACGTTGCCGCAATCCTCAGTTCGCGCCTTCAGCCATTCCACCATTTTATCCTAGATCACCGTCCATGGAACTAATCTGCGACCGAAATTGAGAGACTGTTAATAAGAGGCGAATTTCTTATGACAGAAAATGAAGATATAAATGGCACTGGACTTCCCGACCTCGCCTCACCGCGCTCTGCATGGGGCTCGCTAAAGAAGCACCAGAAACGGAGTACCAAATTACACCCTCAATCACGCTCTGACTGCCAGACCCCGTTCCACCGCGCACTAAATGGAACTCGCAAAGACAGCAGAGTCTGAAGTGATGGAGATGAACTTGGTGATCAACCGCCACCTTAGTGCCATTTAATTCGGAATACGTGTTTTACGTCGCCTTGATTATTCAAGAACAGAGCTGTGTGGGTGTACGTAAGAGAAAGAAAGAGAGAGCGAGAGAGAAAGGGCGAGAGGGAGAGAGAGAGATATGAAAGAAAAGGAGAGGATGAAAAGGAGTGAAGTGATGAAGATGAGTACGGCTATCGGGTCTAGCATGATCTGAGTAAAATGAACAAAAATAGTTAGCCATCATATCCAAGGTACGAGCTTTCAGGCAAGGCACATTGAGGCGCTGAGTCAAATACTTTCCATTAGGGGTGGTACCCTTCTTTTGTCAATCTCAATATCCTGGCGTCATGGTTAGATGATGCGATCCTTTGCCGCCCCTATGCCAAGACCCAGCAAAGGCGCCCATCTCAGCAGTTACAGGACCCCACCAGGGCTCATCGGCAGCTCTCAGAGACACCTGGTTTGGATGAAGGGAACCCAGCTTCACAACTGGACTCAGCCTCATCCTGACCGACCTGCTCACCACACCATGACTGCACGAAAGGCTCATTACAAGCCTGCATACCTAAATGGTGCGATCCTTTGCCGCCCCTCTGCCAAGACCCAGTAAAGGCGCCCATCTCAGCAGTTACAGGACCCCACCAGGGCTCATCGGGCAGCTCTCAGAGACACCTGCTTTGGATGAAGGGAGCCCAGTTGCACAACCGGATTCAGCCTCATCCTGACCGACCTGCTCGCCGCGGTATGCATCGTGTCTCTCCAAGATTGAGGGATTAAGGAGAAGGGATTGTATGGCAAGCGAAATGCGTTTGGAAATATAAACACGCATTTCTGTTTTTTTCATAATCGCAAGTATTACATTTTACCCCCATTTCTTCGTTTCTTGGCGACGCGATAAGTCCGCACCATCACAATTGTCTTTGATATCATGGACTCAAAGAACTCACAGTCAACGACATCGGCGTGCAGCATTCAAGGGACTTCCGCATGCAACCTATTTTGAGTCTGTCAAGGAGCCCTTGAACATTAACCATCTCGGCTGCTTTGCATATGCAAATGCCAATCTCGACAAGAATGAGCACCACCGCCGTCTCTGGGTGTCCAAGATTCTCTCGCTCTGCAAGGACAGCATTATTGAGTGCCTACGGTCACAAGGACCCCGGTTGAAGAGATAGTGGTTTGGAGCAAGTACAATGGATACATTTTGGACGCAAGTCTTTGAGGACGAACTGTCAATGCAGGCATTAGAGAACAGCAAGCGAGCCAGAATAATTGCGGAAACGCTTCTGGTAGGTCCCTTGAACGATGCCGGCGTCCACCTGTCGAAGAGAATGAGGCGTGAGTGGGGTGTTCTATCCGAACTCATGACGCGCGAGTATGAACAGCCAGCTGGATATATTAACTAACACAAGCCTTTCTCCTCTTTTCCATGGTTGGGTAGCGCGCCGGAGCTATATCTTCGCATGAGCATGAGACGCAAGATGCGTCGAGCGGTGACGAGGACGAGGACAGCGAGGAAGAGGCTCGAGGAGCGACCCGCGTTCTGAGCAAGCAGTTTACGCTATAACCTTGGGCTATACATTTTTTTTTAATAAGGCCAAGTAGTTCTCTAACGTTGCTAACAAATGCATGACCTCTCATTTTCTAGGCCTGCTTGGTCCAGACTTCCCCTCGTCCGACCAGATTGACCTATCGGTGCGCAGTGACATGTTGTCACAGGGTACTATGGAAGAGCCACTACCTGTGGGCATCGATCGACTGGTCGGACCGAGAACGTTAAGCAATCACTTGACAGGTCACAACGACAATTGGGTGGGCGACAAGAACATATCGTAGCAACCGAATACATGGCGGCGCGAGCAGGTTGATGACCAGTCGTTCGTGACTGATCATGATGTGTGCGAGATCCTTTCTCTGAACTTCATCTTTAATCATCCGCTAGTCGAACGCGCGTTGTGGTCGCATCGGCTAAGCGAGAAGGAGCATGCGTTTGTTGTACCAGCCTCCCTCGCACGCATGGATCAGGAGCAGGAGATGTCTGAAGAGACAGTGTATTCGTTGGCAATGAAGGATGGCTTGATGCCCTCCTCCGGATTCCTGCTGCCCACAACCTGACGGCGACGAATGCACTTTGGTGCAGTACAATGAAGATTCGATCATCGAGCGTTTCTTCAAGCCTCTTGTCAACGGCTTCTTAGGGCGTGTTGCTGGAGCCAGGCTCTGCTGGTAAGCATTCTGATACATCTGGTTAATGTTTATTGGTCACCCTTCTCTACCTCTACCTTGCGAGCAGGAGAAGCATTGCAAGTACCGGGATGAAGAGCTTCACATTATTCTTTGGCCCTGCTTTAATGGAAAATAACAAATAGGACCTGAGATGCACTTAAGACGGGAACCGTGGACACAGGCGAGCTCCTGTGCCCTGACTGCATGCTCACCAATGTCAGCTGGCGGAAGTCAAAGGTTTGACGCTGCGCAGCAGGAGTGTGATCGGGACCGCGTCTTGTTCGTGGAGATGAAAAGGCGCCTTGACGGCCATCTTACGAGCGGTGTGGATGGGCCTGTGGTTGGACTCCTGGCTCAATGCCACCGAGTCGAGGTATAGGCGTTGACGCTTCCATATGAAGCGTTGTACCACCCTACCCATCGCGGTTCGTTCGATATGATCCTGTCGCGCTTCTACTTTGGCGTGCTTCATGTCGTGTGTCCTCTTCGCGCAGCCCAGGCAGCCGTTACGAGCATCACGTCTAGACTCACCGGTGTTCGCAGGCGCAAGCCGATCAAGGCAGCCTCGCATCGAGGCACGTACAATGATGAGCCTATGGGCTCAAGTCCGATGTCTGCGTTCGCCAAGAAGCACGTGGCTTGCGACGAGATGGTAAGTTGAAGGCTCGCTGATTTCCTGCTTGGTCGTTAGGCTATTTATCCCCATCCTTCCACTATAGTCCCTCACTGCTCCTTTCATTGCCTTCCCTGCATGAGCTACCCGAGATTCTCCCCTCCTATCATATTATACATAGCGCTCTACCCATTGTACAGCTGGAGGTCAATAAACCCGACTTCTCTATACATATTTCCAGTCCGAGTCTAACCTCCTTTTCATCTTATAATTCTTTCTCAGACCGAGTCCCACATATGCAGTTCATATAGGCAAGAACTCTTTTCAAAATGAGCAGAGCGCCCTACTTTGGATTCACTCTGACTGTAGCTAAGATAGCTTGGGTTCTTTCCGCTCCTCTAGCAAATCGTCGTCATGCTGCATTGACCTTCACAAAAACACCAACGTATCCACAGCGCCAAAATCCAAGCGAACGACAGCACAGACCACAGAACATGCACCTCCGTCTTACATAGATTTCATGCTTGAATCGCTTTGCGCTACGAGCGAGAGGCTTGGAATTAGGGGCTCAAAAGCAAGCAGCCGAACAAGTCTGATAGGCCAACAAGCGCGCTACAGTCGTGTCGCATGAAGATGCGCGGCGAGATTTAGATGACGTACAGGAATCACTACGCTCAATGTTGAACACCGTTAGTGCACCCAGAAACAGGAGACCGCAGAGTGTTACCACAGCCACACGAAGATGTGAACGCTGCGACTCGAACCTACGGAGCTTGACCGACTGAGCTGATCTGCAAGATACCAAGACATTGGCGACAACGGTAGTTCGCTAGCACAACAAGGGCGAGACACAGGGATCCAATAAACAGACGCAAGGATCCCACAAGAACTTAAAGTGCTCCTCAGATTACAAATAACAAAGAGTGCTTTTTTTGTTTAAAAGCAGTACGTCCTGATCTTGGTATTGATTACGGCCAGCCTGCTGAGGAAGATGTTGGCGACGACGACAGGCTTCGGCACCAAAAGCTCAGAAATGACATGACAGTGGCAAATATACGATACACTTTGACCATAAAACAGCAGGTAAAAAGAAAGAGACGGTCAGTCATCTGAACCTTGCATGGGATCTCATAAGACCAAGCCGTTGCAAGCATACTCTTCTTTGTGTTCGTCTTCTGTCGACTTCAATCTTGGGTATCATGGCAAGGTGGTGCGACTCCTTTCCGGGAATAAGAGAAGATGGCAATGGATGTCAGAGTAACTAATCAGACATTGATGTTAAATTATCTTTCTCGAGAAACGGTATTCTGACATGCTATCAATGTAGAAACTCACCTGGAGGAACAAGACGCGAAGGACGAGCGCTGGACTATGGTGGGTGGCTGCTTTCAGCGGATTTCTGGTTCCGCTGTGCTGTGGATCTTGCACGGTAGAAAGTGCCCACGGCTTCGTTCACGCGGAGGTGTGGAGCAAGTGTGAGGTGATAAAAACAAATAAAAAAAGTGGTGATGGCCGAATATAACAATGTTTATTTGTGCTTTTCATTCCTTCCGTTTCTCTCTCTCCCATCTTTTCGTTTGGAAGGGGGAAGGTAATTGTTTTTCTGCTACAAATACTTGATCACAGTAGATGATGTGCAGCTCTCGACATTAGTGTGAGCACCGTACTTTGCCGCCAAATAGGGGTTATGTGGCACAACACAACAGTTATCGATCTCGAAATGATCTCGGCCAGCGATCTTGACCGTCGTTTCGTTATTGCGGCGCCGATATTGAGGGTATCTATTGGGTCCATTTGTAGTATGTTCATTAAAGGGCTGGGAATAGTCCTTCGTACACATACCGTTCTCCATGCATGGAGAGTTTTAATGTGCCGGTCCGCATGGGCCATGAATCATGGTTTTCGTGACGGTCTCATAGGCTGCAGGGTGGGTTGCTTGGTAGGGGATCTCGACTGAGATGTAGCTGTAGGGATTTTGGGTTTGTGTTGAGGAAGGCCACGCTTCTTTTATGGCATATTAAGATCGACGGTATTTGGTCTAAGGCTGCTGTAAGTGAGGGTTGTGATGAACAGCTAGACATAGAATGACCATACATCCAGAAGTAGTGTCCAAGCTGGCGGTGGAGGGCATCGGAGGGGTCCACTCGGTCAAACAAAGTACTTGGATAGCTAAAAGAACGGCTTTGTGTTGCTGTTGTTGGTATAACTTGTGTCGATGGCCCCTGCAGGTCGTCTTCGCCTTCACCTTCCAACTGGGCTGTAACAGTTGGCTCCGGACTGGGAATACTCTTGGCCCGCGGTCCTCAGGTTTCGCGAAGACGAAGACTTGTTTCTGCCTATGTGTCGTTGAACGCGTAGCGGATGGCCGGTTCGTCACGCAACCTTCACTACCAACTTGACATGGCTTAATTCTTGGTGTACCTTCTGAAGGTAGCATTCTTCTTTGGTCTGTGAATACGTGCGACTATTGGGAAGCTCTTAACACCTCGAATTGCGTATGAACACAGCTGCTATTCTGACTGTACAAAAAGATATTCTGACATGCTGCCATCCTTCCTTCCGGAACATATCTTTTGATTTTCTGCACATGTCCAAAATGCAAAAAAGACTCGAACAAAAAGAGATGCGTCACCTGCAGGGTTCGAACCTGCGCGGGAAATCCCATACACTTAGCAGGCATACGCCTTAACCACTCGGCCAAAGTGACATATCTTGTTGGAAATTAACATGTAATTCCAAATCAAGAGAGGGAGGAGTTCGCTTCCACTTTCCACTTTCGGTAACTGGAAAAAAAAAAAGCGTATCAAAAAAAAAAAAAAAAAAAAAAAAAAAAAAAAAAAAAAAAAAAAAAAAGCCCGTTTGGCGCTTCGCTAGCCACACATGATGAAGGAAGGCGCCCTGGAGCGACCAAGGACCCACGCGCTGCTGACGAGCGGTTGTTGGAGAGTTTGTTAGGAAGGAGGAGGTTGTCAATGATGGCTCTATGCTGTTTGTTAGAGAAATAAAATTGTGTACCAAAAAAAAAAAAAAAAAAAAGCTGTGAATAGCAGCGACAATTGTTGTGCAGAGCCAGATTCCGGACCAGACTGCAACTGGTGGATGGCGCACTGAAGAGTTTGATCTGTAGCCTCCTTACTTCTAAGTACCATCTTTGTGCTGTTTGTCAGAGAAGTAAAATAGTGTACAATAAAATGAGAGAGAGAGAATAAAAAGAGAGAAAAAAAAAGAGAGAAAAGAAAAGAGAATAAAAAAGAGAGAGAAAAAAAGAGAGAGAGAGAAAAAAAAAAAGAGAGAGAGAGAGAGAAAAAAAGAGAGAGAGAGAGAAAAAAAAAGAGAGAGAAAAAAAGAAAAAAATAAGGGAAAAAAAAGAGAGGTAGAAAAAAAGAGAGAAAAACATACATGCGATCAAGACACAATAACAGCTAAGGCAAGGGTTATGATGGGTTGCATGCAAAATAAGACATAAACATCCAGGCCATACTGCACGACTACCTTCTTCTTCACTTTCGCTTCTACATTGGACTTAAGGCTTTGTCATTCTTGTTTTTGTCGAACTCTTTTTGAGCAAGGAAAGCATTGCTTTTTTTCAATCCTGTCAGATACAAAAGACCGACTGAATGATCGGATCAGCTTTCTTAGTTCACTTTTGATCGTTGCCACTAATTATTAACTAAGTAGGAGGATGAGAGAACAAAACAGCATGAGGTGAATGTTGAGCCTTTCGATGAGTCAAGGTTAAGAATGAGGAGATGGTGCTATGCATGCAAAGTAGGATGAGAGAGAATGAACGAGATGGAGAATACAAACGAGAGGGGTGTAAATGTCATGGCAGTATACAAGAGAGCGGACGCGCGATTGCTATGTCGTATAAAAGAACGCGCTTTTATCGTGCCGTCCGATATCTATGATGCAGGATGTACAAGGACAAGAAGGTGATAGATGAGCTGGCAAGCAAGATTCTTTAGTGGCCGAACCTGCAGAGAGAGTCTCCATCCAAGCGCAGACGATTGTAGACGGCGCAACGCTGTGCTATTTCTGTCACATCCTTATCAGAATAAAGAACAAAAAAGCGCGTTCTTTTATACGACATAGCAATCGCGCGTCCGCTCTCTTGTATACTGCCATGACATTTACACCCCTCTCGTTTGTATTCTCCATCTCGTTCATTCTCTCTCATCCTACTTTGCATGCATAGCACCATCTCCTCATTCTTAACCTTGACTCATCGAAAGGCTCAACATTCACCTCATGCTGTTTTGTTCTCTCATCCTCCTACTTAGTTAATAATTAGTGGCAACGATCAAAAGTGAACTAAGAAAGCTGATCCGATCATTCAGTCGGTCTTTTGTATCTGACAGGATTGAAAAAAAGCAATGCTTTCCTTGCTCAAAAAGAGTTCGACAAAAACAAGAATGACAAAGCCTTAAGTCCAATGTAGAAGCGAAAGTGAAGAAGAAGGTAGTCGTGCAGTATGGCCTGGATGTTTATGTCTTATTTTGCATGCAACCCATCATAACCCTTGCCTTAGCTGTTATTGTGTCTTGATCGCATGTATGTTTTTCTCTCTTTTTTTCTACCTCTCTTTTTTTTCCCTTATTTTTTTCTTTTTTTCTCTCTCTTTTTTTTTCTCTCTCTCTCTCTTTTTTTCTCTCTCTCTCTCTCTTTTTTTTTTTCTCTCTCTCTCTTTTTTTCTCTCTCTTTTTTATTCTCTTTTCTTTTCTCTCTTTTTTTTTCTCTCTTTTTATTCTCTCTCTCTCATTTTATTGTACACTATTTTACTTCTCTGACAAACAGCACAAAGATGGTACTTAGAAGTAAGGAGGCTACAGATCAAACTCTTCAGTGCGCCATCCACCAGTTGCAGTCTGGTCCGGAATCTGGCTCTGCACAACAATTGTCGCTGCTATTCACAGCTTTTTTTTTTTTTTTTTTTTGGTACACAATTTTATTTCTCTAACAAACAGCATAGAGCCATCATTGACAACCTCCTCCTTCCTAACAAACTCTCCAACAACCGCTCGTCAGCAGCGCGTGGGTCCTTGGTCGCTCCAGGGCGCCTTCCTTCATCATGTGTGGCTAGCGAAGCGCCAAACGGGCTTTTTTTTTTTTTTTTTTTTTTTTTTTTTTTTTTTTTTTTTTTTTTTTTTGATACGCTTTTTTTTTTTCCAGTTACCGAAAGTGGAAAGTGGAAGCGAACTCCTCCCTCTCTTGATTTGGAATTACATGTTAATTTCCAACAAGATATGTCACTTTGGCCGAGTGGTTAAGGCGTATGCCTGCTAAGTGTATGGGATTTCCCGCGCAGGTTCGAACCCTGCAGGTGACGCATCTCTTTTTGTTCGAGTCTTTTTTGCATTTTGGACATGTGCAGAAAATCA